TTAGCGCCCTTGTCAAGCAGCAGCTTCACCACTCCCTCATGCCCATTCCCTGCGGCCCACGAGAGTGGCGTCCGGCCACTGCTGTCTTCAGTCTCTAGCTTAGCGCCCTTGTCAAGCAGTAGCTTCACCACTCCCTCATGCCCATTCCCTGCGGCCCACGAGAGTGGCGTCCGGCCACTGCTGTCTTCAGTCTCTAGCTTAGCGCCCTTGTCAAGCAGCAGCTTCACCACTCCCTCATGCCCATTCCCTGCGGCCCACGAGAGTGGCGTCTGGCCACTGCTGTCTTCAGTCTCTAGGTTAGCGCCCTTGTCAAGCAGCAGCTTCACCACTCCCTCATGCCCATTCCCTGCGGCTGACGAGAGTGGCGTCCGGCCATGGCTGTCTTTTGAGTCGATGTTGACTATGTCGGAGTTAAGTAGCGACTTGACGATGGCCTTGTGCCCGTCCCGCGCGGCTAGTAACAGCGGCGTCCGGCCCTCTTCATCTATTTCATTCGTGTTTACTACATTGCCTTTGAAGAGCCTACGCAGTAGGTCGTACATAAGTGACTCTTGCTCCGAAATGCAAAAGAGGTGCTGCAGCCAATATGCCTTTGCATATGAATGAAAGTGGAACTCATCCGCTAATTGAGGACTGACAAGCTTGCTTGTTTCCGCAAGAGTCTTTTCAATGTTGAAGTTAGGTTGCTTCCTAGACTTCAAAAGCTTTAATGCAAGACTTTGAACACTGCTTGGTACGTCTAGTGTTGAACGAACGATTTGGGATGGCGCTGATGCGGTCATTATTTGCTGGACTACCCTAGTAGATAGCTGGGTTCCAAAAACGCCATAATTGAGGTAGGTGACAATAATGTTTGCTATTGTTCTGTTTGCGCTATCAATTGTGATTCCTATGTTAGCTGAGTCTTTAAACCCGCTAAAGAGAAATTGCTTAACGCTATGGTGCACGAGTCGTATGGTCTTCTCCTCTTCATCGATAGTAAGGAGGCTTCCGCAGCAAGTTAATGTTGAATGTATGTCATTAAGACGCCTTGAGGGGTTCCAAACAGCGTCGCCAGGGACAACGCTTAAGGCATCTCGAAGTGCTTCTGCTGTTAAGGGACGGCAAGCTATAGTTATAAGCTCTAATATCCGTCTCTGATACGGCTTTCCATATTGTTCTGATTTCCGTAGAATACGAAAAAATGTTTCTGAGAGATCCTTGGGAAGATCCGCTAGAGCCTGGCGAATAGCATCATCTGTTTTCATGTTGCATAAGGACTCGATTTGTAGAGCTACCCAGAGAAACATTCCCTGGGATCCTTTAATGAGGGCGTCTTGGATTTCTAGTATAAGCATAGGATTTCCTATCACTAGCCTTTTAGACTCTATGCGACTCTCTAATTCTGCTAAGATGAATGCGTCAATATCAGGGTTATCATCTGGAATTGATGTAACCTGGGCGTTAATGAACTGCTCTAGGCTCAATTTCAAAACGTTGCTAGGATCGAGTCGGACTGATACACATACAAGTAGTGAAAATGTCTTCTGAAACTTCCAGAGCTGTTTGATTAATATGTCTCTTTCAGCTGGGTCACATTCATCCAGCCCGTCAAGGACGAAGTACGCTCTTGACGTAGGTGGAAGAGAGTGTTGGAGTAAGCTGAAAATCTCTTCGAAATCCAGAGCAAGATCAGTAGTGGTCTTATCAATGAATCTCGCTACTATCGCGAGATCTGCTATTAGGCGCAACAATTGTCGGGCTAGAGAACCAATGACTGTCCGCGCTTTCAAACTTTCTAGAATGTCGTGCCGGCAAAAGAAGTAAGCAACCGTAACATTCTTACTTCGACAGTTAAGATTTAGATCATCAATTAGGTTAGCTAGCAGAACGGATTTTCCGGATCCTAGCCCGCCCGTACATATTAGTGTACAGGAAGATTTTTGACCTTTCCAGTCCTTATATGCGACAATTTGGTTGAGTAGAGTTGTGTTTCCGATCTTTCGCGTCTGCTTCCATGTCGTCTCATAATCATATATAGAGCAGGAATCGAGGACCCGTACGTTTGTCTTTAGCTTTTGCCGAAGCGATACAGATTCAGAAAACTTGCTAGAAAAAGCTCTGAATTTAGAGTTATCTTGGGCTTCCTCCTTAATCATTTTTGTCGTTAGCAGGGTCGCCTCCTCTTTAATCTCATTCGCCCAGCGGTCGAGATCAGATTGGTATGTTTTCATGTCTGAATCACTTAGAGTAGATGCAAATTGCGCTAAGGCGGACTTCTGTGTAAACTTTAACGATTGATGGCAAAGATGAACCACCACAATGAAATATTCGTGCAGGTAGGACTGCATTTTCTTAGAGCGCGGATATAGCAATGCCATCATCTGGTAACGAGGGGCCGAGCGACCAGCGGTCATAAGGAGTTCTGATAACTTTTCCAGATAGGAAGTGAAGTTTGCAATTGACTACGAAGATTTTAGTACAAGATGCAGCTAAAGATGTCAAGGGTTACTGACAAGCAATGACATTCGCACCAACGACCAGACACCGCAAGCGATTAGATTCTGTGACCCGCCTATTATAACATCACCAAGCGCAGCGAATTGCTGAACGCCGTGCAGAAAACTGATCAGCCGAGGCGCAAAACAACGTCTGCAACCAATCTTTCTAGTAGCGTCTCCAATTTCAGCTATGAGTTGGTCAACATCGCGGGGATCTGGAGGGGAAGCGTGCGATTGAGATCTGTAGGTAGCTTTCTGGTCACTCGGGAGGTCAGCAACAAACTGCGACACGGCTTGCGCTAGACGAATTTCGGACTTTAGCGGCGAAGCTTTTGAAAATACAATAGACATGGTGGTGGGTGACATTCTAAAGGCACTACGGATAACGTCGCACATCAAGCAAAATCGCATATATTCCTAGAATAATTATGTGGGAAGATAGAAGCTAAGTAGAGGTTGATTGGGATGAGCTGATAAAAGGCGTCAGGTGCTGCATGCACAGCCACAACGAGGTTTGAACAGTGATTGGTGTAGCTGTCGTTAAAATTGGATGTTGAAGGATTGGGCAGCAATACTTGAGGCTGATGATTTATTGTCTATCGCTTATTCTGCCAATGACTGATCGCGTTTATTAAGCGGTGCCGCAATGTGTAACTATTTACTTGCTGAGCCGCAATGTGTAACTGAGTTACACATTGCGGCTCAGCGGCTCAGCAAGTAAATACACCCCGGATCGTTTATCTATGAAAATTGAGCGAAAATCATCAACAATCAGTAGTTGGCGATGAGGGACCTGCAGACTAGCAAAATTGATTGGCATACAGAATCTCGCCATGTGGGCTGCAACCTTCTGGCGCCTCCCGGGCAATCAATGGTGCTGTGACTGTGAGACAAATGACGTGTTGGCCGCTGAAGACCTAATACTTTCTCAGTCAAAGTGCAGTTCACAATATACTTCATTGCGATGCCCTAACATCACAGGAACTGTTGATATCAGGATAAAATAACATAAATGTTCAAGCATCCTCTATGGCATATTGCACGCCCAGCAGTGTCGGCCACCTCGCAGGTGGTGAGTTTCTTGTAAACATACCATGAGTAAAATCATGCCGGGAGGGAGCAAGATTCGGGGCTATGGTGTGGAATATAAAGTGCTGTAGTGTAGGTACCGCACGGATATGATTAACATACAATTGTTATAACGTTGATGTGACTGAGGCATAATGAGACAATTGGCGCAATTATAGTAACCGCATTAGGACACTAGGTTCAAAAAATGCAGGGGGAAGCCAGTTTTGCAAGCGACTGTACATGCATCATGTTGTTTTGAGTGCTGCTTTTTGGATATTTATCACTGCGGGTGGATGGCGCTGTCCACCAAGGTGATACAATGTGCTGTTAGAGCTGCTTCAGCAGACTGAGCTGGTAGTTGCGGTTGGAGCGCTAGAAATGACTCCTTGATGCAGCTATAGTCGACCTAAGGTCAGAAACTTGGAATGATATTTTTAGTGATGATCTCAAGTCTAATAAGTGGCTCCCGGAACGTCTAAAACGGTCCCCCTAGTGTAATGTTTTAAACGTAGCAAACGGCTCCTCGAAATCAATACTCGGCTCCAAGGTTGAATACTTGAGCTGGACAGCTATTGCGTTCGTTTATGGCTTGAGAAGCGGCCGGAATTCTGCGCTCTCCGTCTGTTCGCAGTTCAGTGATGGTGTTACGGTGGCATAAAACAGCACCGGAAGCTGCTGGATTCAGCAGCCCAAACACCACCACTTAGACTAAACTTGTAAACTCTATACGAGGGGTCTTTTGTTATCTGGAAGATATATATTTGAGATATTTTCCTTTCCTAATTTTATTTATTTTAAATGCCAATATATATTCTTACTTATGTTATGGTAACACACATTCATTAATTTTGGTCGCACGGAGAATATATTAACGAACTCCAGTATCTAACTGCCGACCTATATGTATATTATGCCACTAAAGTAAACTATCGGCCTCTCTATAATTCACGTTAAAATTGTATGGGTCTCATTATAAGATAGAATCCGCACCATTTTATATACCCCGCTACTCGGGGTAAATGGCCCCGGCAAGTGACCCCGGCCCGCCATTGCGGTCGCGGTTAAGTTCCGCATTCGGTATTCTCCCCACTTATCCAGGGATATTTTGGAAAGGCGGAGTAAATATGGGGGATTCATCCAGGTTACCCCACACGAGCAGCGATATAAAAGGGTAATGAGGGAAAAGTAGCTATCTGTAATATGCAACATATATCTGCAGCCAACAATTCTGTAACAATCCTACCAGGCCTCCCAGTCCATTGAACAAGCATGTCTCCCAATCACCCTCCAAACCCGCAGTCAAAACCCCCCTTGCAATCTATAATCAGCTGTCACGACTTCGAGCATGCAGCTTCAATCTCGCTAGCCCCGAAGACATGGTCCTTCTACTCATGCGCCGCCACGGATCTGGTAACCCACAAGCTGAATAGCAGCATATACAACCAGATCCTCTTTCGCCCCCGCACAATGACCGATGTCTCCACCGCCGACACGTCAACCTCCATCCTCAGCCGCCGCTCCACTCTTCCGCTCTTTTGCGCCCCTGCCGCTCTCTCAGCAATGGTGCATCCCGACGGGGAACGGGCCCTCGCGCGCGCGTGCCAGAAATCCGGCATCCCGCAATGCGTCAGCACCAGCGCGTCGTTCCGGGTAGAAGACATCTTCGCGTCGATTTCCCAGCCGCCAGTGCTGGATACGCCGCCGCCTGCTCCAATGACGTTTTTCTTCCAGCTGTATGTTGATAAGAATCGCGCGAAGTCGGAGGAGTTGCTGAGGACCGCGGAGAGGCTGGGGGCGAAGGCGGTGTTTGTCACGGTGGATGGGCCGGTGCAGGGGAAGAGGGAGGCGGATGAGAGAGTAAAGGCGGACAGGGAGTTGGTGTCGCCGATGAGTGGGACGAGGGCGAAGAATGATGAGAAGAAGGGGAATAGTATTTCGAGGGCGATGGGGTCGTATATTGATCCCACGCTGAGTTGGAAGGATGTGGAGTGGCTGAGGAGGAGTACGAAGTTGCCGATTATTTTGAAGGGGATTATGACGGCGCAGGATGCGGTGCTGGCGATGGAGCATGGGATTGATGGAATTGTGCTTAGCAACCATGGTGGTAGGAATCTCGACACGACCCCGCCTCCGATGTTGGTTCTGTTGGAGATTCAGAAGAATAGCCCAGAGGTCTTGGACAAGGTGGAAGTGTTTGTTGATGGGGGTATCAAGCGAGGAACAGATATCTTTAAAGCATTGTGCCTTGGAGCAAAGGCTGTCGGTATTGGACGGGGCTTTCTTTGGGCACTTAATTATGGAGAGGAGGGCGTGGAGAAGTTCATTGATATCTTGAGGGATGAGCTCGAGACTACGATGAAGCTTTGTGGGATTACGGATCTGAGCCAGGTTCATCCGGGTCTGGTGAACACGCTCGCTATTGACCATTTGGTACCTAGTGGCGAGGGGCATCCGTATGCGAAGTGGAGGCCGAAGGCTAGGATATAGAGTGCACGCTTCCTTCTTGTATTTTCTATGAGAAAATATTAGGCATTGGTGAAGGGACAAATTTCCTGGTAGCAACAATGCTAATGGCCGCTCAGGATGTGACAATGGCCGCCAATATCATACACGGACCTATTGGCATATTGAAGACTTATAGCTCTCTCTCATGAGTATAGTATATTTCGATACCGTGGTTATTGAGCCAAAAAAATCCATCCAAATACTCTACTCTATCTCCTGAAATGATATCCCTCCAGTAAGGCATCGGCTATTTTGGATTACTAACAATTTACTACTGTATACGAACCCGAGACTCGGGTCCATAATGATCTGCGTTGACAGGTGGTGGGGATAAATCCCTCGAACGGGCTAACAATGCGCCGATAACCTGTCAGACAGATTAAAGAAGGGATCAATACAGGGGTCATATCAGAACCACAAAAAACAGACAGAATTGACAGAATGGCGTATTTCGACTTTGAATCCGAACAACAAAGACTTTCAAACATCATGAAAGTAGTCTCCCATAAAGTGCATTTCAAATGCCAAGCAGTTTCCCTTGGCCGCCCCTCTCTCTAATGGCAACTAAGAAAAGTATACATGGGACAGCCCAGAAGCTTGTCATTTCCCAGTTGGGCGACAGGAGCAGAGATCTGCATTACAACAAAGCCCTCTCCCGCTTAAATTACTTCAATCAGATAGTTCTACGCCACCGGAGCTTCCTAAACCCATACACCCATCCGGACACGGGCAAGCTCAGCAAAATATCGAAGCAAACCTTACATGATCTCCCCCCGTCTCTACGCGAACCTACCATGGCGACGCTGGAGGCCGGGGACTCTAAGCCACCTATTTAACTTCGTGTGAACTCGGGCTGGCTACTGTGATAGGTGATTCTTATACACGTGCACTGAGACAATGAGGTGTTAAGTGCCCGCACCCGCACGCGCAGGTGACGGATGTGGAGATTTGTGGATGGAGAATTTTGCTTATATCAAAGTGCCATCTCGCGGGGAGCCTTGCTTGTGTGGACTCCTTTTCCGAGATAAAGTTTGCACGCTTCAACGTCTAGCCACCTCTTCACCTCGTTGGTTTCTAGACCGCAACAAAGACAGAAAACGCAGCCATGGCGCGCCTTCGTATTTTAGGGGCTGTGGCCTTCTTGCTCCTGCAGGTTGCAAGATGCGACGATTCCCCTGTGTCGCGCGACTACCCTCTTGTTCCGGGTGAAATTGAGGGAACACCGCCTATCAAGTATTCGCCTCCAGCTGGCTCCATGCCCCTCAATGGCCGAGAGCTGGTTTCCGAATGGTCCAATACTGGCTTCCTCTCCAAGCGTTATTGTGTGGACGCTGGATACGTACCGTGCTCTGGTGAGTTTAACACTCCCAATAACCCTCGTGGGTGATGTTGTCGCTGTAGAAGAGCCAAGGAGTAGAAGATCCAAAGCTGACACCTCTCTCCCACAAGACACCGGATGCTGCCCTTCTCTAGGACAGTGCTGTCCCGGCTCTCCCTACTGCAAAGCCCAATCGAACGGCGTCTGCTGCGGCTCCACGGGCGTCTGCCCCGGCGGCTTCGAGTGCAACTCCATCTGCCGCTGCGTCGAGACCGGCGGGAGCTGTTGCGCGGACGGGCGATACTGCCAGGCAGGACACTCGTGCTGCTACTCCGGCTGCGTGCCAGACGGGGGACAGTGCTGCTCTAACGGGCAGATGTGCGATGTGGGGAATATCTGCGTTGTTAATTTGAGCAATGGGCGGTACGGCTGCTGCACTGATCTGAGCTGTACGGCGTATGTGGAAAGCGGGAGCACGATCGCTTTGACGCATTCGACTCCGGTGGTTACGACGGAAGCTCCGCGAGTCACCCAGACTGTCGATTCGGGCTATGTCTATTACTACTGGACTTTCACTTGGTATGGTGTCCCGTTCTCACCCAATTCTGCGCTCTTGTACTAACAGTTCCTAGGTCGTACTACTCCTATTACTACACCTACATATACCAGGTAACGACGCTGACCACGACATACGTGACAACGACAACCATAATCTCCGCCTACGAGTCCGACAGCGCAGCTGCCACTTCTGAGCTCAACCGAATCTCTTCCAAGTACTTCAGCACGGGATTCCCCACGCCGACAGATGCTACTACCGCGCTGGCTGCCACTACCAACGCGAACACGCCCTCGGAGACAGGGTCTAGCGGAAACGACGGAAATAACGGCGGTAGCCTCCCTGGCGTTGGCATTGGTGGTGTTGGCGGGGGCGGCGGCTCTGTTGGGGGAGCGGGGATGGTGAAGAGCAGTTTGCCTACGCTGACCTTGTGGGCGTTTGCGATGGGGGCAGTGGCTGTTGGGACCGGGATGCTGTTACTGTGATGTCCTGGAAAAGGAAGATTGTGTATACCATGCAAGGCTATGAGTTGTGGATGCGGATGCGGAGAGAGGAAGCCGCTCGGATCTAATGGCTAGGCGGGGGAGGAGTTGTATAGTAGACGCCGTAGGCGTATGGAATGGGCCCGAGGGATGACCAATGATACCAACGTTTCTATGATATATTGCGTATAGGTTGTTGGTTTGGGGGCTAACATGCACCAGAGCAATAAGAGCTGCGGTTATATCTAGATATAGATATGCAAACCAACCCGCGAATCCTACCCCCACTATCGATGTCTGTCAATTAGTCTGCCACATGGGGTGCATGGCAACATCCTCTTGGCGACTGGAATCCTATTTCCCCGACCTGACCCCGTGGGGGTCGTTGGTGTTAGTGGGAGGATGTTAGTCTCTAATATTTATAGAAAACGCAAAAGGACAAGACATGTTGCACATGTAAAGGATGATAACGAATCGAGTTATTCCGGGCAAATTAGGCACCTTCCATTGGTTCTGGGGCTAGCTGATACGGATTTACTGGCTGAAGAATCCCATGTTGGACGCCCAGCACACGTTTTGTGGCAGTGACCAAGTCCCAACGCTAATCCCTGCCCAATTCTGCAGTACCTGGTACCTGTCTCAGCGACAACGGACCAATCCCGCAAGCTCTCCCGTCTGTTCTCGTCAGCACGACCCATTTTCAGCCTTGTCGACATCCAATACAGAGCGGCTTCGCCGAAGTCTATCGATCCTTTCGGTCGACAGGCCTGGGTTGGCTTGAAGTTCGGATGATGGATGACGGACGGGTAAGCAGCTTAGCATACGAAGCAGTCGTCCCATACGCCGGAGTTACGAGGTGTAAGCACTGTATGTAAAAGAGCTGAACGTCAGGAACCAGAGTTGCGATATGGTACCACACAACCACGACCTGATCGGCATCCCTGGGTGTGGTGGACACCAAGATATTACCTGTTCCGGACAACACTCCGGATCCCTTCACAAACGCACAAACGCACAGCCTCGGTCTGTCCCGCGGGTTGGCTTGCGCCCCAAGAAGCTGAATCGACCATACTCTTTCAGCCCCAAGGCTGCTGTAGTACTTGGACACATGGAGACTGGGCTCTTTGCTAGTGTATGCAGCATGCAATTAGAAGAGCAGCCTTGTGGGGCCGCTGTAGAATTGATGGAGGGGTGGTTCTCTAGGATGGGAGGTCACGGCTGCCTCAAAGATGGTAGATATCCGCTCTCTCTCTTTCTTGTTGGTGTTTCTTTTCCTTTTCCTTAGTATATACTTATCTGCGAATTACTTCATATCTTAAGCTCTCGTATGCGAACATTTTCCGGCGCATAGCTTCGATTCCCTGGAGCAACCACTGAGACTGTGATCGGGCTTTCTCGTGAACAGGCGCATGGTATTTTCTATTACGAAGCAAGAACCAAACCCGGCCAGTCATCAAGGCAAAATGTCTAATACTAATGGAACAAACGGTTCCAACGGTGCCCATCGTGTCAATGGAGCCAATGGTGCTAATGGCAAACACGAAATCCCCCCCGTTAGTAAACCACATCGTGTCGACTTTGCGCGCACGACGAGCAGAGGACCGCCCATTGACACGACCTGGGAGCGTGTGAACTCCTTCCCTCTCCCACCACATACGGCAACTCCTGGCGGCCCGACAGCAAGATCCCAAGCCAAGGTTCGATCCTACGGACAGAATGAAGACCCGAAGTGCTTCCCGAGGATATCAAAGCCTGTCGAGCTCCTGAGAACGAGCTATGATGTGCTAGTGATCGGTTCGGGATACGGGGGTGGAGTGGCCGCTTGCCGCATGGCAAGGGCAGGACAGACTGTCTGTTTGCTAGAACAAGGAAAGGAGAGGTGGCCGGGAGAGTATCCTAGCACGCTTCTCGAGGCTACGAAGGAGCTCCATATCTCGGGCGAAGTGCCGAGCGTTATATCAAAACCGAAAATGATTGACAAGGGTGATCCCACGGGATTATATCACTTGATTATGGGCGAGGGCCAGAATGCCTTCGTCGGGAATGGACTTGGAGGAACGAGCCTCTTGAATGCGAATGTCTTCCTCCGAACAGACGATGGAACTATGGGCCTTCACAACTGGCCGCCAGAGCTTCGAAAGCCGGGCGCATTGAACGATTACTACGAACTAGCTGAGAAAATGCTCGAACCTCAAAAGTATCCTGATGAGTGGCCTGAACTGCCGAAGCTGAACATGCTCGAGACACAGGCCAACCACCTCGGATGGGGAGACAAGTTCCGACGCGTCCCCCAGACCACTCGCTTCTCTGCTGGAGCGAATAGCACTGGCGTGGAGATGAATGCTTCTGCGTTGACGGGTCAAGATACCACGGGCCTCAATGATGGTAGCAAGTCCAGCACACTCGTCAACTATCTTAGTGACGCATGGAACTGGGGTGCTGAAATGTTCTGCGAATGTGAAGTCCGGTATATAAAAGAGCATCCCGATGAGGGGTATATCGTCTACTTCGCATGGCATGGCAGCGGCCGTGGAGCCTTTACTGAGCACTTGCATGAAGATCTCATGTGGGTGCACGCCAAGAAGTGCGTCTTCCTAGGAGCCGGATCCCTTGGGACAACAGAGATTCTGCTCCGAAGCAAAGCCATGGGATTATCAACGAGCTCGACTTTGGGAACTGGGATGAGCGGGAATGGCGACATCCTCGCTTTTGGATACAACTGCAATGAGAATGTGAATGCGATTGGTAGAGAATTTCCGTCGCCGTACCATCCCATTGGGCCCACGATTGCTGGTATAATTGATTGCCGTGAAGGCCACGAAAATCCGCTTGATGGCTTTGTCATTGAAGAGGGAGCAATTCCAAAGGCACTAGCTCCATTATTTCAAGTCATGCTTGAGTTGATGCCGGGTACTGCTCATCACGATGTCAGCCTGATTGGTAATGTGAGGAGCAAGCTTGCGAGTATAGGGAGTCACATACTTGGCCCTTATTACCAGAAAGGTAGTGTTGAGAAGACCATGGTTTATCTCGTTATGTCGCATGATTCAAACCAGGCCATCCTTTCTCTTAAGAATGATAAGCCTCTATTGAAGTTCCTGGGCGTGGGAAGGTCGGATCATGTTGAGTATCTCAATGATATTTTGGCGCAGGCTACGTCTGCTGTAGGGGGCACATTTGTGAATAGCCCATTTTACGCTGCTCTTGGAAAGCAGGAAATTACTGTACATCCTATTGGGTAAGAATATCTTGCTATAAATTGGTTGATCGGACTTACTAACAGGAAATAGGGGAGCATGTATGAGTAGCTGTGGCACAGGGAGAACCGGCACAACGAACCATTTTGGGCAAGTGTTTAAAGGGAATGGTAAAGAGACCCATGAAGGGCTCATTGTTACCGATGGAGCAATTGTTCCAACGGCTCTGGGCGTCAATCCCCTCGCTACTATCACCGCCCTTGCGGAGCGCTCGGTAAAGTATACGGCAGATAGAATGGGTGTGACCATTGACTATGATACTAAGAATGGTGCGTTCATTTAAAATCAAATCCGCAGAGGGATTCATCAAGCTAACGTTCTTAGGTCTTCTCGATCTCTTCGGATTCCCAAAACACGTAATTACTGGAGACGATAGCATCGTCAATGCCGAAAGTCTCATCGAAGAGACTGCAGCAGGAAAAGTGAGCGGCTTCGAATTCTCCGAAGTCATGTCCGGATTCATCCACTTTGGCGAAAACATGGAAGGAGACCGAACAGACGACTTCGAAGTTGCAGCTCGCACCGGGCGAGGACTATGCGAGGGCGCGAGGTTCTTCCTGAGCGTCAAGGCATGGAATACCCATACGATTGTCCGTCGCCCTGACCACTCGGCAATGTTGACTGGAACACTCGTCTGCGCTGGTCTACCAGGGAGCCCCTTTATGATAAAGCGTGGCGATTTCGGACTTTTTTCGGCAAATCAGTCAATATCGGGGACTAAGAACTTAACCTACAGCTTTCAGATGATAGGAACCGATCGCGAGAAGTACCAGTTTGAAGGGTTTAAAACGGTTAACGCCGGGGTAGTGCTCAACCCGATTGCGCTCTGGAGGGCAACTTCTACTCTCTATGTCACCATCAAGCGACTCAACGGCACCGTCATCGGGCGCGGCATACTCCACATCAAGCCTACAGATTTCCTATCCGAAGCACGCACCCTCACACCCACCGGCGACGGCCTCATCGCCAAAGCCACCTCCACCATATCCTTCCTCTCCTACTTCGCCAAGCAAGCCGCCTCCCTCTTCTTCACCCCCTTCAGCCCCCTCCAGTACCCCTCCCACACCCCCCGCGGCTTCATAAACACCTGCACCTCCGACGGCGCCATCGCCGTGATCGCCTCCGACGGCGTAAAGACATACATGAACAAGTGGGAATCCACGCACCCTGACCCCGCCTACCCGGTGCACGACCTCTTCATGGTCCCCGGCGCCTCGGTGGACCACCAGATCTTTAGTCTGCAGACGATTCCGAAGAACGCGGTGCAGTATTTTACGGAGAGGGGGTATCGCGTTTGGGTCCTTACGCATCGGATTGGGATGAATATGCAGCCGACGGATAAATGGACGACGTTTGATGCGCGTCTTGATATTCGCGCTGCGTTGGCGTATATCCGTAGCGTCTGCGGGAATCGCAAGATCTACACTATTGCGCATTGCATGGGCTCCGTGGCGCTGGCATCGGGGATGCTGGACGGGACGATACCAGTAGAGTGGATCAAAGGGCTGTCGTGCTCGCAAGTCTTCATGAATCCGCAATGGGCGCGGATTAACATGGCCAAGGTGATGATGCCATTCGATCTGACGCGCGCGTACCGGCTGCTGGGCGGGAACTGGTTCAGTTGCTCGAGTAGCGAGGATGATACGCTGGTGCAGAGGGCGATTGATCAGGTGCTGAGGTTTTATCCGGTGGAGCCGAGGGAGATGTGTAATAATGTTGCGTGTCATAGGACGTCTTTTGTTTTTGGGAGGTGAGCTATAACCCCCCCCCCTTCTACCCCTTTTATCTATCCTTGGAGGAGGCTGGCAGCTAACCAACGACGCAGATGCTGGAACCACGCCAACCTCAACGTAGCAACCCACGCACAAACCCACCGCTTCTTCGGCGGCGTCAACATGTCCCTCGAGCACCTCCTGATGTCGATGGGCGAGCACGGCCACGTCACTACCAACTTCCCCTTAGCTCAGAAACTTACCACGCCTACGAACTTGCGGCGCCTGAAGGGTCTCCCGATTTTCTTGTTCAGTGGCGCGGATAACCATGTGCTGCAGCCGGAGAGCACGCTGACGACGTATGAGACGCTGAGGGATATGTTTGGGGGGGAGAACTATGAGAGGGTTGTTATTGAGGGGTATGGGCATTTGGATTGTTGGATGGGGACGAGGGCGGAGAGGGATGTTTTTCCGGTTATTGGGGAGAGGGTGGAGAGGGTTTGTAGGGGGAGGGGGGTGGGGAAGGAGGAAGGGGGTGGTGTATGAAGAGTTTGGGGGTGGGGGGGTTAATGGGCGGAGGGAGTTTGGAGTTTGGGATTCTTGGGCTGAAGATTTGAAGGTTTATGAGACTCTGGGATATAATTGGGGGACGGAGTTTGTCTTTGCTCCTATTATGGGAACTGAGTATGTGAGTTATTGATATAATGATGGATAAGGACGTGTGTTATGATATTTTAATGCAAGCAGTGGCAGGACCACAGCCGTCGAATTAATTTTCATTATGTCGACTTCACCGTCTCTATGTAATCTAACGTGAACCAAAGAAAGAATAAAAGCATGTATTCTCTCAGTATCTGCTATGTCTTCAAGATAACCTCCAAGCCACCTCATATTCAAGCAAAATCAACGCTAGAAGTGATAAATGCAAAACCCCATACTCCCCTCATCATCAAATCATCAAATCATCACCATCGTCATCGCATCCAACTCCCCCGCATATCACCATCACCTCTTCCCCACCCCTCTCTCCTCCCATACCCCAAGCTCAATTATAACTCCTCACCGCCGCCGCAGCATCAGCATCCCTCCGCGCAACCTCCTCCCTACTAACCTCCTGCAACGTATCCGTCCTCCTCTGCATCTTCTGCGCGTTTAGCTGCTGTCCTAATTTCCCCGTCGGTTTCGCTGCTGCTTTTGCGCGGGCCTGTTATCATTAGCCTGTATCCCCCATATCTCCCCCATACCCCATCCCCATCTCCCATCTCCCGTCACGCACTCCCCGCCCCCCACACTCTCACACCACCACACCACACAAAAACCAAAGCGCAAACGGGGAAACAAAGCAAAAGAATATCTCATACCTCAGCAGCATCAGCAGCATCCCTCCTCGGATCCCCCCCCGGGCCCCCTCCCCCCGCCGCGCCCCCACCAAGTCGTCGCGGCGGCCCAGCAGCGGTCTTAGCAGGAGGTCTGGAAGTCGCGTTCTGTGGAGGGGCGGAGGAGAGGGTGCGGCCGGGGGTGGAGAAGGGGTCGGGGGATTTGGATTCGGATCCGCAGAGGTTGCCCATTTTTGATGTTGTTGTTGTGAGAGATGAAGAGGAAGGGAGGTGGTTGAGGTAGGGTGGATGGATGAGGATGAGGGGGGTGGCGTGGTGAGGGCGGGGAAACTGGGGGCGGGTGGTTTGGTTTCCTTCGGTTATGGGTTTAATATGGGAATGGAGGGGATGATGAAGGCAATTGAATGACTCTTTACGCGGTGTATTTGCGTGTTTGTTAAGTGGTGATGGGAGCAATCGCAATGCAATGGAGGTGTTGTGGTGGTGTAGTCGTGTGCAGTGGGGCTTAGAGTCTTGGAGGTTGGAGGTTGGAGCTCCTGGCGGTTTTTCCGGCCCGGGCGGAGTTGGTGGTGTAGTAGTAGAGGATGGAGCTATGGGCAAATTTATCCAGGCTTGGCCTTGGCCGGTAGATGGTGGAATAAATGGCGGCTACTAAGGGTTACTAAGGGATTTTAGACGGATGGGTTTGATTGATGATTAAGCTTGATGGATGGATTCTTTAAAATTAATAGAACGAATAGGATATAATCGTAAGTTATTACACTATTAGTATAGATAGCTATGGAAGGACACTATGGTTGCTAATAGTCGTAGCTGCTATAGGGTCTTCTTCTACCCTGCGGACCCCTCTATACCTTTTAGAGTGTACCCTCCGTTATACCCTTCCTTGCTATAGCACATGATCGTAGGAAGATATTTGCACTATTAATGCCATACCATATAACAAACTACTGTGCTCTAGTTAGTTGCAGCTGTTATAGGTAACCATTGGTAGGGTAGGGTCTTTCTTCTACCCTCCGAACCCCTCTATACCTTTTAGAGTGTACCGTCCCTCTACTACACCCTTCCTTGCTATAGAACAGGATCGTACGAAGATATCTGTTCTGTTGATTCAATAACAAACTACTACCACTCTCTAGTTAGTCGCAGCTGTCATAGCTAACCATGAAGTTTTTCTCCTTCTAACCCTCTAGACCCCTCTATATCCTCATGTATTGCTAAACCCTCTAACACCCTCTACTATACCCTTCTTTACTCAGCTCGGTAACTTCTACGGCAACAGTACGTACCCTAAATTTCGGGCACCTTGGGGTTTTTCCACGCTTTCGCTCTATCTATTATCTAATCACGCCCGAATTTTTATTTAAAGTCCTCTGATTGGTCAAACCCACCCCTCAGCGTCAACCTCCAAGGTAATTTTCCAATCCGCTACACCCCTTCCGGTAAAGCCGGTCCTCGCTTCTACTTCCCCTTTCGTCATCAACGGCTCTGATTTGTACTGTGCTGCACTAAGTAACCTTGTGGGTTGGGGCCACTGGGAAAAATCGTGAATGAAGACCTTTCTCGATGGTCCCCCGCGCGAAACTTCTCACCACCACACTTCCCGAGCGAAATCTTGTTGTTTTGTCCTTTGCCTGCACCTCGAAGATCCCTCCCATCTATTTTAGATTCACATCGAAACAACATCTTGCCCTTCTTGTCTACTGATATACTTCTCATTTGACACTCGACACCCTCGACTCGGTGCGCGCTATCTGCGTTATCCCACCGCTTCCGATAGTAACCTTGATGGGTTTGAGCCTCGACCTTTGATCCCGACCTCGAAACCCCTCTCAGCTACCTTGCGAGCTGCGAATGGGAGCAACTCCGTTCCAGGCGCTGCTTGGGTAAGAAACTCCCTCTGCATTTTTTAATCTTGTCGCCAGTCGCGTGTCGTTTCGCTCGTGGGGGGTAACAGACCGCTAATGACTCTACAGGCAGCTCGAGATAATGAACGACAACCGCGCCTACAACCCGTCGTCGGGAGGAAATATGGACATGATGTTCTCGCAGGATGGTTCGATCGACGCGGCAGACGTCTGGGCGAACGCGTTGCCATGGGATAGCTCGTCGAATGCTTATACCCAAGCCACGAATACCGAAGCGCCGTCTCCCCATCCCACGACCGAAGATTCTTTCCACCAGTCGCACCACGACCACTACTTCGGCAGCGGACACAGCAGCAGGTCTACAATCATCTACGAGGAGAAATGCGACAGCCCAGAGTGCCACGTTCAGGAATGTCACGAGCCCGACTGTGCGGAAGATCTCGTCGAATGCACCGACCCTTACTGCTTGCCCATTGACGCCTGCCCCGACCCAGATGTCTGTCACAGCGGGAGCACAAAATGCGCGGGGAGTCTCGAGATGGACATCGTGTCCGCAGCTGCGAGTCTGGCGGCCATGAAGCCCCCGACAATGTCGAACGGGCAATTTTACAACGGTCCGCAAAACTATGATTTTTGCGCTACGATCGCGAACGGGTACACGAGTGCCACTCACCCACCTCACTTCGGCGCCTGCATGTTCACCAATGCCTACATGCCTTCCTACAACAATGGCGGCATGATGGGAGCGGCGCAGGACAGCGGTATGTGCCAATACATCAACAACAACAGCAATTTCTGCCAAAGTCACGAGACCTACCATAATATGGGTCCTCCCTCCTTCCAAAACTCAACCCTCCAATACGCCATGTCCCTCCGCGACCTCTCCTCCCGCTCCTCCTCTTCCCAAGACCCCTTCGCCTTCTCCACCGAACCAACCCCCTCCTCCGCATCAACCTACTCCTCCCCCCACCCCCCATCCGACGTCGCCCTCCTCACCCCGGCCTCGCAACCCGATCCCAACTTCCCCGTCCCCGTCTGCCAATGGCACGACACCCCCACCTCCACGCCCTGCTCCAAAACCTTCGCCACGAAAGCGGCGCTGCAATCGCACATCCAATCTGTGCACACCGCTCCCCTCTCCAAATCTCTTGGCTTCGTCTGCCGCTGGTCTGGATGCAGTCGTCTCTCTCTCCCAGCCGACCGCGCAGGGTTCGCCCAGCGCTCGAAATTGGATAGACATATGCAGTCACACACTGGGCACAAGGCGTGTAAGTGCCCTGAATGCCACCACGAGTTCAGCACCTCCCAGACCCTCGAGAGTCACATGCGCACACACACCGGCGACAAGCCATTCAAGTGCAAAGAGCCCGGATGTGACTACGAAGCTGCCCAGGCGAGTCAATTGACGATGCACACGCGCACCAAGCATACGCGCGAGAAGCCCCTTCTCTGCGACTTCCCTGGGTGCGGACGCCGCTTCGCAGAGAGTAGTAATCTGAGTAAGCATAAGAAGATCCATGAGCCGGAGGAGGAGTGTCGGTGCGGGGTGTGTGGGAAGAGTTTTAGGCGGCGCGATCAGTTGAGGCGGCATTTGAAGATTCATGTTCGCAAGGATGGGTTGAGTGAGGTCGGGGCGAGGAAGGCGTTGGGGGGGAAGAGGGGGGAGGAGATGAGTGAGACGGGGAGTCAGTTGCTCAGTCCGAGTCCGAGTGTGCCACCGGGAGGGGCGGGGATGGAGATGGAGTTTAATGAGGAGGCACGGATGGGGATGGATATGGAGATTGATGGGGGGTCGATGATGGTATGTTAGCCTCCTGCTTTTCTGTCCTCACAGTGTGCTAACAATAATAGGCCTCACAGCAATCAATGACAGCCCAATCTAACTGGGCTATGACCTGATCTCCTCACTTTTTATCTCACAACACCACCACCACCACCATCACATCACATCACATCACACCAACACCAACACCAACACCTTCACCACCACGATTCAGCGAGCACTTGCAAGCATTAATCAGCCCCAAAAAGTTAGCGAAAGCGCCCCATCTGCACTATTCACGACATCATAATTGCCAGCCCGTCTATCTATTGGATGTTCTTCTCACGTGTGCGAATTTTTTACTTCGGTCGGTTTGGACAACAAAAAGCAATAATGACTCTTTTTTTGTTAAAGAGATTTTTTTCGTCTTCTTCTTGAGCAATGTTGTTATTATCTTAGACAGCGCCTTTTGGGTGTGGGAAAAATGGGATGGATGGATGGGAGGATTTTTTTAAAAGGATAGGATATGGAAAATGGGATGGATGGACGGCCTTAGGGGATGAAAATGAAACAAGGGATGGCGGAATAGAAAAAGGGAAAGGAAAAGGAAAGAGAATGGAAAATGGGGGGTAATGATCACGTAATCCACGCTGTTGATGAAAAGGGAAGTACTGTTTTGAAAAAAAAAGTGCGTTCGGGGAGCAGTGGAGAAGGGGAGGAGGGGATACCACAGGGTTTTATCTTGGCCTTGTCCAATGATTTAGTAGACAACGAAACGAAAGGGGAATGAAAAGAATAGGAAAAGTTAAATCTATAAATGGCCTTGTATGCAAGTGACTTTGCGATTGAATGTTTTTTAATCACTTGGAGGGAGGGGTTGGGTATTCTGGTAGAGTAGAGGTTTGTTACTCACTCACAGTCGAACAGGAAGGGGGAGGCTGGGATAATCGTAGCGTTGATTCCTAGAAACCATGACCCGTCGAACCGCACAGTGAGAGGAGCCAAGACGAGCATTTGTAGTTGAATAACGCATTAACTCCCCGCTACATCTTCCGCGATACTATATACATCAACCGCCTCATCATAAAAATCCCCTAACCCCCCACCCTTCTCTTGCTCACCCCACTCTCTTGCATCTCCCCGAATCCCTCCTCTCCTATTAACTCATCCAGTGCCTCATCACCAACCTACTGCTGAATCCTCTCCGGCGGGGGGGCGCCGATAATCTGTGTATTCTGCGGCTGCGCATCCGCGATCTCCGGGTTCTGGCGGTAGAGGACGATTTCGGATTGTTTGAAGTAGCGGCGTGCGTCTGTGTGGAGTGTTAAATTGGGGTTCTTCTACTTTTGGTTTTCCCCATCCCCGCGGGGGAAGGATTGGAAGGGAAAAAAAGGGGGGGGGAAAGGGTGGGGGGGGAAAGAACGTACCTTCGTCGATAAGGACGAGACTGAGGTAGTAGCGGGTGGAGTATTTCTTGTTGACTTCGCGGAAGGTGGGGGTTAGGTCGAAGCCACCGAGGAAGAGGCGGATAGGGATTGTTTCGCCTGTGATTGTTAGTCTATGCCCCATTATACGAATAGGAAAGCAGGATTGAAGGTAGAAAAGGACAGGTGCGCCAAAACATACCTCTCGAAGGACTCCCATCCATAATCTCAAACCTCACCAACGTCTCACTCTCATTATACTGATTCGGCGCCGTCCCCGTCGTCTCCCTCCTAATAATACTCAACTCCATATGCTTAATCTTCAACCTCACCAGCAAAAAGTAAATCCTCCCGACAATCACATCCTTAAGATGGTACTTGCTCTTACTATACTCGAACTCGATGTGCAGGCAATCCTCGATGCCGACATCCATCTTGATGCTGCTCTGCGTCTCCGGGGGGACTTTGTAGGAGTACACCCAGATGTCCTTTTCGCGGATGACGTCGGCCATGCGGCGGGAGACGGTGACGCGCACGAAGTAGCGGAGCTTGACGTTGATGCCGTTGTAGGACTCGTATTGCTTCTCGACGTTCTTGAAGTTGAAGGGGAAGGTTTGGGGGTGTTGCAGGTCGCCGGGGGCGGCGAGCTCTTGGCCAAGGGAGAGGAATTCGTAGTGGTTGCCGCGGTCGAAGAACATCTCTACGGGGGGCGGTTAGTTATGTTGCTCAATCCATTCATCACTCCTTGAACACCGGCAGGTTCTAGGAGCGCAACTTCCGCGTGTTCCGCACATCGCAGAGCACCGATATCCATCCAACTGAACGAGAGAAAGAAAGCAAGAACCTACCAATCGTCCCTATAAACTGGACCTTAATCCCCGTATGCTCCAACCTCTTCCCATCCTTCGGCCTCACCGTGACCGCGCCCCTCACACTCTCCTCATCCTTATACAGTGGCGCCTTCTCTCTCCGATTCTTATCAAGCTTCACATCCACCATCTGCCGATCACTCGTGTCCTCGAGCACGACGTCGATATCGACAGGCGTGCTGAAGAAGTACGCCATTACGGCGGGTTTGGTGTAGAGTAAGCTCACTGTGAGATTGTTTGCGCGGCCGAGACGGTGGGAGCAGAGAGCACTGATCGATTTACTGCCGATTGGGGAAGTGGCATGGATAGACGGTGGTTGCGACGCGGAGGTTGGCGGTGGTGGATTGGAAGGGACCGTATTCGCGGCCTGGCGACGTCAAGCTTGGGGTCCCGCTAGCGTCAACCGACAAGGCTGCGGTCTTGGCGCTGATGGCGGGAGCGACAGGCACGAGAATTGCTTCGCGGGCTGGAGAGGAATAATCACGTTACTATGTGCAATTAAAAGGGATATTTATATTTATCAATCTTTTTCTTCTCAAAATCAAATTGTGCTACTCAATTGACAAAACGAAATACATAATTGTTTGTAATGTTGCCCAATTGTATGGCGACGATTGTGATAAGGCAGCCGTTTGGCGTTGAACATCTAAAAGACAAATAAGTTATATATAGATTCTAGCATCCATAAACAAAATTTATTCCCCTCTTTCTTCCAAGCTCACTACCGTATAGCAGCACAAATAAATGCCGTGACTCCCAAAACTCGCTGACATAAGACCAAAATTCTCACCTCGTACCGCCCTTTACTATACACACGACGTCATCCCCACACCCCGCAATCGCCCCAAACTACCACCACCACCCTCCAACGATGTAATGAGTAATCCAACCCCAGCGCTGACAACTAAATAAACTCCAATATAACCCCATCCACCTGCATCAACCCCTCCCTCCTCCTCGTATACAGCCAGCGCCAGCCCAATTATACCAATATATAAACCACCAAACCACCCTCCGATTCTCACAATGCCACAACCCCCCCAACCACAACAATCCCACCCCATCATCCCCAACCCCCTCTCCCACCACCACACCCCCGGCTCCAAAATGGCACGCGAAGAAGACATTAAAACCTACGGCTTCGCCGCCCTCCCCCGCTCCACCGCCGCCCTGCTTGCCAGCCGCGTGGACCCCAAGCAGCCCACCGAGTTGGGGGTTGATGATATCCCGCTCCCCGATTCTCCGCTGGCTGGGAAGGTGGTGGAGTATGCGAGGAGGGAGTTGCCGGTGGAGACTTTTAATCATAGTATGAGGGTGTTTTATTACGGTATATCCCCATTTCCCCCCCTTCGCCTGTCCACTTCGCCAAAACCGGGACTGATATAAGAATGTAGGAATCGCAATAGCTCGCTTCTCCTTCCCCGAACTCCTAACCCCCAGCTGGATCACGACCTATCTCCTCACCTCCCTCCTCCACGATATCGGTACCACACCAAAAAACATCACATCCACGCTCCTTAGCTTCGAGTTCCACGGCGGACTGCTGGTGTTGGATTTACTCAAAAAGGAAGGGGCGCCAACGGCGCAGGCGGAGAGCGTGGCGGAGGCGGTGATACGGCATCAGGATTTGGGGGAGACGGGGTTTGTGACTAGTATTACTGCTGTGATTTTGTTGGCTACGATTTTCGGTTCGTCTTATTCCCTTCCATATACCCCATCTTGTGGTTTTAAGTGTTGTTGGTGTTCCCGCAAGACGAGTGGGGTTGCGGTTGCGGGTGGTGGGGTTCACGAGAGGTGGTGGAGAGAGCACAAGCTAACAACACCCACAGACAACGTAGGCAAGAACGCGGAACTCGTACACCCACAGACAATAGTGAATATCACGAATGCGTACCCCCGCATGAAGTGGTCGCAGTGTTTCGCGCATACGATTGGGCAGGAGATGGAGCTCAAGCCGTGGGCGCATACGAGTCATTTGGGGGAGAAGGAGTTTAAGGAGGGGGTGTTGGGGAATACGTTGATGGAGCCTTTTGAGTAGGCGATTAGGGAGAAAGATGGTGGGAAGGGAGGAAGAGTGTGTTGGCGATTTCTTGTACACCATGTCTCAGGAGGAGAGGGGGTTGTGCGAAACGGAGGTTGGGGGGTATAGTTAATAAGGTAATACAAAGTCACAAGTCTTGCGAAACGGAGCAGCTTTGTTGAAGTATATATTAATCCCAATTATCAAAATTCTACGACAACTGGTCATTATCCAAACAGCCATCCATAAAAAATAACCCCCTCAACACCTGCGCCTTTCCAACACACGAAAGTCCCACACAAGTATACCTATATCTCTAACATCCGTAACAGGATATTTTCTAGATCCCATTATTCGCGCACGTGAACACGCCACCAACAGCATTCGCCGCATAACTATCCATGATACTCTGCACCGACACATACGTCCCAACAGTGAGGAAAAAGAACCCCACACCGATGATGAAGATATTCAGCGCAAGCACCGAGTACCCATACACGCTCTGCTCATGCAGCCACCTGACGCCTCCATCAACGCGACGCATACGGATATATGCCACGCCCCAGAAGATGAATCCGAAGAAGGAGTCAAAGAGCGAGGACATCAGGGAGAGCAGGTCAGAGAAGAACGGGATGACCTCCGCGATGATGAAAGCCCCTAGCCACGTCAGGGCGAGGATACCAGCCCAAGCGGACCATCCAACGACGGTATGCGAGGACTTATGGATGGTGCCCTCGAAGATGCGGAAGAAGATGAAACGGGCGGAGACGGTGGCGTAGAGGACGCCGAGGAAGATGAGAGTGGGGATCATGAAGGAGAAGGACACCTTCTTGTAGATCTCGTTTCCGAGGGAGCCGAAGGCGGGGGCGGTCATGTACTGGTTCCCGGTGTAGACGTAGATGACAGCGCCGACGATGGAGAAGACGATGACCTCGGCGATGGTGACGGCCCAGAGGGCTTTGGGGAAGTCCTTGGGCTCGCGCATTTCGGCGATGAAGCTGGGGAGGGTGATTTGTCCGATGAAGGTGTAGGAGATGTTGAGGAAGGCGGACATGGCGGCTACGAAGGACGTGCCGGGGAGGGGGAAGGCGGTGTAGATTGGTGCGCCGAGTTCCTCGGTGAAGCCGAGGGGTTTGTCTTCGAGGCCGGAGAAGATGGTGGCTAGGAGGACGGAGACGAAAGTGAAGAAGGCGGTGGCGCAGGCGATTTTGGAGAGCGCGTCGAAGGTGCGGGGGAGAGAACAGAACCAGCAGATGATGGTGGAGATCACCGCGAAGACGACGGTGCATTGGCTGTGGTGCGTCATGGTGTTGAGGTACTTGGCGGTCACCAGGACGTGGAGGCCCTGGATGAAGGTGTTGTTAAGGATGAACATGACGGCCGTGGCATACCAGACCCAGGTTTTACCCCAGAACAGCATTTGCCCGATGTCACATACGTCCCTGACCTCGGGGTGACGGAGACAGAACTCCCAGAGCACGAGGGACGTGTAGAGCACGACGGCTGCCACGACGACGGTCAGGATCAGTCCGGGGACCAGTCCGAGGATGGAGTAGGACCAGGGAAATGACATGATGGCCAGGCAGATGTATTCTGAGAAGAGGAGGAAGGCAGTCTAGGTGAGAAGGTTAATATCTGAGCCCCCCTAAAAACACGCAGCGCGCGATTGAACGCTTACCTTTTGCCAGCTGCAAGTACGATACTGCAGCGCATTCCCCGACTCCAACTCAAGCTGCTTCTCCAGCACATCCTGTCCATTGACCGAGTCCGAGTCCGAGAAGTCGGCGCCCCTCAGATGGGGGAGGACTGGCGCAATTCTAGCACCGACTTTGAGGCCGCCCTTTCGGGTCCTGTTGCCCTCATCGGTGATGAGGATGCCGCCTTCGATACGCTTCTCCTGGGCCATCGGGGCGGTTGGGGAAAACGTGTAGTTTGGTAGAGAGGATTCGGAATCATCGTGGTTCGGATTCAGCGCCATTTTCGACTGGGCCAATGCACGATTGGCTCGAAGTGGGCTTGGGGGTCAGATAGGACGACGGAAACGTTCTGCATTTACCGCCGTAAGGATACTGCGATTGGGGCGCGAGCCTTTTCCTGTTTGTTTTTCAAGAAAGGTTATTCTTCTTGAGTTCTGGAGAGTATGGGGCGGACAGCAACAACTGATGATCGGCGAAAGATTTGCCTGGACCCTTATGAAACTTGATTGACGTTGAGTTAAGAAACCCGGGAAGCTAGAAAAGTAAATTTCCAGAAAAACTGTCGAAAGGGATAGATAGAGAAGAAGAGGAGAGAATCGGCGGCGAGCTAAGCAGGTTTAATAAGTAAAGAAAGTAGAGTAGAGTATTAAAGTAATCCCAGAGGGCAAGGGTAGTGGGAGGTACATTTGGCTCGCAGGATTCCTAAAGCGGTACCAAGAAGTGTCCAGGGAAGGTAGGTCGATCCAATGCACGCCACGCCGCCTTTCATCATGCCTAAGCCATTGGCCGACACGGTGTCCCCGACTATGGAATTAGGGAGTCTCTACTGTCAGGACTAAGGGAAAGTTGAGTTAGTAAGGGTACATAGTTTCTGTAAGAGTAGTAGTTGGGGGATGTCTGAGTATGTCTGAGAATGTCTGAGGATACCTCATATCTCGCCGACAAGACGAGCCTGTCGCGTGGGGTTTACGTAGACCATGTAGCTATGGGGCATGGCCAGTGGGTGCACCCTTGGAAACGCCACAGGCCAGAATGAGACAGTATGGACAGGATAGTAAAGTTAGTAAAGTTAGATCCAGATAGCTCAGTCCAGAGTCCCATCACAAACCCACCGTAGTCCTCCAACAGCCAGTCAACATCACCACAAACACCACAAACACCACAAACAACCATACTATACTCTCTCTGCAAAAACCCTTTAAAAGAAACCGGGAAACAATCTCTCCATACAACGTATACTCCCCTACTCTCTCCAGAAACACACACACCCTTTCCCCCCCACCCTTCCCACCTCGCTGCCCCCACACACCCACTCCCACTACGTCAGTTACGGATCCCCCAACACCTCCAACAGTCCCTCCCCCCAACCATGTGTCGCCAAGCCCGCCCCATCTCCAGTCCGCCCCATCATAGCGGCTGTCAAAGTGGAACACTGCTGCTCCACAAGGCGAGGACCGGAAGTGGTTGTTGTGGCGGGCGGGCAGGCAGCGTAAGCAAGCACGCAAAGCCCGCCGTCGTCGCCGTCTATGGGAGAGGGAGAGCCGCGGCAAACCAAAACTTTACTTGCCGGGACTGTTGCGCAATTGGGAACGGGATGATATGGGAGGCGGATACTGACGTGCCTCCCAAGCCGGCTGCCCTGCCACGGAAACGCCGTCACCACTCGGATGGCGCACCCTCAGCCCGTTTTTTTGCTTGTCTTGCCCTGCGGCGTATGCTTAGCGAGTGCGAAGGCGAGAGGCCAAGGTTGTTTGTTTTGCCCAGAGTGTCGGGATGACGATTTAGCGCGGTGCATGACTGGTTGGATATGGGTGAGATGGTGAATCAGAAAATCCCCCATTCCCATCCCGGTCTCAGTCTCACAGTGCCAACCTGTGTGTGAGTGGCTGGCATTGCGATCCTACGGCGTGTTAACGGGATTACTCTGTTTTCTGCACGAGTACGTATCTTACTTCCACCAACAGCAACTACAGGATTAAAGATGCTCTCAACACGGCACGGTACTGTACCCAATATCACCAGGCGGTACGGTACTCGGACCCGCGCGCGCACACATGGGCGCCCTGTCTGTCGCATTTCGCAAGGGCAGGGTAACTTACGCTGCAGTACCGGCGCTGGGAGTGGGAGATGGGCGATGTTGCCATCCGCGTCATGTCGCCGAGCTCGCATTCCTTTTTCTGACGTGATTGCCGGGTTGGATGGTGAAAAACTTGGTCCATGCACCCCACAGTCCCACCACCCACACCACCCGCCCGAAGCCAGACAGTTCAGTGTTAGTGGTGGCCCTGTGCGTTTCACTCCGCGTGCAGGGGACGCCAAGGCTGGACTATGCTCGGAGGGGAGGTGGGTGCTGGGAACGAAACCCTGATGTCTGGCTGGTGATGGGATGGTGATGGGATGAAATGTTGGGGGTTTGGAGGGGGATGGACGAATTACATGGAACTTGTGGACGGATTATATGCAGTCACTCAGAAAGAAATGTGAGTTATATCTTCCTTGAGTCGATCATGGGATGGGCCACGACTCGCTGTTGACAACGTTACATGCATGCTATGTTTGAGACTGTGCTCGGTTTGGTATATTCTGCTGATATTTCAGAGACAAGAAGACATCTCGTGACCGCCGCCGCCCATGCGCCATTTTGGTATCTCAATAATATAGCTACACCTCCTAAGTAACCGTGTATCTCCCCCCAACAGGCGCCCTACTATCCACCTCCGCCGCCGCCATCGTCCCCTCCTTCAACAACCGCATTAGCTCCCTCATAGCGTTCGTGACCACGAGCTCCGTATCCCCTTCAACCAGGATATACAATTTCGGGTCCCCACCCGCCTGCACCTCCTTGCCCGCCGGATAGAAGCTCCCCTTCGTGGTGATGCTAGTCCCTGTCGCCTCCAGGATCTTGGCCACATTAGTGCGATTCGTGACAGCCCAGCGCGCCTTCTGCGGGAAATCGTTGATCTCGAGCGTCGCGTGGAACGCGCCCGCGTCGGGGCCCTTGTTATCGATCGGCACCCCCGAGCGCAGCTGCCCGGTCTTGTTGAGGCGCGAGTTGATCGCGTCGATGGCAGATGCCACCTTGTCCAGGGGGTTCTTGGAGCCGGAGCCCGCGGCTGCGGTCTCGGTGCGGTGGACGGTAATCTTACCGTCCAGATCAATGCCCTTGGGTACCCCCACGAGCTGCGCTGGTGCTGCAGGTGCAGGGGTCGTTGCTGACTGGACAGTCGAGGCGGCCTTGAGGAGGATCTCGTCGTCGCCCTTCTCTTCTTTTTCTTCTTCGTCGTCGCCTTCGGTCTTGTGCGTCTTACGCTCGCGCATCCGTGCGGCTTCACGCTCCTGGTCGAGGCGCTCTAGACCCTTGCCGCCGAATCCTGAGCTGTCTTGCGACTTGCCCGTCTTAACCTTGGCTCTGAAGGCTTTCCTCATTTCATTGAGGCGTTCTGGAACGGGCTGCCCGCTTTGTTCCAGGGCCTTCGATATGCCAACTGAGTATTGCTCTTGATCCCCTGTGATGAATGTAACTGCTGTGCCCGTATTACCCGCTCTACCAGTTCGGCCAGCTCTGTGAACATAATCCTCCAGATGGTTGGGCGCATCATAGTTGACAACGAGTTTCAGCTGCTTCACGTCCAATCCACGTGCAGCAACCGAGGTAGCAATCATAATTGGCGTTACACCAGCCTTGAAGTCGTCGATGGTGGAATCTCGGTCAATTTGATCTTTGCCACCGTGAATCGACATGCAGGGGTAGCCCTTTCGCATGAGATCCTTCAGTAAATCGTCGGCTTTCTCCTGTCGGTCGACAAACACGAGGGTGCGCGCATCTTCGTCCTTGTCGTAGAGTTCGCCCAATAGCTCCAGTAGGCGGATAAATTTGTCATCCTCCTCACGGACTTCTACTATCTGGGTGATTTCGGGTGCGACTACACTCCTTCCACCGACAGTGATTTCCACGGGATCATTCAAGGTTTTCTTGGCGAGGGCATCCATAATCCTTGGCATGGTAGCGGAAAACATGATGGTCTGCCTATTAGGGCGGATATTGGCGAAGATCTTCATGACTTGCGGCTCGAAGCCCATATCGAACATACGGTCGGCTTCGTCGAGGACAACGTATGTCACACGCCTCAGGTTAGTTACCCGGCCAGAGTTTGCAGCGAGGAGATCAATCATGCGGCCAGGAGTGCACACAATTATCTCGGCACCGCGCTTGAGCTCAGCAATTTGATCTTTGATAGGGGCACCGCCATAGGCGCAAACAGCACGAAGATTCATAGATTTTAGAAATGGCTTGGCCTCCTTGTGAATCTGTGTTGCAAGTTCTCTTGTTGGTGTCATGATTAGACCGATAGGTCCGTCCGAGCCTTCAAGAGGCGGTTGATCACGTATGTGTCGGAACATAGGTAACATGAAGGCCATTGTCTTTCCTGATCCAGTCTTAGCCACACCGATCACATCCCGACCTGACATGATGGCTGGGAGAGCTTGCATCTGAATAGCAGTAGGGCGTTCGTAGCCAAGCCTCTTGATAACATCCAGTGACTGAATATTGAGACCGCACTGTGACCATTTTTGCACGGGTATTGGTACGTTCTTTCCCGACACCTTAATACCATCGAGCTCGAGACGTAGATCTGCAAGTGCAGCTTCGGTCATCCCAGCAAGCTCAGCTGGCTCAGTGTAGAAGTTCTTCCGGAATGGCGCCAGGTCCAGCTTTGCGTAGTTGATCACTGGCAAATCCTTCTTCTTTCGTACTTTGCTAGCCATAGCCAGAATATCTTCGGGCTCCGAATCCAATGTTCCAACCTGGTCCTCTTCGTCACCAAAGATTGGTTCCGGTTCTTGTTGGCTCTTGCTCTTGTTCTTATTGAAATTGGTTGTAGTCTTTGGCGCCGCAAAGGGGTCTCCCATTTCCTCCATGAAAGCATCCAGAGGATCAACTTCATCCTCTTCTTCTTCTGGTGCAGGCTGCTCAGGTGCTGCTTCAGGGGCTTCAGCCATTGCGACATCGGCAGCTGCGCCTTCGGCCTGTTCAGCCTGTAAACGTTCTTCTCGTCGTTCAGCTGCAGCTCGGGCTGCTGCTGCGGCCTCTTCTTCAGTCCCAGCTTCCATGTCGACATCGTCGTCATCATCGCTCTTCTCGTCACCGTTAGCCTGCGCAGTATCTTCGTCTTCATTGATTGCCACGGGAAGGGACGGTAGCTTTTCAAGTTTCTTCCTCATTCCTTCATCATCCCCAAACACCAAACCCCTCTTTGCTGAAGGTTTCTCTTGGTCCTGGGCAGACTTGGCCCCGAGGCCAAATGCGCTCAGATTGCCACGAGCTTTGGGTAATGCGGAAGCTATTGGTTCAGTTAGAAACGTTGTCGATACAGTTATGGGCAGGTGCAGCTTACCTTTTGAAGAACTGGAAAAAGCTGGTAGGGATTTGTCAGCTAGAGCACCGTTCGTCGCAGGTAGTGAAGTAGCAGACGTTTGAGCAATATCAATGCCTGGGGTATTCTTGTTAAGAGCAGCAGCAGCATTTAGTTTTTCGGAGGCTCTTCTTGCAATTGCTTTGGGGTCAAACTTTCCAGCATATGGCGCAGGTGAGCCTGGAGATGCCGTGTCAGCCAACAGTGCTGGCGACCCAGGGGTCGCACTCGGCGAGCCATTGGCCTTCACGTCAATTTGGTCCAGCAGTTTCCGCGTGCCACCTGCTTCAAGCTTCTCTTTCTGCTCCTTCTGCTCAGCAACCTTCTTTTTCCAGGCTTCTAACTTTGCCAGTCTCTCTGCCTTCTTTTGTTCGTCAGTTGGTCCGCTGGGCGCTGGAGGTTGTTCGGCCTGGAGAAGTTTGTTAGATTGGTTCTCAAATTGATAAAGGGCTGTGGAACATACAGCATTGCGCTTTCCGTCAGGCTCACGGTTTGTCCTACTATCACGACCATCATCAGGTCTAGAACGTGAGTATGAGTTAGTTTGATCCTCGTGGCGTCTATTAAGCCTGTCACGGGAGTCATCTCGCCTGTCCCTGTAATCTCGATCACGGCTTCGGCGTCGCCTTCGGTCTGGAGAGCGTTCTCTGTCTAGGTGCCTCTCTCTAGAGGGTCTGCGGTCTCGAGACCTATCTCGTCGTCTATAGCCATCGTCTCTTCGACCTATTGAGCGATCTCGTTGGCGGGGTAAATCGCGTGAATCTCGGTGGCGTCGCTTGAAATTGTCGTTAGCAAAAGAACTCTTCTGATACTCATGACGACTTCTTACATCGATGCTGCGAGAACGGCTCCTCCGACGTGGCGCCCCTCGTGGGTCATCCCGACGGTCTCTGTCGTGTCGAATGTCATCGTCTCTTCTGCTTCTTTTGGAAGAGTGGTGAGATCCTGTAGCCGATGGTGAGCGAGAATCCCTTCGACGCGCCATGGCTGCGCCGTTATGACTTAAGTGAGAAGTACTCTGATAAGCTTCTCGCAATTCTCAACTATATTTCTACCGTCGTTCCGTGCGAGTGCCGTATAAATCAGACTGGTGACTGGGTTATAATTCCCAGGTTGAAGTATTGAGTGTCTGTCGCAACATGAACTTGAACTCACAAGGCAAATGCTTAAATTGCACTATTGGTTCACTTCGGTCGCCGTATGTCCCATTGGAGTAAAGGCCTAAAAGCTCCCAGGTCCACTTGAGCTCGCGTGATAGGGTACATCGTCGGCAGTACTCCAGCCTCCTCGTTGTTTCAGGGACAACTGAGACGTCCACGAAGTCCTTTCAGAGATCGAGACTTGGTCGTCGCCAATATACAGAATATATCTCCATTGAAGAACACAGAACTTGGATCGCAGCATTGTCATGTTTTCCGCAATCGGCAGAGCAGCAATTGGGAGGATTGGGGGAGGTAGATCAACAGCACGCGTCCCGCAACAGATCCAGCGCGTCCAGATCACGCAGAGTGGAAAGAATGCGCTGCAATCAGAATTCCAAGGACGCGCTCTTGTCATTCTCTCCAGCAAGCGCCTTTACAGCGCTTCTACCACCAAGCCAGCCAAGCCAGCTTCAGATAAGCCAGCTAAGAAAGGCGCCTCTACCACTACCAAGAAGGCCGTGAAGAAACCGGCAGCAAAGAAGGCGAAGAAGGAGCTGACCGAGAAGCAGCAAGAGAAGAAGGAGGCGGATGCTGTTAGGGCGAAGGTACAGGCACAGAAGAAGAAGGAGAGGAAGGTCGTGGAGGATGGGAAAGCCAAAATTCGAGAGCTGAAGGCCAAGGTCTTGACTCCACCAAAGCAGCTCCCTGCTACTGCCTGGACAGTATTGAACTCAGAGTCCATCTCGCAGAACCCGGGGCTTCCACTGGCAGAGTTGGTCAAAGATGCGGCCGCCAGATACAAGACTCTAGATACATCTACACGAGAGGTGAGTCCATTCTGATACTGTTCCCAGTGGCACTACAAGGTCTATGCTGACATTCGTAGACCTATAACCAAAAGGCCAACGCAAATAAGGCCTCAAATGATGCAAGCTACGAAGCCTGGGTGGCATCTCTATCCCCTCAACAGATCTACGACTCAAACCATGCCCAGCAACGCTTAAAGCACCTTGGCCTGATAAGACCAGGAAAGCATCTGAAGATCGATGACCCCAGAATCCCCAAGAGACCTTTGCCCGCATACATACTTTTCGTCAAGGAGAGATACGCCAGCGGCGACTTCAAGGGAATCTCTCCAGTCGAGGCAGCGAAGGTTCTGGCCCAGGAGTTCAAGGCCCTATCAGAATCCGAGAAGAAGGTGCGTTTTGTATGAGCTAATCCACGAGAAGCCAAGAACTGACACTTCTACGCAGTTATATGAGGACCTCGCTGTGGCAGAGCGCGAAAGATATGCCAAGGAGATGACCAACACTTTCGGGACAACCAGGCCAGTCGCATCATCGGTCTCGTCGTAAATATGTGAATATTGTTGAAATTAGCTTTTGCGATGCGAGCCCTTCTCCTTTGGCCCTATGTCGATGTATGATTTTTAGCCCTTATGGTATACAATTCCGGAGCTGTCCGTGGCGGAAGCGGTTTGTACTGTAGATGAGAGACGCTTGCAATCTCACCAGGCGGGTTAGCTCTTTGCTGGGTTCTGACGATACGATTAGTGGTTGTGTACGATGCTGTTCTCCTTTCTTTATTTATGGGATGAGAGGGGAAGGGGGTGGGTGGAAGGCGCGGGGGCTTTCGTCTTTTATGGGAATAATTATATCAGAATCAAGAGCTTTACATTGTTGACTTGAAGCTCTTGACCATGTGAGTAGCGTTTTCTGTCTAATGGCCGATCTCTTGGGCAACTATTCAGCCCGATGCCAGCGTGGTGCAATGTTCGTTGATATTAAAGGGCTTCGAGACTATTGAGCCATTACAGAGATCAGGATACGTGAGGGGGTATAGAGGACATGTATATGAATACAATTGCTAGTGTTGATAAACCAACTACTTAAAGTGCATTTACATTCAACAATAGACCACAAATATTTATGTCCAAACTTCGATTTCATTAGTACGATCTTTGTAGATACCAGCACCGCCATTCTTACACGCCCCCACCCTTCTCCTTCCACAGCCTTGCAGCTTCCATAAGCCCACCAAGCCTCTTCTTCCCCTCTTCCTCGTCCGGGAACACATAATCCACATACTCCTCATAGGTATCATCGTCCATCTTCCTCCTCCTCTTCGTCTTCCTCGGCTGCTTCTTCGTCAGCTGCTCCTGGCTCGCCTCATCGCCATGAGTCATCTCAAAGCTTAGGTGTGCTGCCAACAGTGCCGCCCTCTCTTCCTTCAAATCCCTTTCTTTCATGCTCTTGTGTGCACGCTCGAATACCTTCCTCGCTCTGTCCTTCGCAGCGTCACTAATCGGCCTCTCTTCTTCTTCTCCTTCCTCTTCCTCGTCGGGAATGTTGATCTCAAAGTGCGCATACGAGATCCAGACCTTCACGTGTCCTGTCTTCTCTAATAACCTTTCATACAGACTCCTTGTGCGCTCGTACTCTCCCTCTTCCTCCTCAAAGTCGATATAGCTCTTCCATACTAGTTCTGGCATATCAAGCATTTGTTGGTCAACAGCCAGCTCATACACGGCTCGTGCCCTCTCCAGATCATCCAGTCCGCGCTCCAGCTCTGCGAACCTAATCCAAGCTGATGAGTTCGCAGGGTTGAACATGAGCGCCTTCTCATACAGCGTCCTGCATCGCGCAAACTCGAACAACTTGAGTTCTAGAGCGACATATCCAGTGAACAGCTTATCTTTCGGGCACATCCCAATCGCCTGCCCCAGCATCTTCCTCGCCTTCCCCAAATCCTTTTGGCGGACCTCAAACATCGCCGCAAGGAGCCAGATCTTGGCGAATGTGAACTTCTTATGTGGAACCAGGCGCATGCATTCGGCGTACACCTGGCGCGCCCTAGATACATCACCAGCTTCCATCTCTTCCCAGATGGCGTAGAAGATCCACAGATAAATGTACCGCCTCCAATGCCTCTTTTCCTGACTCGGAGGTAGTTGTGCAATGGCCCGTTCATATACGTCGCGCACCCTGTCCAGATCACCTGATGTCTCTTCCAAGCGCGCGTAATCGATCCAGGTATCATAGTTCTTCGAGTTCTCCTTGAGTTGTTCTTCGTACTGCACCCGGCGTTTCGATAATATGACGTCCTCCACACCCTCGCGATCACCGAACTGCTTCTCGAAAGTCGTATATGACTTGTGTAAAGCTAAGGATTTCGATCTTGGGAGGCGATCTAAGGAGTATTTGTAGATGGCGCGGGCGCGCTCGTATTCCTTGAGTTTGGCTTCGTAACGTGCGTATGCGATGAAGAGTCGCTCGTCCATAAAGTCTTCTCCCAGAGCTTCAACGGCCATACCGAAAACCTCGCGCACCAGATCACTCGTTCCGTACTCCTCCTCAAAGCGTGTCCACTTAATCCAGTTTCTTGGCTCCGGGTGTACTGTGGTGAAGCGCGCAAAGATATCTCGGGCTCGCTGGTATTCCCCATAGCGCTTCTCAAGCTTAATGTAACTGCTCCACGCCGCCTCATCTGGCTCCCAGCTCATCCAGCGCTCAAACACCTGTCTTGTTCCGGGGATATTTCCTAGCATCTCCTCCATATAGGCATATTTGTACCAGAGCTTATCCACGCGGGGTAGAATCGTGACCGCTCTGTCCAGCAAATTCCTCGCATGGTTGATATTCCTCGTCTTCATCTCCGCCTCGATATATCGTATCCACAGCGTAACACTCGTCGAGTCCACATCCAGCGCTCTCTCGAAGATACTCCTCGCGCGCTTGAACTCTTTTTGCTCCAGTTCCCATTGCGCATAGCGCATCCAATTGTTCATATTAATGCGGTTTCGTTGCACATAGTCCTCAAACTCCTTCCTCTTCCGGCCCTGGAACTCATGAAGCTCCTCTAAATCGGCGAAGCGCTGCGTAGGCGCTTGAAGGCCAGGCTCTTGTCGGTCGACGGCCTCGCGCAGAAGCTGTTCGGCGGAGATTTGCTGCGGCGCGGGGGCCTTGTTTTTGACCCGGGGCGGGCCACGGGAGGACTCCATGATGGCGGTGGAGAAGGAGAGCGTGGAGGAGTGAGGTTGTTGGGTTGTGGACTTGGATTGGTTTTGTTAGATATTTGATATACTTTTGGGTCGCGAGGTAGACACGCCAAGAAAGCACACTTTAAACTAGCGGCCGCTTAATGTTTGATAGCATAGCCAACAAGCGCCTTATAATATAGGCAGAACTTATTCTGAGAGTTTTATAAAGTACTGCATTTACTCTTGAAGGTGAGCCAACTCGGTCACCATAGGCGGTAATTATCATAAGTTTTTGGGGAAGCCTGTTGTGATTCCAAATGGCTTCTTTGCCAATTCTCCGCCAAGCGCCGTCAGCTTCAACACTCTAAAGGACAAGCATTAATGTCAGTCTCATTCTGTGCATGGTATTGATCAGCTTAACCGAGCCAATACCACCTCAATGGACGATTAGTGTAGTGGTTATCACGTTTCCTTTACAAAGTCATCAGACGCGGAAAAGGTCGCAGGTTCGATCCCTGCATCGTTCATAACATTTTGCTTCCTTTTTGTTCGGGTTTGTTTTATTTTTGCTTCCCTTTTGCTTCTTGCGACTGTTCTCAGGTGGTCGCGGTAGCTATCCCGTAATTTTTACGTTACTTCGTGGTTATTTGGGTAACGGTGGTCGTGACCATCCGGTCCACCTCTTATCCGTCCTTGCTTCCTTGGACCTTGGACTTGGACCTTCACATACCGCATTGGCCGCGAAGCAGCAGGTGGCAATGCAATCGCTGAGGAAGCGCCAACCAGTATACAGAGAGGTAAACAGATGAATCGCCAGCAATGATGGAGGCCGAGGCAGTTCTTCACCAGCAAATTCCCTCGGGGTATCGCAATCTGCAACCTCAGGTGTCTCATGGTCTCCAGCACGGCCAGCCTCACATGTCTCACCAAAGTCTAGGGCCACAGAATGGGCTTGATCTGAGCGGCCTTGATGATAACGACGCAGTGTTTCAACAAGACTTGCAGAGTTTGCAGAGTGCCTCGCATACCCAGGTCTTTCATTCGCCAAACACGTTTGATGGTAATCATGGACATCGACATATGCACCACCAGCCTTCTGGGAGCCCGCATACCCCTCAGCAACACCAACCTCACCACCCCTTCCTAACACCGACCCATCTGCAACACAATGCAATTGCGAAATTGCAGGAAGATGAAGATATCTTTGGGTCTCCCGGCGTCTCGGACCAGAAGAGCAATGGCCATTTAAGCACCCGGGTCGTTGCGGACCCTCCGAACATTGCTGAATGGCGCAAGAAGCTATTCGATGTGGACGAAATGATAACCTTGAGTCAAGACCAGTAGGTAATACGAACTCTCATGCGATTACAATTATTAACAGCAGCAGGTTCGAAACATACTTTGCGCATGTCGACAACGTCTACTCTCATCGCTCGACACAACGATATAAACGCAAGCCATTCGTCTCTCACTATTGGGATTGCCGGTTGAAAGGACGCCCGCCGGGCACACCCAAGTCCGAAGATCCGAATAAGAAGAAGCGCAAGCGTGTGGCACGCGAGCGCGATCTATGCGATGTCAAGATCAAGATCACAGAGTACTTTCCCGGAGCCATGTTGCGCCCGGACTTTGTCCCTGATGGAGGTCAGAGCATTGATGGAAATAATAATGGAGAATTCTACTCGCCCAACGCCACTGCAGGGTTAGCCGTTCAAGACTCCCGGCGGCCTTATGGTAGTTCTGGTGAACAAGGCCACCCGGGAAGCACTGGCGAACGATTCTACACAATACAACGGGTCAATGGTAATGGCGGGAACGGTAAAGGAGATGGAATTGCTGGGCCTCATAAACACACGCTAGAAGAAAGCGACAGGGTCAAGAAGAACAGCGTCCAACGCTTTCTCATGAAAAGAGATAAAGAAGAAAAAAAATCCATGGTTAGTTACACTTGTCATGCTCTACATTTCCCCATGTCCTAGTCAGGCCCTCTAACACGTATCAGAAATCAACCACCAGGAAGGCCAGCGGTGCAGCTCTCGTGACGACGCGCAGACACTCCAAGGACCAAGATCTCAAACTTTTTGGAACATGCAGCAGCCCCTACGTACAGCGAGTCTGGATCGCCCTAGAAGCCAAAGACATTCCATACCAATATATCGAAGTCGACCCCTTGAGGAAACCCGCCGCTCACCTTGAAATCAACCCCGCCGGCCCTGTTCCCACCCTCCGCCACGGCAACTGGGGATGCAGTGACTCCACTGTGCTCCTAGAGTATCTCGACGATCTCAGCCTCGGCATCCCCCTGATGCCAAGCGACCCATGTTTGCGAGCTACGGCGCGTCTCTGGGCAGATCACGTAAACCGCGCCGTGGTTCCGGCGTTCTACACGGTGCTACAGTTCAGCCCAGCGGACAAGACGCTCGAGGCGGTATCGACGCTACAGGATGAGATCAACAAGATGGTTGAGGCAGCGGACGCCGAGGGTCCATTCTTCCTCGGCGCGACGCTCGGACACGTCGACGTCGTGTTCGCGCCGTGGATGCTAAGGTGTAGCCGCATGCTCAAGAAGTTCCGCGGGTGGCCAGATCCAGAGCCGGGGAGCCGCTGGGAGAGGTGGGTTGGTGCTGTGGAAGGGTGTGAGGCGGTTAGGGCGACGGTCTGTGGAGAGGATGTGTATGAGGATGCGTTTTCGCGTTGGACGCAGGGGAAGGGGACAGAGGTTGAGGATGGGGGGTATGGAGTTCCGTGAGGGAGTTGTTGGGTTAGGAGTTTTGTATGTTGTGGCGCTCAGGACGATCCGGACATGTGGAAACGATTTATGTGGCGTTTGTGGGATTGGAGTTTATCGAGCGGTTCTATGATGGGCTGAGTGAGTATGGTTGGGTTTACGATACTGTTGGGTAATATTATTATACGGCAAAGGACTATATGAATGCAAATGTTTGGTCTATACGAGCTAAAGGTGTACAAGTGACCTGGATTTGTTCCACCTTTTTAGGGGCGTTTTCTCCGTGCCAATTCTAAATCCCTATATCGCCAATCCTTCCTCCTCCTTCACCAGTTCTACAGCAGTCTTAATTTGACTGGGTTACTCGGGCGCTGTAGTACATTCTCACAGGACATACTCGTGCGAGGTATTTTCGGACGAGAGTGTATCGAGGTAGTTGACAAATCGGGGTTGGTTAGATAGAGAATTTGCATCAGGTTTCCAATAGAGGCGCTTCAACCTTCAAAATTATCGTAAGTCATTAAGAGTACCGCAGACTAGAAACTATCCGCGGCCATTACAAATTACCCACTCAAGCTCTCAATCTCCATCACTTCCCTCGCCATTTCAAGCTGCTCATCCGTCTTACAAATAAGCACCTTATGCTGTCCCTTCCCACTAACATCCCGCACCACGTCATCGCCTCCCCCTTTCCCATTCGCCTCTTCCCCAATTGCAAACCCCAAACAAGCGCATTGCTCAACAACTCTCCTCCTCAGCTCAGCACCCTTCTCGCCAATCCCGCCAGCAAAGACCAGAGCATCTACCTCGCCATGGAGGCTAACGTAGTACGCGCCTATAAAGCCACAGATCCGGTCAACAAACAAATCAAACGCCAGCTTCTTCGCAGGGTCCTTGTCATACCCCGCGCTGATGGCACCGAAGTCCGTCGTGCCTGTCAGCGCTTTCCAGCCGGACTGCTTGTTTAGTATGTCCTCAGCGCGCGAGACGTGGAGCTCTTTTGTTGAGGCGGGTGATAGCTTGCCTACATCTGAAGCATAGTGGAAGACGAGACTATAGCTATTAGGCGCTGTAAAATCTTCATTGACAAAGCACTTACCTAGGATCTACGCTCCCGCTTCGCGTCGCCCCTGGAAGCCCCGCCAGAGGCGTGAGTCCCATACTCGTATCCCAGCTCTTACCCCCCTTAACCGCACACGCACTCGCTCCAGATCCAAGGTGCAGTGCGATCAAGCTAGTCTCCTCTGGCTTCTTGCCCAAGAATCCTGCCACGGCACGTGTGATAAATGAATATGACAACCCATGGAACCCATACTTCCGCAGCCCATTCTTGCGCGCCACTTCTTGATTGATCGGATACGTGCGGACATGCTCCGGTAAGCCCCGATGGAACTGTGTGTCAAAGCAGGCAATGTTGCGCGTGCCTGGCAGCTCGTCAAGACAGCTACGCACTATTGATAGGGCCGGCGCATTGTGAAGTGGTGCCAGGCTACTCAGTTCTTCCAGAGTCTGGAGTGTCTCCTTCGTGATCGGCTGCTGCTTGGAGTAGTCTCCACCATGCACAACCCGGTGGCAGACATGGGTTATATCCTCCTTGCGTGCTAGCTCGGTGAGTTTTGAGTCATTTACCAGCTCATCTAGGAGGATCGAGAACGCTGCGCCTTGGTCCTTGACGTCCTGTTGCTGCTCCTTTCCTTTGGACACTGTAGTGGAGCCGCGGGTATATGATAGCTTCGCTGGCGGGGCTGTCAGCCCATCGAGCTGAGCTTCTGCAATTTGGTGTGGTTCCGAGGAGGAGAGTGTATAGACGCTGACTTTGACGGAGGAGGAGCCCGCATTGACGGCGAGGATTAGCGGCTTGGTAGGCATGGCGTTTCAACACGTCAAAGATGCAAAAGTTAGGCTTCAATTGGGTAGTGGAGATACTGAATATTGGATCAGATCAGGAAAGGTGAGCCCAGCCTGGGTCGTTTGTTGATAGAGGGGGAGCATAATGACGTCAGGTATCATGACCCCTCCTCCTTGTCCCCGCTTGCACCCTCCCACCCCTTACGAGGCCCTTTCGATCCCATACGAGTCCAATTGCTACCTTTTATTCCAAAATGAAACTATTGAAATCTAGAACTCCTCAGCCCCCTATGTACACAATAAGTACCACCCTGCCCCATGGATGAAGGGTCACTAGGGGCGTAAACATTTCGTCAAAGGCGCCAAAAAGCTACCTCAGGGCGTAGCCTGACCCTCAGGACAGGGTTGATTAAGAAGACACATTGCCATGGAATTTCTTTTAATATTTAACGCGTAGTTTTGGTGAAATGGTCCAATATTATCATAATCTGTTGCTTTATTGTCATCGTACTACTCTCATTCTATCACAAGGCTGCTATTTAGAGCTCTCAGCCTTGTCCGAGGCGCGCTAAACCAAATCACACTAGCGCGAGGCGACGACAATTATTGTCACGCCCGTAGCCTTCCAAATATTCCAACGCAACACAGCAACCTCGTTCACTCTCAAGACTTATACGTCAAGATGTCGACTCTTGCCGATGAACTTCTGAACGACTTTGAGGACTCGGGCTCAGAGGGGGAGGCCGAGACCGAGAATGGCGGCCTTTTCCCCGAGGCGGACGGGCATGCGCCGACAACCAACGGGAATGGCGAGACTATGGAGCTTGATGGGGATGAGGAGGAGATGGAAGAGGATGAGGACATGACGGGCGCGGGCAATGCGATAGATGTGATGGATGATGAAGAGGCGACGAAGGCCAAGGTCGAGAAGATGCAGCTCGGAGGCGTAGATGATGTGCGCAGCGTCGCGGGTCTGATGAAGACTCTCGAGCCAGTATTAGAGGTCAGTACTCCCCTCCTTCCCAGCCACTTCTCTGAACAGAGGTTTACATCATCTATCTGTACTAGTCCTGACATCTTCCGCGCGCCTACAGAAGATATCATATTTCCAGAACCTACCAGCAGACAAGCAAACAACACACGTCGGCTCGATTGAGGACAACCCCGAGTACCACCTCCTAACCCAATCGAACACGCTCTCAACATCCATCGACAACGAGATCATCCTCGTCCACAAGTTCATCCGAGACCACTACTCCACGCGCTTCCCCGAGCTGGAGACTATGGTCCAAAACCCGCTCGACTACGCCAAAGTCGTCGCCATAATCGGCAACGGCCCCATGAACAGCGAGAACATCAAGCGCCTCCAAACCTCCACCGACAACATCCTCGGCACCACCCTCCGCGCCGTTCTCGACGGCCCCTCCCTCATGATTGTCACCGTCGAAGCAACCACCACCAAAGGCCGCGCCCTCACCCCCCCGGAACTCTCCCGCGTCCTCCGCGCCTGCGAAATGACCCTCTCCCTCGACCGCGCCAAGCGCACTTTAACCGACTACGTGCAATCGCGGATGACTCTCTTCGCCCCCAACCTCACCGCCCTAATCGGCTCTCTCACCGCAGCGCAACTCCTCAACTTCGCCGGCGGCCTGACTGGTCTCGCCAAAACACCAGCCTGCAACCTCGCATCCCTCGGCTCTAAGAAGACTGCCGGGACTGGCTTCGCCACAAACGTCGGAGCCCGCCAACAAGGATTCCTCTACCACTCCCCGATCATCGCCGGTGTCCCCCCCGACCTCCGCCGCCAAGCCCAGCGCATCGTCGCCGCGAAACTCGTCCTCGCCGCCCGCGTAGACAGGGTCCACTCCTCCCCCTCCGGCGCCACCGGCGAAGAGCTCAAAGCAGCCTGCCTCGAGCGACTGGAGAAACTCACCATCCCCCCTCCCAACAAAGGTGCGCGCGCATTACCAGCGCCAGATGACAAGCCGTCCCGTAAGCGGGGAGGGAGGCGCGCGAGAAAGGCCAAGGAGGCTACTGCTATGACGGATCTGAGGAAGGCGCAGAATAGGATGGTGTTTGGGAAGGAGGAGGTTGAAGGGGGGGGTGATAAGCAGGGTGTTGAGGAGGGGAGGGTTAGGAGGTTACAGATTGATCCGCGCACGCGCGCGAAGCTGGGGAAGAAGAATCCGGGGTGGGGTGCTGCGACGCCCGCGCCTGGCAGCGGAACGGCGTCGAGTCTGCGCGGATTTGGTGGCGGGGTTGGGGCGATGGATCTTAGAGGGAAGGGACTTCGGGGTAGTGGAGTTGGTGCAGCGGGTACGGCGAGTAGTGTTGTTTTTACGCCGGTTCAGGGGCTGGAGCTGGTGGATCCGAAGATTAGAGATGAGGTTGCCAGGAAGAGGAAGGCGGAGGAGGAGGGGTGGTTTAAGGGGGGGACGTTTACGCAGGTTGGTGGTGGGAATGGGGGGTTCAAGGTGCCGGATGCGAAGAGGGTGAAGAGTGGGATGGGACCGCCGGCGGCGCCTGGGGGTGGTTAAAGAGTTGGGAGATGAAGAGGAGGTGTATGTTTTGTGTATTATAGTTGGGGCGTTTTGGCATTTTCGGCGAATGGGTGGGAGGGATGTAGATGGATATCCGCGCGGATCTTGGGCCGCTGCGAGGCACGGCGATGGGGGGAGATATGGCGAGATGGGATTGTGGAGGGGAGAGAGGACTTGAAATGGGGAGTGCATCACAGAATCGGATGGGGAGGGTGGGAGTTGTACTCTACAAACTTAACAACACGAGTTACTCGTTCTCATTTCGAAGAATTTTACACGTTTCACACACAAGTTCTCATGGGCCCCCTTTGAAATGGGGAACAAGTCAGGGAGCTTGATGGGAAAGTTGTGGGAGTTCTACTCTACAGATTTACATAAGTTAACTACTCCGCCATCCAAATAATTGCCGCATATTTCACAAGTTTTCAATTATCACACCTCATAGTCACAGTCAAATCACACACATCATAATCACAGCCCCAAAGTACTCAAAAAAGGTAATGGCAGGTAAAAAAAATCTAGAATTCATCATTCCCAACTTTTCCCTCCCCCCACCAATAGTATTGCCAGTTCAGCATGCATACAAACATGCATGCATGCATTCGTGCAAACATACAAACAAGCGAGCAAGCCTGCGTACAAGCAAGCCTACGAACAAACGAACAAGCATGCATGCATACAAACATACACGCTGTTTCAAAGTCCCTTGCCCTGCCGATCCATCAATCGCTGGTTGCGCGCTCATCGCTGTGCGTGTAAAACAAACAAAATACAAGTCCCCATTCCCCTTTCCCCTTCAAACCGGAGGAAGAGAAGGCAAAAAAGTGATATAAAGATAAAATAAAAACAGACCAAAAGAAAACCACCCCCGACGGAGCGTGAGCTCAAACTCTTTTGTTTTGGGAAAGAACAAAGACGAGACAAGATTAAAAGATGAAGGAAGGAATTAGAGATTAAAAAAAAGCTATAATAGTAATAATGCCTAAGAGCAATCCACAAAAAACACCACCGTAACCAAGGCCCGTTTTCAAACAGTGCCCTAGAATCCATCCCATTCCCATTCCCATACACCACCGCCCAGTTACAACAAAAAGCCATCCCATCCATCCATCCCCACCCAAAAAAAAAAGAAGAATACCAAGTACAAGAAGAAAAAGCCGCACACAAAAAAAGATAATTTTTTGAAAGCATTAAAAAGACCTTAAAGCCACCCCAGTCCACACCATCCTCCCATAAAAGAGACAACGCTGCTTTTTTCGCCAATAAAACACCCTTTTCATTTCCTCCCAAAAACAAAAAGTAGAGTTGGCATAAGAGCCGCCATCCCATCCCGTGTAAAAACGCCCAAACAAAAACAAAAAGCCGCCCTAGCCCAGCCCAGCCCAGCCCCCAGCGCCAAAATGCACCGTTTGTTCGTTTGTTCGTTTTGGTTTTGTTGTTACACCAGATATCCCATACCATCCAAAACACCAATCCCATAAAAAAGACAGAAAAGGAGACCACCAAAAAGCAAAAGACCATCCATCCCATCCAAAACACCAAAAAAAACCCAAAAAAGCCACCAAGAACACCAAATCCAAAAAGAGTCAAAAATCCAATCCAATCCAATCCAAAGCAAAGCGCCATTTCAATCCAATCCCAAATCCATTTTTTTGTGTGCTGTGTGCCTTTCTTTTTCTTTTCTTTTTCTCAAAAAAATCGCATCGCTGGTTGGCTGCCTTGCGTCGTCAAAAGAACGCGCCGCCCGCCAACTGCCGCTGTGGCGTCCATCCATCGTCGGTTCGGTTGTCTTTGTCCGACAGAAAGTGCGGGGCGTGGGTGTGGGTGTGGCAACTCACGTCGCACAAGCCCATGTCGCACGAACACACCCGTCCGTCGGTTCGGTCGGGAGTATAAATCAACGACCGACCGACCGATCGACAGACCACCGAGGAGACGCCCAAAAAAACGTAAGTAATAAAAAAGTGTAAGTTGATGATAATCCAGTCATTCGAAGCGTAAAAAAGAAGTTGATCAAGAAAGAGGTGATTAAAAAAACAACCACGCGGACAGGTATCCAGAGCGTCCACAAAAACGCATCAAGCGAATCAGTCGACGGAAAAATCGGAAGAGCGTGAAGCGGGCAAGGGACGAAAAGTCGAGAACAAAGGGACCAGAAAAGCCAAAAGCGCAAGGCACAGGGAACAGCAATAAGGTCACACAGACCCTACAACCTCCCCGGCCCCGGCGTCCCCTCCTCGCTCTCGGCGCTCCCCCCCCTCTCCTCATGCTCCACCGCCGCCGCCAGCGCATCAAGCCCCTGATTATCCGCCCTCTCCCCTCTCCCCTGCCACCTCCCAACCTCCTGCATCTGCCTCGCCTGCAAACGTACCATATCGCGACTCAACCCCCTCCCCTCCCTCCTCATCGCCACTGCCGCCGAGCTCGCGCCCTTGCGGAGTCCACGACGACCGCCTGGTCCGCCAGATGAAGAAGAAGAGGTAGATGGACGAGGACGGCGCGAGTCCTTGTAGTGCGTCTCGAGGTGCTGTTTCATGTTATCGGCGCGGGTGAACTTCTTAGGGCAGCCGGGGAAGGCGCACTGGATGCCCTTCTCGCAGGTGTGGATCTTGGAGTGGCGCGAGGCGTGGCCGGAGGTCGTGAATGTCTTTTCGCAGCCCACGGCGTCGGCGTAGCGGCAGTGATACCTCTTGGTTCCCGAGGCAGTCACCGTGGTTGCTGGAGGCGGCGCGAAGGCGGGGATCTGCGGGACCATGTGTCCCTGCGACGCGGCGTAGGCCGCCATGGCGGGGTCGTGGTAGTGCTGCTCGTGGTAGTGGTGAGAGTGCATTGGGACGCCGTGGGGGGCGGGGAGGGTGCCAGGGAAGCGCGGGAGAGGGACCTGGGACGGCTTGGCGTAGCCGTCGAAGTGGCGGGATCCGGGCTCGAATTGCGTGGGGTCGGGATACATTGATCCTGGGCCCATGGAGCTGAACGATGCGTTGCGCGAGACTGGGTATCCGTACTCTGGGAGGGCGTCGCGCGGGGTGGAAGGCGAGACAGGGTCGACGGTAGCGATGCTATCTCTCGAGCCGCAGCGGAACAACTGCGGCGTAGGCGGGGAAGCCTGGCGCCCGTGCCTTGGTCTCACGCCATCATGGTAAGAATGTCTCCTATCCTCACCCATATGATGATAATACTCCCTCGCCGACGCACTCATCGGGTTCGCCGACAGCGGCGCGCGCATCTCGGGCGCCGAGAACGGGTCCTGCGCGTGGTCGTCCTCGCGCGCGTTCGTGGCCAGGTCCCAGTAGGTTCTGCGGCGGCGTAGCTCGGGGATGGGAGGAGCGCGTTGGTCGGGGCCGAGGGGGGGGAGCTGGATGGGCGAGTGGTGGTGCGCGGGGGAGGCGTGGGGGGAGCGCTGGCGCAGGGGGAGGGAGAGGCTCAGGTCCTGCGGTTGCCAGGGCGGGAGGGGGGCGCCGACGCGGCGGCGCTCGGGGATGCTGATTGTGTGCGGGCTGGGGAGGGTGCGGGGGGAGACGGGCTCGGAGGAGGCGGCGTGGCAGAGGATGTCGATGTCACGGCCGGACTTGTTGCGTATCCGCAAGGGGTTGGAAGCCATGTTTGGCGTGTGTGTGTTGTGTGTTGTTTGTGTGTGATGCTTGTGAGAGTTGGAGATGTGATGTTGGGAGTGGGTGAGAGTTTGTGGAGAGTGGTGAGTGTGGTGATACGGTTGGTGGGTTTAAGCAGCGTCCTATGAGACCGGCTGACGGGGTGGCTGCGTTCTTATAGAATGTGAAGTTCGGCGGGAGAGGGTAGAGAGTGGGTGTCAGAGGTGAAGTGGGCAGATAGATAGTTAGCGGAGCGGACAGGGCTGGTGGGGAGGGGGAGGGAGGGAGTGAGGTAGAGTGGCAGTGGCAGTAGTGGTAGTGGCAGTGAGTAGTGGAGTTGGAAGGTAAAAGGCAAGTAAGTATAGTTTTAGTATAGTTTAGAGTAGTTTAGATACAGTTGGACTACATGACAAATACAAGTAGCAGGTACAAGACACTAGTTAAGGTGCAAAGCATAAAGCGTAATGTTAAGTGTATAGCATGGGTAGAGTGTGGGTCGAGCAGGGGTGGAATATGGGTAGATATGGGTAGAGTGTGGGTATTAGGTGGGTACTGTCTGGGTATACATAAAGTAGAACAAATGTATGGGACGATGTGCGATGAACGATTTCCGATGTGCAAGGGCGATTGGCGATGGGGATTTTTATGGGTATGGGGAGGGAGTTAGAAGAGGGGGGTGTGGGTTAGGAAGGAAAGAGAGAGGGGCTATTTTGATGTGGCGTGTGAGTTTTTAGTTAGTGTTGTTTGTGTCTGTCTTTTACGTTAGTAACTGATCTAGTAAAAGTGGTAAAGGTGATAAAGTGGTCTAGCTGGTGTGAGTGATGTGGTTAGAAGCAGCGAGATCGTTGGATAGCGACGTTGAATATTGGGTAGAGTAATGTACTATTTTTGAGGATCGTAGGATAGCAATTGCACGTACGATGTATGCAAAAGTTGGATCTGTGATTAGAGCAGCTAGCTGCAAAAAAATATTGAAGAATTTTCGTGTATGCGTGCGAAGTTTACGTACGTGCAGTGGTGGTCGGTCGTGCCTGCCTGCCTCTCCTAACAGCAACACCTCACAAAACGGGGTTATTCTCATTACTACAACCACCACATCCCCATCCATCCTCATCCTCGCTCACCCACTGCATCCCCCTCCCAAAACGGGGCTCTTCGGGGCCATCGCCCTCTCTGCAATACGCCCACATCCAACTATGCAGGCTATAATTGCCAATATCCGTTTCCTGTGCCACTACAGTCCCATCATAGGCCCCTTATAGAAGATTCCCTTTCTGCAGGACAGGACCAGTGCCCACATGAGGAAGCAAAAAAGGGGGTTTTGAGAGGGGGTAAGTGATAGATGATAGATCATTACGGAGACCTAAACAGAACGGTGTCTGTCTGCAGCAGCAGCATGATGTTGTTGTCGTTGTCGACAGTGGCGCTGCTGTCTTCGGTGTATGACATGCTGCTGCAGATTATTATTGTAGTTAGTAGTAGGAGTAGTGTAGTAGTGTGCAGATTTCCCTCCCCCCTGGACACCGGTCCCTACCTGGGGTGTGTATGTGGGTGGATGTATTCGACAGTACAAATCCTGTACCTTTCTCATACGATTGGGGCGCCGGGGGGGGGGGAGCAGCAGCAAGGGACGAAAGGCGCAAACGTTAAAATGGGACTTGACACTTAACTCACAATAGATTGTCAGGCAGCCAGTCAGTCGGTCGGTCAGTCAGTCCGTCATCTGCAATGTCTGCTGCGAGCATAGGATCATCATCGTAAAGGAAGTGAGTGAATGGTACTTGCGGCCAGACTGCACTAGAGTACGTACAGCTGGTTGTTACTTGTTCTCTTCTCAACCAGAGTTGTGCGGCGGTATGGCATGGTATGGTATGGTACGGTATTCTATGGTTATGGATGGTACCTAGAAATGGGTCTACGAAAAGGGCCCATCTCGACCCCCAAGCTGGTTGTGGTGGTGGCTATTTGTGTGTCGAATGTTAATTTGTGTGCATGTATGTGTGGTATAGCAACCGGGGGACCACACGCTCAGAGCTAACTCACCGAGAATAGCTTCAGCGCCAGCGCCAGCGTTACAGACAGCTGTCAAAGGTGTCAATATCGGTCGCTCATCGTCGCCGGCGAGCAGTCACTTACGCATGGATGTTGGTATACTATACGATACCATGGTTAGACTTCCTGTTGGGGAGGAGTAGAGTCAATATTGGGAAGAGAATGCAGAATGTCAGATCATGATGGACATGGATAGTGTACATTTCTGGGATCGGGGGCGTCGATGGATGCATGGATGGATGGTCGTCGGCGTTGCGGGGGAGCGACGACGACAAGAGAGACAAGAGACACGAGAGACGATCAGTTGTCTTGTACGACGAGTCGTGGGCAGAGCGTCGATCGGCGATCATCATCATCGGCAGTGGTACTTCTGATGAGGTGCAGGAGTGTGCAGCGATGGAGGTGTTGGCAGGGGTTTGTTGTATGTGTGTGTGTGGATTCGTAGTGCATGTACCTGTCGATTTAACTGTTGTGGAGTTTCTTGCTGTCGCTGTCGATTCGCACACAATGTACCACCCCTGTAGATGGATGGAGCACCTCCACCACACCCCTCCCCCGTCTCCCATGCAGAGCTGACCTGGGTCTTGGCGATTGGAGGTTGGTCTTGGCTCATGGTGATCTTGGTCTGATTTATTGGGGGAAGCGAGGGAGTTGCTTCGATAGAGCGTGATGGAGCGTGATGGAGCGTGATGTTTGAGTATAGTATGGTGCCACTTTTTTATGTTCTAATTTATGTATTCACTAAAATGGGCAGACTTTGTGCAGTTAGATGAGAATAGTGGTGTGTGTATGTGTGTGTTATGTGTGTGTGTTGGCCGTGGTTTATTTATTGATTGTGGGTTTTACTTTGTGGTTGTATGGTGTGTGTGTATGCATAAGACAGTTCTGCTACAGGTCAACGGACGATGCCCCAAATGCAACTACGACAATAGAGACAGATACACCCAAATACAGACACACACACAGGCCATGCCTACCATGCCTCCCAAGCCTACACACCTCATTCACACACACACATACACGCTCACACCTAATACACTCCGAATGCGACGATACCTACATACACACACTCACCTACCTACTCACCTACTCACCTTCATCTCACTTCACTCTTCCTTCAATATGACTGAAATTTCTATCACAATCCTGTCAACTCCCATCAGGTCCCCTCCTACACTCCTTATTCCCCTGTTGCCACAACCCTGTGCCTGAGCTGCTCACAATGACACAATGACACAAACGACTTAATGAGTAATCACCCACCCATCCCCCTCATCCCCCTCACCCTTCCCCCCTCGCACCATCCCTCGACATCACCCTCTCCCCCTCGCACCATCCCTCACCCTTCTCCCTCTCTCCCATCTTAACGACACTGACGTCACCACCTTTCGTGCTCCCCGACACACCAGCACCAACACCATGCCATTCCCCTCTTCCCCATAGGCCACAACACCCACTCCAACACCCCAATCCCCATCAGACCACCCCTTAGTCAGCAACAGCAACTCTTCTCTACCGTACCTTACCACAGAACCACAAATCCAGAGTTTAGTCAATCCCCATGGAGTGCCCGGCATCCCCAAAGCGTGCAAAATATCACCCCATCGAGAATAACCCTATGGAGCCGCCCCGTCCGTCGCCCATCTCCCTCCATAGCTCCCCCTGCCCAGTCGAGAACACACACACTGAGAGGAGGCAACCTAGCAACCTAGAGGGAATAGTACGGTCGCCTCCCCACCCGTTACCGCGTCTCCCTCCTCCACCCCCCATCCAATCCCCATCCCCCGATTTATCTTCACCGGCCCACTTCCCACTCTCCACGGCACTCTCCAGTGGTAAACTCCCCGCCATCCAACACCATCCAACCCAACCACATCCCTCTAACCAATCACCAGCTCCATGCCTCCAATTCTCCAACAAGTTAGTCTGGACGTCTGGCAGCACTGTGGTGCAAGGCCAGGCCTGTGCCCTGCTAGCGAGGACCCTACAACCCGCACCACCCGTCCCAGCGCCAAGAGTACTCTAACTAGGGAACGAGTTGGGTGGCGACAGGCCCAGGGCGGGAGAGGAGAGCTTCCTGTACGGAACGGAGGGGTGAGGTCCATGGGAAGGGAGGGGGATACCACGACAATTCACAACACTTCAATTCATCCCCTCTTGCAAAAGCCGCAACGGTTCTTCCATACCACCACCACCACCACCTTCTCCCAGACACACAAAGGCACACGGACATAACAATCAAGACAAACACCTGCACCTGCATCAGGAGCCATCTCCGGGGTCTCACTCAAATCTCCGCCCCCCTCCGTTCCTTCCAAATCAAAAAAATTCCCCATCCCCTCTCCCATCCCATTTCCCCATCCCCTCCTCTCCATTTCCCATCTCCCCGCCGTCCTCTGTGCGTACCGTGCGTGCGCTGCTCGGGGGGTCCGTTGGGCTGTGTGTACCCGTACCCACCAGCGCGACGATCGGGGGTGGGTAGTGCATTGGTAAACTCTGGTACGGGGATGGTACACCGCAGTACAGAAAGTCCTCTATCGTACATGGGGCGATAGAGCTGGGGATTGGGTAGCGACACACACCTGTAACTAACTCCCTGCCTGCACAGTTCGCAATGGAGAAGGATGCGATGCGATGCGGATGCGAGATGCCCTGTATGGATGGCCTGCTTACAAGATGAACAGGGATGCTGGGGCAAGAAAGATACGTACTGCACTGTACTGCACACCAGAAAACCCACCAACCCACACGCCGGCGCAAGTCTAGATCCGGCCATCGCTGCATGATGCGACTAGCACGGATGGGGGTTGGGGGGAGGTGGGAGAGACCCTGCTTGACGTCACGGTTGGGAGGTTGTGCCTGACAGGAGAGTGGTGGTGGTGGGCTTGGGGAGGAGGAGGCTGAGTGTGTGTGTATAGGTGGTGATTTGTGTGGTTTGTGTGTGTGGTGTGGTGACTGTTGGAGAGGGGTTGCACGTGTTCCCACTGAGAGGAATGGAGCTGGAGGGTGAGGTTTGGGGATTTTGGGCGTGTGGTTGCAGCACAGACACAGTTACAGTGTAAGCATGGCTTGCTTTTGGAGATACATCATCATCGCTGTCGCTGCTGCTGACGACGATGACCACGACGACGATACGACAATACGACAATACCACGACATCACCCTGGATAAATCCAATAGGTAATGCACGCCATACATAACCCCCTCCCTGTCATAATCCCTCATCACCACCAGTCACCACTCACTCACAACCACTCACTCACAATACCCCCCCCCGTCAACCCCGTCAACCCAGTTACCCAACACCCATAATCCAGGAAGACGGGAATCCCCAAATACGAGCCCAGAAAAATCAATAATAAAACGCCACCAAAACCCTCATTTCTGTCGGTAGCTGGGCTGGGCTGGGCCTGTGTTGGGGTATTTACCCCATACCGATCACAAAAAACTGTGTCGTCACTTTCACCGGTACTCGGGTACGATGGAGTAACCCTTACCCCCTTCGTTCCTTCCGTCCCTCGCTCCCTCTCCCTCGCTCTTTCCCTCCCGGCCGCTTCTATTGCCGATTTGCCGTCCGTCGCGGAGTTGGTCTCATTCATTACTTACGTTATGCCTCTATCCTCTATCGTCCCTTCCTTCATTGAGCTTACCGGTTACTCGCGCTTTCCTCCCGTCGTTAACTCCGTCCTAACCCCCCTCGATCGCACCTTCCCTCCTTCCTTCCGCTCCTTACCTAACTTAACCTCGCTCCATCACACACTCCCTACCTCGGGTCTCACTTCCCCACACTCCACTACACTACTCGCACGCTTTCCTCTCAAGACCATCGACGCCACAACGACTTGGAGCGCCCCAGCCCCCTTGCCGGAGCTGAGACAGGCACAAGAGTACTTTGTTGGCCCCTGAGACATGGCCGAGATCACCATAACGATCTGGTGCCCCCCTGCAGACACTCTCGCGATGCGCCGGTGGAAAGAGGTATTGTGATCATGGAGATGCTATTGAGAGGGCTACTGAGGGGCCTACTGAGAGGTCTCCTGTCGTGACCCCCCTGGTGAGGAAGTTGCACGGGGCTCTGGCGGTGCCCTATCTCCCTTTCCCGTTTTCTCTACAGTACTACAGACACACAGACAGAAGACAGAGTTACTTACACTCACCAGACAAACATCTCTGAGACACAAAGCGGCCCCACACCCCACAACGGCGCCCTCTTGCATCGCCGATGGAGATCTCGAGCCCTCTCGCCCTGCCCTGCCCTGCTGCCACCTTCTCACCCTGCCCTGTCCATCAATCAATCCACTCTCACCAACCCCTGTCCTGCTGTCCTCCTGCCCTACCTCTACCGCTCCACCGAAAAGCAGGGCAAGCAACGACTCTCATCTCTCTCACCAGGCATCTTCGACGAGCGGGTACCACCACACCCCCGGCACAACTCTACTCACCACCCCAGCCACCCCCGGGAAGGGAGGAGTCTGAGCACGGCCTCGGCGATCAAGGCGGCCGGCGAGTGGGGAGCGGAGCGGGAGGGGGGGTCGCCGGATTGGGGTCGCCTTGCGAGATAGGGTGAGAGGGTGAGAGTGAGAAGTGATGCCCGGATCGAGCGGGTGCCGGTGGGGAGGGGGGAAGAGCGGCTGGGGCGGCATTGGGTGGGGTGGTGCCCGGCGAGTTGTGCCTCTCCTTGAGCTGTGCCCTCCCCCCCCCCCTTTGAGCTATGGGGATTTGGGGTGTTCTGCCGTTGGGTTCGGTCGTGGCATCGACCGTTTGGGGGGGTGGTTGAGGGTGTTGAGGGTAGTAGAGGGTGGTAGAGGGGCTGAGAGGGCTGAGGAGGGTGTTAGGGAGGGTGGTCTACCATTTAGTTCGCCGTTTGGGGGAATGGTAGGCCGTTTGGGGGGGTGGTTGAGGGTGCTATCGGGGCTGAGTAGGGTGATAGAGGGTGCTAGGAGGGTGTTGGGAAGCTAAAACGACGCTGCTGCAGCTGGTCACGGCGATGAGGGGGGTGATGGGGGTGCTGGGGGTGGTCATGGGGGGGGGGTTAGTTTGCGGGAGTTAGGGAGTTAGGGAGTTAGGGGGTGAGGGATGGGGGGATAGGGAGGGGATTGGGGATGGATTGGGGATTAGTGAGAGGGACTACACTACACTACACTACACCATCAACCTTCTACAGCCCTACAATCCCTCACCAGCACCAGCTGACCAGGTATGCCCCCTCCCTCCCCTTCCCTCTACTCATCTCACCACAACACCACAACACCAAGCTCCCAAGCTCCCAAGCACATCCATCGCGTCATCGGACATACCTCCACCCCAGCTCAGCTCGACAAGCTCCCCCCTGCCGTCCATCCCGTTCCCCGCACCGCACGCACGCACGTCCGGTATGGAGGAGACTAGACCGATCGATCGGCCGGGCGGCCGGGTGGGGTTGCGTGCACGGCGATGGGCTGGGGGGGTGGTGTGCCAAGGACGGCGGAGGACGGGTAGGCGATGTGGTGGATCGGGGGAGTGGGAGGTTGAGTAAGGTTGGGTAATGGCATTGTCAGCAGGGCAAAGCAGTGGAGTCGAGAGGGATGGAGGGCAGGGGAAGTGAGATAGAGGGCAGGTCAGGGGAGAGAAGGGGAAGGTCGTGCCGGTAGGGTTGGTGGTGGTAGGGTTGGTAATGTTACTAATGGTAGTGGTGTTGCCGGTAGTGCCGCCGGTAGTGCTGCCGGTAGCGTTAGAAGTGGTACCAGTAGTCGCTGATCCGATTGCGAGCGTTAGGGATCAAGGTATACGGATTGTTGGACGGGCATCAGATTTGTCAACGGTGGTTGGTGCTTTGGAGGGGATGACGGATGCCGGATTGGGCGGTGTTTGGTTTGAGATACTGGATACTTGGGGTGTACGAGAGGTCTACTCGGAGTCTACTTACTACTACTCTAGCTGTATATTGAATGATTTACTTACTTATCTCCAAGTAAATGATTCAATAGATGTGCGATTTCTCACTGCTAGTTGGAGGCATAAGATATTGGCGGCGGAGTAATGGCGAGGTTGATCGCCGGATGGGGATGGGTGAAGTTTGTTTGATTGAGATATTTCGATATAGTAAAGCCGTTTGATTTACTTTTGCAAAAGGCGTTTCTCATCAGAGTTTAATTTAATGTTAAAGCAAGCAAGCAAGCCAAAAAAAAACGCCGGATTAGGCCATGTGAAGCCGTTGATTGAGATCCCGTTATAGTTCACGCCCGTTTTGATTTACATTTTTTTAGATGCAATGTTGCTCTCCCATCAAACATAACGGCAGGTTTGACGCCGGATTTGGTCATGTGAAATCCCCCAGCCGTTGAGTGAGTGAGATTTTCGATAACTTCCATGTATCCAGGGCCCCTTTTTTTATCCTCTACATTGTTCGAGAGCGAAGGGGGTTCACGTACAGGCGTTATCAAGCAGGGAATGCCGGATTAGGCCATGTGAAATCCCGTTTTGATTTACAGTTGCTCCCCTTCTATTGAAGTATTGAAGATTGTAGGGGGACGATTTTCAGGTACAGACTCGAGATTATTGGGTGAGAGAGGCGCCGGATGGGGATGGGTGAGGTGCGTTGATTTACCCCTTCTATAACGTTAGAGGGGACTTTCAGGTACGGAACGCCGGATTAAGATGGGTGAGGTGCTTTGATTTACCCCTTCGAGGGGACTTCAGGTACAGAACCTATGATAAACACCGGATTAGGAGACGTGAAGCCGTTTGACTTACCCTTCGATGTTAATTTCGAGGTCTGATTTACGTACCCCTTCCATGGCCGTTGAAAGGGGACTGCAGGTACGGGCTTTGGATTATGGAGAGAGAAAGAACGGCGCCGGATGGAGAAGGGTGAGTGAGGTGCTCTGATTTACCCCCCTTCCATAGCGTTATCGAGGGAACTGCAGGTACGTGGTTCATATTATTGGGTGAGAAAAGCCACCGGATTTGGGAGGGTGAGTGAGGTGCTCTGATTAACCCTTCAATCTAGTCTTCCACGGCGGTGGTTTGGAGAGAGGGGACTTTCAGGTACGAGGACCACCTTAATGGCTGGAAAGGCGCCGGATGGGTACAGGTGAGGTGGCTTGATTTACCCCTTCTATGGCGTTTCTGGGGACTGCAAGGTGTGGAATGGCCGGATTAGGCCATGCGAGGACCGTTGGTTGAGACCCCGGTTCCATATCACTAAGTGAGTTCTTCCCTATCTGCAACTGTCTTCGAAGGGGGTTCACTGGGGGGTTCACTGATACTCGTTTATTGAAATGGCCAGGGAAATTTCGCCGGATTGGGGGCCGTTTGATTAAGATTCATTTACTGTGGTCTAACTAATGCATTTACTTAGTCCTTGCATTTCCATGACTCTCGTCCAAGGCTGTTAGCTGCACTTGGTACCCTTAGATGGGGGTGTTAAGATGGGATGTTTAGATTAATAGCAAGCAGGACGCCGGATTGGGATGGGTGATTGGGGGGGTTTTCAATATCGTTCATGCATGATTTACATCCAGGGTTTATAGCTCTTACTCTACTTAGGCAGGGGGGACATGACGCCACGCCCGTACCACGCCCGTACCTTAAATGACAATCTCACGACCAAATCAGGCTGTCTGATTAACATCTTTCTATAATGCATGCACAAACCCAATTCCCCCGCCGGTCCTCACACTTCCTCTCCTAATACTCACCGGGAATAAAAAATTATGCAGGCTTCGACCCACCATACATTTCATTAACAGCCCGGATCTAGCGGTTTGAGTAAGAAATACAACTTAGCACCATTATGCATGATTTACATCCAAGCTTGCCTGCCCTCCCCTGCTCCCCCTCCCCCCGATCAGCATCAGCGGCGGTACTAGGCAAGTTAAGTTAACTTAACCTAGCCCCGGCACTCAACGTACCCGCACCCACCCCGGACGCCCGTGCGTCCCGCCGCGCTGATCCCCGCGCCTTGGCCTGTAGGTCTTGGCGCTCTAGCGATTTCTGAGACAGCACCCACCACCATCATTACTAAACACTACTAAACATTACTAACACTACTAAGTTAATCTCCCACACTTTGTCTCTACCCAGAACTGGAAGAAATAAGACGCATCCGGCCAAGCGCGTGTCTCGAAGATCTCAAATACACCCCAGCACAGCTACGTGCGCGACGACCCCGCTCGTTCGCCGCCCTGGTGGTGGTGTGGTAGTCTTGCCCTGGTCGCCGCTGAGAAGGCCACCACGCAAGGGTAGGGGGGAGGGAGGGGGGCGGACGGGGATACCCCAGCTTGACCACGGGAGTGCGATGCCCCGGGTGGTAGCTTGGTTGCTGAGCCTCAGCTATAGATACTAGCTAGACGGGGTAACCTAGCTGGGTGGGTGATTACTCACGACCACCTTCGCCGCGCCGGCGAGCTCGCCGATCCGGATGGCCCCGCCCCCCCTGTGCTGGGTTGCTGTGGTTGATGAGTGATCAGTGTTGTGGTTGATCCGAGCGCGTTGCCCGGTGATGGGCCGCTGACAGTGCGTGATGGCGGGCTTTGAAGGCGGGCTGGGTGTGGGGAAGGGACGTCATGGCTTTTGGGAGGTGGTGGATCGCTGGACCGAGGTCGGCGCAGGGGGAGATGGGGAAGAAGCAGCAGCAGCAGGAGTAGGGAGGGCATGAGGGCGCTGCACACTGGCGGTTCACTGGCGGAGCCACGGCGGTGCCACGGCGGCATTGGATGCAGCGCGGCGGTGCGGCGGCGGCACTTTGCTGGGCAACGGCGCCATCACGGTGCTTTGCAAGTCACGCCGGAGGAAGGGGTGGAGATTCGAAGGGGAGTGTGGTGGAGAACACATCGCACACCAGAAGCAGGACGGACACAGAATGGTACGATAATGATGATTCCTGCGTCCCGGCGTCTGCTTCAACGGCCTCTGTACCTGCTTTGAACGAGACAAGGCTGTCTAGCTATGTCTACATGGTAGGCTATTACTACTGTTATCAACGAACAGGTGTGAGGTTCGAGACAGCGGTCTTGGGAAGGGAGGTACAAGACAAGATACATAGTGCGAGAGCTGCGAGACCGTTAGTGGCAAATGTATGTAGGGGGGGGGAGTGTCACGCACCACCCTGCTTGTTTCTGCGGCAGGTGATGCATCGCATCGCCGCGCATCGAACTCAAGCAGGGCCGCACCTGCCTGCCTACCTACCTGCCCTGCTGTTTTTGCTCTCCTCTGCAGCGGCACAACGGCGATGCGCACAGTAAAGGGTTCGCTCGCGCGGTGCAACGGTGGCTGATCGCAGTGGTGGTGCCGTCGATGCTACCCTATCGACGATGGTGGCGCGCCGATGCGATCTGGTTCATGGGAAGGGGGGTGTCGTATCGTAGGGTGCCATTCCCATTTCCACGAGGCTGGATCGGGGGAGACGATTATTCTTAGTGGGCGGTGGTGGTGCCTCTCTCCCGTTGCGTTTGTTTACACCTCATCCCCGCCCTCTTCCCGCTCACTTAACCTCCTCTTCCCTGTCCATCCTCCCGTTCCCCCTCCGTTAGCTTCCTTGTCTACCTCTCCCGTCCCCCTTCCCTGTCCAGCTGCTGCGACTGCCGGCGTCCTAAACACCCATTCCCCATAACGGTAACATCCCCGCCCTCGACGCGGGCCGGTGTGCTAGGAGGGCACGGCCTGGACGGCTGGGCGATGTTACATCGATGCGGGAGGAAGGGGGGTTACGTTTCCCTGGCGGAGGGTTACATCACGATGCATCTTCGATGGATCGAGAGTTGGGGCGTTTCCGCGGTGATGGTGGTGGTGGTGGTGGTGGTGGTGGTAACTGGGGGTTTCGATCGGGGGGAGGGGCGCGTGGTGGGTGGGCGTGGCATGATGTGGTGCGACGCGGGCACGAGGGGCAGGTGGGTTTGCGGTGCGTGTGATGCTGTGGTTTGGTGGGGATGGGGTGGATTGGGGGTGAGAAGGGGAGAAGGGGTGCTGTGTGTGATTTGTTTTGGGGGGGTTTGGGGCGTTTTTTTCTGGGGCGTGAGGAGGGCTGTAGGGGGCTGGTGGAGGGGGTGATAGGTTGGTGGCGTTTTTGTGTGGTGGATTGGGGATTGGGGGATGTGGTAAGTGGTAAGTGGTAAGTGTTCTTTTGTGATAGATGTGATAGATGTGGTTATTGGAAGGAGAGGAAGAGGTGAGTTGGAGTTGAAGTTATAGTTTACTGGTATATGATAGTAGTATAATGTAAATATATAAGTTGAATTGGTTACAGGAGAGTATAGGGAATAGATCTATAATTATATCTGTCAACTTTTATTCATACTATTTTTTCTTGAGTGAGAAATAAAAATAAAAATAAAATATTGAATTGAAAGGCCAAAAGTCACCAAAAATTACAATTTACACACTGAAAACATCAAGCCATTTCGACAAAGCATCACAACCTAATGTACGAAGGCTTCCCATTGATCATCAGTGTTGCCCGAGTACTACTCTGAATACTCGAGTACTGCCAAGCCCTTGGCAAAGAGGGGTAATATAGATTGTAGAATAGATAATTGAAGCTTCTACTTGAGCGTTCTGTATTACTTCCTGTAATGAGTGACTCTTCGCTGTCGCCGGTGCCGGCTGAGTATCAGTCTGATGCTTTAGAGCTGCCGCCCCTTATTCCAATGCCCCTTATTTCGATGCTGCATATGCCTCTAAGAGTTCAATTACCTGATTCTACATCAATACTCTTTTCCAAAAGACTATTCTACCGTACTTTATTAGATATAGTACCTGCTAGAATCTAATACCAATGCCTTCAAACCAATTGTGGATATACGCTGAGCTAGCCCCTAAAGAACCCAACGACGAGCAATCTATAGAAGCATCTTTAGAAGCAGCACCCATCGGTGCATGCAGACAATATCTTCAATTCGAAGCTCATCAACACCCTCTACTTCTGCTTCTGCTTTCTTCTAGCCCCGCTAAGCACCTAGTAATGCACTAAGTTCGTCGAAATATAGAGAGCTTGTTCTCTCTTTTATAGTATCAAATAACCTACCATTACGCCTTATTGAAAGCTAATCCTTCTAGCAATTAGTTCACCATCTAAATCCTATAGTCTTAACAGTTAGTAGAACTACAATTAGACGAGATCTATATCGACTATTCTGCTATTATAAAGCACGGCTTCAAGTAGAATTACAACAGCATATTACAAGCGGTAGATAACTGGCAATAACGACAGATACTTAGTCTGCTCAGAACTATTCTAAATATGCAGCAGTTACAGTACACTAGATTAATGATAATTAGCAAATGAGAAATACCATACTCGACGTTATACACCTACAAGAGCCAATCTACTCTAGTGAATACCTTGCTAAACAGTTAATAAATGTGACGGACGATTACAGTATTACGCCTACAATCTTTACTATTACAAGAGATAACGCCTCTACGAATACAACTATGCTATTAGAATATGAGAAGCTAGCTTCAGTACAACCTGTTACTCTAAAACAACCATGGGCTTTTATAGCAAAAGTAGGAGACGTACGCTGTATTAGGCATATTATCAATATTGCTGTTCAAGCTGCTTTAGCCTCTTTAAAAGCAACACTAGATGAAGGCCTAGAGGCATATCGGCTTGAGATTAGGGTAGCACAAATACCACTTACTTCTGAAAATGATATCGTCACTGTTCTTGCTAAGCTCTAGCGTTATATATATGTGTTTTAGAACTGCCGTAGATAGAAAGACGCCTTGAAGAATCAGTGTAAAGCTGCGAGTATTAAAGTCCGTCAGTTAACTCTTGATATGCTAGTCTGATAGAGCTCAACTTATCATATAATTGATACAGCTTTAAAGCTTTAGGTTCCAATTATAGCTTTATGTGCATTATAGCAACTTGATATTAGTATAAGAGATATTGCTTTAACAACAGTAGACTAGGCTACGCTACATGACTTATTAAAGCTATTCTATATCTTCGTCCGCCTAACTAAGAAGTTACAGGGCTCTTCTTATCTATCTCTTAACTACGCTGTTCCGTAGTATATGAGGATGATCAAGAAGCTTAAAGATATGAGAAGTAAGCTACTAGAACGAAGCCTAATTGCTACTGCTACGTCAATTGCGTTAAAGAAGCTTAATGATTACTATACTCTAGCTACAAATTAGCAACAGAGCCACTCTACAATTGCTACGATCTGTGATCCTCGGTATAACTTTAACGTCTTTAATATTATATGGAAAGATAGCACGCACTTAACTAGGAAGAATAGGGCAAAAGCACAGTGGCAGGACTGCTTCTATCAATATTTAGGCCGCGAGTCTGATATTCGAGCAGCAGACGTTATGAATAGTATTGAAGCTAAGGATCTAGATATAGAGCAAGCTATAAATATCGATATCGACTCAGAAGATGAGCTATACGTATCACAAAGCCGCCACAATATTGAGCCAGAATAGAAGCAATGGATAAAGGAGCTGACAGTTGGTAGGGATACGGATATTCTTAAGTATTAGCAGAGTAAGCAATACTAATATCCATTAATTGCTTCTATTGCAAGGGATTACCTAGCTATTCCAGCTACCTCAGCAGACTCAGAACGAGTATTTAGTGTCGGTGGTGATATTATCACAAAGAAACGGAACCGATTATCGCCTTCTACACTTAGATATCTACTTTGCTTACGGAATTGGGGTGTTTTATCACAAGGCGACGACGAAGACAGCGGCGACGATGCAGATAATGAGAGTTAGAATAGTAATATACAGTTTTATATCAATATCTATTTTAAGCTCGAGTACTACTCGAGGTATTCGAGTACCGGTACTCGAATACCGGTACTCGAGCTTCAATTTTCAGTACTCTACTCGAGGATGCTCGAGTAGTACTCGGAGCGGTATTCGGGCAACACTGTTGATCATTACATAGTCAATGAACAGCGGACAGCAGATAGGAGCGTCATATTCTAGCAGATAAGGCTTCATTGATTCTCGTCATATAAACTTTGCATATCACATAGATTGTCAAAAGGCAGCATAAACTCTATCGGACAAGCCTTCTTATTGATTCCCACCCGTTCTATGAGATTTGACCATCAAATAGTAAATATACAGAAAACTCCTCCACTTTCCCCCCTTTACAACTGCGTCTTGCCAGACCTGGCTGGGAGAAGAAGTGGAAAGCATCGTTCTTAAATCTACCCCCTATCCTACCAGCAAATCGATAACCTACTTCCCAACACCCCAAATGTCTCCGTTCCATCCCCCCTCTCTCGCCCGTCTCCCGCCACGCATCCGACTCTTATCCGGGCCGGTGCTAAACAACAACGCCACTGCGTCGCCGGCAACACCTTGTACCAGATCCGCCATCGCGTTGCGGCCGAGTCCTTCTTTTTCTTCTTCTGTGCCCGCTCCTCCTTTTGATGTGGGAGCGTCGGGGCCGAGAAAGATGTTGGTGAGTTCGGTGTTAGTGGCGATGACGCTAGCGAGCTCCATGCTCTCGAGGAAGTGGTCGCGCGAGATATAGAGGCCGGCATTGTTGAGGAGGGCGGCGTATGCGAGGAGGGTAGGCGGGAGGTAAGTTGCGTGGAGTGGGATGAGGGCGGGGTTTGCTTTGGTGCTATCAGCATGGTGCGTGGGTGCAAACAGGAGTTAGTAAGAGTGAGAACATACCTTCCCGACTCTTCACAAGCCAATTATCCAGCAACGGCGCGACGCTGTGCCGAATATTGGCAAAATTCGTATGAAACTCGAGACGAAGCTTCTTGCTCAACCGCTCATCTTGTTTACTACGCTGTGTCAGGAGGTGGAGGTCATAAGGGGGATTCTGGCTCTGCGGGTTCTGCTCCTCCAGCTGCTGCCGCAACTGCTGGCGCTGCTCTGGGGTCTGGATCTTCGCCTTGGTGCGGCGGCGGGGGAAGTGGGGGAAAGAAAGTGGGGTGGAGACATACACCTGCGACAACTGCAGTGAGTCGATGATACCCGCGACGCCTTCGATGAAGTCGAGCGCATTAACCAAGCCCTCGAGCTCGACGTACGCGCGCGCCTCGTCAGCCATGTGTTTGCGGAGGAGGCTCTCGAGGTCCGTACTATCGCCGCCGTCGCTGAGCTGGGACAGCTCGAGCGATTCGCCGAGGAGGACGGGGGTTTTCGCCGCGGCAATGTCGCGAGAGGGCATGCACCCCGCCAGCTCGCGCGCGGCGGCGATGTGGCCGTGTTTGAAGAAGCGGACGAAGAGCGCGGTGCCAGTGCGGAAGGTTTCGCTCCACATCCCATCGACGAGGAGGTGCCATTCGAAGGCGCGGATGAGGAGGGCTTCAGGGCGCGCGACGGCGTTGCCGATGAAGTTGGGGCGCAGCTTTTGGCTGAGGCCTTGGTTGGAGTGTTGGCCTGGGACGAGGATGGAGAATGTGCGCGCGGCGGGGTAGCCGGGGGTGGTGTCGGGGTAGTCGACGAGGAGGAAGGCGGTTTGGAGGCGTACGAAGCGCTGGACGTCGAGGCCGAGTTCTTTCATTAGCTTGATTTGGGTGATGCGCTGGTCGGGGTCGGTGACATCGAGGAGTTCGCGGGAGAGGGTCGAGTAGGTCCTGGCGTCGGAGAGCTGGGCGGCGTAGAGGGGGATGAGCTCTTCTTTGCCGGCGAGGCGGAGGAAGGAGATGTAGGCTACGACTACGCTTTCGATGGCGTAGGTATCCTTCTCGTTGACGAAGGTCATGCCCAGGCTCTTGAAGGCAAGGACCATGTGCGCCAAGACTCGGAGACTGTCAAAATCTTCCGTCTTGATATACACAACCCTGTCCTCATTCTTAGGATCGGTCTGGAGATCGTCGATCAATTTCGAGGTATCCTGGGCATTTGCGGCTTTGGAGATGGCAATTCCCTGTTCGCGTATGAAATCGCGGAATGTATTCGCGATAAGAACCCCCTGGAGCATCTTCAGGGGCTGCTGTGCCTCCTTTATGAGTCCAGGCTTTGCATTCAACAAATCCACAGTTCTCCGCCCCACGGTGGCTGGGTCGCCGTGAAAGCTGATCGCATCAAAAGCCTCAATTGATTGGACCTGGTCTTGGGGCGCACGGCTCGGGAATTTCTTCAAAACGAACGCCTCGTACTGGCTTCGGATCAGCGAGTTGTAGTGGACGAACATCTCGTCGTCCCAGGATTTGCAGACTGGCGCAACACTCCAGAAGTCGCCGGCGAGAATACCGTACACGGCAGTCTCATAAATATCGGAGCCTCCCCGCTTGGCCAAGGCATGGCACATGCGGCGCCACAGCGCCCTCGAGCCATGGTCTGCGGTATCGTTTTGCGAGTCGTCATCTGGGAAACCGCCCATGCTCACAGCGCGCCAGATTTCCTGACGGTCTTGACACCATTCTCTGATATCCTCGCCGCTCTTTCCACGGCGGAGGAGCTCGTAACAGCCGCGCCAGATGGCCCTTTCAAAGTATTGATCTGGCGCTTCTAGGTTAAGGTTCTGGCGTATTGGCGCATCGGGATCCAGTTGCGTGACGAGAGCCTCTGTCTTGGACGCATTGCGGAGGGCGCGGCTGACGTCTGGGTTGGTAGGATCAAGGATGTATTGCCACGCGTGGAGTCGCTTCTGATTTTTGATTGCGGATTTCGTGTGCAGCCATCCATGTGCGGTGATATCGCCTCTCTCAGCATTCTGCTGAAGTTCCTGGACCAACACATCGATATCCTCGCCAGACTCATCAGCAGTGTTCTTGAGCCACTCCAGCACGGTGTGTCGCTCCAACCCAAGCGTATCATTCTGTAAAAATGAAGTCCAGATTTGACGCTCGGAAGAGTAGCGGTGGATTGGAGGCGCGTCTTGAGTTTGCGGCGGGCCATATTGCAATGTGGTCATTCGGCGTAACAGGTCCCACGTACGGGCCTCCTGCTCCCACCGCTTGAGGTCTTCAGGTGTAGTCATCGGGTTCGATTCGATAATTTCCTGGTCATCGGATCCATCTTCATCCATCGCATCATCATCGTGGTCTGCCGTGAACCCCAGTATATTTTTCCTCCCTGTGTGGCCTGTTTGTCGGCGGTTGTGCTGCGCACGGAGTCTCTTCACAGCCTCAATCGCAATATCATGGTATGAATCGATGAGATCAAACGTCATATCCTTCCTGTCGGCATCGTCGACAGCCTTCAGGGGGTTGTAGCCATCCAGGACCTCCGCGAATTTCTCGACCTCTCGGCCAACCCTGTTTGCGGCTTCGCGCAGAGGGTGCAGGATATCTTCATGGCTATCTCCACTGTCGAAGTCCCGTGTCGGCTGGTATTCTAAAGAGAACATCTATTAGTTGAAGCTCGTTGGCCGCAGGAGGGTCTCGCGGCTTACTTATAGCATCGTATTCAAACTCGCCGTCGTAGTCCTGGAAGGAGCCAGAAGGGTTTTCAGAGAGCTCTCTTTCCGACCGGGAATCATCCTGTGCAATGTCAGCACGGGGCACAACATAGTAAATCTTAACCTGCTTACCCCTTCAAGCTGCCAGCTCTCTTCGCGGCTGACATGCGGCACGATGGCTTGAGGGTTCAAGAACTCATTGGGAGCTGTCTGGCGTCCCCGTCTGGTCATTGGCGCCATGGCTGGAGGAGATAACAAAAACAAATACTACGAGCACGTTCAAGTAGATCCGGAGAAACAGACGATACTGCTCATTCAAAAATCAAACCCAGAACGTCGTAGTTCTCAGTCGATACAGCTCCATGCGCTGTTCTTGGATTGTTTTTCTGAAGTTGTACCTTCGGCGCGTCTAGTTCAGCAGCTCGCCCATTACGGCTAAGCGTGGTCTTGGCACGCAGACCAGATAAATTCAGAATTTCCTCCTCGCAACTCTCCTCTTCTTTTCTCTTTACAATGTTTTCGGCCATCTATTTAGAGTCTCGGGTCAAACATTCAATGCTTGATCAGGTCCCAAGAGGATCTCACTGCGTGCTGAAGATCGCCAAGAGGGAATCCGCTTCCTTACAACAGAACCCTGACCTCTCGTGGGGATGAAGGTGGACGTTAAATTGGAGTGGTATATATTTCATTTTGTACACAGAATTTGCTTGAGGCTGTTGTGAAGAAGAGAGGGGAAGCTATTCTTCCTCTTCGAGCATCTCCTTGAGTACTTCATACATAGTTTTGCTTCTATAGATATGCGCCGAATAGTCCTGCCAAGGTCTATACCTACTTTGAACCCTTCTCTTGCGCGAGTTGCCTCATTTTCAGCCTGAGCAGGTTCGCCTTCGGACAGCTTACTGTCTTTGCGGCATCTCCGTACTTCTCATAGAAGGCGTTGCAGCACTCGTACAGAGCGTCTATCTCAGCTTTACACTTTGACTCGTCATAATTGTTCTTTTGTATACAGTCTGAAGGATATGTCAGCGAAATCCCCATTTTCCAGACGGTATGACATACTTTGAATGGCACACTAAAAGGGTCTTGTTAGTGGTGACCTTGAAGCGAAGTTATACAAAGTCAGAAGGAATACTAACTGCTCGTGGGTGACACGGAGGATCCGTCGTAATATCGTCCTTTGGTGCCTGCGGCGGTAGTCAGCGAAAACAGCTTCTTTGTGTGGGATGATGGCATACATACCATAATTTGATAGACCGCCGAGTATTAAACCGTCCCTTAACCCGCCGTAACGTTATCAAACAAGAAAAGCTTATAAAATAGGCAACAGTGCTCTATAAGTCCAGGCTCCGAATAAACATCAAGCTCTAATTGGGTATAGAAGTCAAAAGAAGTGTGAATTCCAAACGCATCCACGCTCGCCACAGTACTTCTTCTTCTGCCAGGATCGGATAACTGTTCACCCCATCGCGTATCAATTAGCGCGGACCAAAGCCGCAGTTCGCGCCACGCCACGGCCCTTTCACCAGTCCGCCTACGACAAAATCGCAACCTACCTCTTAACACCAACATTCAACATCCAACACCCCTCACGATCTAACACTCTTCAGCTTCACAACCCCAGAACAACACACAGTACGCCCAACACCCCCCCTCTCTTCACACGCCCCAGACCCCCAGCGACACAACATCTCTAACACCCCCCCCTCCAGCTCTCACCACACCCTCAACACAACCTCACCATGTCCGGCTCCGACGAGAACGGCTCCCCCGGCAGCGCGCCCAACAAGCCCGAAGAGGCGCAGCAGACAGAGCACCTCAACATCAAAGTGACGGACAACAACAACGAGGTCTTCTTCAAGATCAAGCGCACCACCCAGCTCAAGAAGCTGATGGATGCCTTCTGTGAGAGGCAGGGCAAGGCGCCTAGCTCGGTTAGGTTCTTGTTTGATGGGAGTCGAGTGCAGGCTACGGATTCGCCTGATACTGTGAGTTGATGGCTACGTTTCCTTTTTTCTTACTTTGTGCTTGGGTGGACTTGGGTGGATGGGCGCGAGGCTGCGTGATGATGAGCCCCGCGATGTGGATGATGATGACCCCACTATTATAGGCAACATAACTAACATCCCCCAGCTCGACATGCAAGACGGCGACACCCTCGAGGTGCACCAAGAGCAGATCGGCGGCTGCGCTTCTGCCTAAACCAACCCCTCTCTCAGCACACCACAAAAGTTTTCGTTTTCGCATCGCAACGGTCCGGGGGGGGGGTGGGGGGCGAAACGAATCTGACAAAACGAAATTGACATTTTATTTTGCGAGATGAGATGAGGATTTGGACTGAGTGAGCCATGCAGTGTGTCCGTCGATACGAGGCTTTGAGCCCGTTGACGAGATGACGATGGTTATGGGTTTATTTGATATGAATGGATGGATGGTGATGGTGGGACTGGGATTCGCTCCTTTTTATTGGGGGAGGGTTCATGGCGTTTTTTTCTTATTTTGAGATTTGATCTTTGATCTTAGAGCGGTGGGTGGTTGGGTGGTGGGTGGATGGGATGAGAGAGATCTATGTGCTTGCTTCTGGCTTGGGAATGTAGATCTCTCCGATCTGTCGTGTCGCTGCATGGCTAGATTAGAGGGGGTGCTTGCGAATACAGAGGTTTTCTGATCTGATTTGGCCTTTTGTCTTTGGTCCATCTTGGTGTTACTGTGGACGATGATGATAGTGTGCGTGATATGTTGAGTGGGCAATGTGTGATACAGTTGGTCTACTCCGTGACGAAACAATCGTAATAATGCTAGCTATATACAACCCTCTACCCCCACCCCTCTAATCCTCCCAAACACTCCTCCTCGCCTTCTCCCTCTCCTCCTCCTCCCTAACCTTCTCCTCTTTTTCCCTCTTCTGCTTCTTAATAACCTCCTCCCTAACCGCCCTCTCATACGCCCTCTCCTCCTCCGTCTTCTTCGGCGCCCTTATCCCCAACGCCCCCGCTATCATCCTCCTAGCTACCGCATCCGTTTTCTCCTGTCTCTTTTCTCCTCCTCCCCCACCTAGTCGTCCTTCGCGCGCCGGTGATGAGGGGGTAGGGGATGTGTAGCCGCCGAAGCGGTCGGCGATGCTGCTCACACCCCCGGACGAGGAGGAGGGACTGGTGGGGAGAGAGGTGGGAGGGGGGGAGATGGGAGTTGGTGGTGGGGCGGAGGGGTTGGAGGGGCGGCGGGTTAGGGCGTCGTCGTCTTCTTCTTCTAAACTGTCTGGTCGTGGCGCTGCTTCATTGTCGTCGTCGTCGTCTTCCCAGGAGTCGACGAGGGGGGCGGGGGCAGGTTTGCGAGTGGATGGGATGGAGGAGGTGGAGAGGGAGAGGGAGGAGAGGGTTTTGTTTAGGTCTGCTGGGGGTTAGCTGGCGTGTTTGAGGGGGGGTGGTTGGAGGGGAGGGAGGGGGATATGGCGCACCTTTGGGTGTTTGTGAGGACATAGTGGCTTAGTAGATTGGTCGTGTGAGGTCGTGTTGTATGTATATATAGAAGAGGCGCTGCGGTGGTGTATTGGCGGCGGGGATGAGAGGCAGAGTTCCCCGCTCCGTGAGGCTTATACGTGTAGTGGGGTCTTAAACGAAAAGACAGAAGATCTAAAAGTGGAAGAAGAGTATTAAATTAGAATTATGACGACGATTTATCCTTATTTTAAAAAGCTTGTTTCTCTATTGAAAGAAGTAGTGATGAACTGGTGGATTGGGCTTGGAACTGCGATCTTAGGATCTGGATCCGGATCTTGCTTTCTGCGGGGTTCAACTTTATCCACGCAGGTCCGGAATAACGCTGGTAGCGAGGCGATGACATGGGAAGGAAACCTGGACGACGAGGCTGAACAAACAAACTACTACCACCAACGTAGTTCGTGGGCGAGGCTGAGGGCGTCAGGGGGGAGGTTAGCACAGGCACTTGGTTCGGCTAGAGTTACAGTTTTCTGCTACGAACCTAGAGTATCAGAAATTGTTTAAATGGGCTTTAAATAACTGCCAGACGTATCAGAATATCGAAATGGTCGAAATAATCTTTAACTAAGACGTATCAGAGTGTTTAAATTGCCTTTCTAATAACTATCACACACGTAGCAGAATCTCAAATCATTTCTTTAAATAAGTATACCCACGCATTGGATGAACACGCGCGCACGGCGATGAGCGAAACTTGGCAGTTAGAGGGAAGGGGAATGCGGGTTACACTTATTACTACACCACTCAACTAACTGACTCAATAAAATATAAAGTAGATTAACACGGAGGGGCACGAAGATGTATATAATCTCTCTTGTGTCTTGGTTGTACGCGTACGCATGTAACAGTAAGCGCCACAGATCGATCTTCTCCACCAGATCACTGCCCAATTTGCTCCCGTGGTTCAGCTTGCACCGCCCTGTCTGGTTTTGCTGCGGCCGCTTTTTGTCGTCAGCGTTTATTTGTTGTACAGCGCATCGGGTAGTAAGCTGAGATCTTGGAGTACTGTACACCCCACTAGAACTACTCGTATAGTGAGTGAGTGAGTGGTAAGTGGATAAAAAGTTGGCAATACCATAAGCTTGTAGTAGACTTTGAGTGAAAAACACAGCAACACGTGGGCTACTTCCCTTCTAATTCCCCTCCCTTGTGCTGGTCCAACCTGGGGCTGGACCGTCGATCCCATCTACCAGCGAATGGCTGTGCGTCCACCACACACAGGCGAGATGAAACTAGTAACTACTCGTATGCCCCATCAGGAAACTCCAAAAGTCAATCGCCCCGTCTTCCCCAAAAAAAACCCAAGATCACCCACCCGTCCCGCCCTTCCTCACTAACTGTGCTCTCCCAGTGCCCAGCTTTCCTTGGCTTTGTCAGTTCCCGTCCGTCAGGGAGAGACAGAGGCCCTCTTATCTGCTACTTTGAGCGACATCAAAACCCCCGTTATTCCCTCTTCTTCTTGCGTTTTGCGACTTTTCCCACTTTCCTTGCAACTTCACCCTCCCAGGCGGCTGTCGCGTTAGCTACTACAGCTTCTTGATACGAAATAAATCTTCCTCTTACTTCTTGAAACAGTTCATCTCTCTCTCTTTTGACACATACAACAGTGCATGACCAGATAGGAGGAGCAAACCAGTGCGTCGCAAGCATGGCGCGAAGAGAAACCTCGCGCGTGTCCATCCGGCTCATGCTGAGCTATGTTCTCGACTGGATCATCATCATGTAAGTTTACAGCTAAACTCACACTCATTCACACCTCATCCCAGCTTCACCGCTAACCCCCAACCCTCCAGCGGAGCAGCAGCCATCGGCGTAGCCCTCGGCACCATCTCCCCCAACAAACGCCCCATCTCCCTCTCCAACCCCGAGCTCTCCTACCCCGACAACCCCGACACCGTCACCATTGCCGTCGTCATCATCGTCTCCCTCGGCGCCCCCGCAGCCATAATCTTCATCGTCTCTCTCCTCCTCGTCCCCGGTCCCTCCGTCCCCAAATCCGTCCCCAAGGGCTTGATCTGGCGCCGCAAGCTGTGGGAATGGTTCACCGGCTGGCTCGGCCTGGGGATGTCCTGCGCTTCTTCCTGGCTCATCACTTCGGGTCTCAAGAACTTGGTCGGCAAGCCGCGCCCGGATGTTATTGCAAGGTGTATGCCGGATCTTAGCCAGATCGCAAAATACGCCGTTGCCGGCATCCCAGATGTCAAGGGAACGACAGTAACTCTCGTCCACGCGGGGATCTGCACAAATCCCGATCACTCCCTTCTCGACGACGGATGGCGTTCCTGGCCCAGCGGACACTCCTCATTCTCCGCCGCAGGCCTCGTCTACCTCTCCCTCTTCCTCGCCTCCAAGCTCGCCTTGACGCTCCCCTTCCTATCCCCAAAACAACCAGGGCAGTCAGATGGCTCTTACTACTCCGCCTTCCCCTCTTACCTCCCACCTGCTTCCTCAGGGGGATACGCCTCAAAATACGACCGCGACGACGCTGCCCAGGCTTCGAACTTAGATCACCGCCAAATCGCCGCGCGCAACCAAGCTGCCTCGCCTCCGCTCTATTTGTTGGCTTTGGCATTCATCCCCACGGGAGCAGCGATGTACATCGCCGCCTCGCGGTACTCTGATTTCCGGCACCACGGCTTCGATATCTTGTCCGGCTCCTTCATCGGCACCGTCGCGGCCTTCGCAGCGTTCCGGTACTATCACCTCCCCCTCAGCCGCGGCGCGGGATGGAGTTGGGGACCTCGCAGCAGGAGTCGCGCCTTCTGGACCGGTGTCGGGACCGGCGGCTACGTTGGTGGTAACGAGGGAAAGGAAGCAGGAGAGGCGGTGATGATGGAGGATTTGAGCGGGCAGAGGACAGGGTATCAGGAGCAGGGAATGGATGGGGCGGGGGATTTCAATAACCCCGCGGGGAGGGGGAGGGATAGAGATACTGTGGGTGCCCCCGTGGCGACGGCAGTTTAAGGTTTTCACACCTACAAACTTTGCCTGGGGTTATGGTTATTAGTGCGCTTTTTGCTGAGACTTTTTTTTTCGCCTTGTAGGATGAATTCGAACTCCTCCATCGTGGGGACCAGGAGGGATATAGGGAGGATGCGAGGGATGAGGTGCCTGTTTCGCCGGTGCATCAGAGCCCGAGGAGGGTGAGGGGCGAGGAAACGGGGTATGAGGCGTATAGGGGGCAGGCGAGTTAGGGGGGTGGGTTTTGTTCTGGTTTTAACTAGCAGGTGGAAGGAAAGGAGGGGGAGTGGGGGAAGAGGGGTGGTGAAGGGAAGAGGGAAAGGGGGGGTGTATGTATAGGGGACAGGACGTGTTAGACTAATTTAATGCCATCACAACGTCACATCACATCCTTCCTCACATCCTCACAGTATCACATCACCATCAAAACATCACATCACATCACAGACGGGGCTTAAAAAAGTCTATAGAACAACACTGCATTCTCCCCACCCCCTAACTAAACCGCATACGTACGTAGCCTAACGAACGCACAAAACGATATAAGTTCCCCACCCCTCCCTCCCCCTTTCCTCATCTCCCCTGGGACAAACCCCCAGTGCCGGCACCGGCAGCGCCACTACATCCCTCCCTTCAACCTCTCAGACCAAATTCCACCGCTCTACACCACACATCCCAGCTCGCGCTCTTAGAAAAAACCACGATGAAGTGAAAAATAAATGATGATGGATTAAAGCCACTTCAACCACCCAAGCCCACACATCCTCAACATTACAAAGAACGATAATACACGCAAAAAACCACAAGAGGCATCCAGTCCCCAGACCAGACCCGACCCCCGCAGAACCAGAACCAGGTCCCATCCCCCCCGCCGCGGCCCCCCCGAATAACCGACACCGCCAAAAACACCAACAGAACAAACAAACAAACATGCGTGTCTTCGCGCGCGCGTAAAAGCGCGGACTTGGAACGAACTGTAAAAGCAAAAGTAAAGCAAAAAAAAAAGAGCAAGACATCGTGAGCCACATTTCAAGTCGTAACGCCGTTGTTGTGTGCCAGGTATCATAGGTAAGATATGAGAAATGACTTGAAACCCCCACCCCGTGGACCGGGGGAGGGGGTAAAGCTGAAAAAGGTCAAGCAAAGGATGCGCAAGCAAGCTGGACAGACAACACGCAGCAGCTCAACTACTGCGTAAGATCCATCCCATACTCATCCTCCTCCTTAAAACTCACACTCCCCGCACCACTGCCCCCACTATTATGTCCGCTCCAATACTGGCCCCCCACGCCCACCGCCGTCGCTGCGTCCTCTCCTCCCCCATTCTCCGCGGGGCTGACGCCATTACTGCTACTATCCACATCGCCCCTCGCCGCGCCAACGGGGTCTCCCTTAATATCCGTGTGTTTGGGCACCCTCAGCCCCGTGCCGGGGGCGCGGGAGTAGGAGAAGGATGATACGCCGTTCTTGTGCATAGCGTCCACGAGCTCGGTCTGCATGCGCCTCTCGTCCTCGGTGGGTTCAAAGGGGTAGGTGCCGCCGAGGTCCGTGATAAGGTTTGCGAGTTCCTCCTGCTGCTGCAACTTGACATGAAGCATCCACATGAGATCCCTCGTCCAGCTCACCGACCCATTAAGAATATCCCCCTTATTAGGCCCCTTATCCTTCTCCTCCACCGGAATGCCCTGCGTAATATTCCCCGCCGTCGCTCTCCTTGCCCCAGGCCCCGCAAGCCCCGACGTAGCCTGCGGCGGGGAAATGCTCGTCGATCCCAGCGTCGGGGAGAGGGGCGAGTTATTCTGCAGCGCCTTCCGCACCTTCTCGTCCTCGAGTCGGTGCATGGGGACCAGGTGGCTGAGTTCCTGGATGCGCTCGTTGATGTTATCGCGGCGGCGTCGCTCGACGAGGTTATGTGACTCGCGCCGCCTGCGTCGCTTCATCTCCTGTGTCTGCATCGCGGGGGCGCTGCCGGATTGCGCGCCGTTGAGCTTGGTGGGCATCGAGCCCGTCTTGAGGATGTCGGCGATTTGCGGGTTGGGGTGCATGCCTTGTTGGATGGGGGAGGAGAAGCCGGAGCCGGGGAAGGATTGCAGGCTGCCGACGCTTTGCTCCCATTGTGTTGAGGGGGTCTTGCGGTGGGCGCTGGTGCGGATAGGTTGGGAGGGGTAGGAGCCTGATTCTTGTCCGTTGAGGTTCATGGATCCGACACCGATGCCGATGCCAGGGGTCTTTGGCGTTAATGGTCCCCTTGAGTTTGACGGCTTGCGCTGCATTGGCAGAGACGGCCGTGTCCGTTGTTTCATGTAGTTGTCTGCGGACCCAGAATGCAGCTCAGCTGCGAGAGGGGAATTTGTGAAGGAGTTAGGTGACTGCAGAGAGCTGCCAAATTGTTGTTGGTGTTGCTGCTGCATTTGTCTTATTTGTTGGTGGTTGAAGTTGTGCACGAACGGGCTCTGTATTGGGTCTCCGTCGGGTGTGCTGGAGTAGACGTTGACCATCTGGGGGTGCTGCTCCATCGGCATGGAGCCGGCTTGTCCGGGGTACATGGTCTGGATGTTGAAGTCGAATTCCTCGAGGTTGTTGAAATTCTGCTGGTTTTGCGGCATCCCATTGTGGCCTATGTTGGTCTGCTCTTGGAATCCACCCAGGCTTTCAAGTAGGTCATCGTCGTCTAATGCGGAGATGCCCTTCGAGTAACTGCCGTTGGGATTTGATGGTTGCGACGCAAAGTTTCCTTGGAAGCCACCGCCAAGGTAACTACCCGCTTGAACTGACATTGGCATTGACAGGTCGTTGGGGTTTATGCTTCCATTCGTTCCAGGTGTGGAACCGAAGTTGTTGAATTGTTGTTGTGGCATGTTGAACTGCTGATGGGAATTGCCCATGAATCTTTGGTTGTGCCCGGCGGCGCCGAAGAGCTGGTCGTCAGGCTCGTCCTTGATGAAGGGACTGGACGCTCCCGTGCCAGCCATTGTTTTTAAGAGGCCCCGGCTGTTCTCTGAAGGTTTGCGCAGCCAAGTTGTGGGCCGAAGTTTGTCTTTTCGAAGGTTGCTAGTTGGTGATTGCGGGGGTCGGAGATGTAGTAATTCCTAGAGAGCAAGACAAACATTAGCGTCTGGTCAAATCACGGTCTGCGACAACAAAGGAACCGCTGCTGCCTCTTCGGCAATAACGGGGGAATCAAAGCATGGTAGATGCCCAGTGAGAAACAAGCCATACTGGTCTATGCCCTCTGAGCATATCGGCGCTCCACGTTCGGCGGCGCGGTAGCCTCTCCATGATGACCGGTACGGGTACAGTCGCAAACGATGCGAAAAAAAGTGAGAGGAGATTGGGATCAAGCTTACCTGAAGGTTGCAATGCTCTCTTGGCTATTAAGGGTTCGTCTCGGTGGTGGTGGTGCATCAATTACCGCTCTTACCGCTTCGAAGTTGAGGCGAAACTGCGCAATCCGGATCCGCAAGGTACTCTAGTGGGATGACAAGGATCCTGTACTTGATGTACGATCTGTGTCGCAAGCCGTCAATTGCCGTCTGACAAGGGAATAATGGAGCAACGACAGCGTATTGTGAAAGTGCAGGCGTGGCGTGTTTTGCCTGTCATGGATAAAGGGAGAGTTCGAGGTGGTAGGGTCGGGCTCGTAGATGAGCCAGACAAAAAGGCGGTGCTAGCCAAGTCGCTAGATTGCGGAGGAATTCCCACTCACGATATTTATGACAGGTAAAAAACGTGGCCGCCTTAAGACCTGGGACGAGTTCCAATCGAATCGCCGAGCTTCATACAATAATGAAGTAGAAGGGATTGGCGCACTTTCTTGTCTTGGTGTTTTGTTGAAAGCCTGGGCAAGGGAGAGTTTGTTGACCGAGGCTGTAACAGTATCGTGAGATTTGCTCACTTTGTACCGTACTGTACACAAGCGGTATATCCTCGGTGTGTAGTAGCCACTGTAAGGCAGGTATATTGGTTGGCGGATCGAAGACCAGGGAATGCCAGTCGATATTGAGTTTGTAGTAGTGTAGAATATGGGGTAATTAACACTTTGTAGTTTCGGGAAAGACGGGAATGCTGGTTGGCGACCCGGAGAAGACAAGGAAGGTGCGTAGGCTTTGGCTACTATATCGCCGAAGTGAACAGCTTACTGTTCGAGCCTGGCGCGGATGTTAAAGTGTGTGCCCAAGAGACGGAGCGAGGGCGCGAAAAGGGGCGGTGGTGGTTTGTGTCAATATAATATCGGTGTGTTGTTTAAGTGGAGCGAATCAGCGGAGTCGTTGATGTGTTTCGCTGTAATGGCGGGGAAAGGAGTGGTCTTGAGTATTGTGCGATCTGTGCATTCGTGCATTCGCCGAGTATCAGAAGTGTGGAGTAAATGTAAATGTACTCGTAAATTGTATGTACTCGAGTACTGTTGAAGGCAAGCGCGTCCGAGCTGAAGAGGCGGGCCGGGAATCTCACGATCGTATGGTGCGGGCGAGATAGGTGGGATGTGGGATAGGTGGGATAGTTTGTCGCTAAGAGCTTTCCTTTCTTTCCTTCTAACTGTCTTTAGAGGAAAAGAAGCCCGAAGTGTATATGGTGTATATAGCACAACGTGGACAAGGATGGGATGTAGCTGTACTACCAGTACCGGAATCCACTTAAACCCTCGTGGCTTTTCGACGATGAGATGGATGCGACGGGTATGATGGTGTATGGGGTATGATCGGTATGGGGTGAGTCTCCAATATCGAATTTCGCCACAGTATAGTTTATTGCAAAGCTGGAGGCTAACTCTCCGTCCGTCGGCTAGATAATATACCGAGGCTGATATGATAGGTTCAACGAGCGTCGGCAAGGTGGGAAATGCTTGCTTCGAAGGTCGTTATAATATAGAGTAGAGCACAGTAGCTCCGACTTGGGTTCGTTCTTGCTTTTGAATAATCTTGGTTCCAGCGGTTAAGTTGTAAGTTGGCGGGGAACTGAAAGGTGGAAAGTGCCGTACGGCAAAGTTGCTATGAGTAGGTTGTACGGGTCGACGGCGCGCTGACAGATCCAGGTGCAGGATCGAGTCTCTCTCATGCGAAAAGAACGTGGGTAGAGTGGAAGAAGGGCCGAAGAGTGTTGTGGTAGTGTTTGCGACTTGATTTTTTGAGCTGGAGTTCGCATGGACAGGCGGTTGGTGCTCGGTCGGATATTGCTGCAGAAGTCGCACAGCAACGTCCTGTATGACTGGTAATCACAGCCTCTCTTGGAACAAAAAAGGCACACCGCTGCAGCCTGCGCTTGTTGTAGTTTGGTGGGTTTGTTGGATGTATGGTTGTATTGGGAGATGTCGTTTACCGCTGCAGTACTCGGTGAGAGTGCTGGTAACAGTGAGAACTTGTTTGTAGCGGTGAGTGTGCTGTGCTATATGGAGTTTTATGTCCGAGCTTGTGAAGTTTGATGTGTGAAGATGGATGTTGGCTTGACGAGAGTGAATCAACGGCGACAGTGACTTGTGTGTGTGAGGCTACAACCAAGTTTGTTGACTGGGAGAGTATTAAAATAGTACCAACCACGCCTCAGAGTTAGAGTGAGCCGCGAGGTATAGTACACTCAGAGCAGTCGGTAACCACCAAGGCACCGATGATAAAAGTTCGTAAAAAGGGCTCTGAATATCGTTTGCAGTTCATGCACAGTTGTCGGGGTGATGGTAGGAAACTTTGAAAAACGTTTAAATTCTGGGACACAGTGCTTCTATTTCTATCTTTACGAGACATGGCTTTTATCAAACGGGAGTGGAGAAGGAGGAGAGGAGGAAGAGGGGCGGTGCTATGAGAACGATGAGCGATACCGACGGCCCTCCATCCTCTCATCAGACACTCCTCTCTCTCCTGACTGGTCCTCTTGACCTCTTGACCCCCCAAAAGCTCTACACATTTCTCACCTATTCTTGGTGGAGGGGGCGGCGTCCAGCCCACGTTTCCTGACTTGCCGGCGGGAGATGGGTGGGAGATGGGTGGGAGATGGTGGGAGATGGTGGGGGATGTGTATCATCCATGGCAAAATAGCATGGGAGAGTGACTTGCACGCTGAAGGAGGTCTCACAATTAGCTTCGATCTCGGCGTCGGTGTGTCTCAGTGTGGCAGGCACACCCTCCCTCCCTCCCACGCCTCCCTTCCCTCTCCCATTTCCCATTTCCCATTTCCCATTCCGCCATTCCCAGCCTTCGAAAGGGCGGGAAGAGGTGAGAGGTGAGAGAAGATTGTCTCTGATTTGCCTTCGAAGCCAACGTTGCTTGCCTTTTAACCCACCTGGTTAGGTTTATGTGGAGAGAGAGCGGATCCGCAGATCGATGCACGCCCAACCCCGTATTTCCTAATTCCCATGCGGATATGCGTATATGCGTATGTACTGTCGTCATCTCTGCCAGTATCAGATCAGGCATCCCACTTGTATCCCATTCTATTTCCAGGTACACTCATAGAATACACCGTAGATGACAAGAGTGTAGTATAGTATAGTATCTCATGGAAACTATCGATGGAAAGCCCGGAGCATTACGAGGCTAACGAGGCTATGTTTTCTCTAGTTCGGCCTCGTGTACTGTGATATTGTAAGCCACAGACGGGCGGTCCATGGCTCCGTTGCCGTTTACTTGATAACTGCCTTGCCGTGTGTGTCTGTGTGTGTGTGTGTGTGTGTGTGCTTGCCTTGTGCCCGCTGCCTTCCTTCCTTCCTTCCTTCCCAAAGGTCCGCGCCGACTGCCTCTTCCCTTCCCTTCTTGCCTTCCTTGCCTTCCTTGCCCACTTATGGGTGTGGCGCTCAAATAATCCCGTTGCTCTGATTGGCTCAACTCTGCGATTATGGCTACTGTGGCTACTATGGCTTCTAGTCACCTCCACCTCCAAGAAGCTTCTCCGTCATCCACCCACGTCAACGCATACGAGAACAATCAACTACCACCACATCAACCACCACACCCCTTCAATAAAAAATAGTTTTTGAGACTTCAAAGGCGTATATACATCCCGTCCTTCTGTCTCAACCCACGCGCACTTTACACACACTTCGCACACACTCGACGTTAATTCATAGTACTCATACCGTAGTGCCCTCTCATCGACACTACTGCGCGCTTTGGTCTGCTGCCGCACTCTAGCCGATCTCCGTTCCCGCCAACCGACCAATAGGAGAGCTCGACCTCGCCAGCCTCCACCACCATCTCGACCTTGGGACAGACAGCTTCTACAGCCTCCCCATCACCACTTCCCCATAAACACGATCACGCGCCCTAGCCAATAGTCCTCACAGATCCTTACAGACCTGACATATCCCACCATCGTCTTTCGAATCCCGGTCTCCGCTAACTGGTCATTGGACACACTCCCCGACCTCAGCATCCACCACGGCGCATATCGAAACCCTCACATCTCGACCGAACCTGCGTTACTCCCTCACCCTTCTGCACTACATCCCCACACACATCGAATCTCCTCGGTGCGACTCCAACGGCATTGATCCCAAGAGGTTATCTGAGTCAACTACCGGCATATACTCCTGCATGAGATCGGTCAACCCGAATCCTGAAGATCCTCCTTGCGTGGCGTAGCACTCAGACACACATATCCCCCATAAACCATACACATACACATATACCAGACCATGGCGTCGTCATCGTTCCGCGATTCCATGAACTCCCTAGGCTGGTCCCGCCGCGAGGAAGCACCCATAGACACCTCGCAGCAGAGCGGCCTACTCTCGTCTATCAAGTCGCTCAACCCGTTCGGAGGAGATGGATACGTCCAGCTCCCAACCACCGAGGGGCCGGGGGCACCATTACCAGCACCCAATAGGAGGGAGGAGGAAGAAGGCTTCTTTGCACGTGAGTTAAGCCCCTCTCTCGTATTTCTAGCACCTCCACCTCCACCAGTTCGCGACGGACGGGAAGGAACCTCGATCTACCCCTCCGTCCCGATCTACTGGGGCCGTCCATGTATGAGCGGGTCCCCCGATCTATCAAACTCTGCTGCATCATCTACTCTAAAGTCTAGAAAGAAAAAAGGTATGGGTCCAAGATCGTGTCTAACGTTACCTCAGTGAGCAGATGGGACCGAATCCTGATCTTCAGCGGGTGCAACGTCGGCGCCCTCGCCTGCTTCGTCATCTGTTTCGCGCTCTTCCCCGTCATGGCGTTGAAGCCGCGCAAATTCGCTATCCTGTAAGTACTAGCCTTTTCAAAATCGCATTATTTCTATTCTTTCAGCTCCCCTTGTCACCCTTCACTGGCACGTTATGGGGCGCTTCTGAGACAACATGCGCACGCCCCCAACCACAATCGCGCCAACGAACCTGCTAGCCGCCCATTTGCACATGCTAGCTCTTACCTCCCCCACCATCATGGGCGTGGGTGTGTGGCGCATTCCTCTGCGACTCAGTCGCCCACTCAGAGGTGGATCCCAAGCGATTTTACTTTTCTCACTTTTCGATGAAAAGCCCCTACAGTTCATGCACCGAAGACACACAGAAGGCTAACACCAAGCCCCGATTTATAGATGGTCACTCGGGTCCGTCCTCTTCCTAGCGTCGTGGGCCGTCATGATGGGCCCGATGACTTATGGGATGCACCTTGTGTCTGCGCAGCGGTTGCCGTTCACCGCGGCGTATTTCGGGTCTATCGGGCTGACTCTGTATTTTTCGCTCGGGGTAAGTCTTCGTCATCGTCATTGTTAAGTCTGCTGCTCCTTTGGGAGAGTGGCGAAAAGATTTGGAAGGGACATCAGCTGACCGTTTTGTGTTTTTTCCAATATAGTTGAAGAGCACGCTTTTGACTTTATTTTCGGCTATTATTCAACTAGCTTGTTTGCTTTGGTATCTTATTAGTTATTTCCCCATGGGATCGAGCGGACTGCGCCTTGCTACTACGTTTGGGGCTCGCAGGGCTGCGGCGTGGGTGTCTGGCTGAGCTTGGGTATGATGAGAACGAGAGTTGAGAGTCATAGAAGCTGAGATGAGAATGGGGAATGGGAATGATAATTTATTTGCCGCGCCGGGTTAGCGAAGCATGTCTGTATGTATTGAGCGATGAATCGGAGATGGGGTGGAGGGGGGGGGAGACGGCTTGTATAAGTATGATACCTATTACAACCAGGGATTTTCTGTGTATATAGAGCATCTTTTTATATATATAATAAGAAGAGAGATGTTTACTCAGCAATGACATCCAATCATCGACAAACCCTCCATATCTCAGACAAACTCTGGCACAGCGTTTCAGACTGAGCGACAAATAGATCTATATACGTGGTCTGGCCAGTTTTTATTTACCCCGCCGTCGATAAGATGAGATGTGGCGGGGTGGTTAAACTCTAAAACGGCGAGATGACAGCCCAGCCCCCTCGATCTTACGGGAGGATTCAAACGCGTGCTGACCGGCCGGCGGTAAGCTATGGGAAAAGAAAGAAAGGAAGGAAGGAATGGTTCATGGTGTTTCCACGGGTGTATTTTTGCGCGTGTGTTTATCCTCGAAACCACCTCCTCTGCATAACCATATAATCTTGGGGCCAACGCCACATGCGCGTCAGCGCAATAGTTCTGGACCGCCGGTTCGGGCGCGGGGTGCATGGTATGGTATGATTCATGGACGGATGAATAGAACCGTGTTTTGCAACTATGAGACGGCGGGATGGTAAGCCAGAGCGGGAGGGGAGAGTGCCTGTCTGTCTTCCTACCTGTTTGCCGGTTGTTACACAGACAACACGTACGTACGTACATACAGCTGTAGAGTAGGAATACTTGGTAGGAATATGGTAGGAATATGGTAGGAATATTTTAAGAACACCTAAGATAAGTAAGCTGAGGCGACAGGATTAGAGACATTCTAGACGTCGTACCCGCGCCCGTTCGCCTTGTTGGGCGGCGCTGAAGAAGGCTTACTTGCCACTGGAGATGTTTGAGACGTCTTACTGGTATTGGAAGAGTTGAAGAAGGGAAGACAGCCAGTCGCTCGCTGTTGAAGAAGTGTGAACGGGCCAGCCAGCCTACCCGTCAGTCAGACAGTCGGGTCGGCTTACTTACCATTCCCGTCGCGCCGGTGAAGAAATGCTACCCTGCAATTCACTCACTCAGACAAGACAGGCGGGTTACTTGCCATTCCCGTCGCTGGTGAGGAGGAATGGCTGGCTAAGGGTTCAAGTCTTACTTACTTCTATTGCTTCTACTGCTGCTGCTACTGTACATACATGCATACATTCATGTCAAGCCGGGTTTGGTTTGCCCATCCATCCTCCTCTAGACCTTGCTTACAGTAATTTAGGTAGGATCAGGTTGCGGGGGAGTACAGATATCCATGTTCCTGTTTATGCAACTATAAACACGATCCATGGTTATTCCTACTGTTTCGTACTGTTCGTATTCATACGTACCATTCGTACCCTCCTACCATCGTATGTTGTTATATGTTTAGAACCCGCTTCCTTGACCTTAACCTGAGCCCCTCACTAGTTCGTCGGCGGCGTTTAATTGGTACATTTACGCCGAATTTATGAAATTCCCGACAGAGAAAGAGGGGATGTGCCCGTTAATCTAGTTAGTTAGTTAGTTAGTTCCTTTTTACGGGAAATAGAGAGAAAGGGCAAGGAGACGGAGATGTGCCGTTTTTTAATCCCCTTAGCGGCGGAAGGAAAGAATATCCTTAATCTGCGGCCGGCATCGTCGCTCTGGTTTGCCGCGGCCGCCGGAACGTCAGGTCAGGTTGGGTCGGGTCAGGGTAGGGGGAGGGGAGGAGGGGGAGGGATGGGAGGGAAGAAGTAGGGTGAGGGATTAGTTTTATGGCGTGTGTTGTTGTGTGTGTTGGCTATACTACTACTACTACTTACTTACTGTATACTTCCGTTACTACCTACTACTAATTACTACTGGTACTGGCTGAAGAATGTATTGAACTGGGGTGCACAGACTGCCGCTGGAGCGCCGGCCGTGGATCTACCCTCATCTCATCTCACAGGCCACATCGGTCGTTTGACTTTGACACTATGACGATATGACGAGGTTGTTGTAGGGCGTGTTGTGTAGGGTGCATACGGGAAGGGAGGGGAGAGTGCTGGGCTAGGCTGGGGCTGTACGGAGCTGGAAGGAGCTGGATGGATGGAGTACTGTATGCCAAACGGGGATGATTTTATTTTTCTAGGCGCCAACAGCCAAAATAAAATAGAGGAATCAACTACAAACCACACTGCTACAGAATTAAATAAAAATTAAGAAATAATTCCCGTGAAATAAAATCCCTTTTTTCCCCCCCTCTTACCAATTGCCAACCGTTATTTCCATCCATCCAGTAGACTACTACATAATAAAGTCCGCGGCTTGGCTACTTACTTGGTTTATATGGAGTTTTTCCTGACCTAGCCGAGTTACGGGTGTGGTATGTGGGTGTATGTGGGAAAAGAAAGAAGGCAGCCCAGCGAAATTTGTTTAGCACGGCCGGGCTAATATTTTTGTGAACCACATTATTCCAGATCAACAACCCAAAAAGAACACAACCTTTTAGCCCTACCAACCAACCTGAGACCTTCCTCCACCTTCCCTCTCCCAAGTCACCTTTTTCCTAAACTTCCCTCTCTCTACCTCTAAACATCTGGGTTTAACTGGGTGTTTGTTTGGGTCGACATTCTTTGAACAGCCAGCGACAAGAAAAGACAAAAGGTTCCTTCGCCCAGCGATCGACCACCTCTCGACTTTTTGTGTTCTCTCCCGTGTCTCCGCTTGTGAAAGCAGCAGCAGAGCACACAGCAAGCAAGTCCATACGTGCCGAACCTCCAACCTCACCAAACCTTGGAAACTTTCCCCCCCATTCGATCACCAAAACACCCACCGACTCTGCCGCCAGATTCATCCTGTTCATAATTCACCCTCTGGCTGCAAGGTGAACATTCACGAGGTTCGCTTCCCTTGTACCCCACAGCCCCAAACGGCCCTCTTCTTTTTCGCGCCACTCGTGATCCATCCATCCATCCATCCCTCCAACAAACTATTTGTCCACCACCACCACCACCACCTCCATCCAGCCCAACAACAATTGATGCTAACTACCTTGACCTTACAGAGTCCATCTTTACCAATCGATTCCCACTTAGCCCATTTCGCCCTCGCGAGCACGAGTTCCAGCGCTGGGGCCCATTGCATTTCGCAACCCACACTTTTCATCGCTCGCGCTCTGGTTTCGCGGCGGGATTTCAGATCGTGACAACCTAACCACAAGAGTCCACAGACGACGACCGACTTCTACACCGATACAACTCGACTCTGGTCGATTCTCGAAGAGGTCTCACTCAGGTTACACCTGTTCTTCTGGGCACTTCCGATCACCCGATCTCTCTCTCTCTCTCTACAATTGTGGCTTGAACTCTTAACCAGAACAAGTTGCAAGGCATAACTTTTTTTCTCGGTGAATCGACAACACGAATCCTGAGAGGCAATCGTACGTGCCGTGCGGGGAGGTCTAGCAACACCTCTCCGCTCATCCACCTTTGGAGGTGCTGAACTTCTTTCAGCCGTAATAGCGGAAGACCCCGATACCCAAGCATTTTCGCCCTCGGAAATCGCTTCTACTCCCAAAAGTCTTTTTTTCGACCACCCACCACACACACACATCTACACGATGACTACCACAGCAACAACAAGAGAGTCGGCCGCGGCTTTCTCATACGCGCAGGCTGCAAAAGGTCGCGCTGCGGCGAACGCCTCGCTGCTCTCAAGTCAGAATACCTCGGGCACAAACACACCATCGAAAGATATGAGCCTGTCCGTTGAGTCCTCGCTGGACTTCAGCAATACCGCAGCCACGTCTGATGCTGATCGGAGCACCAACGGTGACGCCGATGTCAAGGTTCCCGGAACCCTAGCCAGCTCGACCACTGCGTCCTTCCAGAACTCGGTCCCCACATCGCCGAGCTACGGGACCGCTTCGACATCAACACTTCCCCGCGAGGAGGAGGCTGCTGCTGCACCGAAGCTGTCGGACTCGCCATGGGACCGACTAGCCGCGTCCGAGACCGTCTCTGAGAAGCCAGAGGGCGATCGACGAAAGACGAGGAAAGGAAAGAAGGACAAGAACGCCGACAAGGATGCCGAGAAAGAGAAGGAGGAGCCAAAGCCAGCGGAGATCCTGGTTGCAGCACCACCGCCTGCCGTAAATTTCTGGCAGCAGCGCATGGCCTCGAAGCCAGCGTCCGAGGAGCCCACAGCGGCCGAGGCGTCGACTGAGGTGAAGCCCGCCGAGAAGAGGAAACCCAAGGCCGATGAGGGCGAGAAGTCCGCTGGCCCGAGCCAGAACGGAACTGCACGAGAGACCAAGGGTCAGAAGAAGAACGGCGAGTCGTCCAGGGGGAAGGAGGATTACAACAAGAGATCTGCCCCGCGAGGAAGCCGAGTAGGCGACAAAGACGAGAAGGCTGCTGCGAACCAGCTGCCACCGCCCGTTGGAGACGCCGTTTCATGGCCTACCCCGGAGACTGCTCTGGAGGAGGAGAAGCGCAAGGCGCAGGAGAAGATTGATAAGGATGAGAAGGACGCTGAGTCCAGCGCGAATAAGCAGCCGAGGCAGAAGGAGAAGTGGGTTAGCGTGCCGTATACACCATCCGTCACTTTCAACACCCCGCTGCCAGCTCGTGGAGCTAGAGGCCGTGCGGGACGTCCTGCTGGTCGCGATGGCGGCGGCCGTGGTGGTCAGTCATCGAATGATGGGCACGGTGGAGACAAGACTGTCTCTTCTGAGAATACCGGCTCTGATAACCGCGAGCGTGGCAGAGACAGCAATGGCAGTGGCCGCGCTACGTCTCTCCCACCTAACGCCTCCAAGAGGTCTGCAGGCGATTCGTATCGTGATGCGCGCAAGCCCTCTACTGCTGAGAAGAAGACCGAGTCCGCGGCAGCAAAGGCCGACGCCGCAGCGTCTTCCAATGGTCGTCGATCATCCATCGCGACACAGACAGAGTCTACCAATGGCCCAAGTGATGGCGCGAGGTCTCAGAAGAATGAGCAGCCAAACGGCACCTCTGATTCGCATGCTCACCCGCACTCTGCCGGCTATGACATGCGCAGCGAGTTCAATGCCCGCGCCGGCGACTTCCAGAAGGACGCCAACGGACACCAAGGGCGTGAGCGCGGCGAGGGTCGCTCTGAGCGCGGCCGTGGCGGATACCGTGGCCGCGGCAACCACGGCAACTTCGCCAACGGACAGCAACATCCTCAGCAGGCCTACAGCAATGGCCAGGTCCAGCAGCCAGTTAACGGCTACAACATGAGACCGAATGGCCCATACAGCCCCACTCCCCCATCCCAGCCATTTCCGGGTGGCTTCCCGCAGCCGGCGCAGCGTGGACGCAGTGGAGCTCCTCCGCCGCGATCGCAGTCGAACCCGAATTCGGGACCGATGTATCCGAGGTATCCGGGGAACCCGAATGGGCCCCCGATGATGTCGCCGATTGCTACGAATGGTGCTATGTTTGATTACCCTGGTATGCAGAGCATGAGCGCTGTGCCGTACAACCCATATGTGGAGCCTTACTCTGTTATGGCTATGGTTACGATGCAGTTGGAGTATTACTTCTCCATCGACAACTTGTGCAAGGATGTTTTCCTGAGGAAGCACATGGACTCGCAAGGATTTGTCTTCCTGTCCTTCATCGCAGGATTCAAGAGAATCCAGTCCCTCACTCAGGACTTTGAGCTCCTCCGCTACTCGTGCCAGGAGTCTGATGTCATCGAGATTGTCGTCGGAGACGACGGCGTCGATAGGCTCAGGAGAAACGACGGCTGGGAGAAGTGGGTTCTTCCTATTGAGGAGAGAGATGAGGCCGCGAGGAACAAGGGCCCAGAGAGGTTCTACCGTCAATCGCATCCTCGCGGGCAGCAGATGCCTCAGCGAATGATGCCCCAGGGCCCACAAGGAGGACCCCCGCCACCATTCTCCCCGAACGGTGTCCAGAGCTTCACTCCCTACGCTGCTGGGTCGCCGAATATGAACGGCGAGAACGGATTCGTTCCTCCTCCCATGCACGATTCGCCGCTCTCGGCTGCGGTGCCGGAGTTTGCGCCTGCGCCGGCGTTCAATCCGGCGGACTATGTTGATGTTCCTACTACGTTTGCGGATGAGGAGATTACCAGCCTGACTGTTGTGTACAGCCAGAAGGCGTCTGGGGAGGCTCCGCAGAGGGTTCCGTATAATGGGAACTCGAGGACTTTCTCGAATGGTTCGATTGATGCGCGTGTCATCGCTGAGGAGCTCCAGGAGGCTGAGAAGCGTCAGGGTCGCCCACTTACAAACGGCAGCAGTGAGAGCTCGGAGATGTAAGTTATACCTGTGTCACTACATCTATATATCAGTTTTCTAATCCACCACAGCTCTCCCGAACGCCTAAGGAACTCCCTAAGCCCCTCAACCATGTCCCCCACGCGCCTCGTCTTCGGCAACGCCCCCCCCGTCATGTGGCTCAAAAGCCAAGTCGACGCCACCTCCCCCCCCTCCGAATCCAAGACCAGCGAGCCCTACACCATGATCCGCTCGCGCGCCCTCTCCAACCGCCCTTCCTCCCCCCCCGCCGACGTCGACAACGACATGAAAGTCCTCTACCAGTTCTGGGCGCATTTCCTGATCCGCAACTTCAACCCCCAGATGTACGAGGAGTTCCGGCGGTGCGCGCACGAGGACGCGGGGCGCCAGGCGATGTTTGGAATGAATCACCTCGTGACGTTCTATGATGAGGTGCTGAATAGCAAGAAGCGCACGGTGCCGGAGGTGTTTGCCAGGCATTATGTGGAGTTGGTGAGGGAGGAGGATAGGGCGAAGGATAGGCCTGCTTTTGCGAAGTTGAGGGCGGCGTGGAGGAATGGCGCGTTGGATATGAAGAGTCGGAAGAAGGTGGATGGGTTTGTGGATCCGGTGTTGAGGGAGGAGTTGGAGAGGTAGAAGGTTTGTCGCTGTTTATGCTTCGCTCTCTCGCTCTTCCGTTTCTGCAACCTTCGATATCTTGGCCCTACCTACCTACCTCTTACGAATGCTAAGATACCTCTTCGTTTTCGACATGTCCGTTTACACAACTACACCACAACTACGCATCGCCATGCAGGCGTCCCTCTGGACCTTTTTGTCACCGATATACCTACTTTAATGAGCGCCACTCTCTCGCATAAAAACTTCATTTGAACTACTACTACACTTTTCGGATCATAAAGGAACACGCACACACTCTTCTCTTTTTTCTTTCTACAAAAATCTCGGGATAACCAAACCGCAGCAATTGTTCAAGTAATAAAAACCAAACCAACGCCCCTTGTGTGGAAAATTCGGGATATCGGAATTTGCTTTTTTTGCTTCTTTTTATTTTTTTGTGTACACCAACTGCTTTCACGCAACTATGCAAGGAAAAACCCGCGCACGCCGCACGGAAAACGAGCCGACTAGGTCTTCGTTATTAGCTTCTTATGGAAAAATTCGTTTATCTAACGACGACATCGTTCTTCTCAAGATTTGAAAACTCTTTTTTGTCTTTTGCAACAACACACAAAACTGGCCCACACTTGCCCGACACTTTGCTGGCGTTGAAAATATGGGGAGGGGGTTGGGAAAAATTGCGTATTTGGACATCCTTTTGTTGCGAATGGGATGGATTTTGTGTGACTTTTGTTTTTTGTTTTTTTGTGTTTGTGCGTTGCGGTCGTGTGCTTTTTTTGTGTGAAGATATCTGGACTGCTCTGTCTGCTTCATGGCTGCGGAAGGAAGTGCCGACGACGACTGCCACAGGGCACGACTTTTTCCAAACCTAGCCAGCCCTTGGACTTGGGTAAAGAAAATATGGGATCCAAACAGCAACACCACCACCCACAGCCAGCCATTGCCACCGTCTTCCTTCCTACCACCAAATTGCGCGACGGGAGTCTGCACTTTTTCTTCACTTTTACGTCCCACGGGTTTTTCTTCTTCTACGCATAGACAAGGGGGGGGAAGCGTTGGGATTTTCCCAGGATTTTTTCGTGGGTTTGCCTGGTTTTCGGAGCCGGGCTGGGGTGGAGGGTCGCGTGGGCGGGAAGGGTTAAGGGGCGGGGGGGTGGGGATGGGGGACAGAGGGGGGAAAGGGAAATAGGGAAGGGAAGGGGGGGGAGGGGGGAATGATATGATCAACTTCGTTTGGGACTTTGTTGTTACTGTAATTATAGAAAATTAACTGAAAACTTGGGTGGGGATATGGGGATAGGGGGCGGGGGGGATGGAGAATGTTGAGAATTTTTTGATATTGATATTTGTGTTGGATGTGCTTTTTTGTGATTATTTTGTGATTATGACTGACTGGGTTATAAATATAAATGGGGTGAATAAAGTCGACGCGTGCGGGTTTGGGTAAGAGAGTATCTACGAACTATGTCTCGATCGTCCACACTCCTCGTTTAGAAGTCATGTATGTAACACATCATATCTACGCAGCTCAAGTATACGAAATCCATTTCTCGTAAAAAAAAGTATATAATCATCAGGCATTACCCCCCCCATCCTACCATCCCAACCCAACTTCTCCCCAATTCCCACACACATAAAGAACCCAGGAGTTGAGTCCCATTTTATCCTGCATCCTTGCAAAGGTCTGAGATCTGAGATCTGAAATATAAAAAAGACATCGCGGAAATAAAACATAAACTAAGTAAGAAAAAAAAAAAACGTATTTAATAGTAGGAAACCCCCCCCCCCCCCCCGAACCCAATCCCATCCACCCTACCACATCCAACCACCGTTCGTTCGTTCGTTTCGTGGGTATCCGCCGCTCGTAATTCGTATCGTGTCTCATCCCGCACTCGCTGTGCAGGGTAGGTAGGTAGGGTACTCGTATAAAATCGTGTGTCGAAAGTACGAAAAAAAAACCTCCATGCAAGCTTGCGTCGATCTGCAGGTCACTTGCAGGCGGGGAAGGAGGAAGTTGGGCGCAAAGAGGCACAGAGGTATAAAATATCGGGGTTGGCTCTGGGCTTCAAGTGCGTCGAGCTAATCACAGGGGGGGTGGAAAATCAGTTTTGTATTCTTGCGATAAGGTAAGAACGAACGAACTCCATACACGAGATGAAGAAATGCAGGCATGGTGATGCCGGTTGGGTAAATGAAAAGAAGATGGATAAATAAGCAGGCAGGAAGGCGTTGTGGAGGCTGGCTGGCGATGCGGGTGGCGGCGCGAAGTATGTGCTAGGGTATCATTGCTTGGAGTCCCTGACTCCATTCTGAAGAAGAATGCGTTGTATTGTAAAGTTTCATAACGTCGTAACGGTCGTGTCAAAAAAAGAAGTCTTCATCGCCTGCGAGAGTCCCGCGAGTCTCGAGAATCAAACCCCGGAGGCCGGGGCAAGTCCGGAGCATACGGCGCGTAGGGATCATCGTCGATATAGAGGCGTTGACGACTATTCCTCGCATCCGGGGGAGAGAGATCCGACGACGACTGGTAAGGCGCGTCTGCGATGCGGCGACTAGGAGAGACGCGTCTGCTGCGCCCTTGGTCGGAGCGGGTGGCAGCGCGATCGCAGCGTTTTTGGTGGCGTTCTGCGCGTTCGATTTGGGCTTTGCGGTATTCCTCTCTCATTTCGCTCATTTCTTTCCATTCTGATTGTCGGGTTAGTAAATTTGGAGAGTAGTATAATAGCAGTTGCAGAAAATACTTACCAGAGATAGCACCCTTGATACCAAGGCCAGCAATGCCCACCGAAGCCGCCGTCCGCATCCTCGCCTTCGCCTTCTCCTTCCTCGCCTCTTCCGGAGTCATATCCCCCTCCGCCACCGCCTTATGCCCCGCCTTCCGCTTCTCCACACTCTGATATATATTATGCGCCGCATGAATGGTCGCCACGGTCGCAAGACCAGCAGTAAGAAATTGCTTACCTTTCATCTTCTTGATCCTCTTGTTATCATCTGTAGAGGAGCCAAGACTGTCAGAATCGCTAATCGCTTGTTTGCCTTCGGCTACTCGCCTGTTTCTGCCGTCCGACCCCCTGTGGCTGCGCCGGTCATCGTAGTCCCTGTCCCGGTGCTTGTCGTCGCGGCGGTTACGGTCGTAGTCGTCGTCTGAGGAATCCAAGTCCCGATCTCTATCTCTGTCGTCGCGGTGGCGGCGAGATGACGACTTGTGGCTGCGCACGTCGCTGCGCGAGTCGTCCATGTCGCGGTCCCTGTCCCGTCTGCTGCTGCCGTGGCGGTCGTCGGCGGCGTCGTTCAGACCGAGTGCTGCTAGGCCCTTTCGCGCGTAGTCGGTGACGCTCTTGCTGCGCTTGGGGCGTCTGGATTCTTGGCTGTCTTCTGAGCCGGATCTTCTTCGGCGGTCGTCGCGAGAGCGGGATGTCGAGCGGTCGTGGTGCTTCTTGGCAGCGAAGGCTCCTAGACCTGCAGTTGCAAGAGCAGCGAGTGGCATTGCCGATCTGGAACGAGAACGGTGACGGCCACCTCCGCCGTGGGAAGACTTGCCATCGTCGCTTCGAGCTCCGTTGATCAGTCTGTTTCCTGCCAAACCGCCAACAACAGCTTCCAAGAGATGGCGTTTGCTGTTGTGCTCTGGGTTGTCGCCAGCAGCGGCTGCGCCAACACCACCAGCTCCAATGGCAGCTGTCAAGATGCGCTTGCCTTTAGCACCGTTCCACCCCCCTGGCTCGTTGCGAACGCGGAAGGCCTCAGCTGCACCAGCGAGTAAAGCAGCCTTTGCAGCCTGCTGGAATTTAGCAACACCCTCAGGTGACTTGCCTCGGCCTCGCTCGCCATCTCCCTTGGTTCGACGGCTGCCGCGGCTCGATTCGCTGCTGTGACGTCTGCGACGGTCATCGCGATCATCGCGGTCACGGCGGTCACCACGGTCGCTGCGGTCGTCGTCATGGCCACCCATAGCTTTTGCAGCTGCGCCCAGGCCAGCAAGGCCCATGGCCCCTTCGACGATGGATTTTCTGCGGCTCTTCTTGGGCTTCTCTTCCTTCTCCTCCTCTGAACAGTACTCGATTGCGTGTCCATCCCTGTCGTAGGCGATAGCGTGTTTCTCCTTGACCTCCTTTTCCTTCTTGTCGGCGAACTTCTTCGTATAGATATCAGCACCCTCAAAGCCAGCGAAGGCACCAGCAGCGCCAACAGCAGCGGTGGCTAGTATGTTTCGGTCCTTGCGCTCGCCTCCGTGCGTCTTGGATTGGCGATAGTCCCATAGCTCCTTGCCGCCAACAGCCAAAGCGGCGCCGCCGACAGCTGCCATGATCTTCTGGTTGCGCGACAGCGAGCGGCGTCTCCTTACGCCCTTCTTCTCCTTCTCACCGCCCGTCGAACGGCGATCATCGTCTCTGTCTCGTTCGGAGCGTCTGGTGTCTCCGAGGTACTGGCCGTACTGGGGGTGTCGGTCGACCGAGCGGGATCGCGCAGGAGGGCCATAGCGATCATCCGTACCGGGCGGCGGAAAGGCTCTGGGGACTTCTTCGATGGAGAGGTCGCTATCTTCTCGTCCGCGAAGTGTCAAATCTTGTCGCGATGAGACATATGGTGGGTCGACAATAGCCGGGCCTCTGACGTACGTATCCGTGGTTTCGTAACGAGGGTCGTCCCGCTCGTCCCGGTGGTGGTGCCGGTGCGATCGGTGCCGCCGTGGAGCTTCGGTCTCGTAGGAGTCGTAGGTTGACATTATGGCGACGGATATGTTAAATCAGAACAACGTCTGCGTCAACACCTGGAGATGAAGTTTGCGACGAGCTTTGGGTAGCAACCAGGCTTTGAACCCTGTGCGATGAGTAGATTGTAGAGCTCACTATAGATCCAAGGCTATATTGCACTAGGGAATATGTTGAAGCCAAGAGCGATAGTGAGTGTAAGCAAGAGAGCTAAGATAGCAGTGAAGTTGAAGTATAAGGTGGCGATGATGATGATGATGATGAATAGAAAGTTGTTACTGTGTGGGAAGGGTTTCAGGTTATCCTGTAGAAGGCTGGCGGGGGTGTTGGTTGGAGGGGTAAGTCGGCACCCAGTGAGTTAGCTTGGCAGAGAGATGGGTGAGTGAGCGAATAATAAAGTGGAGGGGTTGGAACGAGGGGCATTAATTATACGCTTCCTCCACTACTTATGCAGTAGTGAGAGCGCATAGAAAGCGCCATATAATTTGTTACTCGTTGACTCGTTGATATATCATGGGATTCATGCACGTAACGTCCAGTGGCTGAGCTCCAAGAGGCCCTTTTGCGCCTATTAGGCCTCTTTACCCCTACATTTCAGTCGACGCCCTTCACTGAAAACACCCTTCTGCGCACTAAATGTGGCACTGCTAGAGGTACCCGCCGCTACTTTACTTACCTTTACTGATGGTTTGTTGACAGACAGCGACGACGCAAGGTACGAAAAGTGCTTCTAGCATACGTCCATGGCTCTGTCATGCGAGCTAGCATAGGGGAAAGTGGAGTTCTAGGAGTCAGGCAGGCATCAAATATCATCCTCCCCAGACACAATATGGTGCAGAAGTCTCGTCTGACAGAGTCTAGATGCTAGAAAAATAAATACCTCGTGAAAGGATTTGTACCAGACGACGAGGCTGTCTCTGGCTGTCTCTGGCGTGACATCCCATACGATGGGGGGTGTGCCGCATAGGGCGCCTGACAACCCCTTCACACTCCACTAGTCGACCACAACAGCTCAGGATCCGAGAAATTGTTGGAGAGGATGCATATATCCCTAAGACACAGCCACCAGCTGGAAGCGCACACAACGCGCACAGCGCCACAGACATGCAGCATCCTACGGTCTGTATGTGGCTGGTCTGGAAGCAGGGGAGATATCTATATGGATTACCTCTCGGTGACATCGCCAAGAGGTTTCCCCTTCATCCTACCATCGTTCTATTCACTCTAGGCAGCTAGCCGGAGTTGCCGCTGCAAGTACCTGTCCGTGGCATCTACGAGCTATGTTCCTTTATATGCAGCCTCTCATCTTTACGTAACGGGTCTTCCGGGCTCACAAGTTTGTGAAATCCATCAAGTCTCCACCGCCTACCGCCGGATTGTCTAGAGCGTCTCCTAGGCGCTTGCCCGACGGGAAATTCGGAGTGATTCACCGAGAAATAATATATCGAGACCCGAATATCGTGAGATCAGTGTTCTATTTTAAAGATCCCCATCTCCACGAGTGGATACTACCTGATTTTCCCTCCAGGTAACGTAACAAGAATGACGAAAGGGCAGGATTGACATTCCAGAACACTATATCCCACTTCTACCTGGTGGGGGTTTCGTCATGGGCGGGCAGAGACACAGCCACAACCCGCGCCGGCGCCACATCCTCGACGCCACACATATGAAAACGACAATAGATTTCATAAATACGTATCACGTGATATACGCGCTTGTGAATTGCCGAGATGTTCCACACCAAGTTCCAACTTTCCCCATGTACCGGCGCTAAGAACCTTGCAATGCATACTATGCTTAGCTCACAAGCAATGGCAGAGCAACGAAGTCGGGGATGTCGATCATGGAGCCCCAGAACTACGATCTTCACGATTTCACTGCTTCAATAATGTTGAATTGCCAAACGATCGGCCCACATAGCGTATCTGCTACAGGTTTTGCCCGTTGATCCGTCGGACCATATCCGTTCACTAAGGCAATCCTTGCCCGATAAGGGGTACATGACGACAAATCATCATCATACTCTATTGTATCTTTGATATATGTCATACTATCATAATGATAAAAATGCTATCAACAGATTAGTAAGAATGATTTAATATAAGGGTAGGAGTCCTCATTTCCAGTCCTCTCTTCCATTCGAATTTCAAAAGTTCAAAAGTCTTGTCTACATATCACAACTGCTCTTCATTTTCCACGCCTCAAAAATCTTAATAAGCTCCACTCACTTCAAAATGCAATTCCAATACTTAGCCGTCGCCCTCCTCAGCGGCCTTGCCATCGCTACCCCAGATCTCCAGCAGCCAGAGAAGCGTGTTGAGTAAGTTCTCACCCCCTTCACCAAACTCCCACAAAGCAATATCCTAACATCCCTCCCAGTATCGTCGGAGATGTCACCTCTGCAGCCGGCGGAGCAGTCAGCAGCGCCCTCGGCGGCATCACCAGCGCCGTCGGCAGCATCACCGGCGGCGGCTCCTCCGCCCAGGAGACCGGCGCCTCTTCCGGCAGCGAAGCCTCGTCCACCGCCAGCTCCGAGGCATCCTCCTCCACCGGCAGCGAGTCGTCGTCCGCCACCGAGTCCTCCTCCACCGGCAGCGAGTCGTCGTCCGCCACTGAGTCCTCCTCTACCGGAAGCGAGTCGTCGTCCGCTACCGAGTCCTCCTCCACCGGCAGCGAGACTGGAGCCTCCTCTACTGGAGCCTCCTCTACTGGAGGAGCCGGAAGCTCGGGCACCAGCACCGGAGGCGCCATGAGGACCGCTGCTCCTATGGCTGGTCTCTTGGGTGCTGCTGGATTTATGCTTGTGTTGTAAGCGGCGCAGTTTTTCGCAGTACGAACGAGTCCAGTTGAGGAAAAGGATCAAACTGGAAGTTATATATAGCTCGGCGCCCGGTAATAGATTATTGGTATAATAATTAATTAGTTTAGAGTAGATTAAAAATCAACGTGTGCATAATAAGTACTGTTGTATAAATTGTTCAGGCTTGCTTTCATTTGGAGTGATAAAAATATGTCCCATGTTCCAACGCATTACGTGCATTTTGATATGCATGGTATGTCCGGACACGAAAAGTAATAGCTCCCTCATATTGTTGAAACCCCAAAGGAACAACCTTAAGGCCATCTTCCCGCCTCTACTCAACATACAACCCCTTCTCCCTATGCCAATCCTCCAAACTAAGATGATACTTCTTAACCACGACCTTCTTCCCCTCCGGCCACCGCACCCACTCCGGCTTGCTCCCCTCCAAAATACACACCATCTCCTCCGGCACCGGCAACTCCGTATCAATCGCCGACGCAAAAGGATGAATCAGCTCCGGCCACTCCGCATCGTAATTCCACAACATCGTGCTGCAGTTCGAGCAGAATGAGCGCTCGGATGTGCATTTCTGCTCTTTTTTGGTGCCCCTGTCTTTTATCGCGCTGTACTTCCTATATAACCCTCCTTGTTAGTCGTCAAACTTAAAATAGAGTAGGCGTGGTTCGGTGGAAAGAGAGGCGCACTTGATTAGTTCCTTTCCCTTTTTGATGTCGAGAGAGGAGGTTATGGCGCCGAGGTTGACGGCGCCGTTGTAGCCGCCGACTTTGCGGCAGATGCTGCAGGGGCAGAGTTGGTAGGGGACGGGGGTGTTGCTGTCGACGGTGAATTCGACGCCGCCGCACTGGCAGCTTCCTTCGAGTTTCCTGTGGGTGTTAGGATTGCGGGGTTAAGTTTATGGAGTCTGGGGGGTTTACATTGGCATTTTGAGACCCGGCTTAGAGCTGATGGTAGGTGTTGGTTGTGAAGCTGGTATATGATGATGGGAGTGGCTACGAATGGAATTTTGAATGGAACAATACGGAATATATATAATTCCTAGAGTATGACTCCTAATCTATAGATAGTTCAAGGAGCAAAATCCTACAAATCATAAAGAAGCCTACCATTTTTGACCAGCGTCGTCATCGATAAGTCATATGAAGCTACACTTCCGCGCCCAAAACGGAGCCATGCAGATGCGGTTCAAATTCCGTGGATACATTCACCAATAAGAGATTAGGAGATTAATTACGCTTACAGATGCTTCAGGACACCTTTCAATCTGTCGTTGGTTCAAGCAGCGTCGTGGTCGAAAACGCGGGGAACCTTGTCGTCGTCATTGATAAGCAGTGTCCGGACGATAAGCTGGTGCCCGGAACGGATGAATATTGAGCCGGGCCATATCCAACCCCCATACAGATGGTATACCAACGACAGATTTCTTACGCCAAGAGAGACTTTCGGACACTTTTCAATCTGCTCTTAATAAGATAATTACCTTACTAAATTCGAAGAACAAACTTGTCATTCGTAAGCTGCCTCGTCACCAAGAAGCAGCCAAGAAGTGGCTGTTCTGCGCCCAGAGCGGAAAAACGTAATTCCGGCTGAAATACGGAAGTCCATAGGTAGTTCAGTCGCAGCATCGCCGACGAGGGAGAGATACCAACCGACACAATGAGTTCTTTTGGATCACCTGGTGGGGGGAAGATGAACACGAGGCCCACGCCGTAAGTCTTTGTGCGCGGAATATATTGGCTAGTTGGAGTTGGGCTTGAGGGCTGACTGATCGTGTAGTCCGGAACGTGGAAGCTTCCCTCTTGATCATGATGGTAAGTCACCTCTCTGTCTCACGACCGACCCATTGGGTGGGAGGGGGATATTATGCTAACATCTACTTTTTAGGGGAGTGCAAGGACGTTATGAAGAAGTACCTGGGGTGTATGAAGAGACTCAAGGGCATGAACGACCCCGAATGCCGAAATCTGGCAAAGGCGTACCTTACGTGCCGCATGGACAAGTGCGTACCCCTGATGAGATACCGAATATACTGCTTGGGATAGTGAGCTGATAGCGATGTAGCAACCTGATGGCGAGAGACGAATTTAAGAATCTGGGGTTCGCCGATGAACCACCCAAAGACAATAAGAAGGGGGATGGGAAAGAGGAGAAGAAGGAGATTCTGTGGTAGATACGGCGCCGGAGTGGCGCAATGTGGGGAGTGTGAGATATGTATGAGATATATGGAGAAGGTTGTGAGATATGTATGATATTAGCAAGAAGGGCGTTGAAAAAGCATAGCAAGGGGCGTTGGTTGGAACAACCAGGAAGCATAGCTAGTTGCCGGAAGGTATATTGCGGAATTATATAATACCCATTCCACTTTCATCCATAATTTTTAAGATGCTTTGTGACTTTCATTTCTTGCATTCTGCACAATCATATAAGTTATTGGATGTGCAGTGTCGAGCGTCTGGATTGAGGTTAAATGACTTGCTTTAGAGCCATGTATCAACCAATTAGGCGAGGAGCGCAACCACCAGCGCGGCTACAACAGTTGCACTTCCCATGCATCCCCCCCATTGAGATAACCAGTTTCCGAAGGTCAGCTAAAATGCGATAGACGGAAGCAAGCCTAAACCATGAGTGTAGACTCAAGCCTGTTAGGCGTCGCCTTGATCGTGCGGTCCAAAGACGGTCCCCGCTTCATCTTCCATTACCCTCCACGTCTAAAGCCCAATGAACGTACCATCCGGCCTCCTTACGGCACGGAGCTCGACCCCACCGCGCCAGAAGACGCCGATGACATCGAGCCCGATGCAGACGATGAGCTTGATGATCGGGATTACTCTCTGTACAACAGCCTCGAAGGGCTGGGGCTTGGTAAGAAATCACGTCACGTGAACCCGTGGGAAGGAGACGACCATTTCGAGCTCCCAGATGGACAGCATGTGGTGCCTTGGGAATATCTGGATTCTTTCCATACGAAGGATTTGGCGAGCATTTTGACGCCGGCAAGGGCGTTTCATAAGAGGTGTTTTGAGTTGACGCTTGATCCGCTGACGTTTGTGACGTATCCCATGCATATCCGTGAGGATGGGCGATGGAAGAAGAAGAAGAGGGAGAAGAGGAGCCGTAGGCGGAAGGAGGAAGAGGAGAGACAGGAGAATGGGTCTATTGCCGATGATACGGCTATATCGGAAAGCCCAGCTGAGACGTCCGGGGTGGAGGACGACGCGAGAAACGTCAGGAAGCCGAAAGGGACATCTTTCGCGTCTGACGACACTAATGATGGCGGGATGACTATGTTCAATTTGGTGTTTATTATGAATCCGAAGACGACAGAGGCTCCGATGAGGGTTTCGGATATGTTTGAACATGTGGCGAAGGATATCAACAAGGCCCTGAGATATGCCCAGAACTACAGTAATTACGTCTGGAAGGAATCAGAGCGTATATTGAACTTGAAAGAGAAGGCAAAGGAAGAACGTCGTCCAATGAGCACTCTCTGGGACACTATTTTACGGAAGTCTTCGCTGGCGCAAACGATGAAAACTATCTACACGTCAATATCCAACAATAGTATTGCTGTCGTCCAGCTGCTCAGCGATCCACCCGTGCGGCTCTCTGTTCAGATACCCAAACCATACTTTCTGTCAATGCTGCCCGAGTTTGACGAGCCTTCCATGCCAGGCTTGTGGATCACGACTGCCAACTTCTTTGGCGACCAGGAAAATGAGGACGAGACCTCACTTCTCTCCAAGCACTTTGCTCTTCTACTCCTCGATGACGAGGACAAAATCATTGCAGATATCCAAAGCGATGGCGGTGAGCTCACCGGGCCGCTACTCGAATACCTCAAGATCGTGAGGCCTACTCTCTCATTCCACCAAACAGCACAGCAGCATGCAATCTCTCTGAATGATATTCGCATTCTCGCCCAGCATCTCATCTACCACCGTCGCGCCATTGCAGTTCCTCCGCTCCATCCACGAGACACCTACATCCTGTCTCCTAATTGCCCCATGGCGTCTCTCCCTCAATTTTGTGCCCTCTGGTCACAGAAGTTCCCTCTCGCACCGCCTTTACCTACCTTCTTGAGCGCCCTCAGCCATGCCCCGAGACCCTACAAAACCTTTATACCCACCAAAACACATAGGCCAATATATACGGCGATGCTTGCCTTCCTTCTTCGCCACGGATGGGCAACTCAACTCCGCACGTTTGCCTGGATTATCGCGTGGCCGGAGATCAAATATGAAGTGCAACATGCCCTTGACGGCGCCGCTATTCGAGACGCACATGCTGAAGCAATGGAAGAACCCAAAGAAGATTCTACCGCGGCTATCCCTAAGACTCCAACGCCAGCTACACCATTACCCACCTATCCGCATGCACAGGCAGCACCGTCAACGCCGCCAATAAATTCCGAGGCAACTGCGGAGAAGGCTCGCGTAAGGAGGCTTAGAGATAAGGCCGTCCAGGATCTTGCTGATTTCAATGCGAAACCAAAGCCAGAGGCGACGAAAAATCCAAGTCTGAATACGGCACAGCATTTGGTGAGGATACAGCCACAGCTTATCCTGGATCCGATGAGAGCTGAACACGTGGATTCTATGTACCTATCTGCTATCGCAAATCGTCTAGAGGGTGGCGGGCCGGAGGATGAATCCAAAGGCGCTGGGGCCGGCAGGACTGGCACAACTGCCGCAACTGGGCCGGTTGGTAAATCTGCAGTTGTTACTGGGAGCTTAGCACAGTCCGTTGGTGCTTTGGGGACATTGCCTAAGTTTGGAGGTATTGGGGCTGATGGTAGCGGTATCGGCGGCCTTAAGAAAGATAAGAAGCGCTTTTTGAAATGGGCTAAGTATTTTGATGGCAGGACGAGTATTGAGCGCATCGCGCTGTTGGAGGGGGTTCAGAGGAAAGAAGTGTGGGCGCAGGTCGCGGCCTGGGATGAGTATTTACTGGTGGTTAAGCATTGGTGATCTTATAGATCAGAGGAGGGATCAAGGAAGAACGATCATAGCAACTATGCTATAAACGAGCCCTCTGAATCTCTACGAACTATGATAGCCATATTATATGGAAACTTAAAAATACGTATATCAGGATTTAATTATGTTCAATGTGATAGAGAATCAAAATATACATTGGAAGAGATAAATATGTGCAAGCTAAGCCAATTCCTTTCGTTCAGTTCGCTGGCAACATTGTCATACCATTCAAGCTCTCATCAGGTGCCCCACCGATCTGCAATACAGTCTAAGAATGCAGAACTCTTTACAAAGCAGCAATAGCATTGTAGGCAGCCTTGGGGTTGAAGCTGGAGTCAAAGAGCAGCGGGTTGGAGCTAGCCCTCCACGAATCCTTGTCGCTAACACCCCAAACAGTTATTCCCACACACTTCGGAATGTTCAGGCAAGCCTTAGCAACCTATTTTACGTTAGCTGCCACTCTTGGCAAAGCATAGATATAGGAGTGAACATACAGCGACGTAGTCTGATTCTCCAGCATTAACAATATCAAGCTCAGTAACTGCAATTTCCGAAACGCTGGATCCAGCAAGAGCTGTAAGGGCGGCTTCTGCACTGGAGCCAAGGCCAGCAGTGAGATGTCCTTGGGATCCAATACCATCAATGGGAACGCCAGCGGCGATCCACTTGTTGACATATTTGATCATTCCCTGGGTCTTGGCGTAGTTCGCCTGATCAAGGCTGTTCCTCCGTTAGCATCACGAACAGATCTCCCATTAGATGAGAAAACTTACTTGTAGTCGTTGATGTAGAGCTTCGCGTTCGGGTCAGCAGCACGTGCGGCCTCGAAGGCGATGCGCACGAAGTCCTCGCCGAGGACGTTAGAGAAGACAGACGATCTCAGAGTTCCGTCCTCGTTGAAGATCTCATTGACAACATCCCAGGCGTAGACCTTGCCTTTATACCTTCCGATCTCAGTGGTGACGTGGTTCTGAATGACCGAAGTCAAAGTTGCCTTGTCAGTGATGGCCGAAACCCACCCCGGAAGCTGGCTGTGCCACACGGTGGTGTGTCCGCGAACAAGCTTGCCGTTGGTCGTGGCCCAATTTACGAGATAGTCGAGTCCTCCAAAGTTGAAGTTACCCTGAGATGCTGCTGTTATCAGAATTTGGTTATATATGCTCTTGGAATAGAATGCATACACTCAATCGTATCCCACTTTCCACTGTTCTCTGGAGTTACCTGTCCGAAGTCGGCCTGGATGATAGCAGCATTCTTGTCGGCATTAAGGCGGCCCTGGTCTGTGGCAACGCCGAAATACTTCTTTCCGTGGCCAACGAAGACTTCGTTCAGGCTGGTAGCGGCCTGGCGACTGAGGAGAGTCTTCTCATGTGGGGCAGCAAGTGCCAGTGGTGCCAGGAGGGCGGCGGCGACGAAAGAGTAATGCATTTTGAATGGTGGTTATGAGATATGATAACGGTGATGAAAGTCCTCTATGTGCCAACAATTTGCGAGATCGTCTCCCATATATACCTTTCTATTTATCCGTATTTCCGTCACACTGGACAAGCGGAACTACACAAGGCCTGTTCCAGTGTTTCGTCCATATGAGAAGCTGTCATCGTTAGTCTCGATCATAAATAGTTACCCCACATCCCCGCAACAGCATAGAATAGCCTAGTGCCGATCCCTTGGGTTTTGGCTGAAGCCACAATAAGGATATACCGATGACGATCGAGAGCCTCCAGCAGCTATAGCGAATAATATAATGACGACGCTCGTAACCCTCTCCAAGCTCGGCAGTTGCTCAGGCTAAATGCAGTTGGCTCAGTACCTGGCTCGGGACTACGCGGGCTATGCGCATTAACCTTGTTTATATATCTGAAACGGGACAGAGAGGCGCTGATTTACCGCTTACCTGCCGATACAGGAAATCTTATATTAACAGTCCCAGTCTAAGTTGGCAACTTTTCACATCTCTTGAGATCAACCCAGCTAATCTCCATTGCTGGCAATCACATAGAATAACCGTGTTCCATCGGACATATGGTAATGTGGCCAATAGCAGGGGTTTATAAGTGCCTGAATTGAAATTGATGATGTGTTCGAAATAATCGTTGTAGATGACGACTTGTGTTTGAATGTGACTTTATTATATTTCCTTAGGCAGTAATTAGGTTAAGCTTGCTTTCAGCCACGACCTCACGAGCAGGAGTGCACTCCTGGAAAATTATTGTGATGAACAAGGTAAGCCGAGGTTAGCATTGATTTGCCTACGTGCTGTCATCTATGTCCTCGCTTTTCCAAACCAGATAGACTTCCTTGATACCGCAAGCCGGCCATCAGTCGTCTTCCAACAGCCCCACTGGTGTATTGGGTGTTGGAATAAGACAGGCCCCCAATTGTATATTATTCTCGGACGAGGCTAATTCGGATTCTTGTCGTTTGGAATCCAAACGATATCCCCTTCACAGGATTCCGCGTTTAGCCTTGGCGGAATTTTCATTCGAGCTTCACGGCGTATATAACGGAGACTTAGGAGTGGTTCGGATGTGTGTCGAAAGCCATTTGATCCATCTGGAATATCATTTCCAAAACACCGCACCCGATGGTATTCCAGGTCATGATCATAGCTTCATCTCTCGGCATGACCGCCAACTGGATCTTCCTGGCCAATAGTTCATCCGATACTATCTTTCTTCTCTCGTTCCCTCTCCGCCTTATTAATCGTCTTCTCCGGCCAGTTCCTCGCAATATCTATGTTTTCTCTCGGAGCCAACATTTCGAGAACAAGGAAGATCAAATAATCGATAACCATGCATAAGCAAAAGAGCTTCCCTGCCCAGATGCCGCAACCGTAATATCTCTTTAGTCGGTCAATGAGAGCGAAGCTTTGCACACCCGCACGGCCCCTCGTAGCGCTCCAACTCGCAGCGTCGGCGGCATCATATCCGTAGAATTCTGCCTCGCTAAGAACGCCAGATATTCCATCGTAGACTCTTTCTGTTCGGCGGGCAACATCTATCCAAGAATACATCATCTTCACTTGGTCATGAAAGCGCTCCGTTCGAACCTTGTTTGCACGTAGAGCAGCGATGGCTTTGCCCGTTGCCGCCACCAAATCATCCTCTTCCGGCTTTGCGAACACGGTCATATGTGCTGGCAAGACTTCCGGAATACCACCAACTTGGGTGCAAACAACGTAAAGGCCACAGCTCGCAGCTTCCACAATCACGGTTCCGAATGCCTCTGTTAAACTTGGGTGGAGGTAAATATGTCCTCGCACCATAACATCTCGGACCTCTTCGTGTCGCACTGGCCCAAGCAATTCAACGCGGTCCTGGAGAACATTCCTTTCCAGCATTTGCTCGAGGTCTATGGCTTTGGGCCCTGAACCCGCAATGATAAACCTTACATTTGGGTGGGCTGCGAGTATCCGCGGGATAGCTGCAATAAGCAGATCAGTTCCCTTGTTATAAAATAGCCTCGATATAACAGCTATTGTAATGGTATCGTTCGGCCCTAGATAATGAGGTAGGGGAGTAGCTGCCTGGGCATTAAAATTTTGTAACTGGTTATCGGGTCCATTCGAGTATGCTGGATGTGACAAAGGTCGAAAGTTCTCGGCGACAACGGCGTTTGGTATAACTGAGACCATCAAGGGGTCAAGCGACGCTCTTAAAACTGTGTTCTCTTTACTGTGTAATGTCAGTATCGCCGATACACTTTCAGGGGTTTCGTATAAACCTACCAGGTATGGCTAACACAAATAACATGGTCAACATCACTCAAGGTGAACTTCAGCAATTTGTTTGTCAGGATACTCCCTGCATCCGCAAACCCAAAAAGCGAATGATCCGTAAACACCGTCCGTAGTCCCATAGTCCTCGCATGCAGAATTGCCTCGTGGCAAAAACTACTCAAACTCGCATGGCCATGTACGATTTCAATCTGCTCCCTGATAATGATGTTTCTGAAGGTCGGGAAGAACGAAAAGACCGTCGGAAACGTTGTGGCGCGGTATATAACGAGGAAAGGCACATGGTAGACTTTCAGCCCATTCGTAAGGTAGCGCACGCCGGTTCTACCTTCATAGGCATGCGTTATAATGATGACCTTGTGGCCGCGATCGATTAACTTTGTCGAAAGTTGGTAAATATGGCTTTCAATTCCTCCTGGTTGCGGAAAGAAGAAATCGCAAGCCATAGCAATGTTATAACCCATTGTGAAGGTTGAAGGGACCAAAAGCCCGCTGGAGAACCAAGCGGCTCCTCAAGTCTAGTGATACCGCATAGTTGGTGTTAAGGAGTCTCCCCCAAAGAAGTCGCAAGATGTTGATTGTTATCCCTAAGAGACTCTGTGACCCTGTCGGCTGTGTCGCATCGTAGAATTCAGGTGCTGTCCAGCGAATCAGCGTGCGGCGCTCGATAACGCCGATAGGGCCGATAAAGACTCGATTTCGAAAAGTTCCTTCCAGATCGCGAACAAGAGCGACAGCGCTTCAAACAGGCTACAACAATTGCTGCAATGTCCTCTTCACTATATGCTCGATATGTGCCTCCGAAGAAGAAGGTGACTACGGAGCCTACCATAGTTCCAAATGTAGTTGTACCGCAACCACAACCAACTCCACCTCAACCATCACAACAACGCCCGCCGCAGCCATATATCCATCCTTCCAGGGCAAATCTAAACATTGTCCCCGCTCAGCAACCAAAAATTGCGCCCAAAAGAAAACATGAAGATTCAACCGGAGGCCGAAATGAATCTGCGTCAAAGTTCAAAAAATCCAAAAAGTCACCAAATGGTCCCCCGAAAGATTTGAAAGTAGCGCAACGACCACCGCCACCGGCGCAATCAAATACCGCCCAATATGAGAGCAAAGAAGAGAAGAGGGCCGCCAAGATTGCACGAAGAGCGCATCAAAGAGCATTGGAGCAGGGACTAGAAGTAGAGGAGAAACCGCAGCTGCAAACGGCACTCGTCACAGACGAGAAACCGGTTGAAGTCAAGCCCAAGGAGAAAAAAGCGCCAAAAAGGCCTAAAAAGAAGGCAGACAAGGAAGATACAGATGAATCAGACCAAGAAGGTGAAGAAGGGGATGCAAAGCATAAATCAGTCTTGGCAAAAAGGGCGAAGTCTCTGAAGAAGGCCGAGAAGATTGCTCGAAAGGAAAAGCAGAGAGCACTCGAAAGAGGGGAGGATGTTGAGATGGAAGATGCTGAAAAGCCGCAAGAGGCCGAAGTCGAGCTTCATGCCCTTGAACCTCTCCCACAGCCAGAGCCCGTGCCAGAAGCTCCCCCCATCTCAATATACTCAGCTTTGCCTTCTTGGCTTGGAAGTCCGATATCCGTTGCGCCCACCGCTACAGCACAGTTCGAAGACCTCGGCCTTCCTAGTGCAGTTATCGAGTCGCTCAAAAAATCGGGGATTCCAAGTGCATTTGCAGTTCAGGCTGCTGTACTTTCACTTCTTCTTCCCGGGCCCAAGAAGCAGCCAGGAGATGTCCTCGTATCAGCCGCGACTGGATCAGGAAAAACACTTGCGTATGTTTTGCCAATGGTGGAGGACATCAGCCAGACTATGGTTACTCAGTTGAGGGGCCTGATAGTAATGCCTACGAGAGAGCTCGTCACTCAAGCCCGGGAGGTATCAGATATGTGTGCCAATGCTTATGGCACTGGAAGCAGAAGACATATTAATATCGGTGTAGCCATTGGCAACCAGACATTGAGGCAAGAGCAAGCATCCCTGATGAAGCAGGACTATGTTTATGACCCCAAAGAATATCGTGCACGCCAAGAACGCATAAACGCTGCGTGGAGTGGGTCGTCAATCGGAGACGAAGTCGCAAATCTTCTCATGGAGGAGGATATTTCGACTCCTATCGATCACATTGTTCAATACAGTCCTAAGGTGGACATCATGATTTGCACGCCTGGTCGATTGGTTGAGCATTTGAAATCTACCCCTGGCTTCACGCTCGAGCACTTAAAGTGGCTAGTTATCGATGAGGCAGACAAGTTACTTGATCAAAGCTTCCAGCAATGGCTGGAGACGGTAATGGCCAGTCTTACCTCCCGTGAAACGGCTGCACCCAGCCAGTTGAGGTCAAAGGACAGAATAACCAAGGTTGTGCTGAGTGCTACAATGACGCGAGACATTGGTCTTTTGTCACAACTGAAGCTGAATAAGCCTAAATTTGTCGTCCTCGAGGGCAATGAGGGTATGGAGGCTGGGGAAGGGCAAGTGGACACTCTGAACTTGCCGGACACGCTCCACGAATCTGCCATAAAGATTGATCAAGAAGGATTGAAGCCGCTCTATTTGCTTGAAGTTCTCAAGAGGAATGGTTTACTTGAGCCAAAGAGTTTGCCCCAGGAGGACGACTCAGATACTTCCAGCTCCGGTTCAGACAGTGACACTTCAGACGATGACTCTGATGATGATACCTCTTCTTCTGGATCCTCGTCGGGCTCCGATTCGAGTTCATCGGGTGACGATTTTTCTTCTGGTGATTCTTCGGACGACGACTCTTCATCGTCCAGTGATGCGTCATCAACAACTTCAGTGCCTTCTAAGAAGCTCCCAGCGAAAAAGCCGGCAGCTATCATCAATCTTGCCAAGCCTCATGGTGTTCTTATCTTCACCAAATCCAACGAAAGCGCTGTTCGTCTCTCGCGTCTACTAGCTCTCCTTGTTCCATCTCGCGCCTCTGAAATCGGAGCCATTACCTCCACTACATCGCGAAAGCGCACACTGCGCTCCTTCCGCAGCGGCGCCCTTTCCGTCCTCATCGCATCCGACCTTGTAGCCAGAGGTCTGGATCTGCCCAACTTGGCACACGTGGTAAACTACGATATGCCTACGAGCATCACGAGCTACGTGCACAGAGTTGGAAGAACAGCGCGTGCAGGCAAGGAGGGAGCAGCAACTACACTGTTTTCAGCAACGGAGGGAAGGTGGTTCTGGAATGACATTGCCAGGAGTGGAGGCGTCAAGAGGAAAACAAAGGTTGAGAGAATTACAATTTCTGCCAAGGATGTGTTCTCGGATGATCAGAAACAAGAGTACGAAGCGGCTTTGGAGAAGCTTGGAGAGGAGACTAGGGGATACAAGGAGACGAACTAAACCACTGGAGATACCATGCATATAGTTTGAATACATAAGGCGGGTGCCAAACCATCTACCATAAATACCCCATAATCAAAATTCTCTTTCGTGGCAGCCTGTTGCACCAATGTCCTCATCGCCAACATTATTATAAGTGTGATAAAACATATATTTGTACCTATCATGTGCTCTTCACCGGCGGCTTCCTAAACGGCCTCGCATTATTCGCATTCTGGCAAAGCACTGGCGTCTCTCCCTTCGTCTCCCAGCCCTTCTCCCTCTTAACCGTTCCCACCTTCGTGTACTTCTTGTGATTCGCAAAGAAATCCACCCAGTGCTTCAGGGCTTTGTATGCCTTCTCCTTTGCTATCTCTAGCTCCTCCTCTTGTAGGGCTGCCATCTCCTCCGTGGTATACTGCGCATCCACTTCTGGTGTGCTCTTGGGAAGGAACATCCCTTCTACGCCACGCATATCGGGACTGATATCGCTGTTGAAGCAGGTGGTCACCAAGGCTCGCGAACAGTCGGCGCCGCCGAGTTGGTGGTACGAGCCGCCTGGGCCGTAGAAGCGGCGTCCGTCGGTCACATCGTAGATTGTGCCGTTGACGGCTAGGTAAATGGGCTTGGTGGGGTCGCTGCCATCATATTGCCCTAGCTCGGCATCTGTGAGTTGGACTGGTGCTGCCTGGAAGACGTCTTAGTATCAATACCTTCAACGGAACCGGGCCGGGGTACTAACTAGCATTGACTGCCAGTAGGATATATATGTTGCGCGGGGTCGTTTGAGGCCCCAGAGCACATTGTCGCGGGTTACGAACCAGCTGGCAAGGCCGGAGAGGAGGAGCAGCAATGTGATAGTCCGTAGTACCTCAAGGACGGTGATCTTTGAACGGTCTTCTTCTTTCGCCAGCGAGGCCGCAGTTGGAGCGGACACGTCCTCTGCTCCAGTCTTTGACCTGGTGTTTCGTTGCCGAACTTCTGACATTATGACGGTAGTCGCCGGAGCTTGCGGTAACTTGGGGTGATTCAGACTCAAGACGTTCTTCAAAGATATATATACAGGGAATGGAGGATAATGAGGACAGATAGCAAGGTAGTCAGCTATCGAAGATCTTTAACTATTAAACCTTCACGTCCCGGCTGAACTCATAACCCGCATCCAATTGGCCTATGAGTTGCGTTCTGGATATTAATATAAGTTCAGAAGACCATTCGTAAATAGATTGAAGCCATTGGTCTGTTATGCATATGGTGGTAAACGTATGATGACGGACCCCGTACCTTTTTATATCTGAGGCGGGGGGGGTTTCAAGAAGTACCAAATCTTATCGGTGCCATAATCAGCCACCTCCAGTTTCGAAAAAGGGTCGGGCTCTAAAAAGAATATCGTGTGTGCTACTAAGATTATACGTTGGAGGGCTCACAGTATCTACAATTATAGTACACTGTCATGATTCTTCGGCATTGTAAGGCACAAAAAAATTGCATATACGAGTCACAGGTAATGAAGAAAAGACTGTCGTCCTGAATCCCATGTCATTTGATATGCTACACCGAAGAGAGTTCCGAAAGACCCAGCAAATGCCTTCCCTTATCATGCCCCTCTACTAACTCTGACCGTAGTCGATATTGTAGGATAGGGTTCATAACATCGTGTAACACCAGATACCAAATCTCAAAAGAATCCTCTACTCGTCGGCGGTGATCGCACGAGCTATTGACATGTTAGTGTTGTTGCTTTGATGATTTTAAATGGTTCTCCAATAAACGTACTGTAGATGCTCAGCGCACTGTGCGAGACAACCTTCTTGATGATGCCCTTCTCCTCCAAGTCGGCCAAACATCTGCGGGCAACGGAGCCGTTGATCTTCATTCTGTCGACCAGGACCGCGACGGTGATCAGGCGGTAGGTCTGGACATCTTTGTAAAGCTTGTCAGAGGTGGCCTTGTCGAGGAGGACGGCGTGTTGGGCCTTGTCCTTGACTATAATGCGATTCAGTCAGCGATGGGCCTCCAGGTAACAGCTCATGCGGTGGGATTATCTCGCAGCGCAGAGGAGCAGAGTGGAAGTTTACGCACCCTTTCCCTTCGACCACTTCTTCTTAGCCTTCTTGGGTCCGGTGTTTGCTGGAGCCTATCATAATAGGTTAGTATGTGGTAATGAATGCACGCGGCTATTCGACGTCTGGCTAGCATATTTGACGCGAGAGCGAGTCTGGTAGCTTGTCTGTCGCAGAGTTCGTGCCTTCCGTAAGAGACGGGCATTTCGAAGCGACAGTCTCTGGAAGCTGGGTTGCTAATATGGATTGGCGCGCTGGGAATTCGAGGTTTCTTGTTGCCAACTCGATGCGGACAGAAACTCGTACCCATCCGACGCAGGCGAATTTTTTCCCCTCTTTCAGTGCGGAGGTCACATAGCAAGAACCTCAGTCGTTCGTTTGAGCGAACCTTTGTGGACTTGGCCGTTGACGATATGTGCGAGTGGCGAGGGGTGTTGGTGCGTCCAGAAATGCCGCCAGAGTGTCGTTCGAATCAAATATGCGTAGCCAGACGTCGAAAATAATTGTATCGCCAACATATTTTTGAAAGGAATCCAAACTCACCATTTTGTTGTCGTGTGTGGTGATGTCGGATGGATTCTCGCAATCCAGAGTGGTTTGAGGTGTGCAAAATCTTAGGGTTTGCTGGGTGGGCCGACTGGCCCTAGACTAAATTCTGCCTAGCTTCACCAGACGTTAGCGCACACAACTCGGTAAGCATTTTCGCGAATTGAGCAACAGAATTAACGACGAGGCCGACGCTCAATTTCTTCACCAATCCATCCGACATCGACATCGACAATCGCAATCATGTCTGACAGCGGAGAAATCGAAGTTGAGGCCATCCAGGGCTACCAGGTTCTGCCCAAGGATGTTACCGCTGAGATTGGCAGCATCAAGCTGTTCAACAAGTGGGTTCGTAAACCCGACGACTTTATCGAGTCGACTTCTAGGCGCGAGGAACAATGGGGCTGACGATATTTTTACAGGCTTACGATGAGGTTGAGGTCCGCGATATCTCTTTGACGTAAGAATCCCTATTCCGCGACTTGGTTGGAGAGTTGGACAGCGGCGCACGCACAAAAAAAGAGCCATTCTGGGGCCAGAACAAGAAGGAGCCATGAGAACAACGGCTAACATACAACTCTACAGCGATTACATCCAGATCCGTGCCCCAGTCTACATCTCCCACTCCGCTGGCCGTTACGCCGCAAAGCGCTTCAGGAAGGCACAATGCCCGATCATCGAGCGTCTCACCAACTCTCTCATGATGAACGGCCGCAACAACGGAAAGAAGCTCATGGCTGTCCGCATCGTCGCCCACGCCTTTGAGATCGTACGTGCCCAACTGCAACATGCTGCCAACTACCGTCCACTAACAATTTTCAGGTCCACATCATGACCGACCAGAACCCCATCCAAGTCGCCGTCGATGCCATCGTCAACTGCGGACCTCGCGAGGACTCCACCCGTATCGGATCCGCCGGTACCGTCCGTCGTCAAGCCGTCGATGTCTCCCCTCTCCGCCGTGTCAACCAGGCCATCGCTCTCCTCACAATCGGTGCCCGCGAGGCCTCTTTCCGCAACGTCAAGTCCGTCGCTGAGTGCTTGGCTGAGGAGCTGATCAACGCTGCCAAGGGAAGCAGCAACTCGTACGCCATCAAGAAGAAGGACGAGTTGGAGCGTGTTGCCAAGTCCAACAGATAAATATTGTCTCGTTTTCCTGGGCATGGATGGAGTGGAACGGATGGGTTTTGCATGTTTTCGAGCTTTGTCTTTATGGGGCTATGCAAGGATGCAGAATGTCACGTAGATTGCTCATTTGAATGCTACACTCATGAAACAAACATACTTAGCACCTGTACCATTCTGAGATTATCGGTTCTACTTGATTGTGAATGTTCTGAGTTCCCTTCTAACACGCACCGAGGAACCAGAGGGGCAGTAGAGTATTACTCTCTCCTATTGAAGTTAGGCTGTGGAAACCGAAGAGTTCTCATATTTCAGAAGCAAGTTATGAGTAGCAGTTGCCCCTATATCAAGAGAAAATAAAAGCCACAGGTTTTTTATACTAATAACATTTTAGTTATAATATACAATATACATAGTGAGCAGCGTTCAACCCAACCATCCCACCACCACACAACACAACACAACTCCCTCCCTACATCCCCTCACCTCGGCACCTTAGGGAACACACTCATATCATACCCATTCCCCTTCTCCAACGCCCTCCTATACGCCGGTCTATCATAACACCTCTGCAACCACTCATCCAGCCTCGGAAACTCCACTCCCAAATCCAAATACCCCCTATGCCTAACCATCGTCATCGGAAACTCCAAAATCACATCCGCCCTCCCCGGCCGCTCCCCCATAAAGAACCCCCCCTCTGGCCCCCCCACCAACTCCCTCTCCAAACTCCCCAACTGCTTCCGCAACTCCGGTCCATCCAACACCCCACCCATGGGCCCCTCCCCAGTGCGTATCAGCCCGAAATCAAGCATCATAATGAACCCCGTCGCTCTCTGCAGATTCGTGCACGCCATGGAGGTGATAACTTCATCTCTCACCCAGTCCCCATCTTTCAACCCAAACTTGTCGTCAGTGTCGAAGGTGCGGATTAGGTATGTAGCGATGGCCAGCGATTCTGGGATGGTGCGGTTTCCATCTTTGGGGCCGGTGATGAGGAGGGGTGCTGTGCCGTGGGGGGAGACGGCGACGAGGGCGGGGGGGGATTGGAATGGGGCGGTGGGGTGGGTGGGGGGGTTGCGGGTGTGCAGGATGAGGTTGTATTCTATGTCTAGCTCTTCGAGGAGCCAGAGAATGCGTTGGGATTGTGAGTTCTGTGGTGGGGTTAGCAAGCTGAGGGGAAGGGTGGTGGGGGAACGCACGTTGAGGTGGTGGAAGGTGGGCTTGTTGTCTGACATTGTGATTGTGGGGATGTTTCGCCGCGGGGTGTTGTTGGAATTGAAGAGGGTTGATGAGAGAGAAATGGATAAGGCGGGGAGAGCTATACATATACTTCTTCAACTAACCTATTGATGTCGTCGTCGATGACTATTTTGTAGGATATATTATTATTATTACCAAGATCGTGGTCTAGACCAAACCACTTATAAATACGGACTTTAACAGACGCCCGAATTCAACTAGGTTTAAACTCCTTCAGAGTCACAAAAAACACCATGGAATTATCGGACACCGTTCCCTGTATCTCCGCCCCTTGTAACTCCCCGTTTTGGGAAACTCCAAAAAGATCCCATGACCAAAAATATCAAAAAATCAAATACCAAACAAAACATCATAGTTATTAAGTTGACTAATTATCTACAGAGCTCCCCTTATGCGCCTTTCTCTCTAAACAAGAACGGCGATAAACGCGCTCCAGATCGAAAATGATAAAAAGAGTCAACTACTCCGAAAAAAAAACAGCAGGCAACCACCAAACACCATATGACCGTTTTTGATAACACCGTACACCGAGTGCTATGCGGCGCTGCTTATAGAAAAACAAACAGGTACTCAATTCAAATTCTCTCTTCCATCGTTCCATTTCGCCCCTAAACCCTGTCCCCCACGTTCCGGTTCGTCCCGGTCATCGCCGGTATGTCCAGAAAACTCCAGACCAACCGATATTCACGTACTCCTCTGGCATTCGTAATTCCATATTACAGTCATATTCCTGACTCATTGCTTCAAGCCCTGTTCATCCGTCCTCTTGACATACTCCGCGCGCTCCGGGGCGCCGTCGCCATTCCCGAGCTCAACGGCGCGGACACCTCGCGACCCTTCTTGGGTGTCATCAACTTGCTCACTTGCGTCTGGTGCATGCTCCTTGCTCGACCTCTGCGTTCGCGGATCATAGCCAGGGCTTCCTCTCTGGACATCGTGGGGCTTAGCGCCGGGTCGAGGGAGGATGAGACGGCGGGGGTGGAAGAGGGGCGCTCGATAAGTGTCGAGTCGGAATCGGACGGTAGTGCTAGAGGGACTCTAGTTGTGGTTGAGATTGTGTGGAAGATTGGCTCGGAGTGCTCTTCATGGATGTGAGCTGGTGGGGTTGGGGCGGCTGGGCTTGATGATTCGACAGTTGGGTTTATGGCGTTGTTAAGATGCGAGGGGAACTTCTTGTTGAAAGCGGCACGATCTGTGGATTTTTGCCTGCTGTGTGAGAACCTTGGGCTTGCAGCATGTGAAGGATCCAAGGACTCGTTCCTTCCGTGGTTGCGGTAAGATGGCACCTCTTGGGGCGCCTCACTCATGCGCTGTGGACTCTGGCGATGAATGATGGTTGCCTCGCTCTCGGCGGGGCTGGGTGGTGCATCGAGAAGCGACATGAGAGATGCGCCTTCGGGGAGGATTGCAGCACTTGGTGGTTCACACGAAGGGGTTCTGGCGTGGAATGAGGGGCGGTTGGGGGTGTTGGAGAAGTTGATTAGAGGCTCGGCCCTCGATGGCTGGTACTGCTTCGGAGGAGAGATCCAAGGAGATTCTTGTGGCGGAGGTGAGACGGTGCGGAAAATTCCTTCTGCGGGGATGAATAATGTGCGTTGGAGCGCCTCGTTTGCGCGTCCTATATCGGATTCTTCGAGTTGGTCTTCGTCCTCTGTTACCTCCTCAGGTTTGATAAGTTCCTCTCTTGTCGTGTCTGGCCCAGCTGTCCGCATTGCCTTTGGAGAAAAGGCGGGCAACGGAATGCCCGTCCTCTCGGAGACTTTGCAAGAGCAGCAGTTGAAACGGCACTCCACTTCCATAAACTCCACTTGGTCAAAGGCTCGGTCAGCCCTATGCTGTTCCCACTCCAAAGCCCGCTTGAGATTCTCGATTTCATCTTCGCTTGCAAGAGAAGACATGACAGAAATTCTCCGCAGAGGAGCGGTCGCCTTTCTTGGAGAAGCAAACTCGTCGTCTTCGCTCAGCTTTGGCAAGGGAAGTTGCCCCTCAGCGGCTATCCTCGCAACCTCCTCATTCTTTGCAATAGTCCTCAGTGCATCCCGCTCTTGTTCCACCAATTTCATTTTTTCCACCATTCCTGCAAACTCCTCTTGAAGCCCCACCAGTTGGTATCGCGCCTCGAATGCCTCTTGTTCTCTCTTATTACTGCGCTCTTTCTCATCGTCCACATCCGATTGTGATTTCCTCAATTGTGTGCGCACAGCTTTGAGTTCTTCCTGCAGTTTGACGATGACAGATTGTGATTTAAAGGTGTCCTTTCGTGCCCTCCTGATTTCCTTCTCCCATAATGCTTGCGTGTGCCCGTGTGTCTCTTTCGCTCTGCCATAGTTTTCCTAGAAAGAGTTAGCATCATATACATTTAGCTTCGTGGCATTGAACCTTACCATGACGTTTTCCAGCCTTACTCCCACTTTCCTCTCCCTATCTTTGCCCTCCTGCACCTCTTTCCTTAACGATCGTGCCTCATCTCTGTATCGGCGCATCTCTGATTCAGCCTCCTCTCGTCCCAACATTGCGCGCTTGAGAGCCGCATCGTTCGTTCTCCGTTCCAGCGCCTTCCCTTGGAAGGCCAAAGTGTCGAACTTTGCCGCTTTCTCGTGCACGGAGCTGTCCCTCGAGTGACTTTGCTCCTGGTCGAACAGGCGCACTCTCGCTGAGGTATCTACATCGTATCGTTGCTGGTTGACTCTGTCAGGAGAAACCTGGTTGAGCGGGGCCCCGGACGAGGCCGGAAATTTGTAGTTTGGATCCATCGGTATCCGAAGATCTGTGAATGTGAGGATTGTGGACGTATGCACTGGTGACAATTACACCGAAGACCCCGATTATGTGGACTGTGATATCGATGATCGTGTATCGTTGACTCGGTTACGCGCAATCCTGGGTTCTTCAACCGTGCAGTAAACACAGACGTCAAATGCGGCCTAGCGAGTTTTCGCGGTTGCTATGGCTGTACGGCACGTCTAGCTGCATCTGGACATTTGATAACAGGTCACGTGCCGATAACCGCCAACAGAAAAATTTATGGGACGAAAACGAGATAGGGAGGGATTAGCGGGTAGTATTTCCCCTTATTAGGGTCTGGAGCAACTACGGAGAAGGACTAGAGTTATCTATCCATCCATGTACGGAGCACAGTCAAGAAATTTGTATCCATTTGGATCCGTTTCTCCGTCCGGAGTATGTCCAGGTATACTATGGAGACTCAAATTCCTTGTTTGACGGCTCCGTAATTGCCGCATCGCACGTGACTAACAGCCTACAGTCTACAACCTCGGATCGGTTTTTTCTCCTTTTCCTTGGGTGACCTTGGTTGTAACAACAGGGAACATGTTACTAATGACTCGGGCTGGGAAAAAATAATAACGAAATAGTAAATCAAAATGGCCTTCATAACGAGTACTAAATGTCCATTTGCATAGTTTCTTCATACTCTTGACATATACGGTATCTCGGCTTACCCGCATTTTTTTTTGCCTACAATCAGACTATAAATGGATATCTGCAATTTGAATTTGAATGGCCAATTTTGTCGTATTGGACCTTGGTACATGCCTTGGGCTGCAAGTCTGTAAATTGAGACATTTTGCTGTAACATTAGTGGTTCAGTGCTGGTAAAAACTGTGGTTCTAACAAGCCCCAACTGGCCCCAACTGGCCCCAATGGACCCAACCCCATGCTAATATTTGTTCCGTTGCGGCAAAAGATCATGTCCCGAATCGCCCCGACACAATTTTCTTAGCGCGTGTCGCTAGCACGCTCCTCATCGCTCGCCTACTCAAAATTCTGTCTTCCTCCCCTTCTTTTAAATACTTCCATCCTATTGCCGTTCTCTACATCACCAGTTTCTTCATTCTCGTAGAACACATCTCCCCTCAATCCTTCTTCTGCAAATTTGTCAAGTTTATTCTTTGATAAACCGCAAAAATGGGTGCCGTCGTCGAAGATAAGAAGTCCTTCATGGGCATGCCCGTAAGTTTTCTCTCCATCCGTCCGATCACCTCAGCCAGCACCATCCACATTCAGCACATCTCATCAGCAATCGACTTCAACGCCATCATGCAGCATCTACAGATCTCAATGGACATCATACTGCCATTTTCAAGATGATTGGATGCTTCAATTGGTTGTCGCGGAGCTGTATGAGATGGTGTTGTGGTCGATTGAAATTTTCACGTTCGCTCCTTTATTCCAGTAACTAACTCAATTCTTCAATAGGGCTTCGTTGTCGATTTCTTGAGTATGTCAAACCACATCCAATACCTTCCAGCGATAAATTCGATGAAATTGCTGCTGCCAGCAACGGACCGAATTTTCCGCACCCTGAAGGCTTTATCAACAACGATCAATACTGACAATTGCTCCCAGTGGGTGGTGTCTCCGCCGCCGTCTCCAAGACTGCCGCTGCTCCTATCGAGCGTGTCAAGCTCCTGATCCAGAACCAGGTATGTTGCAAAACCCTTATACTCCGAAACACTCCAATCTGCAGTGCTGTAAACATCGCGCCTAGCTCGCCATCTCCCCAGGTGACATAGGTAGCTCAAACGCGTCAGCGATGTTCCGGTGCTTGCTTTTCGGGGCTGTTTTTGGGATGTTTTTCAGGAACCAATTGCTAATACGCAACTTTAGGATGAGATGTTGAAGTCTGGTCGTCTCGACCGCAAGTACGATGGTATCACTGAGTGCTTCAAGCGTACCATCAACCAGGAGGGTGTCGCTTCCCTCTGGAGAGGAAACACCGCCAACGTCATCCGTTACTTCCCTACCCAGGCCCTTAACTTCGCTTTCCGCGACACCTACAAGGCCATGTTCGCCTTCAAGAAGGAGCGTGATGGATACGCCAAGTGGATGATGGGTAACCTCGCATCCGGTGGTGTAAGTTTTGTTCTGCCTTTGATCGTAAGATTTTTACTGACTGATATAGGCTGCTGGTGCCACTTCCCTCCTCTTCGTCTACTCCCTGGATTACGCCCGTACCCGTCTTGCCAACGATAACAAGAACGCCAAGAGCGGTGGTGAGCGCCAGTTCAACGGCTTAGTCGATGTCTACAAGAAGACCCTCGCTTCCGACGGTATTGCCGGTCTTTACCGTGGTTTCGCTCCCTCCGTCTTCGGTATCGTCGTCTACCGTGGTCTCTACTTCGGAATGTACGATTCCATCAAGCCAGTTCTCCTCGTCGGCCCTCTTGAGGGTAACTTCCTTGCTTCTTTCGCTCTCGGATGGTCCGTCACCACTGGTGCTGGTATCGCTTCTTACCCTCTGGATACTATCCGTCGTCGCATGATGATGACCTCTGGTGAGGCCGTCAAGTACAAGGGCTCCTTCGATGCTGGTCGCCAGATCATCGCCAAGGAGGGTGTCAGGTCTCTCTTCAAGGGTGCTGGTGCCAACATCCTTCGTGGTGTTGCCGGTGCCGGTGTCCTGTCCATCTACGATCAGATGCAGCTGATCCTTTTCGGAAAGGCCTTCAAATAGATAACTCGACCAGTTATGGGTAGTAGTGGATAAAAATGGTGTGTGACGGGAGGTTCTGATAATGGTGTGCTACGATGGACGTTGTTGGGAGCCGGGTGGATAAGTTGTTGCAGACATCCATTGCCATGGTTCTGGAGCAGCTTGCGGTTGTTAAGGGTAGACCTTGATGCTGCTGTACTTTATAGCCTACGCAATTTTTTCCTGATGTATTTCTCTTGACTTTTTGATAACGATCAAACACCCCACTGGATTTTATTTTTTTCTCTTCGTTGGCTGTTTCGCGCGCACATGCGACGATAGATATGGGACTTGATTATGAAATAGAGAGGCTTACTTTAACCGCGCCGTGCATTACGTATCGTGACGTTTATCGTGATTCCCCTTGCAGCGTAGACGCCGTGTTATGCAACTCTCCCGTGTCACGAGTACAGAGCCGATGCAGTCCTTGGTTGGTAGGCAATTGCATTTAAGTGGGCTTTTTGTGCCGTTTAACTCCCGTGGTGAGCCCTATTCGCGGTACAGTATTTGGGATTCTGTAATAGATATCCTCGGCTCCCATTATGGCTTGGTTACTTTCAGCATAGGATTTAACCACAGAATAATGTGTGGCAATTTCATATAAATACTAGTTGTGGTTTTAAAAATAGTCTTTCATTTCCTAATATTTATAGCATCTCGAGAAAAATAAATCACAATGAATGATATTGATAATATCCACTACAACAAGACCCCTAAAATACCCCATACAGCTACAAACCACCACCCTACCCACTCAGAAACCCCCTCTGCTGATTCCTCGCAAGCTCCGCCGTAAACGCATCAATCTTCACCGCAATCAAAACACATTCCACCGCACTCTTATCATTCGAAGCCGCCTGCACCCTCACCCTCCACTGCCCCGTCCTAACAGTCCAGACCTCGCTCTCCGCGCCTCCCTCCACTCTCCTCCTCTTCCTCGACGGCGCATCCACATCCACCACACCATCTTCCTCCATCTTCACCCCACTCTCCCCCTCCTCCTCCTCCTTCCACACCTTCCCATCCAGCACAATCGAACTTCCCCCCTCAAACACAACCTTCACACCCCCTTCCCCCAACGTCCCACTCGCCGGGCTCTCAGGCTGACTCCCCGCTCCACTCCCCATCAGCAGACCCATGGGACGTGCATTGGGCATGTTGATTTTATTAGCCAGTACCTCGACGAGGCGATTAACTCTTTTCTTCGCATCGCCGGAGAACTCAGCGCGCATGGTGTCGACGTCAAGACGTGTGCATTCCCCACTGATCTCGATGATGAGCTCGTGCGGCGTGGTGTCAACGAAAGGACGCATGTAGTGCACCCACCCCGACATACTGGGCGCGGAGTAGCGGAGATGTCTTGCGAAAGGCTCGGGAGAGGGGACAGTCTGGAAGGGTGCATCGAAGGTGATGCTTAGGCCCGGCTGGCGGATATCTTCTAATCGGATAGTTATCTCATCCTTCCCGCGCTGGAGATTATGCGATATAGAATGCGGTATGAGTTTCTGCTCCAGCCCCTTGAAGAGGAAATATCTACAATCTCTAAGCAGTTCGGCACGGTGGGCTTCGTTGCGGATGTGCAGCGGGTAGCCCTTGAGCATGTGGATTAGCTCAGCGAAGACTTCGCCGGAGCGGCTGGGGACGGCGGGGGGGACGATGGAGGGCGGCCGAAGGAGGCCGGCGCGGTCGAGGCCGGGGAAGACGGCGTCGGTGGAGGAGAACATGACGGCGAAGCCGAGGGTGAAGTAGTTGGGGGTGTCGCCGGGGGCGGTGAAGAGGTCTTTTTGAACGCGGAATTCGCGCCCGCCGATGGAGATGTAGATGTTGTCTTCAAAGAGCTGGCTTACTAGCCTTGGTACTGGGAATGGGATTAATAGAGGCTGGGGATGGGGTGGCAGGTGCACTTACGTTGGTAGAATTGGGCGTCGGCGAATAGCTTGACGAAGTGCGATCCATCGCGGGGCTGGATGTGGTAGCCCTGTAGATGCCGCGATATATCGGAGAATATCGTGGGATCTCGGTCGATGTATAACGTCTTGATTCCTTGGTCTGGTTCGCCCTGTGCCCTGCGGGTCTCGGCCGTGGCTAGCTGGCACTTAAAGTACTCCGAGAAATATGAGGGTGCTCTAGGTTTCTCAGCTGGGGTTCTAAACGCTGTAGAAGGTGGTATAAAAAGATATGTTTCGTGAGATAACAGGGAATAGCTTGCAGACAGTATGTTTGCATGTGAAGGAAAAGGGGGTCATATAACTCAATGGCTCAATATTCAGGTGAATAATCACCAATTCGATGGAGACCAAAGTCATCTTGACGCGTCCAGACACCCATCCCCATCACCACATGCACTCCCCAATATGAAAAACGAGCCAGAACCAGACAAGACAGATAGAAATAATAAATTACATACCATCAGAACTGATACTGGCCCCGCTCAACCTAAATAGCTTGCTCCCGATCTGAATCGGAAACACCTTCTCGTGTGGCAAAACATGAGGGATCTCTAGTCCCCTCACCGTCGCCGGATCTCTCACAATTCCCGGGGCTCCGTGTCCATTCCCCATTAAGCTCGCCATCACTGCGGATGATGTCTTCTGACAATGGGACGCGCAGAAAGGCGATTGTTCACAAGCCCACGTGTGTGACGTCGATTACACGTGACGACGTGTTTGGCACTCTCGTCTGGCCAAGTCGGTATCAATTATAGAGTGCTTTCCTCAGTTAAAACGGCGATTGGAGAGGAAAGGTGACAGGATGTGGGGATTTGATGTTGCTTTCTCAATTCCAGATCACACTGGGATGATTGTGTCAGCACAGCTATCCTTCTTTTGGCGTACCTCTCCGGTGTGTCACGTGATCCAACATTGTGCCTGTTCAGCATAATTTAACCCAAAACTGTAAAACCGACATGGAATTTACCTAACAGTATGTAGTTTGAGATGGAAATTATTTAAAATTACGTGTATATCGTATTTATAATACTATCTTACAGCGAAGTCTTGGGGATTTTGATTATGTTCCCAGCAAAATACAATTTTCAATGCATGCACAGATGATTTATTTTAAAACTTTTAAAATAAAAATATAGAATGTCCACATTCAATTCTCTCAATACTTAAAAAATCAAATACTCCATCGCGATAGCCGCGGTATACGAGTGTAGAAAAAAGACTCAAAATTATAGCACGCCTCTTCCCATGGCCTTTCCCCTTTCCCTCCTCTAAATTGTCATACAGTTGTTTTATCACACCAAAACCCCCATCACAGACCCGCCACTTTACAGCAGCATGGCAGCACCGAGAGCGACGAGACCAGCCAAGTATGGTGCGTTAAGAGTGCCGGCACCGCCGCCTGGAATGGTGGTAGAGTTGCTGACGCCCGAACCAGCACCGACAGAGCCAGCGCTGGTATCAGTGCTAGAGGTGGTGTCGGTGCCCGAGGTGGTATCGGTACCAGAGGTGGTATCGGTGCCAGTGCTAGATCCAGAGCCGGAGCTGGTGTCCGATCCGTTGCTGGAGCCGGTGTTGGTTCCAGTGTTGGTGTTTCCACTTGGTGCCACGGTGACTGGTGCAGCTGCAGCGCCAGCGATGTAGGCGTCGAGGGAGCGGGATGCGTTCTTAGCGGTGCTGCGGGAAGGTTAGATTTTATTTCTGTATGATTAACGGCATTCTGAACTTACTTCTCGTTGATGACCATCACCATGCCGTTCTGGCAATGCTTGCCCTGGGCGCAGTACAGCCAGATTGGAGTCTTATCGACGATGGGAATAGTGTATAGTGGAGCGGTCGTTGCGTCAGCTGCTACAGGCATGAATCCAGTGCTGATGCCGGTGACGTTTGTGCCAGCTCCCAGAGGTAGACATGGTGCATCGAAGGTGGACTGGGTGACGGTGTGGTTTCCAACGCCGAACTGGAACTGAACCATGTCGCCGACATCAGCGACGAGGTTGTTCGGGGAGAAGGTGAGAGTGTTGGTCTTGCCGGAAACCCAAACCACATGGACCTTGACCTGTCCCTGGGCGAAGACGGTGGAGGAGTAGAGGGCCGCGGCGGCAAGGGTGATCTTTGAGAATTGCATGATGAAGTTGGTTGAGTGAAAATTGATTGATTTCGTGGAGATGATGAGAGTTGAATTGAACGAATGTGGATTTTCTGAAGGCGACTAGCGCTTTATGATTGAACTGACCGGCAGGACTTATTAACAAGTAGAAGTGAAGAATGAAAGATGAAAATGGACAATAGAAAGCGAAGAGAACAACAGCAGAAAGACGCAGGATAAGGAAGAAAAGGAAGTTTGGAAACAAGTGGGAAGAGGAAAGCATAAATAAGGAAAGGAAGGAAATTGGCTTGGGTGTCTGGGACCTCTGGCCCTGCGTTTGAGGGCCTCAGGGGGGAGATAGTGGTGGGACGGGAGAAGAGAAAAAGCTGGCGTGGCTTGGGGACCTAGTATGGTATTGAAACTGTTTCGTGAAGGTCATCGGATATGGGAGCCACAATAGCCAAGACGTATTGACGTCCCATCAACTTCGTTGAAGGGGTTCAAAGGGGTGTTGCATTGGCGGCCGGGAAGGTAGCGCCGTGCGCCTTGGCCTCGACCACGGCAGCCAGGTTATTCCTGTCAACGGCGTTGTGTCACTTCAGCCTCCATCGTCAACGATGTACGCACCGGCGTACGTCGTAGCTCACGAAGACTGAACGAAGTATTAAACAATTCTCACAAATCTGGATCAGTACACGAATAAAGTACGTATGCTTCAATGCTTCAAACTATTCGTAAATAACGTACGAGTCTCCCATATTCATCTCGGACAGCACAGGCCGCCGGATCTTGAAGTGCCCGCCCAGAGGTTGCTGGGGTCAAATCTGAAGCACACAAGGGTTTTGTCGTGGTCGCGGAATGCTGCTCTGAGGTTAAGCGAGTTTCATAGAACCGCTCAGGCCTGGCCGGCATCAGACGAAGCCACCAGCCAAGGGAACCAACGCACGCACCATTGTAATTGACGAGAACGGTAGTTTTTAATTTGCATCTTAATTGAGATTGGATAACCTTATCGTTTCTGCATAGCCGAAAGCGATGGAACGAAACAAGCGTAGACATTGAAGCTCAACATATACGATCACGTGATCTGACATATTGTACGAGACCATTTGTTCAGTCCAGCTCCGAGGGTGGTACATGGACATGATCTTTCGCTTCTTAGTATCCTTATCCTTTGTAGGATTTGGGGTATTCGGTCATGGCGCTCGTGGCCGGATTCGTTCGGCCTTCCCCGTATCTCCCACAATCGTACCTTCTGTGTGTGCCTTCGAATTCAGTGTCTTTACTTCGACCGTTGTCTCATAAGGCAGCTCTTTCATAAGCGCTTGGCTTGGCTGGCTTCTGAGCACAGCGAGCCTACCTGTACTAATATTTCTGTGCTGAACTTCGTCAATGTCGATGGATCTCATGTCCGAAGCAGCGTGCCGCCCGAGGTATCCCCCCTGACGAACCCCTTTGGAAACCTCTCATGATAAATATTCCATCACAACACTCAATCATTCCCCTTCAAAAATCAAGTACCAGCTGCGGCGCTAACTTCTCCAAATCCTCAACCTGTAAATGCCACATTAGCCCCTTATCCTCACCCCCACCATGCCCACGTTCCATTAGAACAACATACCTCCAAAAACCCATCTCCCTTCCCATCCCCTCCCCTCTCATACGCCGCCCTCGCAATCGCCTCCCTCACGAAGGTTTCCATATACTTCCCCACCGCTTTATCCGCGCCCCTACTAATCCTCGTGCGCTCGTCCGCAAAGAACTCCGTCAGCAGCGTCGTTAAAAGAGCCGGAGGTATGGTCTCAGTGGGCGCATCGGGCGCGAGGGCGTTTTCATCATCGTTGTCATCGGGGTTGGGGCGTGAGGAGGGGGTTTCGGTGGTTGTCGTGGCTGTGGTGCGAGAGGAGGAGGGGGCGGGGGCGGGTTTGGCGCGTGAGGATGTGCTGCCAGTGGAGGGGCGTTGGGGTTTGAATGGTTTGGTCTTTGAGGCGGAGCGGTCGGGTGGCATAGTGTCGGATGGGGATATTGGGGGCTTCAGTGTTTAATCTTGTGTTGGAGGCTGGGATGGGAGTATGTTTGTTCCCAGGGTTGAAGGCGTGTTGGCGTGAGGAGTAGGACGCGAGGCATGGGAGGTTTTGACGCGTCGACACGTGACCTGAGCCCAAAATGTACATAACGTCATATACCCTGGCCGCCTCTCATTTAAACTTCATTCTTTCACCATCTATACTTGAAGTATATTTGAAAAATAAAGAGCGAGAAGAGTGAACTTACCCATGTTAGTAGCCGCAAAAATTAGCCGTGTTCAGCTGATCTATTACGTCGAAAACTGGGAGCCAGAGTTGGGTTAGCTAAGGTAAGACGCATAGTCAGCTTACCTATCGTATTACCTTCCCTATTCAAGGTTGAATTAAGTTATGTAGTACATAGATGATACACCCTGTTCGTAATCTGATTTTACATCCCTAGACATTTGTCTCCCTCTCACGCCAACACGGCCTAAGCCTCAAATCTGCAAGTGTAAGGCAATCATCATGACATCTAACCTCGCTCATATCGCCAGCAAAATCCAACAGCAGGTCTCAGAGCTGCAACCTAGTAATGAAGAACAGCGATTGAGCCTTCTTCAGTCTGCCCGTGCCCTCGTCAACGAACTCGAAAAACCCCATGAACGCATCATGCGCATGTGCTATCATGAGAGCGCAATCTTCATGGCAACAAAAGTTCTCATTGACCTGGGCATTTTTAAAATCCTCACAAAGACCTCCGAGCCAATAACCGCATCTAAGCTAGCCCAAGATACTGGCGCAAACCGTGCTCTTGTAGAGCGTCTCCTTAAGCACGTTGCAGTCGAGTTCTTCGTGGATGAAGCCGGGCCAGATACATACATTGCGAACGACATCACACGGTGCATTGCATCATCTGGGGGCCAAGGAACGATCGAGGATACATTCCAGATCGTCCGCGTTGCCAACGCGGTTCCTGACTTTCTAAGGGAAACCAACTACGCGAATCCGACGGACAAGGATAAGACTACGTGGAAGTATGCGTACAAGACAGACCAGCACTATTTCGAGTATGTGAATAGTCCTGGGCGGGAGCGGAATCTAGAGGCGTTCTGCAATCATATGGAATTCAAGACGGTTGGGCTAAAGTGGTATGAAGTGCCGGAGATTATGGAGGCTGCGCTTGGGGATGCGAAGGTTGGAAAGGATGATGTCCTGCTTATTGATGTTGGAGGCAACGGTGGACACGACTTAATCGGCTTTCATACAGCACATCCGTCCATGCCAGGCCGCTTGATCCTCCAAGACCTTCCCGCAATCATCCAATCCCTCGACTCTGCTGCGCTAGCCCAGCAGGGCATCGAAGTCATGGGTCACGACTTCTTCACGTCCCAGCCTATCCACGGTGCTAAAGCGTACTATCTCAAGATGTGCCTACATGACTGGCCGAACCCGCAATGCATTCAAATCCTCTCACAACTAAAGCATGCCCTGAAGCCCGGGTATAGTAGGATCTTGTTGAATGAGATTGTGGTCCCGGACGAGAAGGCAGGATGGTTTGAAACTAGTGTGGATCTGCTAATGATGCAGGTGCATTCAGCGCAGGAGCGGAGGGAGCGAGAGTGGGTAGCTTTAGTGGATGCGGTAGATGGGTTAAGGGTTAAGCATATATGGGATGTGGACGGGGCCGTGGAGAAGGTTATCGAGATTGAGGCGGTTTGAGGCACTTGGAAGCAAACCTCATTTAGAGTTCTGGTTCTAGAAGTAAAAAAACATCCAGCTTCCTAGTTAACTCGGGCTAGATGGCGATGCTGTCATGTATGCAGCCACCAAGGTCAGTCACAGCTAAACTCCGTAAGTTATAATTGTAATTTATTTTTATACATATCTAAAGTACAATGCTTGAAATATTGAATATGTAAAGGGTGAATACTACCACAAGGAGAGCCGTGTCAACCGTTCGTGGCAGCAGAAGTCGCACTGAGAACCCCAACCACCACCATCGACCTAAAAAACCGAGATCTCAGGGACCATCCGATCTATTTCGTCATCCCCTTATACGCCACAATTCTCCTATCCCCCGCATACTCGGTCAGGGTATACCACTCTCCCCTCGCCTCATGATAACTGAGATCCTCCGCCCCAGCCGGAAACCAGCCTTTGGCCAACTTCGCCGCGTTGCCCGGAATCCAACTCCACAAATCCGCAGCAGGCGACGCGCTGCGCGCAAAATAGAACTTGCCCTTCCATGACATCCCGCCTTGCATCTTGAGGATGTTGATGCACGATGCCCAGGTCGCGGTGGCAACATTGGCCGTTGTAGCGAGCTTGCGGGTCGTGTAGTCGAGGGGGTAGCGGATGACGCGGATGGGCGTCTTGACATCGGTTTCTTGGTATTCGCCGATAATGAGACTGTCAGGGGTGGTGCTGCGGTCGAGAGAGACCCAGGAGTGGCGGAAGGGGGAGTCGGGTTGTTTGGATTTCCAGTCGAATTTCCTGTCAGGCGGTCAAAATCAGACTCTGCGCCGATGACCTGTGGGAATCGGGAAGAGTCAATGACTTACCACATCTGAGGAAGCACGTATGCGTAGTTGTTGGCAGAGTATTTCCCCGTCTTCGGATCCTTCCCCACTCTGTCCCCAGCGCCGACAGCCCACATACTACTCACGTTGAACACGCGGAGTCCATTGTCCGTATCCACAACATACAGCGCATCACCATACCACATAATTCCTCCCGCGTGCACCGAGACCTCTTTGAAATCATCATCCGCACTCGGCTCTACGAGCAACACATGGCGATACTTATGCGTTGAGCGATCAATAAAGCTGATCCGTGCCTTCTTCTTCTCGTTCGCCGCGGCCTCCTTCTGGTACCAGCTCACGGCCCAGACGGAATGGCCTTCATACTTCCCATTCCCGAGAGCGTCACCAGAGCTGCTGATTCCCTGGGGATAGTATTTCTTCGTGTCGTCGTCGCCGTCGTTCCAGCCCCAGCTCTCGACAGGTTTGCCGTTACCAGTTTTTGGGGCTTTCTTGACGAGTTGTCGGTTTGCGTTTGTGAGGACCTGGGTCATGGAGACGGTCTTGAAGTGCTTAGAGAGCTTGGTGGTGTGGGTGTTGGCGGAGTAGGTGAGCTTGAAGTTTTTGGCGTCGAGGAGGGGGAGTTTGGCATCGTTGCGGTTGCAAGTTCGAGGATCTGCAGCTGCGACAGCGGCGGTGGCAAGGAGGCCGAGGGTGAGGAAGGAGGGAACAATCATCTTCAAGAATGGAATGAGTGAAGATTTAGTTTGTAGATTGGTGGATATTAGAGACAGGTTTTTTTTTGTTTCGACGGGTCCTTATGAGACTTTATAGAAATATTGTTACAAGGCCTAGAGCGGGTTTCTGATGCCTACCCCCTCAGCCTCGTAAAAAACATACTGGATCTTCGCTCATCTCATCCTTTAAGATTATTGTCCACTCCCTCCTCACCCCAGCCTCCCTCCTACCGCCGCTCTTGCAGCCGAAAATCACCGAAACGGTCCCAAACTGTCTCTCCTCGACGCCACACTTACCCACAGTGCATATCCACGAGGCAAACCGCGGGAAGCTATACGGCGCTAGTAATGTAGATCATCGAGCTTACTTCGATGTCGTGTTCTTAAAATAAGACATGGAGCAATAATCCCACCGCCTTACACCCTAAGCAACCCCCTAGCTCAAAATTAGTTACTGCCCATGAGAATTTGCTATGCAGCTTGTGCAGATTGAAATTAGGTCCACCCTTTGGGAACAGGGGTTTCGTGCCGCCGTCATTTATTCCGGGAATTTCTGGGGGGAGGTCGTAATCGAGGGATCTGCTTCCCCGCGCACGCTATGGATAAGCAAGAAGGACGGAGCACGCGATCAAAAATACGATCAAAAACAATATACAATGTTGCGTTCTCACCACATATCTCCTTCGGATATCAACTGAATACTTTCTAACTCTATCTTCAAGCAAGACTAGAGATGTTGAAGGCTGTACATATTCGGAGAAATGACACTATTTTGACATTAGCGTTCACAAGCTTCCACCTGTCAAATCCAAAATATGCCTTGCCAAGCCTTCTAAGCCACCCGCCCCTCCATCCATAAGCCCCCTGAATTCTCCCGCCGCCCTCCCCGCTTTAAGTCCAAACAATATTCAACTTTCTCACATGAATGCTGGCTCTTATAATTCACCAAACCCGAAGCCGACCTGGTTATGATCCATGTTCTCCCTCGAGCACGAGTCTCTACTAAATCTTTAAAAAGTCAACCTTTCATCGTTTCTATCACTACGTAGAGCATATCAGCAGAGCTTCTGAGGTTGTCTACCCTCTTTATGCAAAGCTAAGAGCCCTCTTGAGAGTAATTCACCGACCAAATAACCCGAAAGTGAAAGCTTGGCTCTCTATCCTACTTTCACTCATGGTTCGCCCTGTCCACCCTGCTCACCCTGTTCACCCTGCTCACCTATGGCCATCTATATGTCACGGTGTAACGTGTCCCAAGTTGAGACTACATAGAACACTGGCACTGGTGATACCTAATTTATACTCCAATCGTACCCTACAACGTCCCCCACAGACGAAACCTGCCCCAAGGAATAGGTTTCACTGTTCCGTGGAATACCATTTGACCATGACAACGCTGACCATGATTACACGACAAAGAGGGTCCCGATGGGTTATCCTGACCCGCCTGTTAATGTTGCCCTTTCTAGCATAGGTAGTGAATGAACGTAGATCAAGCCTTTATCATGACTATTAAGGGTCTAGAAACCTGGCTTTAGTTCAACCCTCGACTGCTATCTAGAATCATTCTGTACCCACTTAATTATCCCATATTCTCATCATGCATATCTCAACCATGCTTACTCTGGCCGTTTCGATTTTAGCTGCAGGGACCACTGCCATTACCGGCGATGAAGGAGTTGCTGAGTTTCAAAAGTTGGCGACTGCAATTACAGCATATAATAATTAGCTCTCGATGGTAAACGAGGGAAATGGACTATATGAGGGTTAAGTAAGTGGAATTTGCGCATTCCTTCGTAGATTTTATGAAAGTCTCAATCAACGAAAGTTTCGTATTATAGAGGGCTTCTATAGGACTGTTTAAGTTGAGGGATGCCTTTGGAGCCAGTATTGCGAAGTTTCAGGAAGGCGCCGACCCTGAAGAACCAGTCAGTATTTTAACCCCGAGGGATTAGGAATCCAAATTCCCCAACTGTCTTTCTAACTTTCGGGTGTCTCTAGCCACAGGAAGTTTCGGACGCTGACCGGAGCCGAATGCTAGCGGAAGCAAAAACGGTAGTTAACGCCAGCGCCCGATCTTACGGACAGTTTCTAATATATGGTATAGTTTCTCGATCTTGTCGGTAACACCATGAGCGAGCTTTATAGAATCCGTGACATTACAACGGCAACCCCGCATCACTATGATATCCAGAGCGCACTTGAACCTATCGTATCGGAAGATATTTCATCAAGCACATCACTCACAGGCGTAAGTACGAATATACCGTGCTCAACTGCCACACTGCGCTCTCACTAGACTATGCAACTAACAATAAGCCTCTACAGATTTATGTAAAGCTCCAAGTCTGGCTACCCCTGAGTAGCCTGCAACAGGCATCAGATTTGTTTAACCCACAAATAAACTCTCTGCCGTCGCAAGGGCCTATAGAACACTATGAATGCTATTCGAAGGGTTACTTCAGCTAAAAGCGCTGCTCTTATAGCTATGATTAAAGAACAGAAAAATTGCATCAGAGGGTGTATTATATTGACACGCTCAGTAGGGTTTTTACGGGTTTCCCCTAGCTGCTTCGGCCACAATGGGCGAGCACAAACTGTCGCGAAAATTCAACTTGGATTGGAGTTTAAACTGCTGCTGCCTGAATTGCGCATCGTGGGTTGCTCCAATTCAAGGCACATGACATGCTTTTTTACATCGTCGTAGCAGCCCCATTCAATGAAATGGAGGGGGTTGCAATGTATAATTTTCAACCATGGTTTAGAAGGTCCTAGAACGAGAGCAAGTATCCAGTCGATGGCACCCATCTCATCCCGAACCTGCCATATTCTCATTATTCCACCCTTCCCCATCATCACCCCCCAATAGCCCCACCCCAAACTCCCCATCTCCACTCACCATCCCCAGCATCTCCTCATCCAAGAGCCCGCCCCAAAACTCCCGCTCTCTCACCGCTAATTTCCGGGACGCGAATATCTCCTGTGCCGCACCTTTCACCTGCCCTTGCGCTTTCCGAGCAGAGGGCCAGACAGCAGCTATGGTTTTGAGAGCTCCGGTATATAGACGGATTTGCTGCTTGATCTCCTCGTTCTTCGCCACCCCGTCCAACCCAGCCCAGCGCGACAAATCAACAATAGCACCTAACGTAACGACACAAGTAAAGAAGTGCGTGTGCAACGTCAGAGGGACGGGGAGGGCAATGAGTGATGCGATGTCGAAGGCGGCTTGGACTACTTTTGCAGCGTGGATATTATACGTTGGCCCGCCAGTGGTGGGCTGATGGGGAGCGCAGGACGTGATAGTTTGTGTAGGTGCAGTGTCTAGGTGGGCATGCGGTCTATGGAGAAGCAGTGTGGACCTGTTTGCCAGAATCAGTTGGGGGGCTTAACGCATGGTTTAACTGGCAACTTTCGACTTGACTTCTAGATTATGTAGGGAGACGTAGTATGAGGGAGTGGTTATGGTGTAAAAGGCTAAGCACTTACGCGTATGTAATCATATGGGCCTGGAATAGCATCTCGTCCACTCTCCCATCCTCGACTACAATCCTCTTTGTAGACGGGAGATGGAGGCTCCAGTTCACGAGGTAGGCATCCGTCTTCGCGATTAGCGGGTCGTCTGGGAAGATGGGCTTTGGGATGGCGAGAATTCGCGCGAGATTGGAGATGGCGGCAATGCGATAAGTGAAGGAGGAGAAGACGGTGTCGTCGTCTGAAAATTCTTCGTCGTTGAATTCTTCTAGAGAACGAGGAGAGGGTATGTTCTAGGGCTGTTAACCGACCGCCGGCGAAGGGGGGATATTAACTACTAACTCCAGATATATAGTTCCCCTCCTCGCAAGGAAGTCCAACTCCCTCCCCGACCCCATCTAATCTAACAGAGCTAGCCTGATGCACACCAGCAACCATCCCATCTAGCACCACGCACTCCCACCACGTCCTGCGCCAACTCTCCTCTATCACACTATTTCCGCCGCCATTCCTCTCTGCGAACCACTCATGCTGCATGCCGATCTCTAGGGCAACATCTACCGCCTGATTAAAGAAGGCTAGGGCGCGTTTTAGTTCCCCGCTTCCGTCCAATCCGATAGCGATGAGTAGGTTGGCCTGCACAGCGTAGCCATCATGTGGACAGAGGGGAGAAGAGATCTGGTGGACTGCTTCGGCGAGGAGAAGGGGAGTGTGAGAGGGCTGAATGTGGAAAGAGGTGAGATAGGTGATTGCGGCGAGGAGGTGTGGAAGGGGGCGTAGGGAGAGGAGCGTGAGGAGCGCGGGGAACGGGGGAAGGAAGGGGTGGGCCGGATGGATGTAGTGGTAGTATGCTGGGAGGTAATCGGTGGTTGCTGCTATGGGCTGGCATGTAATGTCTGTGTTAGTCAGGGGAGAGTTAGTGAGGCGGGGGATAGTAGGCGACCCCAGGGTTATTGTAGGAGAATTAGCAATAGATATGGCTAGACTCGCAGTCAGTACTGTAATCAAAGACATTATGAGCACCCACTTGGCGAATTTACTCCTCTAACCCTTCCCCTCTTCCTATACCCCCGCCGCGACTGAACGAAGCTGCACTGTAGGTCCTTAGACACGCAACGCGCGCACGGCTTGACGCCGTCGCATTTTAAGTGTCGAGAACGGCAGGCGACGCATGCGGCGGCGGCGGGGACGACGTGCTTAGTCTGTTCATCGGTAGGGGTGTTCATGTTATTGTGCTACGTTTTGTGTTGCGTAGGGTGTAAACATGGCTGAAGTGTGATGATGCTAATCTATAGTTTTAACGTTTAATGTTTAATCGCGATGGTGGCGGAGATACCAATAAACATGTATAAGTACAAGCGGAGCCTATTTAATATAGTGGCGAGTGATGTATAAGTACAAATTTATATATGTACGTGCGGGGACTATTATGGTCCCCGATCTAGCCTATGCGGATAAAAGTGGTTCCTTCCCCATTCTAGTCCCCGAGGTCGCCGATGAATTTCCATCCCTGTTTGTACATACGTTATGTTAATGCCATCATTTTTATTCGGGGCGAAATATTGTGGACGAGTCGAATTAACACATCTTATTACTATAATGCAAGATAACTTATAATGGGCTTAAATAAATACTAATATCAATATCGAGACTAAGCATGACTGGATTGAAGTTGTCGGCCGTACCTGGAGTTAGGTTAGCCCCAACGTCACGACGACCAGCTTAGGTCAACTCGGGGACCTCAGCCCAACTCGGGGACCTCAGCTCAACTCGGGGACCTTGACAGAACGAAATCTCTATCCTCGTCCCCGTCTACCCTTCCATTAGTAAATCCTTCCCAACTACTTTCACCTATAAGAGCCATGGCCGCCAGCCTCCTATCCCACCAACACGCTAATCCCTATACTCCCATCGTTAAGCCATGGCAGCCCCTCACCAACGGAACGGACATTATGTCCAGCAACAGGATACCTACTCCCCAGATCTCGAGCGCCGACCTACTGACGCGCACCTGCGGAATACTACAGTGAAGAATTTTGCATGGCAGGACATTACTGTCACCGTCAAGGACAATAAGACGAAGGAGCCCAAGGCCCTCTTACAGGGCGTTAGCGGGATTGTAAATGCAGGTATGTACCTCGTCTTGTCACTTAACCTACCACCTCCAACACACATACCCACGCTCCTAATAGCACAATTTCCACTACTAATTATAACTTCCAGGCGAAATATGCGCCCTAATGGGCCCCTCCGGCTGTGGCAAAACCACCCTCCTCAACGTCCTTGCCCACCGCGCCGCCGCCTCTGGAGCCGACACTACGGGCTCAACGCTCGTGGATGGCGGCGCCGTGTCGACCGAGGCGTTTCGCCGGATGAGCTCATACGTTGAGCAGGAGGATGCGCTCATCGGCTCGTTGACCGTGAAGGAGACGATGATGTTTGCTGCGAGGTTGGGAGGCGCGAGGTATGATTGTTCTGTTCTATAATAAGTTACTTGATAGGCGATGTTGATATGTCTTCTACAGTGGATTGTCTAAATCAGAGAGAATGGATCGTGTAGATGGCCTGCTCGATGCATTCGGACTCCGTAACCAAAGCGATACGCTCATTGGGACTCCGATTAGAAAGGGGATCAGTGGGGGTCAAAAGAGGCGAGTCAGCGTTGCCAGCCAGCTGATCACAGGCCCGAAGCTGTTGTTCCTGGATGAACCGACTAGTGGCCTTGATTCCGCCGCCAGCTGGGAGGTAATATCGTTCATCAAGAGCATTGCGCAGAAGAACAATGTAAGTTGCGACCCCGACTGCTTTCTCAACAGTATTTAGTACTAATACACTGGGTGATAGTTGATCGTTATAGCCTCCATCCACCAGCCCTCCTCTTCCACCTTCCGCCTCTTCGACAAAGTCCTCCTCCTATCCTCCGGCCGCCCACACTACTTCGGCTCTGTCCCCGACCTAGCCCCTTTCCTCGAGACGATGGGCCACCCCGTCCCCCTCCAAACCAACACCGCCGAGTTCGTCCTTGAGCTAATGAACGTCGACTTCGCGCCCGACCAAGACGCCGCGAGGGCACAGCTGGACGGAATGCAAGAGGCATGGGAGGCGTCTTCCATGTCCGCAGCTATCGGGACAGAAATCGGAATCGTCGCCCAGAAATGCAACAATAGTAAAACAGCATCCGACGCCAAAGGCGCCCGTGCAAGCTTCCTCACTATAGTACTAGCGCTGCTACATCGCTCCTTCATCAAGAGTTATCGCGATGTTGTCGCCTACGGCATCCGCATCGCGATGTACCTCGGTCTCGCCATCATGATGGGCACCGTCTGGCTCCGCCTCGGAGACGACCAGCGCTTCATCCAGCCCTTCATCAACGCCATCTTCTTCGGGAGTGCATTTATGTCCTTCATGGCCGTCGCCTACGTGCCCGCCTTCCTCGAGGACCGGGCGACGTTTGTAAAGGAACGGGCGAATGGACTGTATGGCGCGCTCCCATTCGTTGTGGCGAACTTCCTCATAGGGCTACCATATTTATTTCTCATCACAGTACTGTTTAGTATTGTGGCATACTGGTTGTCGGGGTTTGAACCGACAGCAAATGCATTTTTTACTTGGATCATGTGGTTATTTTTGGATCTGCTGGCTGCGGAGAGTTTGGTAGTGTTGGTGTCGTCCTTGTTTCCTAACTTCGTCGTGGCGCTCGCGCTGACCGCCTTCGCCAACGGACTCTGGATGAGCGTCGGCGGCTTCCTCGTTCCTCCCACCGTCCTCAATGTCTTCTGGTACTACGCGTTCTCGTTCATCGACTACCAGCGCTGGGTGTTCCAGGGCATGATGGTGAACCAGTTCCAGAACCAGACGTATGGGTGTGGCGTGGGGTGTAATTGTATGTACCAGACTGATCTTGCGTCCCAGTGTCGGATTGAGGGGACGGGGATACTGGGTCAGTATGGGTATGCGACTAATCGACAGGGACGCTGGGTGGGGATCCTTATTGGGATTATTGCCGGATACAGAATACTCGGCTGGCTCGTGTTGGTTTTCCGGAAGTAGGAGGGGAGGAATTTATGGAGGTAATGTTTAAAAGTTTTGTGAGTGAGTCGTGGTATGATAATGGGCTGGCTAAATCTACTCTGTTGTTTATATTTTCTTCACGCAAAATAGTCTCGCGTCTGTGTTAGTAGCTCGTTACGCTCAAGAGAGGAGTCTGTACCAAAAATTCAACTTGTATTGAAATTTAAACTGCCGTCACTTGAATCGTAGCTGTATTTCCGCATAGATTGTTCATGGAGCCCCTGAGTACAATCTTTCCTACCGGGGTTTCACTGGTACCCTTCGTTGATGATTGGCGACGCTAGTCATGCATGATAGATGCATAGAACGGTGTTGGATCCAAAATTGGAAGGCGATGAAGCTTCAAATCCTTCGCCGCCACTATGTAGGGTATTCGCCGCGGCGCATACGTGCAGGGAACATGCTAGCTGCAGTACTGTCGGGTTGGTTTACGCTTGGGACCAGCATACACTTTGAACATTGGGATTCTTCTGAAGGCTTCATTCTTCCCTATAGTTCTACCTTGACAGTTGAATTCTTCAGAATAGACCTACTTGCTACTAACCAACGCAAGAACACCCATCAATCATTATGAATCACGCACAAGCATCTATTAGACGTCCACCGCAACCCCCTATCAACTTCGCCGTACTAGTAGACCCGGCCTCAGTGCTCCAGGCCAGCAACAAACTATGTGAGAATCTACAACAATTCGTAGACAATCTGGTATCTACGATCACCCCAGCAAAGGCGACATTTGACAATGTTGTCCTACAACTTCTACAGCACGAGAATGAGATGCAGCGGACATCCAACCTCATCACCATTCTCTCCCTCGTCGCACCTGACACAGCACTTAGAAATGCTGCGGCCGAAGCTTCGGAGAAGGTTTCTCACTGCTTGATGGATTGCAAAGAGAGCAATGAGGATTTGTTCCGTCTTATAGACGCTGTGTACCAGCGACAGAAAGATGACCAGACACTCGACCCTGAGAGCCGCAAGGCCCTCGTGGAGGAGAGACAGAGTTATTTCCGCAAAGGCCTAGGCCTATCAAACGATCCCATAGAAGAAGACACCAGCGGCAAGGGTGAAACTAGCTCTAACTCCGCGACGTTCAGATATAATACGCGCAGGTTACAAACCATTCAATCAGAATTCCTCAAAAACCTAGATGAAAAACCTCATCACATCTGGCTTACCGGCGCCGAGCTCACCGGAGTCCCAGAAGATGCACTTTATGGACTTGAGACTGGGACTGGAGAGTTTGACGGCAAATTAGGGCTGGATCTGAATGGCATGCAAGCTAGATGGATGTTGACTGTTGCGAGCTCGCCGGCGACGAGGGAGAAGATTTATTTGGAAAGTAGACGGATTGTAAGTTGGCACAGTCCAATTCTTTTTTTCTGCAACTGGTCCCTCTGGGGGTGTTCTCACTTTCATTCGATTTTGTAGTTTGATTCTAACACTTCACAGGCAAAAGAAAACATCCCCCTCTTCCACGAAGCAATCCATCTCCGCCACCAATCCGCCCTCCTCCTAGGCTACCCCAGCCGCCTCGCCTTCAAAACCGAAACTACAATGGCCAAAACCTCCTCCGCCGTATCCGATCTCCTAACTCCCCTCCGCGATCTCATCATTCACCACTTACCAACCGATCTCTCCAAGCTGATGGACCTAAAAAAGCTCGATCCCGCCGCCCAGGACCAGCCAAATGCTGATGTGATACTCTGGTCCGATATCCCGTATTACACCCGTCTTTATGAGGAACAGAATTACGCAGTCGACCAAGCCCAAATCGCCAAATACTTCCCCCTTTATGAGACGGTTTCGAAGATGCTGGCTTTATTCGGCAAACTTTTCGGCTTCGAGTTTATTGAACTCACAAACCGTGAAGCCAACTCAGCTGCTGAGCAGGTGAAGGAGGGGCTCATATGGCACCCCGACGTCCACCTCTACAGAGTCTACGACGACCCCCAAGCCGGCGGGGAATTCGCAGGATACCTCTACCTCGACCTACACCCCCGCCCCAGCAAGAGCGGGGGCGCCCAATGCCGCCCTCTGCAACTAGGATTCTCCCTCCCAAACGGCCAGCGGCACCACCCCTCACCCGTCTTACTTACCAACTTCCCCAAACCCTCATCATTATCGGGGAAGTCCTCGCCGTCCCTACTGCAGCACTCCGACGTAGTCCTACTCTTCCACGAGCTCGGACACGGGATACATGACCTCTCCGGCCGGTGTCGATACTCTCGTTTCCATGGCGCGGAGACGGTGGTGGATTTTTCGGAGGCGCCGTCGCAGATGTTGGAGAATTGGTGTTGGGATGCTTGCGCCCTCAAAGTTTTATCTGGGCATTATGAGACGGGGGAAGTGTTGCCGGATGAGGTGATTGACTCGCTGTTGAGGACTAGAACTGTTCTTTCTGCTGCGAAGATGATGCCGCAGCTGAGGATGACGGTTTTTGATGGGGCTGTGCATTCAGAAGCTGTGGAGGGGGGAGAAGTTGACGTAGCTAAGATATATGCGGAGTGTGATAAGCTCGGTGGAATTAGGAGTATTGGTGAGGAGTAAGTACCCCCTATCGTTCTCACACCGGAGCAAATTGATGAATGAAACTATAGATACGGATACACAACATACAGACACCTCTTTACCGGAAGCGACGCAGGGATGTACGGGTATATATGGTCGAAAGTTCTAGCTATGGATATGTTTGATACGGTCTTCAAGAAGGATCCTCTAGATGGCGAGGCGGGGAGGAGGTATAGGCGTATGGTGCTTGAGAAAGGGGGGAGCCAGAATGAGATGGAGACGGTTGTTCAGTTTCTTGGTCGGAGGCCGACTTCTGAAGCTTTTTATAAGTCGTTAGGTCTGGAGTAAGTTCAAAACCGTAGTTATCCTGCGGCGCGGATTATTAGGTCAGTAGACCAAAAGGATCACTTTGCACGGCTCATTTGTACCAGTGAGTGAGAAGTTAAGTATTATATACTACGCCCAATCATGGATCCATCCAGGGTCTCGTCTCAATAGTGAATTATTGCAAGATCCCTCCGTTGTGCGAGCACACCACCGCTTCTCCACCAACCAACCCTCCTGGGAAATCCCTGAAGAACTATCTAAGTCTTCTCTTCCACAAAATTGACATCTAGTCAATGAACAATCCCTATATACAAAACGCCGCATTCTCGAGTCTATAGTTTCTACCCCATGTCCCAGCTCAGCTGGCCTCCCTCTCTTATACGGAGCTCGACAAATCCTTATTAGCCCACCCCAGGGTGTTATCCCCGCCATCGAAAACAACAAACTGAGCCTTCAGCGCCACATCTCCAAAGATGCTGAATCCGAGAGCGTCACTGCTTTGAATCCCGCCAAAGCACGTCGTCTTTGTGATCGCGGCGTAGTTCATGAAGTGTCCCGGGATGACGCCGCGGTACTCCTCAACGCCGAAGGTGAAGCTCGGCAGGGTGGTGTTGCAGGGGAACGTGTAGCCGCCCTGGAGAGCATCGAACTTGGCACCGCTGACCGCCGACCAGTAGATGTCGACCATGCCGCTGGGGAGGAGGAGAAGGCTGGTTCCGGTGTCGGCGATGGCGTACCAGCTGCTGGCGTTGAAGCTTGAGTTGCCGACTTGGAATCCGGAGGGGTTGAAGCCCCAGAAGCCGCGCGAGTTGTCGACGGGGGTGTACTGGATCTCTCCGGTGTACTCTGACGCGTTGATGTAGCCGAAGTCGTAACTCCCAGCTGCCTGCTTCATCAGGTTGACGGTGAAGAGAGGGCTTGCGAGGTCGTTCATGGCGTTCTCGAAGAAAGTCTTCTGTTGCACTGGTTGCACGGTGTTGATGGTGCCGTAGGCAAGTCCGAGAAGACCGGAGGAAGCAGCATCGGCTTGGAAGGAGGAAGAGACCTGTTGGGCGGACTCAACAGCCTGAGACTGAACAGTCACGCCGCCAATGGAAACGACATCAGTGTAGACGATGCCGGAAGATGCGCTTCCATCGCCGTAGGTGATGTCCCAGGTTGCCCCTTCCATCTTCTTTGCAGTAGAACTGAGGGTGGGGTTGTACTCGACTTGGCCATTTTGCTGGTTCTCAGGGGTTTCGTTGGTGTTCACCCAGAGGTCTGCGGAGCCGGTATCAAAGTTAAGGTTGACTGTTTGTGGTGGGGTGCCTATTTGAACCGGGGACAAATATTCACGGTCGAAAGCTTCTGGGATTGTCTCAACGGTGCCTGCAAGAAGTGTAAGTTTTGTGGTACAAATATGATATAAAAGTGAATACTAACCGAAGTTGACGTTCGACACATTGAGAGGTGCTGAGACGCCATCTGTGCCTTGAAGGCGTCCGACAATGCCAGCGATGGCGTTGGCGAGCTGATCCGGGAAAAGAACATTGAACTTCTTGTACGTCTTTGCTAACTCGACGGTTCCGGAATTTGCGGTGCGCTTGTACTTTGGGTTGTGGTGTTGGTTGATTTTGAAGGTTGACCCGCCGAGGACGAGCGGTCCTTTGCGGTAGTGCTTGGAGAACTTGGACTTGTGTCTTGGAGATGCATCAACACCCCATGCTGTGAGTGACAGTACCAGCAAAACTGCTGAAAGTAACTTAATGAATGTGTGCATCTTGTCTGCTTCGAAATACAGACAGATGGCGTGGTAAAAGAGTGGCTAAACCAAAGGAATGTATCGCAAGCAATGTTGCGGAAAATGAAGGTTTATAACGAAAGAGCACCAGGAAAGGAAGATGCAAAAGCTCAGGAAATCGAATGGAAGACTACCAACAGTCTTAACAGGGATTAGGAGGGAAGGGGACAACGCATGACACTATTTTATATACCCGCAGCATGAAAAAGAGTGGATGAAGTGGGTGAAAGTGGGTGAATTGGAGATCGGCAAGGCTATGGGAGGAGGGGGGAGGGGGGAGGTAGATTGGAGGAGGCTCCATATGCGACGATGCGATAGTTGGGGGGGTTTGAGAGGTTAAATTGTTAAAAATAACAGGCATGAAGGAGCGAAAAGAGTAAGTGCGATCGATCAACCAAGCACGGAAAGTAAGGCCAAGCTGAGCTTGCGGTGAGCTTGCATGAATTAGGCACGTTACAGGCCAACAAGGCATTGCGAAACAGTCTGATATAACAGGACCATGCAAGGGACAGCTGTGGCCAACAACTGAACAACAACATTTCGAGGGTAAGTAAGCGCCAACCCAGCCAACTACACCACTCCAATTGAGTTGGCCGCCGTCCATTTACTGCCTACATCCCCATGCTCCAACCGATCTCACATAGATCTCAGAATATGGCGGTTGACCGAAGGAATACCGCAACTATTGGCGCAGCAGGAACGGGGGTAAGAAAAGCGCAACCGGCCTGTTAAAATGCCAACTCGATACTTTGAGTATAGTGGTCGTGGTTTCAAGGTCGACAGGGGTGTTCTATCCTGTCCAGTGTGTCGTCCCAGTTAAGAATCCACTTCCGCCTATCGAAATTCCCTTATCACCCATAGCATCGTCATTGCGGACGTCGAGGATTCCAGCCAAGACAACTGCGCCCGCCAGCGCTGTCGCGAAGTTCGGGTTCCGGGGGGAGTTGGCGGGTGTGTGCAGGAAGTGCAGGAATGTGCCGAGAGTTATATTGATGTGAGGATCAAACATGAGGTTTGACATGTCGGTGATATACTCTTTGTGCAATGCCAGACTCTGGGCGGTTAGAGTATGTATTCACTCAACAAATGCAAAAAAAACCAGCTTCACGATCGCAAAAAGAGGGGTTCCCATTTCCCCAGAGTCCTCACAACAACCATCTCCGCATGTGCGTGCACCTTCCAAGTTCCCTTTACTCCAGATCACCCCCCGAAATCACCGAGTCGAGGCAAGAGCCACGCCGTCACTGCCACGCCGTCCTTTCCTTGCCCCGACTTTGGGTGCTAAGGCGCTAGATGGTGATCTGTATTTACTGAGCGGCATACCCTAGTAGAAGTGTATTTTACCCGCTAACACCCCCACGGTCCCTGACGATCGATCCTGATGGGGATTGTACACAGCCGCGTCGGTTGTTATGATGGATTGAGTGGATGGGGGAAGATTGGCGTTGGGTTATCATGGGATGGAGATCTGAGGTGTGTTGTCAGACTGTGTTGAAGTGCTGACTATCGGAATCCCTTGCTGAAAGGTTAGTACTGGACGTAGTTTCAATACGGCTCCTCGAGTAGAGTATATCCAAGACGCCAACAGTCATGATTAGAATGTACTCAGTCTGTGACGTTCTCAACCCCTCCAAACCCTCATAGCTCATGTTAATTGTTGATATCTTTGTCCCTGAGGAGACCTACAATATAGAGGTCTTAAACGGCCGATCTATATGAATCGGGTGCGGCCTACCGGGCCATACCATGGTGAATATCTTCGCACGTATATAAGAATAGCTGTATAGATGTGCTGAGTGATCTTCTGACGAGGCAACGTCTGTGAGAGTCACCTTTGCACTTTATCATCAGAAAGCATAGCAGCACTGTACTCTGTTCTCCTGGCGTTACGTTCTAGGAATCCCAGACCCTCTAGATCCTCCAGACCAACTCAGGTGACCTTCTATATGTTCCCGCCACAGATCCCAGAGAAATACTTATGCATCCACTCAAGTTACTTGTTATTAAGGCGGTGTGACAACCGGTTGTGTGAGAAGTGAGCGCCGCCATATATGATGGACTTCTTTGCGACAGGAAGTGAGGCTGACCTTCCCCCCCCCCCTTTCCAAAACATGGCACGCAACAACGACCAGCAGCCGAATCTTGAGAGGAGATAAGAGAATCCGAGATGGACACTGGGAAACGCAGAGTAGATGTTGATCCCTCTCCCTTCTGGGAAATACGTGGCTAGAACTGGTATCGTACTGGCGATGTTAATAGCACAGATCATATGATGACATTCTGATAGCGGTGATGTTTCTGTAAGTCATTAATTCCCGTATTGATATTCTCCGACTCCAAATTCCGCATATGGCTTTTCCTCGTCTAATCGAAATGTTAAAAACAGCGCCGTAGGGAAAACCTATAATACACCAGCATCCTCATCCGTCACGACCGCGCACCTGAACCCAAACCATTCCCCATCCTCAGCATCCCCCACCTAATGCCTCTCCCCCTCCCCACTCTCCTCGCCCATCTCCACATCCTCCGCCTCCGCCGCCACATCCGCATCCGCATCCGTATCATCCCCCTCCGCCAACCTCTTCTTATCCCTACTCTCCGCCTCCTCCCAGCCCTCATACTCTCCCTCCTCAAACCTACGACAATAATCGCCCTGCTTCTCCGACCCTAGGTTCGTCCATTTCCTCGCAAGGTCCTGGTCGACGTCGTATGTTCCCTCCTTGATCTTTTGTCTGTTCGCTACGAGGAGAACGGAGCGCATGGACTTGACGAATACGTCGAAGCCGCTGCGTGGTTGGCGGGGGGCGGAGGTGCCGTTGGCTTGCGAGGAGCGAGTCGTTGATGCACCGGCCGCGGCGGCGTTGGAGGGGTTGGATGCTGAGCGGCCGTTCGCAGAGCCAGCGAAAGAGGCCTGACGCGACCCATTCCCATGCGACAGCCCAGAAGCAGCATCAGGCTGATCCTGGAGGAAATCCGGTGCACGTCTTCCGCGCTTCGTCCTCAGAGGTTTCTCCTTCGGCTATATCGAACCATTAGTCTCCTTGTCCTTCTTCCTTCTTCTCTCCACGGAAAAAACGTAGGGCGACATACCGTAGGTGGAGGGCTGGGACTGCCATCTGAGTCCTCAACGTTTGTAGAGGTGCGCTTGGCGAGCTGCTCAAGGAGGAAGGCGCGCTCGAGACGCATCTTTTCGATGCCGCGGCGCATGCGCAGGAGGCGGATTCTAGAGGCGTCGTTGGCTTCTTCGACGGTCTTCATGCGGTGGCGGAGTTGGATGCATTTTCGGCGGTAGGCTTCTTCCACGGAGGGAGGGAGGGTTGGAGGGGGAGCGTTGGCTGCTGGGTGATAATTAGCTTGGGGGGTTCGGTTTGAAGGCATTGTGATAGCGTAGGGCCATGCGGCGGCGTCTGATCTGGTGAAAAGACAAACGGGGCGTAACATCTCTTGCGATCTGCCCAGCCCTTTGTTGCGATCGTAGTAAAGAAACGGAAATCACTAACCAGGAGGAAGCACCATCGTGCCAATGATTAATGTTTGGGAGCGGCTATAATGCGGATAGTCAATCGTATATGCGGTGAGGTGAGTGGATATAGGCGCAGGGTAGCCAGCTGTGAAGTTGAGATGTGACGGCCATAATTCGCGTCGATAACAATGATGGCTATCACATCGAGATTCGGAAGATACGTACCTTCTTCCAGCAACGTGTTGCGCACGCACCCATACCGCGCCATCCCAAAGTTCCTCAACGTCACTTGCTCTAACTGTACTTATTACCTTGCTCTATTTCATTTGAGTCGGCATTGAGAATAGCAATTATCTCCCACATTCCTTGGCCCCCTCTATTGCCGGCAACAATAGAAGAAGGCTTCCCGCCTGCGAGCTATGACAACGTCGCCCCCGAGCAACGGCGTCACAAACTCCCCACGTCGCCCTTCAGCTGCTTCAAGAGCCACCGCGCCCTCGGTTATGACAATGAATGGCCACTTTGCTGCGGTCGGCGATGCGCCGACTAAGGAGCAGTATGAGCATGGCATACAGGTTATAGACGATGAGAAGGAGTACAAGTATGCGCCGCGAAGCACCCTGGCGACCTGCAGAACTGACGTTATGGTAGTCCGAATCTCAATACCTTTCTCCAGCAGACCGGCACGGCGCAAGCTGGCTTCAATTACCACCTTATTTCCGTGTTTGGCTCCCAGTCGACGGGAAAGTCGACGCTGCTGAACTACCTGTTTGGAACGGCCTTTGGTGTCATGTCGGAGAGCGAGCGCAGACAGACTACGAAGGGAATATGGATGTCCAAGAACAAGCGCGAGTCAGACGATAGAGGAGCGCATAAGATGGCTGAGAATATCTTGGTCATGGATGTGGAGGGCACTGATGGTCGAGAGAGGGGGGAGGACCAGGACTTCGAGAGGAAGAGCGCATTATTCGCCCTGGCGACTAGCGAAGTCCTCATAATCAACATTTGGGAGCATCAGGTTGGGCTATACCAGGGCGCGAATATGGGACTCTTGAAGACGGTGTTTGAAGTCAACCTACAGTTGTTTTTGAAGGATAAGCAGTAAGTTTGCAAGATTACCCCTTTAAGGCCCCGAAACTGACAATTCAGGGCCAACCCCCGCTCACTCCTGTTCTTCGTTATTCGTGACCATATCGGGACAACCCCGCTCTCAAATTTACAACAAACGCTTATTCAGGATCTCACCAAAATATGGTCGTCTCTCTCGAAGCCTAAGGGACTCGAAAAATCACGTATAGAGGACTACTTCGACTTCGCATTTGCAGCGCTACCCCACAAGATCCTGCAGCCAGAGAAGTTTGAGGAAGAGGTACTCAAGTTGGGAACGAGATTCAGAGCAGGTCACCGCGTCTCGAAGCCTGATGATACACACACAGACCAGGAACTTGAAGGCGGCGTCTTCCTCCCAGAATACCACAGGCGCATTCCCGCGGACGGCTTCTCAGTATATGCTGCAGGCGTATGGGAGCAGATCGTGCATAACAAAGACCTTGATCTCCCAACACAGCAAGAGCTCCTCGCACAGTTCCGTTGCGACGAGATTGCGCGGGAAGTTCTTGTAGCCTTTGACGAGACCATCGCTCCCCTGGAAGAGAAGCAGGCGGAAGGCACTAGGCTTGGTAACCTTATCGTTATTGCTGAGCTTGGAATAAGTGGTCTTAAGGCAAGATCTGCTGCCGTTAAGGCGTTCGAAGCAGAGGCAAGCCGTTACCACAAGGGAGTCTACTCACGCAAGCGTGTGGAACTCGAATCTAAAATCGATACTCGCCTGAAGGCCTTGTACCATGGCCAACTCTCCGCCGTGCACAAGGCGGGCGTCAAGTCATTCAGCGACGCCGTCGGAAATGCCGTTAAAATTGGACAGAAGAAGGGCGCTTCATATGAGTTTGCGGAGATCGTGGAGAAGGAGAAGACTAAGGCATTGGAGACCTTTGAGTGCGAAGCGAAAAGCCTTGCCGTCCCAGGCGTTCCATGGGCAAACTTCAAGCAGCAGTACAAGCTTTTCGAAAAGGAGCTTGATGAAGTCAGCGCGCGCTTAAGGCGAGAGGAAATGCGCCGACTGGCGACCCGGATCGAACGCTGGGTTAAGTCTCGCCTCGGGGAATCCGTAGGCTTGGAATTCAACAAGCTCGGATCGGGTCGTGGGGGTTCTGGTGCGCCCGAGGAGGGAACCAAGCCGACCGAGAAGGACCTCTGGGACCGGATATGGACACTCTTCACTTCCACAGTCAAGGAAGCCGAGACACGATTCCTCGACCGCGCACAAAGCTTTGACGCAAGCGAGTCCGAGAAGGAGGTCGGCTTGTGGCGTCTGAGGAGAAAATCGTGGGCTGTGCTGCGAGTACGAATCGATGAAGAGGTGATGGAAGGTAATATTCTGCTTAAACTGAGAGAAAACTTCGAGGACAAGTTCCGCTACGATGACGCTGGTGTGCCGAGGATATGGAGGCCAACAGATGATATTGAGGGTATCTACACCAAGGCACGTGAATCTACGCTAGCCCTCATTCCGTTATTGTCGAGATTCAGACTTGCGGAGAGCTATGCGCCGCCGCCGCTACCGGACTGGATCGGGCATGCGCCTGATGCTGTTGTACCGGATGACGAGGAGGATTTAACCCCTATAGGCGGCGTGGACGAGGAAGAAGGAAAGAGCTTGGAGGAGGAGATGACTGTGCTCAGCGAGGCGAAGCGACAGGATCTAGTTGTGAGATTCAAAAAGATGGCAGACGGTGTCTACGTCGAGGCAAAGCGCAGTGCAATCGGCGGCGTGACACAAGTCCCGCTGTACTTCTGGGCCTTAATGGTTGCTCTTGGGTGGAATGAGATTGTGGCTGGTAAGTTCACACTGTATCCCCTCTCCATATCCGCAAAACTAACGCACCCGTAGTCATCCGCAATCCGATCTACTTCATCTTCCTCATTCTCGCCGGCATCGGCGCCTACGTGACATACACGCTCAACCTCTGGGGTCCGATCATCAAGATGTCCAATGCGGCAGCGCAGCAGGCGTTGGACATTGGCAAGGAGCGCCTGCGCGATTTCCTGGAGTCGAATGATGCGGGGAGGCAGGCGCTGAATATGGCGTCGGCGAAGGAGGATAGTGATAATATTAGCATGCAGTCTTTGGATAGCAGGGGGAGGAGGAAGGCGAGGATGGCGAGGGGGAAGGGGGAGGATGATAGTGAGGAGGAGAGGGACTTGTAAAGGTTTTGGGATGGGGGTATGAAGGTATGAAGTAATGATGGATGGGATGGGAGGGGCGGCTGGGGGAGGGGTGGAATTGTATGTAGTGGGGTAGATTAGGGTCGTGATATAGTACATGTTTTAACTTAGATGAAGAGACATCTAGTTTATACTGGGTTACTGATATTTATGTCTGTCTATACAGTTATTATTCCTACTTCTGATCAACCTTGGATCCCGTGAGTAACCGTGACCGTCCAGGAACCAGGCATATCCTACTGTAAATTCCGTATATATGTATTCAACCAAAACGCCGCCATCCAATCCCTTAGTCCAACGCCAGTAGGAAAGTCATTTACCCATACACATCTCAAACCTCCTTCTCAGAATGCTTCCACACCAGCCTTCCTACCGAACCAATTGCCAAGTTCATCATCCGCCTTCTGCTCCTTCCCACTATCAGCACTGAAATAATCAGTAACCCGATGCGTCTCCTCATCCTCCTCCGCAGGCCAATCCACAGTAACCGCCATAGCCTTGTTATCCTCCAACAAATCCTTAGTCGTCGACCAGGAAAAGCGGCATTCAGGACCCCAGCCAAAAACCGGATCGATATTGCGCTTCAGCCAGGTCGAGCAACGTGCATCTGATGGATAGCCGGATCCCCAGTCTGCTTCGGGCGCTGGTGCGTCCTCGGAGTCACCCATTGTAACGTCTTCTTTGCCTGCCGCATCCTCGTTGGAGCCGCCATACGCCTCATAGAGCACCTCTAGCGCCCTATCTCTCGTGACCTTCGCGCAGACACTGGCCGCGCTGACACAGGGATACAAACTATCCGCCTTCTTCGCCACGGTGATAGAGGCGGTAGGGAATATGCGTTCGAGCTTCTTCTGGTACGGGCCAGGTTGGCCAATGGTATCGATGTAGATTTCCCTCACATTAACGCCCATCTCGTATACCGTCTTGATGAGGTGGATAGTTGCGTCCATGGCCTGCTCGTTCAAGTTGTACGTCGCGGGCCTCATCATATTGGCGGAGATCGCTCGTGCGGAGAGGACCGAGACGGCCCATCCGCAGTTATCGTAGAGGCTGCTTGGGTCGGGGGATGTGGCGGGGGCGGGCGGCACGGTTGGCGTGCAGAGCGTCTCCATTAACTGGGCGCGGAAGCCGGCGGTGAGGACTTTGGAGTCGTCGAAGTGGTGGGTTTTGGAGAGGAGAGGCGTGGAGAGGGGGATGGGGAGGTAGAATGCGCCGTAGACCATGGGGCCGAGGACGGGACCCCGCCCTGCTTCGTCAACGCCGAGAGCGCATGGTGGACCGGCGGGTGGTTTGGGTAGCGGAGTTGAGGATGGGGCGGCGGGTGCTGCTGATGGTTCTTTTGGAGGAGGAGACGAGGATGAGGGAGCAGGTGGTGACGGTGCGATTGGAAGGAGGGATGGCGGGACTGGGGAGAAATGCGTGTATGATTCGCCGGAGAAAAGTGTGGAGTGGATGACTGAGGGAGGTGTGAAGATAGTCGATTGCGAGGGCGCCTCATTTTCCATGTCTACATCAGTCTCGTTTTGGGATTCGTTGGCCATGTTTGGTTGTTGTGGTAGAGTATTTCCTGGGTGGCTTTTCGATATATTTATTGAGTACCTGGATTGTCCCCCGTCGCACCTTTCAAGATAAAACCGGGGTGACGCGCTTTGGACGACGCGACGAGCTGTGTGGCTGCATGACAGCCTCGTCGCAATCCATGCGAACGTTCAGTCACATATCACAAAGCCACAGCAAGATTTAACACCCAAATCAAGAATACAATAGTTATTTAGTTTAACTGAAAGAAATTCAACTGCACTGCTTAATACACTGCTTTATCTTCTGTGGTGGGTTTCAATTGGGTTGTTTACACTAGATGGTCTTTTTTGGTCATGGTGCCTGGAATGTGAGGTTTGTACCCTGTCGAGGCCATTGTTATTAACTGGCTCATGAGCTTATGACATGCGACAACACTCCCCGCCAAATAGTTTCATTTCACGATTACACTTTGGCAATCCATCGTGGGCCAGTACGAACACGGCGCATATAGGCTATTAGCTATAAAAGTTAATATATCAACAAAATAACCAACAAAAGCTCGCGCTTCATAGCACCATCGCCACCAGTATTCAATCAACGCGCATCACGACGCGCCGGCACCATGCCTCCAAAACGAACGGCGGCGGCGCCGCGACACAAACCGCGCGAGAACATGTATTTTGAGCCAGGTGTTCGTGGAAGGCAAGTCCGATCTACCGGCCTTTAAAATAAATATGCTAACGTTTTACAGGAAAACCGGATTGACCGTCCCAGATAGTGGCATTCGCGACGAGTATGGAATCGAACCAATGGACGAATTATTTTCGTCGCCCGCGAAACTACAGCCCTTATCTAGCTCGACCAGGAAGTCCGCGATGAAGAAAAGCGCAAACACGACCTTGACGAGCGAGGAGGATATGGATGTTGGGCAAAGCACAATCCCAGAGCCAAGCGCCGTACTCACAGAGAGGAAAAGAGTTAGCATGCGCATGCCGCCTCCGCGGTCAAAATCTCCGGTGAAAACATTTCTGCAGTCGCCGGCAAGGCGGCACCCTTCCTTGGGCCCGGTATCGTCTCCAACGCGCGGCTCGGTCGTATCGCCATCTCGAGTACGGTCTCAACCCCAGGTTGCGCGCCGGCTTGACTTCTCAACTGATGATTTGGATGGAAATGCACCACAAAGGCTTGCCCATGTTTCGCCGAAAAGGACGTCGCAACGGAATCTAGTATCCTCTAGCCCGGCGAAACGACCCACCGGCGGAAGTTCCGCAAAAAAGTCACTGAAGCCCGCTTTTCAGTCCCAGGAAGAGTCGGAAGAGGTGCAGGGAAGCCGCCTATTTGACCTCAGTTCGTCGCGTGATGTCGAAGACGATTATGAACCCATAAATGTCGACCAAGCCATAGGCTCGCCAGAGCCAGAGAGAGAGGAGACACCACGAGAGCCTACACCTCCACCCTCTAAGAAGAGAGGACGCCCACCGAAACAGAACAAACCTGAGCCATCTAAGGATGCGGATGTTGACGAAGACCAAGACGAGCGGCCCGCAAAGAAGCAGCGTGGCCGCCCTACAAAGGAGGCAGCTCAAAAGGCGCAACCTAAGCCAAAACCAAAGCAAGCAACTAGATTACAAAAACAACCAGCAGCCGATTCTTCGCCAGCGCAAATACAACGGGGACCACCGAGACCTAGACAGAACGGACTCTTTATCCTTCGACGGGAAACACCTGAACTTGGAAATTTTGCGACAACTCGATCTGGTAGGGCTTCCATAAAGCCGGTTGCTTACTGGAAGAATGAGACTATTGTGTATGGCGAAGACGATACCGCAGATGCCGATGCAAGCTTCCTTCTCCCAACAATTAAGGAGGTCATTCGCCACGACGATGTAGAAAAGGAGACATCGAAAAGGGGCAAAAAGAGGGGCCCGAGGGCCCACAAGAGAGAAGAAGAGGAGGAGGATGCGTCTGAACCGTGGGAATCTGAACCAGGGCGGATATATGGCGCTATTAGGGCCTGGAACCCCGACGATCCAACGGGCGCAGAGTCTGCTGATGTCGAGGACGAAATTGCGTTCTCTAATGCTGCTATTATAACTAGGGAAATCTCTGGTTCTACTGTCAAGTTTGCCAAGATCCTCACATTGCCCTTCTTTGGATGTGGCATGGTTGACCTGCCGCCTGGTGCTGTTAAGAAACCGAAGAACGCCAGAAAGATGCAGATGGTATTTTTTGTACATAAGGGGAGGGTAGTCGTCACTGTCGGCGATAATGATCCGTTTCGAATTGGGACGGGAGGGATGTGGCAGGTTCCGAGAGGTGAGATTCCATACCCGGTTATACTATTTTTGAGACGGCCACTGACTTCTTTTTCCAGGAAATTTATATAGTATTGAAAATGACTCCGACAAGACGGCACGCGTCTTCTTCTCCCAAGGGTGCGAGGTGGAAGAAGTGGAGTAGAGCAGATATGCAACGGAATCAGGAGTCATTGTTTGCGTCTTTCTAATATATGGGTCTGTTACGGCTGGCTCAAAGCGAGGAGTTGTGGATGGGAATGGGAAGGTGGCACCAATACCAAATTTGGCCACACTTACTTTTTGGTGGCATATTATTTGTTTTTTGGTAGTTCTGCTACGAAGCAAAAACAGCGCATGGAACCTGCAGGTCTCCTATTTGATGCTGTACTTTCATGAATGAAACCATTGTGGATTCCTGCTTGATAACTCTATTCTACACCTGTCTCCCATTCTCTCTCTACGGTTTAACTGCGCCTTAATTCGTAGTAGTAGCCGGCCATTGCGCGGGTTTATTTTCCATATTTCTTGTTCAGTCTTTCCATTATGGCGAGCGCGCGAGACCTATACCCTCCGCCGAAAATAGCATTGTGATTAAGGTGATGATATCTATTACATGTCAGCCCCAACACTATCTGCACAAGGTAGAGATGGAAAACCACTTACAGCTCGTACAACTCCACTCTATCGTCATATTCCTCCTTTGGTAGATCTTCCGGCTTTAACTCACGATACTCCTCCAACACGCCACCAAAACCACCGAACATCTTCATAATTCCCATCTCGAACTCGCTGTGCGCGTATGCCGAACTAGGATCATACACAACTTGCTCAACAGGCCCATCATTAATGCTCCCTATGCCGTGGTTCCCACTCCACAGGTCCCCATGCACCACAACCGGCGCAATCGGGGTCCCATAATGAGACTTGAGATGTCCGTCTTTGAGCAAGCGCGGCACAACAACAGACGCCGTCTGCTCAATCAGCTTACTAAGTTCCTCATCCTTGCCATTGGCCTTCTCACAGGCTTTGGAAATAGCTCTCAAGCGTTGGTTTGCGTAGAAGTCACTCCAAGAACTAGTGAAGTCATTGGGCTGCTCTGTGTTGCCACAGCATGTGGGCACAGAGAAGCCGAATTGGGGGCTTGAATGGCCATCAGGAACTGGAGCTGACGTACGGTGTAGCTTTTCTAGTTTCTGGGCGAATGAAAGACCGGATGGTTTGGCTTTTGAGGAGCCTAGATTGAGGAAGTCGGTGACGAGGAAGTAGCCTCCGGTAGAGAGGGCGCCGTGACCATAGCTTTGAGGACAGAAGGACGGCACTGCGTTATGGATGGCATTCAAAGAGGCATGCTCGCCTATGTAGAGTTTAGTGGAGTCTCAAACTGGGCGGGAAAACGCAGTCTCAATCATCAGAAAATCCCACTGTTGATGGGATGTGGCATGATAATTGCCGGATTCTCTCAAAAAGAGAGCCCCAAACGACGCCGTTCTCAACACTTAAGAGTCCTCTCTTAGCCAAGGACACTTACCAGCAAACATTGTTTTCGAACTAGGGCCGCCCGTTTTTACAAAGTAGGTTTTCGTCTCGCCGTCCACTTTGCTCGTTATCTTGTAGGTGGATGAAAAGCCAGAGCCACCAAGCACCTCCATTTCTGGCAAGGGCTCTTCCAGTGAAAGAGCCTTAGCAATGGCAGAGTCCATGGCGGGCATTTTGAGTAGCAGTTGTCGGAAGTTAATGTGTGTGTATTGCTTGGATATTGTTATCTAAATACCCACCAAGGTAATTCATGAGTGTAGTGTGACGTCGCATTAACCACCACCAAGGGTCTTGTGCTCTAGCTGAGATGGCTGTACCAACACAAAGGGCAAAACAAGCATTTAACGGGGTATTATTCAAGTACATATATCAGTCTACGAAGTAAAGAAAGTAGCGTGTCACTTTTTGGTAGTTTAAGCAAGTTGAATCGTAACTTGAAAATCTCGTATTAAGCCCCCGAATATGTATCTGAGGGTGAACATGCGCGCGCGCTGCTCTATTGTAATGTACATATCGATATTCTTCGAGCCAATCCCAGGATCATAAGAATGAATGATGCCGTAGCGCCTTGTTTAGACCTCCGTTTTCGACTGTCTATCCACTCTGCTAGGCCACGGTAGGTTTTGGTTTTGGTCCCTCCAACCATGCGTAAGTCCGCTGCAATGTTTTCTTCTCTCTCCCATCATTCTCCAATACAGCAAGGAAGTCCCGGAGCTGCACCAGGCGACCTCCATCTTTGTCCTCGCGAAAACCGCCCATTCTGTTCTTTCCATCTGCCGTGAGCCTCACCTTCTCGACGACCCCTCCGCCAATGCCACCAGGCGTACCTGGAGCCTGCATGCTTGTTCGCCCGGGTGTGCTTGCCCCACTGCCACCGCCCGAGTCCATCCAGCTGTACTTATTCTTCTTCTTGCCGCCAAAGAGGAATGTCGCCGTAGTGGCGTTTGCCTGAGCATGGCTATCAACCAAGTTTTGCTTCCCTTTATCCTGCTTCTCTCTCTCTTTCTTCGTGAGTGGTTTTGTGGAGGGCTCTGGGGCCACGGTTCCGGGTGTTCCTGGAGCAGCAGAACCGCTGCGAGCAACCGTACCATCCGTAGGGCGCCCTTGACGCTTGGCCAGACGTTTTTCCTCGAAGTTGCGCTCCACATTTGCGGCTTCACGGAGAGATTTTATCAACTCGTTGGTCATAGTGACAGTGCCCGTTGGAGTCTTGGTGCCTTCCGAAACAGGAGTAGGAAGTCGACCAGCTGCAGATGCAGGATCTGTAAACATTAGCAGGTTTCATAAACCAAGAGATATCTGCAACTTACCATTAGTTGGGTTTGTGCCTGGGCTGACTGCACTTTCCCAGCCAGTGCGAGGAGCTCCTTCAGGAACGACTGTGCCCGCTGCGCTGGTAGACGATGCTGCAACGTCAGACCATTCAGATGGGATGACTCCATGAGAGCCAACCCTCCGGCTCTTGACAATGGCAATAGTTTCCTCAAGAAGAATCCTGATCCTCTGGTTCGTTGCGAGGGACATCAAGGCCAACTGGTCCGCAAGAGCTGTGTCTTGTGGAAGAAATGTGGTGTTCGCCACAACCAGCGCTCCATCAGGACCAGTCCTGGTTTCAATTTTGATTTCCGAAGGAAACTCGGACGGCAGTTTCAACTGCGGCATCTTGCCATTATCCGTATTCAACACCAATCCGTTCTCCTTTGCAATTTTGTCCATCTTATTCCATAATGCGCCGACATGCACGTGGGGATGCTTAAGCTCATGTTGTCTGGACATTGCCAACTTGTATGCTGCATCAGCCCAAGCCTGATCTGCTGTCTTCTTTTGAATCTGATCTTGGGTAGCTTTATCGATAGGAGCGCCAGGTTGATTGGCAGGGCCACTTCCGTAAAAAGAACCGGCATCTCCAGGTCCAAATTGGGTGAAGCCATGACCGGTGGCATTTAGACCAGCCTGGTTGAACGCAGGTTGAGAGTTGAACGATCCAGTGTGAAAGCTCATCGCAAAGCTTTCCTCAGCACGCAAATCTACACCAGCATTCGCTAGCACATCCATCTGATCATCGTTGACGTTATCCCTTTCCGCTGGTTTAGACGGGGGCCCCATGGCTCCAGCTCCATGCTGTTGATGCTGCTGTTGCTGCTGCTGCTGCTGTTGTGGTGGCATGCTGTAGTTATTCGGAAATTGGTTGCTCGTAGGGACGTTCGTTGGGTGAGGTGGATGAGGTTGATGAGGGCTATGCGACGGCATGGCATGTACGTTGCTAACTGGAGGAGCATTTGGGTTGTAGGTGGGAGGTTGACTATAAGGCGACGGGTGGCTCAAAGCGGGTGTGGTATGGCCGTTTGAGTATGGCCCTTGATATGTAGGTGGCTGAGATATGTTTGCAAAATGGCTCGAATGCGCGGGAGGTAGTGATGAAGGCGGTGCAGCTGTAGATGGGGTCGGCCCATATGGTGATTGTGTATAAGGTGAGGTTGGCTGTGATCTTGGATCTGGAGACAAACGTTGCCGCTTCGCCGCTGGCTGATAGAATGCCTGGGCTCCAGGAGACGGTGCTGCCTGAGCGGGCGAGGAAGGTCCCACTGGCCCCGGCATTTGCACAGGCAACTGCGCCGGCATCTGGTATTGGGGTTGCTGTTGTTGCGCCATCGTGAATGAGGTTGTCGTGAGAAAGTTCATCCAGTTCGCGCGTTGACCAGAACAACTTGCGCGACAGTAGCAGCGGCGACCCACTCATGCAAGGCTGGTCATGTGACCACTCACGTAGGAGAGTGACCCAGACCACCTCACCGTAAATTCAGGCATCAACAGTAATTTCAGGCATCCACATACCTCTAGGGTCTCTATCTTTATTTCGCGATACCCAAGAGTGCCGCGCCGACATTGAACTGCGACAACCTTGTTCTTATCTCCCTTCTCACTCCTACCACCAGATCGCGCTACTAATTAAGTTTATTTCTGTTTATTTATTCTCAGCCAAAAGACAGAATAATAACAACATCAAAGACGGCCTAGATTTCTTGAGGTCCCACTGAGGACATGATCTAGTCGTGATTCTCACCTGCGAACTGCCCAATTGGCCTTGGAGAGCCTCTTCATAATACATTGAACCATACCTGCGAGATCACAAAATGGCTTCTAAACGCAAAGCTGGCGCAATGTCGCCAATGGTCGAAGAACCTGTGGACCCGAACGATGAGCTCATGTTCTTGTGCTTGGGAGGTGGAAACGAAGTGGGGAGGTCGTGCCATATCATTCAATACAAGGGCAAGACTGTCATGGTAAGAGCTTCATTGCGGCGGTTTCTAAAGACGATCAGTTGCTAATTTTCACATCAGCTCGACGCCGGTATGCACCCCGCTTTCGACGGTCTTTCAGCTCTACCGTTCTACGATGATTTCGATTTGAGCACCGTCGACGTGCTTCTGATCAGCCAGTAAGCCCGTTTTTCCTACACAGCAACTTTCAAACATACAATTTTTCATGGGGCGAGCTTTTCCTTTTCTCCTTTGTGGTGACTATCTGTTAAACGATCGTTGGTATTTCCTATACTACATGTTGCATGTATATCAGAGATCAATACAATACATTACCTATCCAGATGCTTGTTTGATCGCACGAAGATGAACCTGTGCACTCATGCATAGGGACGAAGACAATATAAAAATACCTTTGTGCCTATACGACCATGCATTTTGTCCACTTCGCATTGCATTGACATGTCAGTAGTCCATGTAGCTGACAAGTCCATAGTTTCCATATCGACCATGCTGCTTCACTACCATATGTTCTGGCAAAGACAAATTTCAAGGGCAGGGTTTTCATGACCCATCCGACGAAGGCGATCTACAAGTGGCTTATACAAGATTCCGTTCGTGTGTCGTCCAACTCTAGTTCGAGTGAGCAATCGTCGACACCATATACAGAAGCAGACCATGCGAGCACATTTCCTATGATTGAAGCCATTGACTATCACACCACGCACACCATCTCATCAATCCGCATCACACCCCTTCCGGCTGGACATGTGCTCGGCGCTGCGATGTTCTTAATTTCGATTTCCGGGCTCACCATACTTTTCACGGGCGACTACAGCATCGAGCCTGATCGCCACTTAATTTCAGCATCTGTCCCGGCAAACGTCAAAGTCGATGTGCTGATCACAGAGAGTACATATGGTGTCGCGTCGCATGTCCCTCGTCTAGAGCGTGAGCAGGCCCTAATGAAGTCTATTACGGGAATCTTAAACCGTGGGGGTAGAGTCTTGATGCCCGTATTCGCATTAGGCAGAGCCCAAGAGTTATTATTGATTCTGGATGAGTATTGGTCACGGCACAAGGACCTGCAAAATATACCCATCTACTATGCATCGAACTTGGCTCGAAAGTGTATGCTCGTTTACCAAACATACGTTGGGGCCATGAATGAAAATATCAAGCGCCTGTTCAGGGAGAGGATGGCTGAATCCGAAGCTGGGGGCACCAACGGAGGGCCGTGGGATTTCAAATATATTCGCAGTCTAAAAAGCTTGGAGCGTTTCGACGATGTTGGAAGCTGTGTAATGCTTGCAAGTCCGGGTATGATGCAGAATGGAGTTAGCAGGGAGTTGCTTGAGCGCTGGGCACCAAGTGACAAGAATGGCGTGGTTATTACAGGTTATAGCGTGGAAGGGACAATGGCGAAGTCTATTATGCAAGAACCAGATCAGATCCAAGCTATTATGTCACGAAACGGGGCAAATAGAAGAGCAGGAAGAGGAGGCGAGGACGGAGAAAAGGTCATGGTTCCAAGGCGTTGCAGTGTTCAGGAGTTCAGTTTTGCTGCTCATGTTGATGGTGTTGAGAACCGAGAATTCATTGAAAAGGTTGCCGCGCCTGTCGTTGTAAGTATTCCATGTCCCCAGCCTCAATCAAATATGTTTTTCACGTCTCTAACTGGGGTAGATTCTCGTCCATGGCGAGCAACATAATATGATGCGATTAAAATCGAAGCTTCTTTCTCTTAACGCCAATCTCGCCGAGTCCAAGAAGGTTAAGGTTTACTCGCCACGTAACTGCGAAGAAGTGCGTATCCCATTCAAAGCCGACAAAATTGCGAAAGTTGTTGGAAAGCTAGCAAACCTATCTCCTCCAACGCTATTGACCAGCGGGGAAGGCGGTGAATTGCAGTTTGATGATGGAGGTAAGATCATCAGCGGCGTTCTTGTGGAGAACGATTTCAAGCTCTCCCTCATGGCGCCTGAGGATCTCCGTGAATATGCCGGTTTAACTACTACGGTGGTTATGTGCAAGCAGCGAATACGACTAAGTGCTGCAGGGATTGACCTAATTAGGTGGGCATTGGAAGGAACATTTGGTTCTATCGAAGTCATATCCCAGGCGACAGACGAGGAGCCTGTAAAAGACGAGAATGGTGATACCCATATGAACGGCAACGGATCTGTGGAGAAGGCAGACGAAGAAGTTACGCGATCAAGCACCACAACGTATCTGGTCATGGGATGCGTGACCGTGAGGTATAGAAGCAATGGCGAAGTGGATATTGAGTGGGAAGGCAATATCCTGAACGATGGTATTGCCGACGCTGTTATGGCCGTCTTATTTTCGGTCGAGAGCAGCCCAGCAGCCGTCAAACGTAAGCAACAGCCTCCCACCCCGGATTGCCTTCATTTTGTCATTTTAAACGTTATGTCGTATGTTTACTAACTTGGAATAGAATCTTCAAGCAAGCACGCTCATAACCACGGTCATGATCACGGCCATTCCCTGCCGGATCGCAACCCGCACGCAGATGTTTCCCCAGCGGAGAGACTGGAGCGGTTATTCTTGTTTCTCGAGGCACAGTTCGGTTCAGATGCACTGAACCCGATCGAAATACCAAAACTGCCTAAACTACTTCCCGAAGAGGCCGGAGCTGATGGCAATGAAGACGAAGATGAAACAAGGGAAGCAGAGAAAATCGAACTAGAGAGGCTGCATAAGGCAGGCATTCCTGTCCCCGGCGTGGAAATTAAGGTCGATAAGATGGTGGCAAAGGTTTGGCTTGAAAATCTAGAGGTTGAATGTGCAAACCGGGTATTTGGTGACAGAGTTCGGGCAGTTGTCGAGCGGGCAGTTGAAATCGTGGCGCCGCTTTGGGGATAGTTTCAATTATGATCTGGGGTTGTCGAATATGGCAGGGCTATCGAATAATAGATCCTGATGTCTATGTATGTATAATATAGGGGCATTTGTCCGCACGAGAGAATGACAGGCACCTTATAAAGGGGTGGACTATGCAAATAGGCAACACAACAGCTCAAATTATGTCTCTAGAAATCTATCAATGTGCTAAATTACTCGCGGATTTGGTATTATCAAGCAGAGGTTTAAGTAAATTTAGTATGACAAGTGCTCAAGATCTCATCCATAAGCCAGTTAGTATATATCACTACACCCTCCTGGTCAGCAAACATTGGCCCATTTAAACAGAATAGTGCCATAACTTACTTCCTTCTGAGAAGAGGCACCTCTCTCCTGACCTTGCTAACAAGGTCTAAATCAATATCCGCAATAGCTATTTCCGGCTTATCCCCATCTCCAGTGAGTTCTGCCACGATCTTGCCCCAGGGATCGACAATCATTGAATGTCCATAGCTCGTGCGTTTCTCATTGTGTTGCCCAACCTGTGCCGCGGCAATTACGTAGGATTGCGTTTCTATTGCTCTTGCTCGGAGGAGTATTTCCCAGTGGGCCTTTCCAGTGGGCACTGTAAATGCGGAAGGGTAAGTGATAATATGTGCGTTTTGACGGTGGAGCGCTATTCCGATTTCAGGGAACCTCAGCTGTCAAATATACATCTCAGTAATTGAACGGCATTGCAATCCTGAGTGACACCTACATCAAAGCATATTGTCAAGCCAACCCGGCCAACGGCAGTTTCAAACGGAGGAAGAATACTCATGCCTTTCTCGACGCTATTACTCTCCTTCAGGACAGGACCTCCTGCAATATCGACATCGAACAAGTGGATCTTTTGGTATCGCTGCGTAATCTGTCCCTGCTCTATCCAAATAGACGCATTCTTCAATTTCTTTCCAGATTCGCCAACCTCATGAATTCCAACATTGATAGCAATATCTGCTTCCTTACTGGCAGCTTGTACGCCTTGGACGAATATGCTATCCTCGACGGATCTTGCCAACGCAAGGGACTCCTCGGTAGAGGAAGCGATATAATCACTAGCCTCTGGAAGAAACAAGGCCTAACAAGCTCAGATATATTTTTGCAAAGATGTTTTCATATCTGACCTTTGCTCCTGCGGCCGAAGCCTGATCAACGAGGTCCTTTACAAGCCGAAGGTTGTGAGCCATGGAGGCTTTGGAACAGAGCTGTCCCACCGCCTATATTACTTTAGCAAGGGAGTTTTAACAGAACCACAAGTCACTCACTACGATTGCCATCTTTAATTTATCTTTAAAGTCTTTAAAGAGTCGTTCACACTGTTCCAACAGGAGCCAACTTGACGCGATATCACGTGGCTTGCATACAAAACGTGGTGTGCTTTCAGACGTACCTGGCCTGCCAATGATGACGTCTGCTGAACCGAAACCTGGGGAAATAGTGCCTGGAAACCCGGGAACGGGAAGAACTCTGGGAACCTCACCCAGAACCACATCTCACTCATTTGACAGCCCCCTTCAACTTTTTTCGCGCGAGTATGCATACGCAACGGGGGATCGTATAGCTTTATTGACATGGTAAACTGACCCACGTTGGATATGTCAAATGGCGGCCAACCTCGGTCGTCGCCTGGTAAGAGACGCCGCCTCCCAGGAATCCAAAAGATAACAACCCACTAACCATCCCACCACAGTCTTTCATTTCACAGCTGGCCTAGGCTCCGGCGTCCTATCAGCCGTTCTTCTCCAACCCGCCGACCTCCTCAAGACGCGTGTCCAACAATCCGGCTCCAGCTCTCTCAGCGCCTCCTTCCGCGAAATTTTAGCTGGCCCAAAAGCCATCTGGGGATTCTGGCGCGGAACCGCGCCGTCTGCTCTGCGAACCGGGTTGGGATCCGCTTTGTACTTTACCAGTCTTAATGCACTTCGACAACATGTTGCGCGCTCGACTTTGCTCCAGAATATAGGCGTCGTCGATGGGTCGAAGGTGCAGCCTTCGACGTCGTCTGCGCTGCCGAAGCTCTCGAACTTGGCGAACCTCACGACGGGCGCGATAGCGAGGACATCAGCGGGGTTTGTGCTGATGCCTATAACGGTGATCAAAGTGCGCTATGAATCGAATATGTACGCCTACCACTCTATCATTGGCGCGAGCAAGGATATCTTGAAGACGGACGGTATTAGAGGGTTTTTTGCTGGGTTTGGCGCAACTGCGGTCCGCGACGCTCCGTATGCGGGGTTGTATGTATTATTTTATGAGCAGTTTAAAAAGAGGATGAGTCGGATGGCTCAGAATGTTGGGGTTCCTGGCGCTCCAGAGATGGCCATGGCGGGAGGGACTTCAGCGTCTATCAACTTCGGGTCTGGGGTTGTAGCTGCGGGGCTTGCGACGGCGATTACGAATCCTTTCGATTCGATCAAGACGAGGATTCAATTACGGCCGAGGGAATACCGGAATATGGTGCAGGCGTCGAGGAAAATGATCGCGGAGGATGGGTTCAGGAGTTTGTTTGATGGGCTGGCGATACGGATGGCGAGGAAGGCTATGAGTTCGGCGCTGGCTTGGACACTTTATGAAGAACTCATTAGAAGAGCAGAGCTTCCTTGGAAAGAGAAAGAGAAGGAGAAAAGCCTCTCGTAAGGGCAGGGCCCTTTGTTAGAATGTAACTCTACTCAGTGTATGATGCGAACGGCTGTATCAACAACATTTTTACTCTATACTACTCACGAACTTTGGTCACCATCTCTGGGACACTATTCACATTTTTGCTCTCCATATATGATTTAATGATTTGGTATAAAAGCTAGTGTTGCTATATTTGAGAGGCGTCAAAACCACCAGAAACATCAGAAGTAGATAAAAAAGATTCCAGACCCCGCGCAAAACAAAACATCATGCTATCATCCAATCATCACCCCAGCCTTCTTCATCTCTCATCTCTTACCACCGGCGAGGAAGGTTATCAAGCCAGGGGACTTGTCTCTCTTCCTCTCCTTCTTCTTCACAAACTCGTATTGCACATCACCATGACCGTGGTGATGGTGGTGTCCCCCGGCCTGCTCAATCTGCAACACCGTCGTGTTCGTAGTACTGGTGACAGCGCGGCGCCTCTCGCGGAGCTCTCTCGTGTGCTCCCACAAGAAATCCTGCTCATGCTCTGGCACCCATCTCTTGATAAGAATGTACTCGGGATCCTGCGAACAAAAAAAAAATGTATCAGTCTCTAGAAATCTATGCCCATCTGGGTTTGCGTACCTGGTCAATGGTGTAGTCTATGCGGAATGCATTCAGCGTCTCGTAGGAAAGATAGCGCCGCGCCATTTTGGTGTACATGGGGCGAGTCCCAGCGGCGACGTCGACTTTCTCCTTCTTGAGCACGGCAGCAATTTGCGCATCGGTCAAACCCGACTTCCTCATGTCGTCTTCTATACGCTCCTTGTACTCCTTCTCGCGCTGCTTCTTCTCCTTCTCATCCTTAGCGGCCTTCTCGGCCTGCTTGCGCTGGAAATCCTTCACAGCTGCCTCGGCCGCCTTTTTCGCGGCCTCCTTCTCCTCCTCCTCCTTCTTCTGTTTCTGCAGCTGCTTGAGTTCAAACTCCTTCTTCAGTAACTTCTCATCCTCGATGCGCTGCTGCTCGAGCTTGAACTTGTGCAGCTCCTTTCGAGTTCGCTCCAGTTCGTAATCCTCCTTGGTCATATAGTCATGCTTAGGCTTCTCTTCCTCCTTCTCCTTCTCCTTCTTAGAAGCTCTCCTGTTGGCCTCATACTGGGCCCTTCTCAAGTCCTCAATCTCGCGCCGCGCCATCTCGAGTTCGTATTCTTCCTTAGTCATGAACTGCTTTTCCTGCTTTTCCTGCGACCTGCGTCTGTGGCGAGAGCGAGAGCGCGACCGTGAGCGCGACGACGACCGGGAGCGACGGCGACGGCCATGGCGAGATCGAGATCTCTCGCGATGTGCTGGTGCCGGTGCCACCATTTGGAACTGCACTGGGGCGGGGCGGGGCGGCTCGGGATAGTCTTCGTCATGGTTGTAGATCCGGTTGTTTATGATAACAGGCTGAGGCTGCGGAGAAGGAACCCTGGGGGACGGGCGCCTGTCGTAACGACCGCCGGCGCGGACGTCGAGGCGTTCGTCGACGTAGTAGGTTGGGCGTGGTGGGGGTGGCTCATAACGTGGCTCGGCCCGGCCACGGTGGTGGAAGCGGATATCGATATCGTCCCTATCGTCGTAACGACCGCCGCCGTAACTCATCGTGAATTAGATAGCGGTAAACGCAACTTTGTTGTGGGTACAGATGGAGATGAAACAAAGATACTCGAGAAACTGTGCAATACAGTCTCCGATAATATCGTTTGCGGAAACTCTGACTGGTGAGCAGATGACAGTTGGTACTTGGCAGGTGACCAGCGACTCCTCACTCTGAGACAACGAGGCACAAGGCGGGTGCGATAAGAGAGGGGTTGGATTATCGTCGTCGTCTGTTTACCCCTCAGCAAGTTTTTGAAGCTCGCGAGCAGCTTATATGTCTCTCCACAACAACTAGTGTCTTGACTCTTGATGTTGGATGAAGGAGAAAAAAACCAACCAGACGAAGAAAGTGTGCTCAAGACTGGGAATTGGGCTGAAGGTGAGGGGCGGGGCGGGGTGGTCGGGAAGTGTGTGGCCTCAAGTCCATTGTATCAGCGCGTGCATGGCGTAGGAAGGGCCCGCATGGGCTATCGCGACATCACAATCATGATTGGGCACACGACGAATCCATGGGATCCGTGGGGCTGAAAATGTTCAAGTTTAGTACCAAGTAGACCATTTCGGTGTGTTAGGCTGCAGCACATGCATGGGGGGGCTCAGCGGCACAAGAAACACACCACAAGGTGGAGCTTAGCGGACAGCGACTCGCAAGGATGATCAACAGAGTAATTTTGGCCAGAGCGGGGTTGCAACACCAAGCATTTGGCATATTCCAGCCATCGCTGAAACGTCTGGTCGACCCGCGCGTCTCGACAAGTTTCATCTGAGTATCCGCGCGCCTTTGACAATGATCGCCTTGAATCCGAGCGAACTTGTCATGTGGAGAGAGTAGGGAAATAAGTCATCGCGAACGAGACTCGGAGGCTATTTGTAACGATAACAGAGTAATCAATGTAGGGCATGTGTGCATGTCACTTGTGGAAGCTGAGTGAGTGCGAGAAGGATCATGCATGTCAGCCGTGCCAGGGTCCACGAAAGCAATGTCATAATAACTGTGAAACGCATTTTGCCTTCTCGTGCATTGCCGTCCGAATACCATGAAAGTAGCCGGTATATATGCTTTGCACAGCTTTGTTTCCTTAGCTTTGAATTATTCAGATTCGATTTGATTCCCATTTTTGGCAGGTGAAGGAGCGTGTTTCTGTAAACTGTAGGGCTGTGTTTAACTCCACAATATCTGAATCCACAACAGGCCACAGAAACGTGTCTGGACCTGATCTAATACTGCGCTATAAAACAAAGTGTGTTTCGGGTATGCCATGCGGCCATGACAAGTAACCTTAGTTTGGCCGCCAAAGTATGTTTGAGAGGATTAAGCGCAATAGTCCGCGCCTGGCGAAGCGCCCCGACAAGCGCCTAGAGGCCCTTCATATGCGGCGCTCGACCTCTTCATTTTCCATCTGGGAAAGTTGAGCCGTCCGATGTCTTGATAGTAGAGACTACGCGCCCAGCGAGCGTATCCTCCCGCACCCTCCTGACTCGCGCAAACGGCAACAATAGCGACACTCCAACAACACGCCCTCCTCTCATTTTACTAACAAGAGGATATTGGCTGCACTTCTCACACTGCGCTTGAGTCTCTCCATCCCGCGCGAGCTCTCTGTTTTTGTTTGGACCTTCTTATGCGCGGCCCCCGCTCTTGAAGATCTGCTCCATATGTTCACGGCTATTTTTGTATGTTGTCTCGAGGTAGTGTAGTTTCTTGTTCAGTGACTCGACGTCGGTCTTGAGCCCGGCAGTTTCCGATGTCAATCTTTTATCAACCTCGCTCGTAGGGCTAAAAACGAACCTATTCGTGTTGTGTTAGCAGATGAGGTTTATTCGGTCTCGTGATCCACGTTTTGATTTTAGGGGTTCTGAGGATTGCCCACGGGACTCCTTCCGGAGGCTTGACTTACATCTTGCCAACCCCCTCGTATATATTTGTATTTTCTGGTAGCGTAGACACCTCGCTCGAGGTCAGCTGCAGGAGTCGCATGTCGCGCTGCTTCACTGCTATTTGTGACTTGACGACATTGATCTGCTGTTGTGCCTGAATGGCCTGCGTCTCGATCTCCTGCACGAGCTATTGTCACAGAGATTAGCATGAGCCGTATGTATTCCGAATAGAGAAGAGATAATTTGTTCGCTGCGTACCTTTTGGAGAGCTTCGTTCGAAATGGACATTTTCCTCAAGGGATAGTATATATACAGAGGGACAAAGCTGGACGGGTTTGGTAGTTGAAGTCTCGCTGTGCGCTCTGAACTGCGGAACCAAAGTTCTACGATCCAAGGTATGAATATGGAGGTCTTGTAGTAGACAATAACGTGGCCTTGAACTGTTCGGTGCTTTCGTGGTGGGGTTGAGCTTGTGTTCTACCCAGGGTTCGTTGAAGCTCATGTTCTCAACCGCGACGTTGTTCGCAGTGGGTCCTTTTCGTCAACCGTAACAATATAATTCCCCGCCCAAGCTTGTGATAAGTGATATCTTTGGCTGTATATAGTTTTGAGTTTTTTTTATTTTTCTAGTATTCTATTGTTACAGCAAAATGAAAGACTAAAGTTATAGAGAGAGGCTGATTATTAGAAGTAATGCCTTTGCTGTGATCAAATTGCTACTCTGGATAACCATCCGTAGCAAAAGCATCAGCGATTTTTGTGTCTCACAAGGCTATTTCCGTGAAGTTTTGTTATCGATCTGGTGGCTCAGTCTTTAGTTGTGCTACATACACAAAGTCGTTAGTGAACTCTCTTTCTATAAACCTCTTCCGGAACAGATTAAGGAAATTAAGAAGATGAAATAAACTAGATCAGTTGTCCGCCTCAAGCAGCCTCGACCTTATAATATGATCCACAATGTTTAAACCGTTTCCGTTGATCCGAGCGTGTGCGATGACGTCTGTTCAGACCTCAGACCATTCATGGTACCCAGAGGTACTCGCCATCCCACTTCATTCCGAAGCTCCCAGGCACAAACTACCCCTCCCAACAGCGCCGACAGCGAAAGTCGGAGGCATTCATTGGCAATAGCTGCCCGGCCTCGGGGGCCGCCCGCTAAGACATCGTATGTACTCCTTGGTACCATTTCTAGAACCAAAAGAGGCAGGCACACGCAAGCACCACTCATGTGAAGATCCAAAACCTTTTGCCTCCTCTATCTTTCTTCTCTGCTCATCACACATCATTGTATATCATTGCCATTCCAATCCGCGCTCTGCATCTTATCCGTATTTTTACTTTGGAGGATAGGATCTCAGACGCTGTAATCTTTATCGTCCGCGGAGGCCACCTGGAGATCCAGGATAGTAAGAGGCTATGACGGTCAACTCGTCGACAACAATGAAATCGGGTCACTCAGAAACGGGCGCTCGATGGCTGCCCGCCATTGACTATCCCAGCGGTTCCAAGCATGGCTTTTGGTATCCCCAAACAAGCACAATAAACTGGTGCGAGGAGGTATGGCATGCTATATCTCTGTTGCAAATGTCAGAGTGGCACTGACATGACTCGTAGGACTATTATGCGACTATATACGCAGCGGAAATTGTCAACACGTTGACAAACCTTCTATTCATGTATCTTGGCATCAAAGGAGTCCGAAACTGTCTAAAACATGGGCATGACACGGTCTTCATGATAACCTTTCTGGGATACCTGGCTGTGGGGACTGGAAGCTTTATGTTTCATAGCACCCTGAAGTGTAAGTTAGCGAGTCAGCTAAATTTGTCGTATATTAACGGACATATAGATCCATGGCAGCTAGTTGACGAGCTCTCCATGATATACACGACATGCCTGATGTGCTATGCATGCTTCTCATTCAACCAAACCCGCCGATTCTGCCAGGGTCTGGCTGCTGGACTGACAAGTCTCTGTATATTTATAACAGTAAGCTCACATGTCCCTTTGAATGTATGGATCGCTCTCTAACAACATCAAGGGTTATTATCATTATCTTCAGGATCCCACGTTCCATCAGAATGCGTATGCGATCCTTACAGCCATCGTGGTGTTCCGGAGCATGTATGTGATGGAGATCAACATTCGGCCATCACTCCGGGCCAAATATGGCCAAGCATCCCCAAATGGCAAAGTGAGCGCCGAAGATGCCAAGAGAGACAAACAAATCCTTCGGGATATGTGGCTGATGATTGGCCTGGGGCTTACCGTATTCCTTGGAGGTTTTGGTATATGGAACTTGGATAATTATTATTGTTCGACCGTTCGACGTTGGAGGCACGATATTGGCCTGCCCTGGGGTATATTGTTGGAAGGCCATGGCTGGTGGTAAGCAATACATGAAACCGTCGAGGACATAATTCGAAGCTAACAAATATCTATAGGCATCTGATGACGGGAACTGGAGCCTACATGTCTCTCGTGTGGGGCATTTGGCTTCGTCACTGCCTTAATGAGCGCCAAGATGAGTATGAACTGTCCTGGCCAAGGACGTTCACGTCTTTACCTGAAATTGTTCGCGCCAATCCAGAGAAGTGGAAGGGGGCCGCAGAATCGAAGAAAAGGCTTTGAGTCGTTGGATACTGGAAAACCGAAAGGTTGAGGACTTTTAGAATTGCACGCTAGAGTAAATATGAATCCATACTGCCAATCCAGTTTGCCTGAGATCGCATACAAAAATAATTTGTAGAAGAATGTATTCGTAGAAATGAGAACAGTCGTTGGCCGTCAACTGCTCATTGAGCCTAGGCTCCCGTCGCCAAGAACCGGCGCGCGGAGCGCGGAGTCGAAACTCGTCAGCTAAATCTTACGCGCGGTTCGAGTACTTCGTACCTTTTGGACAGCACTCCACAGCTGTGGGCGGTAATCTCCAAGTGGTCAAATCTTAGCCTTTGAGCTTTCCTGTTAACCTGAACACCTTGTATCCCCCACAATTGGAATCTGGCCAATCTATATTTATTCTTACCATCGTTAAATTTAATAATTGGCTCCCCCCACAGCCTGTCGTTCGTTGCACACTACCCTAGTTGAAGGATTCCAGGACCCTGGCGCCTTTCGGATACGAGCATCATCGTCAGCTGTCAGTTACCGTGATGGACTCGTAGCTAGCAGAAGAACGCTATTGAGCCGCGACCCCAACGATTGCCTATGACGCCCTATGCGAAGAACCTCAGGTCGAATTCAGACGGTAGTGAAATACAGCCCTCGACTGTAATATAATGACGACCCCTGCGAAGCAATCGTCCCGCTGGGGCTCGTTCTTGTCGCAGGCCGTCGCGGGGATTGAATCGAATCTGGACAATATACTCTCTGGAGACGATGTGCCCCAGACGAAACCGGCGGCGGTAGTACCCCCCGCTGCGCTGAAGGTCGAGAATGGTATGCCCAGCCTCATCACTACAATTTCAGGAGCAGATGTTAACAAGACCCGCTAGCTCCATCTCGAAGCTCATCTGCGAACCCGACGTCGAACGACCGCTTGCAGGAACGACTCGCGAGAGCTGTTGCAGCGAAGAAGATGGCGGCGCAGAATGGCGGCGCACAAACACCTATATCGAATGCTTCCTCGAGAGTTGCAAGCCCGGCCCCTGCTTCGGATAGTCCTAGGCCCAGTCTAGATGTGGCTCCACGGGCAAGCGAAGAGGGAGGTAGTGGAACGAAAGCGGATGCAGATACTGAGGAGAAGGTTGTTCCTCAGGTTAATATCGGGAGTGCGGATACGGACACGGCCGTGGACAAGGACGCGCAGGCAGAAGGACGACCAAGTGGAGATCTCGGAAACAAAACCAAGGATGATACTGCGCGGGTGTCTACAGACTCAGCTCCTGCTAGACGGAGTACCGAGTCCCAGTCAACAACAGAGCCGAAAGCTAAAACAAATGGAAATACGGCTGTCGACGAACCCGGTACAACCGAGAAGCGGTCTGTGGCAGATGCAGACCGTGAGGAGGAAATACATGGCTATATTGAACGAATCGATGCATTGCAAGCGAAGCTACAATATCTCGCCAAGGAGTCTTCCGAGAATGCGAGGAAAGCCGCCGCAGCTGCGCCAGCAGATAGCTTTGAAAAGAAGTTGGCGGATAAAGATCAACAGATTGCATTGCTTATGGAGGAGGGCCAGAAGCTCTCCAACACTGAGCTAAAGCACATGACTCTCATCAAGAAATTGCGAGCGAAGGGCTTTGAATCCGAGAAGGCAGCGGGCGAGGTTAATAAGACGCTAGAAAAAATGACGAAGGAGAAAGCTACACTGAATGAGCGCCTAAAGCGAGCCGATGGGATCGAGAGACAGTTGAACGAGAGGCATAAACAGGTATCACAGATGCAGAAGGACATGGAGGCTGTCAAGGCAGAACGAGATGCTAAGGAAGCGCAAATTGGACAACTAAAAGCCCAATTATCCGAATCTGCTTCTCAGGCGAAGGCAGATGAGGTGAAGAACATCCAGGGCCAGCTAGACGCCGAGAAGAAACGGGCCAGCAACTTAGACGAAGAAGTGTCCTCACTCAAGATCGAGAAGGAACTGGCAGAGGACAAATTAAGAGCTCAGATTAAAGAACTAGAGTCGAAAGCAGAGCGGGAAGTCGAGCGTGCACGAGCCGCTGAGCTAGAGCAGAAGGGAGAAATCCAACTGCTGGAGAGCCGGTTGGAGGTCATGCGCACCAGGGCCGAAGAAATATCATCGGGTGCTACGGGGGATGCACAGGCAAAATTCTTGAGGCAAATCGAGACGTTGCAGACGCAATATTCGATTGCTAGTGAGAATTGGCAGGGGATTCAGACGTCATTAACCTCGCAAGTGACGAATCTGCAAAAGGAGAGAGATGAAGCTTTCCGTCGCGAGAGCGATATCAGGAAAAAGGCCCGAGAAATGGTAAGCACTCTACCGTACCCCTTTACTGATTTAATTGCTAACTTTTTATCTAGACACTAAGAGCGAAATCCAACGAAGACGAAGCCGAGAGTTTGCAAACGCAGATCAACGACTTGCAGCAAGCCGTAACATCACAGAAGACACAACTTGTACAACTACAGCAAAAAGTAGACGAAGCAGAGGCAGCTCTCCAAAAAGCTAGTAATGCATTTGAACTTGAAAAGCAAACATGGACGTCCGAATTGCAACAACGCCTCGAGGAAGAGCGTAATAAATGGAAGGAAGAGGCCCCTAGGTCGCAATACAACTTCGATCGAGCTGTATCACCAGTGGCTTCGTCGAGAATGGGTCTCACGGCAGAATATCTGGGTCTCCAAAACTTGCAGACAAGACGCGCTGGTTCGTCCAGAGATATGCTGGATGATCTCCCCGGGGTGGAGCGACGAATGAGCCGACCTTCCTCTTCGAGACTCCCTCGCTCATCGGGACATGTCACGCCAAAGCGCCAGGATTCAGCTACCCTGTTCAGCCCTGGTGCAGACGCATCAGATGCGCCCTTCATCACTATGGATCCTGATGAGTATTTCGAGAACACAGCCTCGCCGGTTGACCACCACCACACTATGAACGATATCATGTCCGTCTCGACAGCCGGGGCCGGACCATCCGTCCAGCTCGTCGAGAGAATGAGCGCCGCAGTGCGCCGCCTAGAGAACGAGAAGATCTCCTCAAAAGAAGAGCTTGTCCGTCTAGCAAGCCAGCGCGATGAGGCGCGTGCGGAGATCGTCTCGTTAATGCAGGAAGTTGAGGCGAAGAGGGCTGACAACGCCAGGGTCTCGGAGCTGGAGAAGGAGGTTGATGCGATTAATGCCCGGTATCAGACTACGCTGGAGATGCTGGGGGAGAAGAGCGAGATGGTGGAGGAGCTCAAGGCAGATGTACAGGATGTCAAGGCGATGTATAGGGAGTTGGTGGAGAATACTGTTAAGTAACTAGGTGTAGCTATGGATCAAATATTGTTCTACATACTACTGCACTGTAATGTAGTGATTGCGTCAATTGCTAGTTGTGTCTGTGATTGATTGCAAGGCCTAGCTGCTGGTTGTGATTTCTATCCCCTCACGCTCGACGCTCTCCAGTATGAACTTGCGGATCTAGATCTATTAGAACTGCACGTCATGCGGTAGGCGAGTGAGAGAAACATACCTTTCCATCCGGAGCAAGGTCGATGGCAAGAAAGCCGTCGACGTCCTTCTTATCCGACTCTGCCCCAGCCTTGAGGAGGGCAAGCGCAGTATCACCTGGTAAAGTCAAATGGCGAATCGTTGGGGGCTATCTGATAACCTACCATGGCCCTCAGCAATTGCGTGATGTAGCGGCGTATATCCTGCTGAATCCGTGGCGTTCAGTGGGCTCCTGTTTTTCAATAGCAGCTCCACCAACGGCACGCTACCGATGGACGCAGCTCTGTGGATGGGGTATTGGCCACGCTTGTCCTTCACTCTCACTGATGCTGGCGGCTTGTTGGCCAGGAGGGTTTTGGTAACGTCAAGGTTATTCTTTGAGGTGGCGAAGAAGATTGCGGTCTATTTCTTGTTAGCTTTAAACCCATGGGGCGGACTGTATATTGACAGACCTGGCCGTTGTTATCTGTAAAATAGTCAGTTGTGATCTTTTTCATGGGTATCAAACTTACTTGTCTCGCTCACATCTGCTCCTTTACCCAACAAGAGTTTGACGATATCTTCACCCTCTTTGAGGCTGACTGCTATCATCAAAGGGGTCCAACCAGCACCATCCTAGCTAGAGGTCAGTCACGGGACAACGGATGTCAAGCTGATGTGCTGGAGCGTTCGAAAGGTCTGGTCTGAGTGAGGTTACCTTGGCATCTGGATCGAAATCCTTCCTTTGGGCCAGAATTGATACTACATCAAGATGTCCTTGCGCAACAGCCCAGTGCAAAGGCAGGCGGTCGTCATCGTCTTTCAGAGTAGCCAGTTTTGAATTTGCCTGTAATTATCCCTTTAGCTCCGCAATCCACAGAGATGTGGTCTGGCGTGCGTCCTACATTCAGGAGACTTTCGACCACGTTTGCTGTAGAGATGTTAGCTATTTCTCATGCGAAATAGTATGAGGGGTAGCTACTTCGCCCATTCCTGGCAGCTTCATGGATCTCAAATTTGTTGGCCTTATCCGCCATAATGCCGGTGATTTTATTGTAAAAATCTGTAAGTACTAAGCCTAACGAAGTTCATAAATAGTAAAAGAAAACAATCGTCATGCACTGATGCCTTTCTGATAAATTCTTAGAAGCAGATGCGTGATTACGCATCAGGTAGCTGCCCATCGATAACTGCAACTAATTAGGCCTAGCGCGCCTCCCCCACAAGGCTCAAAGCCGAAAAGTTGCTAGAGCGTCACGACGCGAAGGGTTCCACGAGCCTCGTTCCATGAGCCGCCTCACCAAACATTTCCAACGACTCCCGAAGCAAAACCCAAACTCACAATTCGTGAGCCACGTACATCAAAATGGCGGCAGCCACCGACGGCGATTCTGCGTACCTACGACAACTCCTCCTCCAAAACTCCAAGAAGACGCGAGCGCTTTTCGCGGGCGGCGTCGTCCCAGATGCTCCAGTGATACAGACTTCGATTCCGGAGAGGAAGCGCAAGGCCGATGCGACTAGCACACAACTGGTGCAAGTGAAGAGGGCAGATCAGAAGAGGGCTGCGGCGTCTCCTGGGGGGGCAGGGGCACCAGGGACGCAGCTATCATCAGTGCTTTCTACCGATAATACCAGGAGGATCCAGGTCGCCCAGCAGGCGAAACCAGAATGGCATGCGCCATGGAAGCTGATGCGTGTTATATCCGGCCATCTGGGCTGGGTGCGGAGCTTGGCTGTTGAACCGAATAACCAATGGTTCGCTAGTGGTGCGGGGGACAGGACGATCAAGATCTGGGATCTGGCGACTGGAGGGCTGAAGCTCACGCTGACGGGACATATTTCCACGGTCAGAGGTCTGGCTGTTTCGCCGAGACACCCGTATCTGTTCTCGTGTGGTGAGGATAAGATGGTAAAGTGCTGGGATTTGGAAACCAACAAGGTCATTCGACACTACCACGGACATTTGAGCGGCGTCTATACACTGGCTCTGCATCCGACACTCGATGTCTTGGTTACGGGTGGACGTGATGGTGTTGCGCGTGTGTGGGATATGCGGACACGAAGCAACATCCACGTTTTGGCGGGTCACAAGGGAACGGTTGCGGATGTTAAATGTCAAGAGGTGGATCCGCAGGTCATAACTGGCTCTCTCGATTCTACCGTCCGCCTGTGGGATTTGGCTGCCGGTAAGACGATGGGAGTTCTAACGCACCACAAGAAGGGTGTAAGGGCTCTTGCAACTCATCCAAAGGAGTTTACGTTTGCGTCTGGTAGCACTGGCAGTATCAAGCAGTGGAAGTGCCCCGAGGGAGCGTTCATGCAGAACTTTGAGGGGCAGAATGCCATTATCAATACACTGAGCGTCAACGAAGATAATGTGTTGTTCTCGGGAGGTGATAATGGATCGATGGGCTTTTGGGATTGGAAGACGGGACATCTCTACCAGTCGCTGGATACGACGGCTCAGCCGGGTTCTTTGGACGCGGAGGCTGGAATAATGAGCTCGACGTTTGATAAGACTGGATTGAGATTGATTTGTGGAGAGGCAGACAAGACTAGTAAGTTGAGCTCGCAGCATTATGTTTGTACCAGTGCTAACGACGATATTAGTCAAAATATGGAAGCAGGATGACCAAGCGACACCAGAGTCGCACCCCTTAGATTGGAAGCCAACTCTGGGACGCCAAAAATACTGATTGTAGGATGGGCAAAGCTTGGAAATCGGCTCAGGAAAGCGAAAGGTGTTGTAAACATGGACGGGCAATGGCATGGCAGGGCGAATGTGTATATCAGCATATCACGAGGGGCGTTGCGGGAAATCTGGACTAGCGATATCACCCAGAAAACGGCGTTGGAAAAGGCGGCAGATTAGGCTCGCACTTTTTTTTATTTATACAAATTATGGGTATCTTGTAGATCTAATAATCAAAACCCGAGCCCTCGAGACTCGGGATCATCTTTCAATGCGAGCTTGACATCTCCCTCGCCGATACAGAGACGTACTTTGGCCACGCGGTCTCCCTTTCGAGCCTCGAATCCTATGATGCCCGCTTCCATGAGCTCTATAGCTGCCGTGCCCATAGCATGGACACGTGGAGCATCGCGTAGGTTCTCTCGGTCCAAGTGTGCCTTTCCACCACCTGCAGTTGGTGAAATTTCCGTCAACAGAAAGCCCAGCGTTTCGATATCGACGACCATTTTCGAGATCCTTTTTGCCTCCTCGATCACCTCACCAATAAAGCTCTCTCCGATGCCCGTCCGTCGAATCCTTGCTAGTAGGGAGGCAAGAAGTAGTTTAGATGCTAACGGTAGACCGCGTAGATGCTGCTGCAAGGGGCTTGTGGTAGCTTCGTTGATGGCCCGTTTTATCGTAGCTATAGTGACCTTGCCCAGCGAGGGTTTCTTAGCCACCCCATTGGCACCAGCGGCTTTCCTGCTGGGTGTCGCTGGCACGTTTTCACCGGCTTCCGTTTCAGCAAGCTCCACGGCTCGTCTGCATATATCTAACGCGCGACGTGCATCTCCGCTCACAGCAGCCACTTTTCTGCTGGCAAACTGAACGGCATCTGACTCCACAACACCGCCTGGCACACCCTCTAGTCTAGACTCGATAATCTTCATCAATTGCTCGTGATTATATCCCGGGAATGTGATTCTGGTCAAACCTGTGGAGGGTTAGTCATGTGCGAAGTTTGTTGGGATCGAACTTACCAAGTCTACTGCTGATTTTGTTACTGAGCGTCCTCTCAGGTAAGTCCATAGTATTAGCCACCGCAAGGACGATAAGTCTGCTGTGTCTCAACCCTGGCCAGTTGAAAAAATTGTACATCACGCTCTGGTTTTTGGTGACAAGTTGGTCGAGCTCGTCCATCAATACCACACACGGAATTCGTCGCGGACTTGGATGGTTGAACTCTCTCTCCAAGAGGTCTAGGGCCTGCGATGGGCTGACTCTATCTCCCTTCAATGCTTCCCACAAGAGCGAGTAAGATTGGTGAGGGTCTGTCACTTTCATGCCGTTGATTTCAACGAATATGAAATCATCCAGCTCTTCGGCTACAACCGAGGCGTTTAACTGCGAGACAACTTCCCGAACTGTTGCTGTTTTCCCCGTCCCAGGCGTACCCGAGATATAAATACATGCCCCTGAGCCATCTGTAATCGCCGACTCGAGATGTGAATAAACTTCAGTGAACTCATTCTCTCTGCAGGGAAGAGTGGCGGGAACAGCCGCGACGTGAAGTTTGGATCGTGCCAATTGAAAAGGCGAAGCGTAGATCTTGCCTGGCGAGATAACCCGAGTTCCCAATGGTGTAAATTCAAGGGGCTTCTTCACAACGATCCTGGGATATTATTAGCTTTGCGGTGCAACTTCAGGGATGAACACGTACCTCTTGTGACTCGGCGTGAGTAGTAGCTTGCTAGGTGTCCGAGGTTTCTTTGGAGTTAAGGCTACAGAAGTCTTGCGCTTCTTCCTCGGGGTACCGAAGTCATCTCCATGGTCATCCCCATCATCTACACTCAGGAACTCCTGCTCTTGTTTGCGCTTTTCTGCCTGTAGTTCTCCACGTCGTTTTCTGGTGGCCTTTGTTTCGTTCTTGACCCTCTCGATAAGATTAAAAATATCTTCATCAGTCCCATGGAAAATATCTTCCCAGATAAACTCGTCCGTATAAGTTGCTGTTCTGGTATTGCAGCCGCGTCGGCAGATAAAGCTTTTACCATGATCTTTTGAGTTCCTAGGTATTCGGCCACTGGGATACTTTGCCAAAAATGTCTTGACTGACGAAACTGTGGCCTTGCCGTTGATGGACGCTATAGGGTTAACATCCCATGAGGGGGATATGTAAAGTTCATTCTGAAAAGAGTTAGTTTCAACCCAGTGAGGCGTGTTATCCAGCTCGTACCTGCATGAAATCCGTTCGTTTCTTCTCCTTATTTCGGATTTCCTTCTCTGTTGCGAACCACATGAAATTTGCTGCCATCTCGCCGTCATCCTCCTCAATAAACTCGCAGATCACGCCCACCCATGCTTCATTGGTTCCTTCGGCTTTGAGCAGCACACAGTCTCCAACTTTGCACTCAAAATCCCCCATTCTTGCACCAATTATCTTCCGTTGCGCACCTTGTCCTACCTTCCTGGCTACCTTCCTCTTGCGTCCAGCATGAGCTGGTGACGTTGTGGCCTCTGCATTCAGAAGATCCGCGATATTGTCTTCGTTATCGGTCCCATCATTGTCTTCATCTGCCTTTCCCGGATTGTCGTATATCCATTCCCAAGGGTGGTCGTCCAGCCCCAGCTCGTCGTCCGAGTCTTCCCTCGCAATGCCGACGCCAGTAAGGTATTGCTTCGCTCTTTCTACCTTCGCAGCATTGGACCGCTGCAGCTTATTAGGCTGAGATTCTGGCCTTTGACGCATTTTGGTTGCTTGTTCACACAGGTGTTATTGAACGAGGACATCAAATGTGGAGACTTCGGCCTCGTCATGGCTTGTTCTGCCACAGGTACTATCAATTCCCGTCGCGTCCCTACGCGAATTTTCGTGACAAACTGTTTGCTGTCCCTGAAACTTGGTTGCGTCAGCACGTGATGCTAATTGCATTGACGACGACCTTTCCCTTTCACAGGAGATGCCAAATACGTACAGCCATAGAAGTCGTCAGTCGTCCTACAGTAACAAAATATTTTATATCCGAGACAGCATTGCCACAAGTCAAAGGCATGGAGCCCAAAAAATAGGTGAGAAGGGACCGATTAAATATGGGATTTTTTTCCTTTGGTATTGCTTTGTTTATCATCTTCACCCTATATATAAGTTATGACGCGCCCGTTCCTTCCAATGACATATAGCAATATGTCCATTCCAACCGCGTTTTGTATTTAAGTTCTGTGGCTGTTATTTTTCTCTGCTGCTTGGGTTTTACTAGGTGAGCAGCTCATATGGTCCTGGACAGTATAGTTTCTCTTTTTCAGTATTTCCATATATCAATATTTATCTTTGGATGCTGCCAAAAGCATGCTGCCAAAGGCATTAGCGGCCTAGCGCCAACTTTTTATATCCGAGCTACACCTTGAGGGATAGTCATCCTCCAACTGTTTTAATTCTAGTTACTTGGTAGAATCAATCAAAACATTCAGGTATTGCTTGGTCCCACACAGCTTGTAACAACATATGCACTTGAGATCCTATATATAACACTAGGCCCGTGACTTCACTCTCATAGAGTATGGACAACGAGATTCCAGAGATCGACACGGGTCGGGGAGGTAATTGAAAGTTCAACCTGCGTGTGTGTATGGTTGGTTGACAGTGATCACAGAATGGGACGAAGACTATCAGGCAAAGGTTCTGGAGACAAAGGCCCTGGAGACAAAGGCCTTGGAGACAAAGACCTTGGAGGCAAAGACTGGTCCGGATGCTGGGCCACAGCGCGCAGCTACTCAGCCCCTGCGTCCTGCTGTTGCCACAAACCTGCATAACAAAGCTCCACCGCATGATGGTCTCGGGGCACGCGAGATTCTGGCGAAAGATAGCCTGCCAGTGAATCACCTCGGGGTCCCATCATCTTCAGCTAACAATGGGCTTGCTCGTAGGGCTTCAGAGTCGGTCCCAAGCAAGGCTCCCGCATGGATGATCAAGAAATTCACTGAGACCAAGAAGTCTAAGCAAGGTTGGGCAGAGCACCCTGGGCTCATCACAACAAGAAAGGGCAACCAGATAGCCTTGGATGCAGCCACTAACAAGTATCTAGGCCCTATTCCAGAGAACACTGACTTCAACTGCACGGTAATAGTAACCATTATTAGTACAAAATCAAAACTGACGGGTCTAGGGGTACTTCGGTCATTGTGATCCCGATCTCATTGCGAGTCAGAACGTAGACAAAGCATGGGATCGTATCCGCATTGCATACCGTGTCTATATAGCCCTTGATGCTGAAAATAAAACCATTGTTGTTGAGGCCGAGACGGATGAAGATTGCGTAACAGCTCTTGGCCGCATCAGAATCACCCTGTTTCACGCAGAGGCTAACGAGCGAACCTGTCGTGCTCGTTATATTGTTGAGCCGCCTTCGGCATCATCCATGCGCAAAGAAGTCCTTGGTGTAGAGTTAGCGGATTCAAAGGACAAACTCGACAAGTGTGTGAAACTAGCTGGCCCTGGGCTAGGTCCAAAAGAGGTGAAGGAATGGGAGCAGAAGAGGAAGGAACTTATGGCCTTGAACGAGAAAGTATTTGCAGACCACTTGGGCAATGCTTTTATCAATCTGTGTGCGTTGAACAGCAGCATGAGAATGAGAGTGCAATTTGGCAACATAATTCTGAGACGCTACCGTGCTGAGATGGCGAAGTCAGGGTTTGCATTCGAGAAATTTGTCGATATGATGGGTCAGTCTCGGACGGGTGCTGTGTTCGAAAAGACGTGAGTTTTACCCTAATCTTTCAGCCATGCTTTAATTAATCCCGCATCTGATAGGATCGGTGGGAATGAGTTGGGCTTCCAACTTATTCGCAAAATCCATCAATCTACTGATTTGTTTTGTCCTTTGGACAACCTGATCGGAAACATGTCCGACATCAAGCCCAAGCAGAGACTTGTATACAGAAAATGCGGAACTGTCGGCTTCCGCCTCGAGGCAGATATCGATATATCGGCGAGGGGCGGCGAATACCAACTTGGAGAAAATTCGCTTTATAAAGAGGATAGTGCTCTGAAGAAGCGACTTGACATTGGGTTTCTCGGCTTTGACAGGTACGTAACCGCATGCCGTCCTCAGGCAAAAATTGTCTTGCTAATATTCAACAGCAAGTTCCATTGGGCTCTCGAGATTATGACCCAGGAGAGGCTGTCCTCCAACAGCGTCTCCATCCAAGCCACGGCACAGGAACTTCTCTCATCTGCCAAAGTCGAGGAAGACATCATGGGCTTTCCTTACCCATCCGCTGGTCCCAATAGACGTTTGAATGGCAACGACACGGCAAACATTCACACTATCTTTCAATACAAACTCATGGGCACTCCCTACGTGGTGCAAATTCTACTGTCCAGAGGAATTTGCTCAGACACTGTTGGTTACTGCGGAGCCTCCATGTACTCGACGAATTGGGACGACCACATGGGACCGAATGAAGGAGAAATCTGTGAACGCTGGAAGCTGGGATCTGATCTTCGGGTGCTGTTTCCTCCACCTCCGTCACCAAAGCCATCTTCATTTGCAGCTGGCGGTCAAGTCATTGACAAGCATGAAGGATTCCGTGCGTTTCTCGCTGCTGTTGCGAAGGTTCAATCTTTTCTGAGTGAAGCTGCATCTGGCAATTAGTTGACAGGTTGGGGGGGTTATAGATGGATGGACTCGTGGGAAACCACATTGTGTTGCAAATGTACTCAATCCAGCAGCGGTAAATAGCAGTAAGACAGGGACAGGGACAAGTACTCGTTTTCACAATGTGGGAAACAGAGAATAGCAAGACAATGAGACAAAGATCAACCAATAAATATGTAATTTTATTCCGCGGCTGGTGCACCAGCATTTCCACTGAGAACCTTCTGTCGTAAAACTAGGGACAACATGTTAGCCCGGCTGAGATTCAATATTTCGGCTCTGCTTACCATCCTCGACCACCCTCAAGTTGTTCGATTTTCCTTGCACTATGCTCTCCAGGTCCTTCAGATTTGTTTGGAGCTCATCGACCTTGGCAGTATAAAACTTGGCAGCGTCCTTTGTTGACTGTAACGTGTTAATCAGCAACCACTCCACAATGACCCCCCAATAACCCTACCTTCTCAACATAATACCCAGTCCCAACATCAACAATCACATTTTCGGCATCTGCTAGGGTCCCTGGCACATAAAGCGAGCTCGTCAAAGGCACCAGTATAGTTTTCCCTATCCAAACAAATTAAGCGACAATATTCTTCAACCAAGCCAAGAGCTACGCACCCTCCACTTTAGGAGATACACCGGTCGCTATCGAATTCAGACACTCGCGGAACTTCGCCTGGGCCGCGCGCAGCTGGGTGAACGAGCTGGTGAGGTGCTCGAGCTCTTCGTCAAGCTGTTTCTTGACCTGGCTCAATTGCTGGGTTGAGAGGCCGCCGAGGTCAACTGTGGCGGGGATATATGTCAGCGGGCTCCCCATGAGGGGGTTCGAGAGGGAGTAACGCACCGGTCTGGCCACCTTGAGACGACATGATGGATGGGTTTGTGGTCTGGTAGAGCTGTGAGCTTGATGTCGTTGATAGCTCAGCCCTGCCTTTCTACTAGTGGTAGCCTTGTGGGGTCCAAGCGGGTTAGCGCCACTTTCCTGTGGAGGGGTAGTCGAAGTTTACATGCGCACATGAACAAAATCATTTACTGTTCCAAGAAATAACTATGAATACTAAATCAGGTTTATTAGGGCGTGCTGTTATTAAATCACTCATGTATAAATATTATCCGAGTTTATTTGAACAGGAGAGGTATTTTTTGTTTGTTCGAGATATTTCAAATATTGTTTGTGAATATCTTTATAATTCTACAACCCAAATATAATTTACAAATATACTACATTTATTAATATATCCTACAATTGCACAAGAAGCTTGTCAATGTGAGCGGCCAAACCATCCAAAGGCACTTCCTCCTTTGTGCCTAGCCTCCTGCATTGGACTTCGCAAGACTTGCTGTTCTTCCACCCTCGACCGACGACTACGATGATCGGATAGCCAACCAAATCAGCATCCTGCATCTTCCAAGGAAAAGAGTTGGTCCTGTCATCTAGAACAACATCAAGAGCATCTCCCGAATTCGACCGACCGCCTGCTAGTGCATCATACACATCCACAGCCCCTTCTTCTTGTCCTCTGGCGGGGATAACGACCGCTTCGTATGGAGCAATAACACGCGGCCAGTTGAGCCCCTTTTCGTCTGCAAGCGTTTCTGCAACAGCGCCTATCAGGCGGGAGACGCCAATACCGTAGCAACCCATCTGCATCTGGACTTGTTGAGCTGATTTTAGAGGGACAGAAGCCTGTGCAGTGCCCTCTGTCGCTTCTGGCTCAATGTAGCCAGCTGGGAGCGTAACAACAGCCTTCATTGGGTCGCTGTATCTTGCGCCCAAATAAAAGGCATGTCCCAATTCAATAGCTTTCTCAATCTTTAATGTGCCGTCGTTGCATCTTGGGCATGCATCGCCTTCGCTTATCCGTAATAGATTAAGAGGCTGGCCATCTGAAGTATTTTCAGCGGTTGTTGAGATCGTAATCCCAAGGGAAGAAGGGAGCGGCGAGTTTGTCCACAAGGGGTCGATCTCGCCTGATTGGATGGTTGTAGTAAGAGACGGCGGCAGTCGATAATCCACGAGATTGATTATCTTGGAACCTCCAGGCGAAGCCTCCTGCCCCTCAAGAATGTTCTTCTCTATGGCCTGTGCCCATAGTAGTGCTGCATTCTCAACCCCTGGATCAAGGTCTGCGACGATGTTTTTGACAGCGTGAGTGTTGACCTCCGACCCGCCTTGAAACCCTTCTCTCGGACTATACCAGACGTTGATCAACGTGCTTCTGTCTCGCGAAACCCCTCGCCAGACAGTGAACGTATTTTTGGCAGAGGTGGCTTCGGGATTTGAAACAAATGACCAAGTTGCCCCGGAATCGTGAGTAGCTGGAGGCAGTGCGGACTCGGCAAGCTCTTCGTTGGCTACGTAATCACAACTTCGGCAACTGATGATATGATCTTCTCCCATCGAAGTAGGAAAATGGTACTCATGGCTGAGGTCACCGCCTATATCTCCAGAATCCGCCTCGGCAACAAGGTAACGAACTTTTAGTTCATCAAAAAGGCGAACATAAGCATCCCGAACCTGGTTGTACGTCACCATAGCTAGAGCTGGGCTGAGATCGAAAGTGTAAAGGTCTTTCATGGAGAATTCACGGGAGCGTAGAAGGCCATGCCGAGGACGAAGCTCATCGCGATATTTGCGAGCTAAATTGTCAGCAAAGATCAGGGATGGAAGATAGGCACCTTACATATCTGATACAACCGAACAGGCAACTCTTTGTATGATTTAATAGTATTTGCCACAAGAGAAGTGATCTCCTCTTCATGCGTAGGAGCTAAAAGATAGCCAGCCTCTTTCCTGTCCTTAAATCGAAATAACTGCTCATAGTGTCAGTGTTTTACTTCGACATAGAGTGGGAAGACCATACCTCTGCATTGATAGCATTTAAGCGGCCGCTCATAGTCCATAGCTCCTCGGATGAAATGCTTGATAAGTCAAGTTTTGAAGCACCTGCAGTAAGGAGTCAGTTGGGGTCCGGCGAATGTTAAACCCCCGGAGACCTCACCTATGCTGGACATGTGCTTGTCGAGAAGTTTCTCAACTTTAGTTTGAACGCGGAGACCTAGAGGGAGCATATGAAAGATTCCAGAATGAGCCTGTCTCCAATTAGCTAGCGCCCCTTTCTTCGGGAAGAAATTACGCACCTGCCGCAGAAAACCAGCTCTCACAAGCTTCGAATGGGCGTCTAGGTAATATATTAGAAACCGAAGCTACAGTAAAGGGTACTGGCATTTAAACCTTCATTGTCACCTGGTGCAATTCCTCCCGTAGGCGTCCATGCTTTAGAGAGTCTCGACCTCTGATCCAACTGCAAGATGATCAGCTTCTGTGTCACGTGGAGGGAGTTGGATATAACGAAATGGTCTAGTAGGACATACGTGAGGGATACCTGAAACAACTCTTACTCCGCCCCAATAGTTTGCCCGATATGGGCTTTGGAGACCGGCATAGCGGCGCTCGATGATACTCGATGGCCTACCACAGCGGGCAAACAATTGGCTGCATTGAGTGTTCATGCTGAATGAGTGTAACACGCCCCGAAGGCCTCAAAATATTCAATCCTAGGGGTTTAAATGCCCTCTGCTCATAATAGATAAGCCATTGACCAATATTCGTAGTGTTTTGAATGCCTTATAGCAACTGATGGACATACATGCTTCACGAGGCTGGACAGCGACTTTAGTTGCCGCATCTGGCCCCACATTTTGACAGGGCAACTTTTACCGGGGTCTCGGGAAAATTCCGCCGATTTGAACTTTTTACCTTATCAACTCCAAGCTTGCCCAAGGAGATTTTTATACAGCGCAAGCTGAAAAGCTTGAGGAAACAAAGATATTACCATGGGCAAACATGGTGCCAACACTGGCAAGGCCTCTAAAAAGGTCAAGCCCAACACACCAAGCAAGAATACCTCAGCGCAAAGCCTGCCGTCGTTTGACGAAAGCGCATTGAGTGCTCTCACAGACAAGATTGAGAAGGGATTCAACAAGGGAGCGAGCTCCGATTCAGCACAGAAACCTGCGAAGAAAGACAAGAGCAAGCCGAATGGAGCGTCTCACTCGAAAGATACCGCTCCAGGAAAGAAGCGCGACGCTGAGGGCAATGTGAAAACACCTACCAAGTCGAACAAGGCTACGGATCGCAAGCCAAAGCAGGCTGAAGGTGGTGCAGCGGCAGAAGGTTCGGCTAGGGATATCCTTCTGCAAGAAATCCTTGCTCTTGGAGGAACCGAGGAGGACTTGGATCTACTCGACGGCGTTGAGTCGGACGACGAAGATGTGGAATTCACCCAGCCCAAGGTGGATGATCCTAAATTCGCAAAAGAGTTCTCGAAGTTCGTTGCTGGGCTCGGAATTGAAGGCCAAACCCAGGTTGATGCCAGCGACTCTGAAGTTGAGGCAGACGAAGTGGATGAAGACTCAGATGAGTGGGAAGAGGAGCCTGATACGCCAAAAAAAGCGCCCAAGAAGGCTGAAGAGCCAGTCCCACAGCTAGTCCAGGCGCAAGATAATAAACAAGACAAAAAGACTAAAGATGTCAACCGCCTAGTCAGTTCTTTCCATAGCAACAATTAAAACCCCAGTCGACTGACAGAGACGTAGATATTCGAGGCGCGGCCAGACTGGCATTCGGCACCATTGGGCGATCTTCCAACTCCTGAACTTTCCGACGTACCTGCACACAGAGCCATCATCGAAGAGCTCAAGAAATATGCGAAGTCTTTACTGGAAGCCGACAGCAACCTCTACGCCTCTAAGCATCTCTCATCAACATCGTCTCACCGCTTTCTTGCCACTATCATGGCTTCCGGTACATTGGACGATAAGGTTTCGGCCTTAACGTTGGTGATTCAAGAGTCTCCTATACATACCACCAAGTCCTTTGAGAGCCTTCTTGGCCTGGCGAAGAAGCGCAGCAGAGGCCAGGCTGTCACAGCGTTAGGCGCCTTGAAGGATTTGCTTGGTGTGGGCGTTGTGCTGCCAGCTGATCGCCGATTGAGGACCTTTGCCAACCAGCCTGGACTTCTCGGCACTCTTCAGACCGAGTTCGTATCAAACTGGAGAAGCCAAGATCCGCTCCCTGGCAACATCACCAAGGCCCATTTAATTTCATGGGCATATGAGGATTGGTTGAAGGAGATCTACTTCGAAATTCTGCAAGTTCTTGAAGGATGGTGTGCTGACGAGGTCGAGTTCGCTCGAGGACGTGCGATAACCTACGTCTACGAGCTATTGAAGGAGAAGCCCGAGCAAGAATCCAACTTACTCCGCCTCTTGGTCAACAAGCTGGGAGATCCAGACAAGAAGCTTGCGTCTAGAACGTCGTACCTTATCCTACAACTGCAGACGACGCATCCTCTCATGAAGCCAATCATCGTCTCTTCTATTGAGACCGAGCTTTTGTTGCGCCCGCATCAAAGCACCCACTCAAAGTACTACGCCATCAACACTCTGAACCAGACCATCCTTAGCGGCAAAGAGGAGGGAGTGGCCCAGAGGCTTCTGAAGATTTACTTCGACCTCTTCGTCACCCTCCTGAAAAAGCCACTGCCACCATCTGATGCACCTGGCCCTGTCATGAACAAGAAGGGTCAAGTCCAAGGTGGGGGTGGGCAAAAGGGAAAGAAGGCAATGGAGAAGGTGACCAAAGAGGAGCAGGCAAAGTTAAGCAGTGAGGAGACGACCGAGAAAATGATCTCTGCTGTCTTGACTGGTGTCAACCGTGCCCTCCCATTCTCCAAATCAGACGACGTCACTCTGGAGAAGCACATGGATTTGCTGTTCAAGATCACCCATTCTTCTAACTTCAATACGAGCATCCAGGCCCTGATGCTCATCCAGCAACTCTCATCCACAAAGACTATTGCTGTGGAGCGCTTTTACCGAACCCTGTACGAATCGCTGCTGGATCCTCGACTGATCATGTCGTCAAAGCATGCGCTCTACCTCAACCTCCTGTTCCGCGCCCTGAAGTCCGATTTAGATGTCAGGCGCGTAAAGGCGTTTGCAAAGAGACTCCTCCAAATCATCACACTACACCAACCGCCATTTATCTGTGGTGTCCTCTACCTGCTTAGGGAGCTGGAGGCTACTTTCCCAGGCCTCACCACGATGATAACTGAACCAGAGGTATCTGATGACATGGACGAAGAAGTGTTCAAGGATGTTCCCGAGACCGAGACGGCCGCCGCCGAGGCTGCAACCCTTCACGAGAACCTTATGCACCCCGACAGAATCCCGAAACCTGCACCAAAGCAAGGCTTATACGACGGACGGAAGAGAGACCCTGAGCACAGCAACGCTGACAAGAGCTGTCTTTGGGAATTGGTAAGCTCTTTTGTTCTCACATATTTATTCTTTTCTAATAAAAACCACAGACACCGTTTATTACCCACTTCCACCCCTCGGTGGCTATGTTCGCTGACCGTCTTTTGACATCAGCCGTGATGCCCGCCAAGCCCGATCTCGCCTCCCACTCCTTAATATCCTTCCTCGACAGATTCGTCTACCGCAATGCCAAGGCATCCGCGGGTGGCCTCAGGGGTAGTTCTATCATGCAGCCTCTCGCTGGCGGAGAGAGCAGCGGAGTCCTGGTTGCCAACCGCGCCACGGCACAGGCTCACCAGCCAGTCAACTCCGAAGCCTTCTGGCGCAAGAAGGCCGAGGATGTTGCTGTTGACGAAGTGTTCTTCCACAAGTACTTCAACCAAATCGGCAAGGGCAAGGTGTCTAAGAAGGGCAAGCCCGCCAAGGCTGCAGGAGATGGAAGCGATGACGAAGACGAGAATGAGGATGAGATCTGGCAGGCTCTGGTCGACTCTAGGCCTGAGGTTGAAGGTCCTAGCGACGATGAGAGCGATCTTGAGATGCTTGACTTGGACGATTCTGGTGATGAGGGCTCTGAGGGTAGTGATGCCATGTGGGAGGACGATGATGAGGTGGATGTCGAGGGCACGGACGAGGAAGAGCAGGGATCTGAAGGTGAAGAGGAGCCAAGCCCATTCTTGGATGAGGATGAGCTGGATGAGGGTGAGGATGAAGATGAGGATGATCTGTTCAACAAGGAGCTAGAGACCAACCAGAAGAACCCAGAGGCGAAGGTTGATGGTACGGAGACGGGCAGGGCCAAGAAGAAGAAGATGAAGAGCCTGCCAATGTTTGCTTCGGTGGATGACTATGCTGATATGATGGGAGGAGACGAGGATGAGGATATGGGTTAAGTTGTGGCGGAGAGCGTTATCAAAAGTATAGAATCTATACAATAGAAGCATGTACAAATAAATGCTATGTGCTACATATATATTCAATTTTATGTGATCTGATTCTATGTGGCTGTCAAAGCTTGAACGAATGAGAACCAGGGCCCACGGAGAGAATTAGACTGTCGTTCTGAGGACCGTAGAGGGTAATTAGCATGCTGGTGCGGCGTTTATTGCCTGTTGGTCCTGTTGTCGTTATACTCTGCTGCTGTCACCAACCCCCCACCGTTACCCTTCCACCATTACCCTTTTATGACACAATCCTCCAAACCATGGGCCGATGCAGAACCCTCCTACCCTCCCCAGCAACTTCGAAATGGCTAAACTCTGAGAGTGTATATGTAATGAGAACGTTGACGAGTTTGCCATTCGCCATTTGCGCACCGAATTTATATATTCAATTTCCAACCGCCTATTACCCATGCCATTTAATTATGCCCGCCGATAAACCATAGTGATACTGCGTTGAAGAGGAGTGAGGCACTGTAGGGACGGACTATTTTACCTCTTTAATCCTTGGCAATATTTTGTATTATTAAGGCTCCAATCTAACAGAGCTATGTTTTTCTGTGCTGGAGCCTGTTGTTGAAACCCGACGGAATTCAAACGAAAGAGAAGCTTATATCGTAACCTTGTGGTTTAATTGGTGCTTATCAGAAGTTTCATATTTCCAAACCCCGTGCTGCGCCTGGGCAAAAGTCGGAGCGGCAAAGATTTTGCCGCCGATGCTCGGCCTGTTAGTCGCCGCCACACCGACCGATTCTAACCAGCCTAGCGATTCAAGCCGAGGCTCTTTCGTCGCGTCCCTGCATATTGGCCACGCAATTCGGGTTTCCCCTTGCCTCAACGTTCTATATCGAATTCTTCAACAGAACGACCCACTCTACCGCCAATCCTATCGCTAGGAATAGTTCTTATCACCACCTTCCGTTCTGTTGGTGCTGCCTAGCGTGCTTGTTTCAATGTCGGTCATTATGCGACTGCCGGGTGGGCGGAACAAGATATTGTTGAGCCTCTCAAAGACTCACTTAAGTGCAAAGCCTGCTGCTGCCAAACCCAATTTCTTTCCTCGCCCAAGCTCTCGTACATTCACAAACACAGCGTATAGGAGAACTGCTGCAGGTAATTGCCTCCACTTCAATGCACACGAGCTGTACTGATTGAAGCTGGTAGAATCCATACCCGCCCCCGCCAAAAAATCACTCCCGCTCCGAATCCTTTACTTCACCGCACTCGCAGTCGGATTCACCTCAGCAGGTTTCCTAATGGCGGCCGCACCAGCAATCTCCACGGCGAAGGAGTTCCTCAACGTGCCTTCCGACGAGGAGACCCTGTCGTTATACACCCCTGAGGATGCCAAAGCTCAAGAAGTCGAGGACTTCATCAACAACCACCACCTAGCGCGCGAGCTTAGGAGCAAGCCGGAATATAGAGAGTCGAGGCCACATCTTAAGATCCCCAAAGGAGTCCGCGAGCAGAGCCTCACAGGCGGAACCCTGACCGGCCCCAACCGCGTCGTTGTCCCGCCGTTTGCCTGGAACGAAGAGGGCGGAAAGTCAATGGTCGTCATCTCATACCTCGGCCGTGATCTGTGCGGTCACCCTGGCATCATCCACGGCGGCTTCCTCGCTACTATGCTCGATGAGGGCCTGGCTCGCTGCTGCTTTGAGGCCCTCCCGAACAAGGTCGGCATGACAGCGAACCTAAACATCAACTACCGCAGCCCGGCGCCGGCGGATACCTTCGTTGCGCTGCGAGCTAAGACAATTAAGGTTGAGGGGAGGAAAGCATGGGTGGAAGGTCACATCGAGACCTTGGTTGGCGATGGAGAGACGCCTGTGGTGCTGGCAGAGGCTACCGCGTTGTTCATTGAGCCACGCCAAGCTGCGCGTTTGAAGGCGCTGAACCCTACCAAATAAGGGACGTGTGTCATATTGCGCATATCTACCTGGCATGAATACGGCTACATACAGCTTTGAGAGCTGGTGGTCTGTTCTGTGGAGGGGAAATGGAAGGAGGGTGTTCCCGTTTTTAGAATAAAGCAGGATCTAGATTTAAATGGCTAGAGAGAGGATACTATATTACAAGAGGAGGGGATTAAGGCTTGATATAGAACATAATGAAGTACCGAATGAAATGAAGTCCAACCAATAATCCCGAATAGCAAAAAAAAAGAAAATAACAAAAAAAACATATTCTGAACCATGAGCTCAGAGAAGAATAAACTCTCTGACGGGGAGTCGAACCCCGGTCTCCCGCGCTTTGTCGAATGACAAGCGGAAATCATGACCGTTAGACCATCAAAGATTGTTGACCGAAAAGGCATAACGGGAAACAAGTACCAGAGACGCTTTTCGTGAGTTTTTCAGGGGCTACTAGTTGATGCCTGGCTTCAGAGTCGGGTTTTGTCATTCTCCGATTGCTGAGCCTAGTTTCTCGCTAGCACAAAAGACTGTTTTTAGAATTATGCACAACACGGCTTCGATTTCTCGAACCTCGGCGAATTATGCCTTAAATCCGGGGCCATTTCAGGTCACAAGGGGGAGTCAGGTGACATGATTAATCAGCAACAGGTGAGCTTGGTTTTAAGTTCCTGAACATTCTAAATATATGTAGTATAGTAGTTAATTGCTCGAAAATCTTCCCTTAACTAGATGTCTTAGCAAATAAGAGCTTTGTAAGAATCTTCTCGCAGAAGGACGTTAAAGACGTAGCAGTCATAATGTCCAAAGTCGTTACAAGGCAGCCTAACTCCGTCCTCACCCAGTTACGGATCTCGACGGCAGCTAAGGAGTCTGTCCCGTAGACGCTGATCGGTCTCTCCGGATCCATTGGCTCCTCAAGCCGCAAAATACGCATAAAGCATCCGTTAATAACATCGATAACGGCTTTCAGTCTCGAGGCGGGATCTGCTGACTCAGTGCGCAGTAAAAGGAAGAGCGTTTGGATATCAGCGTTAGCATTCTCTCCGCTAGATTTCAGATCCTTAGACCCCTCGTTGTTACTGAAGAGAGGCGAGAAGCGCGCATCAGACTTTAGGGCCGAGTCGTCAGGCTGCGGGAAGGTCAAGCCCGTTATCAATGGACTAAATGCCAGCTCGCTGGCAGAGCTGATATCGCTTGCCGCTGGAGAAATCTTCTGTTGGAGCATCGCGAAGTAGAGGATCTTGCGCAGTTGACCTTCGTTGAGGCTACGGAACATTCCCTTTTCGGTCGAACTCTGAAGCTTGGCGCTCTCGGCGATCACACCGGAGTCTTCACTAATACCCAAGTCAATAGAGCACGCTGGCAATCCGCGGGCCCGGCGCCAGGCGGCGAAAGCGTCTAGGAAGACGTTTCCAGCAGCGTAGTTTGCTTGGGCAACGTGTCCGATGATACCGGAAAGAGACGAAAGCATCGTGAATGAATCGAGCTTCAGTTGGAGGGACTCGGAGGCATTGTGCAGGTTCCAAGTTCCACGGATCTTGCACTGCAAAGCTTCGTGATACTCGGTAAGTGTCATAGACTCAAAAGGACGATCCTATAGCACGTTGGTCAGCCGATGTGTGGTATGTAGGTAAGAAATGTCTTCTTAATGTGACTGGTATTGACTAAATCGGGCACTTGGACTTACCCGAAGAACCATGGCACCCTGGATGATACCGACAATGGGAACGGTTGTTTGCTTCATGGCCTTAGTGACGGCGTTTGCATCTGTCACATCTGCTATCAGGAGATCGATATGACAGCCGAGCGCATTGATCTGTTTGATCGCATGTCTTGATTTCTCGTCCGCATAACCGCTCCGCGACATGACCGCGAGATGTTTTGCGCCTTGCTGAGCTAGATAGATCGCAAGACCTCCACAGAGACCGCGGAGACTGCTGACGATGAGATAGCAACCATTGGTGCTGAGGTTGAGACTCTTTGGCGCTCGTCGAATCTGTACATTGGCTTAAGTTAACAAACCTGTATTTAACACGATCTCGGGGAGGATTGTTTCTTGAGCAGAAAGGCTTACCGGAGCTTCTATCCCACTATCTTGTGTGAGCACAACCTTTCCAATGTGGGTTCCTGGTCGTAGGAATTGGAATGCAGCGGGAATATCGGTCCACGCAAATTTATGGACTGGTGCGATAGGCTTGATGGAGCCTACCTCAATGAGCTCAAACAGCTTCGACATCAACCTCGCCACGAGAGAATCGGCCGCCTTCTCAGGGGAGATATCGATGGCTCTGAAGGAGCTGTTGCGATCGAAAGGAGCCCATGGCAAGCTGTTCCGATCCAAAACGTCTCTTTTACCAAGCTCTACCATGATGCCTCCATCCGCGAGGACTCGGAACGACTCATCCAGCACGTCTCCGGTCAAGGAGTTAAGAATGGCGTCCATCCCTCTGCCATTCGTAGCTGACAGGATCTGGTCGCCAAAATCGGTATTGCGCGAGTGGAAGATGCGATCATCGGCCAGACCAAAGGCAGACTTAAGGAATTCCTTCTTTTCGGGCGTGCCAACAGTGGCATAAACTTCTGCGCCCACGGACTGCGCGATCTGGATGGCGGCAATACCTACGCCACCAGCGGCCGAGTGAATGAGGACGCTCTTGCCAATGGACAAGCTGGCATGGTCTAAGAGGGCGTGGATAGCAGTGATGTAGGCGGTCGGAATCGTCGCTGCCTCCTCAAAGGTCATATAATCGGGAATGCGGTGGAGACGACCAGGTCTGGTGTGAATGCGATTCGCAAAGCATCCTTTGTCAAAAACCACAACATGATCCCCAACCGAGAGTCCCGATACGCCCTGAGCCACTTTGGTGACTACACCGGCGGCTTCGTGGCCCAAGGCGTTTTCGTCCCCAGGAGCAGTGCCAACTGTGACATCGTTAGTGTTAATACACATCACTAATACAGTAGACCTGGAGATTCAAGTGTTGCTTACGAGTGACGACTACATCCTTATAACTGATACCAGCCGCATGGATTTCAACCTCGACCATACCATCGGCCAAAGGAGACGGCTCCGCATTCACCTCACCAAAGTGCACGGAGTCGAGGTTGCCTAGTTTCTCGCAGCGCGCTTTGATCATGGTATCACTCTCGTGGAGATCCACGATGTCGGTCTTCCTGTCGCTGGGATGGGTGCTCTGACCGAATGTGAGACCACTGTCTCTATAAACGCGGCTGACGTGGACGATACTTCCACGCTCCACAAAGTCGTAGTCAGTGCTTGCACGTGGATCAAACGTCTTTGCGGATGTCATGTCCCATATCCGCCCAAGACAGGCCGAGATAGCATCGGTCATTGTACTGCCAGTGCTAGCTTCGACATCGAGCGTGAAAAACGGCACCTGTTCCTCGGCACGGATCGTAGCAAGGAATCCAACGGCGGCAGCTCGCGTGGGGTCTGTACTTCTGCTCGTTACCCAGAGCAGGGGGCGTTGCACTTTGGAAAGATGCTGAAGCAGCTCCCATTGCTTCGCATCGATGGTCTCCATGACAGAGGAGAAGAGCTCGTCCAGAACAATCACAATACTGGTGTTGGAGGTAATATCTTCCAGCGGGTTGGAAGAGTGCTCAAGGAGCCATTTCTGGGTCGCGAGACCGTCACACACCTTCGACACTTCCTCCGAGATGGAGTCTTGGGCAGCCGCGTTCAAAATGCTGACCCGAGTCACGTTCCTTGGGGGAACCTCTGCGTCCCCGTTGATTGGCAAGGCGGTTTTCGTCAGCTTTTCTACACGGCAGATGCTGACGCCATTGCTTAGATGGATGGTCTTCCCAAGCGAGTCGATGTTGGCAAACCCGTTTGATACGATAAATCCTCGGTCACGGACAGTCAGAGCCAGACTCTGAAGGAATCCATCCACCTCTACCATCTCGTCCTGTCCGGGGTTGATGATCACCAGATCAATACTGTCTTCTTTGGTAATCGTCATAGGCTTGGTGACATCCATGACCAGGTGGAATTGCGGGCTGATGGAACGCGAGTTGAATCTTTCCTGGGCCTGGATCAAGGTCTTGGGATCCCGAACGGCAAAGTTGTACTGCGAGCAGCCAGCTCGAACGGGATTGTCGGTCTTGTCCTTGCCTTGCTCCAACCAGAGATTCGAGCCATTTAGCAGACTCAAATTGACCTCCAAGACGCTCAGTTCCGGGTTCTTGTGCGCGATCAAATCGATGACCTGCTGCACTGTCTTGGATCCTAGCCATGTCGTGCTTAAAGTCGACTCGCCTTCCATAAGCATGTCAATGTCAGCGTTCCAGTTCACGTGCATGAACTGGTGAGGGATCTTCTCCGCGTCGCTCGTCTCCATCTCGGCCCATGCGAGGCCCTTCAGCTGGAACAACAATGAACCATCCTGAGGGTCGTGCAGATCGACGTTTGTGCTGTAGTTGCGCGCACTCTCAGCGTCTCCGGTGCCCAGGTAGTTTGCAGACGCATAGGCAACGCCTTCGGTTAGAACACTCGATTTGCGCGCACTTCCGGATTCAATGAGCACGCTGTCAATAGCCTTAGGCACGAGGGCTGGATCACCAGCCTGGGGCAGTTGGCCTTTCCAGAGAGAAGGTGTTGTAGCTTGAAAGCACCCATCTAACACAGCTGGATGAAGGGGGTACCAAGACTGACCCTCCGGCTGAGATGGAGGAGGCTCCAGGTTGACGGTTGATCGATTGTATCGCTGGCCCATTGTCGATTCAACCGATATATGTTTCTGAAAGGATGGTCCGAAATTATAGCCCATTTCTGCCATAGTCTTGTACCACAGCCGTGCGCTTGTGGCGAGCTCTAGTGGCTCGACTGATTTAAGAGTATCTTGGTAGTCGGTCTCCACGCAGACCATGCCGGTACTGTGGACGATGTCTACATCAACTCCTTCTTGCTCCGAACACATCTGATACTCATACCACGATGCAGTTGAGCCTCCTCTAACTGGAGTTAGTGCCAAGGAGACTGTAGTCTCTCTCTCCTCAGTGAGGACTAGGGCGCGAAGGAACTTCACGTCACGAAGCCTGAAGCGGTAGCGTGCTGGAGCTATGTGCTTCCATTTAGTGACCATTGCCGTCTGATACATGGCTTCCACCGCCATGGCGAGATAAGCAGTAGCCTAAAAGGGTGCATAAAGTCAGCGAACAAGCAACTGATTGAGTATTGCCAGGATAGACAGAGTTAAACGTACCGGAAACACGACATCAGTGCCCAATCTATGGTCTCTCAGCCACGGCAAGTACGCGAGCTTGATATTAGCTCTGAAGATAGGAGCATTCCATCCCACGGAGTTGACCTTGGAACCGATCAAGTCATGGTGGATGAATTTTTTGAACCGCCATTCCTTGCTCGCGCGAGTCTCATGCCAATAACGTGTTGAATGATTCCAGACGTAATTCGGCATATCAACAATGACATTCGACGTCTGCGCGTTTACCCGATTGACCTTGGCTAGACTGACTTGTTGGTCGCCCGCTAGAAACAGTCGGGCTGCGGCATCGTACATAGGCATGGTCGAGTCATCGTTTCGCTTGAGAGCCGACGCATACTGGGCGTTCTTGCCCGTGGCTTTCTTGATTTGGGCGATCGGGCCCGCCAGTGCGTTGCTAGGACCCAGTTCAATGAGGAAATCGGCGTTACTCTGCTTGAGAAGCTCTGCCGTGGCAGTCGCAAATCGCACGGGCGAAACCATGTTCTGCTTCCAATATGCGGCATCGAGAGCCGTGTTTGGATCGACTACCGCGCTTGTCACCGAGCTAAACATGGCAACGGCCTTGCTCGTCTTAGGTCGATGCGTAGGCGACTTCTGGAACAGACCGTCTTCGTGCAGCATAGCCTCATATACCTCACCAATCTCTGCCATGTAGCTGGAATGGTATGCAAGATCTACAAGGAGTAGCCGCGCGAAATGACCGTCAGCCTGGATCCGGTCACGCAGCTCCTCGAGCTCCGACACAAGTCCGGACAGAGTCAAACTATTAGGGCTGTTGTAGCAGGCCACTTGAATCTTGTTTTCCTTCTGCTCGAGCAGATATGCCGCAAGCGTGGCTTCGTCAATGCCAGCAGCAAGCATGCCCACGGGATCACTGGATTCTATTTTCTTGGACGATTGACCGCGGTAGTAGGCGACCTTGATGGCATCGGAGGAGCTCAAGAGGTTGGCAGCGTAGGCCGCCGCGATTTCTCCGGACGAATGGCCGACGACGGCCTCGGGAGAGATTCCCCATTCTTCCAGAACTCGGAGGAGGGCAATCTGCAAAGCCGTGACCAAAGGCTGGGAGAACTCAGGCAGCCGCAACGCCTCAACACTCCGTGTGGCCGTCAACTCCTCCAAGAGCGACCACTTCGGTGGACTTGGCAAGCTCTGAAGAACGCTGTCGAGGTACTCAACTGTGCTCTTGGCTAACGGGAAATCCCTGATCAAATTGGCACCCATTGTTGGCCACTGGGCACCTTGACCGGTGAAGACAAAGGCAACGCGAGGTACTGTCGACATCCGTTTGCCGCGGATCAAGGTGTCCTGGTTGATGAACTGCGGAGTGGAACGGGTGATAGCCACCGCGCCCTGATAATGTCTGCTTCGCCGCTCAGAGAGGGTGTAAGCCAAGTCACCGAGCTCAAGTGAAACCAAAGGATTCTGCAGGTGTGAGTTGAATTTCTTAATGTATGTGTCCAGCGAGGATTGATCGTTGGCCGAAAAGAATAGCAATGTTGGAGCGGCTTGTGTTTTATTGTCCTGCTCCTCGCCAAAGTCGTCGTCATCATCATCATCGAAGAAATCGGTTGACACCTGCTTGTACGAGGAGACGTGCCGGGATAACTCTTGAGCATCATTCTCAACCACGGCATGAGCGTTGGCACCTGGTCTGTCAGCGGTATACCACTATTTCAGGAGCATAATACATACCTCCATACCCGAAAGAGTTTACGCCTGCTCGTCGAATGTTGTCTGCATCTACCTTTGGCCAGGGCATCGACATTCGGCTGGCCTTTAGACGCAGGCTTTTCCAGTCAATGTTCGGGTTTGGGTTGAAGAATGTCGGGGTCCCCGGAATGACGCCCTTTTCCACCGCCATGGTGGCTTTCAGGAGACCCGAAAGCCCTGCTGATGGTTCGGAATGGCCAATATTACTTTTAATCGACCCAATGATAAGCTCTTGGTTATCTTCACGTCCCTTGCTGAAAACAGATGCTGCGCCCTTGGCCTCGATCGGGTCGCCCGCGAGAGTGCCTGTGCCATGAGCTTCAAGGAACCGCGTCTTTGAGAAATCTTCCTCCTTGATGTTTGCATTCTTTAGGGCCTGTCTTGTAACAGCAGCCTGTGCCTCTGAGCTGGGATTCGCAATACCGTTGGTTCGTCCCGATGCATTCACTGCTGTGCCGCGGATGATTGCTCGAATCGGGTCCCCGTTTCGCACCGCATCGTCTAGTCTCTTCAAGAAAAAACAATTCACTCCTTCTGCTTTGACATAGCCATCTGCTGATGCGTCGAAACTTTTCGATAGTCCTGAGCCAGACTGTGTCACATGCATCATGCCAATCTCCTCATTGTGCTCTGGGCTGAGCCACAAGTTGGCTGATCCAACTAACACTGCATCCGCCTGGAAGGTGTCAAGATAGCGACATCCTACGTCTAATGACACAAGTCCCGCTGAGCACGCTGTGTCCACGGTCATGCTTGGGCCATGTATGTTGAGAAAGTGACTGATACGATTGCTGAGAAGAGCGGGAGCCAGCCCGATCATAACCGATTCGGCTCTATTCTCTGGATCTCGGTGCTGAATGGCACCATAATCTTGGGAGAAAACCTTAGCAAACATGGCTTTTGAACAAAAATGCTGTCCATACCTATAAAATTGGTTCCAACAATCACACCTGTGTTAGTGCCACTGAGAGTCTCCATAGGTATACCACTATTTTCGAGGCACTCATATGCCACCTCGAGCATCTGCCGTTGCTGTGGGTCCATAGCAATGCACTCTGTACGACTGATGTTGAAGAACTGGCCGTCAAACAAAGCCGGATCCACGTCTTCCATGAACATGCCACCAGGTGACTTCATGGTCCTAGGGCGTTGGGGATTCTCCTTGTCATAGTGACCAGCCAAGGAAAACCTTGAAGATGGTGGTTCATTCTTAGCCACCCCCCCTCGCTCAAGCAATTCCCATAAGGCAGTTGGCGAGTTACTGTGACCTGGAAGACGGCATCCCATTCCAACAATCGCAATGGGCACCTGTGTCCTGTGACCCAGCCCTGATATTACCTCATCGTCGCTGGAGCATCTCTCGCTGTTGCCCGAAGTAGCAACATTATCGAAACTTTCTGAGGAAAGGCTAGATGAAAATGTCATTGTGCCGTGTAGTGTACAAGTCGTTCGGATGAGAGATTGGTCTGACTTCAGAACGTGAGGAGACAGGTGAAAGAGAACTATTCTTTTATCACTTCTCGAGTAGACGTTTATTTCTCAGTGAGGAATACCAGTCCCATACACTCACTCACATGTTACTACCATAATGGTGGGGCCATATGCTTATCTGTTCCCCTGTAAGCTATATCTTTTCATTTGCACCCGGATCACGATGGTGGCTTACATGCATGTGCATGTAAGTAGACTTGGCAATGGCAAGAAATGATAATGCTTACAACCTCAACTCACCCGTAGTAGCAATCCATAATTTGTGTCACCATTCGACGCCGTTCTGTTGCCAACTCGAGGCCTCCTTTGTTCTTTTAGTTCAGCTACATCTGTGCTCCCCGTATTCGAAGTGCAGTACATTTGTCGATATCTCGCATACACCGACTAATCTCATCACAATGGATTCCATTCGCAAAGAAGATGTTGAATTTAAAACGCTGGACGGGCTCACGCTTCGTGGCTGGCTCTTTGCAGGTCCTCCAAACGGACCCGCCATTATAATGACCCCAGGATTCAATCTCACCAAGGACATGATCATTTTCGAAGCTGGTCAATATCTGAATGCAGCTGGTTTTACTGTCTTGGGCTATGATCCAAGGTGTATTGGAATGAGCGACGGCAAACCGCGCAATGACACTCAGCCTATGAAGAATGTGGAAGACTATCATGATGCCCTCACTTACCTCAAGGTGCACAGGCGAGACTTGGTTGATCCTAACAGAATCGCATTCTGGGGTTACTCGTTTAGTGGTGCTATTGCTTTATGTGCAGCCGCCCTCGACAAACGGGCCAAAGCCGTCATAGCCTGTGCGGCTACCACCACCTGGGAATTCACGAAGTGGAAACAGGTTCTAAGCAAGGCGATGAAAGATCGGGAGTCGCAATTAGCTGGAAACGAGGGCATGTACTTACCACTGCTCACCGAGACTGGTGAACAACCTGCTGGCTTGGGCACCGGCTACCAGAAGGAGGATGTCCTGGGTATCATCAAGCGTCACGCCTCCATCGAACCAAGCTTCATACCTCGAACTACACTGCAGACCTACTATAACATTGCCGCGTTTCGTCCTATGGCGCTCATGTGTTTCGTGGATCCTACTCCAGCTTTACTCATGACGGGCGAGAACGATGAAATATCGCCACCAGAGATGCAAAGGAAGCTGATCTATGATGCGATCACAGGACCAAAAGAGTTTGTGACAATAAAGAACAGGGCACATATGGATATCCTGACTGGTGACGGATCTTTGGAGGTTTTTGAGAAGCAGGCGGACTTTCTAAATCGTATGATGCCAGCTCAAAAGGGTACCAATGGCATTCACAAAATCAGATGAGTGACGAATGGTCCGTTGGTTTTGTCTCTTTCTCTGTTTATAGACGAGATAATATAGAACTTGACGGAAGCTGGATATTTTGAATCAAGTCTCTTGCGGATCTACCATATCTATGAAGATGTGATCAGAAGCTCTTGTGCAGATCTTCTTGTGCAGAACCCCTGGTGCAAAAACGTCATTGCCATCTTGTCACTCGAGCCCATGGTCTACTGTACAAGAAACCGCATTCTACCAATTGACATTGGATACATGGTCTCACCATCTACGGCTGGCTCCCAAAAAGCTACTGCTTGCTTCGCCATAAAGGCGGCTAACAAACGAAGAGTATTTGTAAACTAACGTACCTCAGAATTGCTCTGCTTCAGATACTTGCTGAATGTCGTCACCCAGGAGTTTCAGGACAATTTCAATGCCAACGCCTGACGTGCCCCGTCGCACCCAGTGTCCAGCTTTGAGTGGTCGTAATCACAAAGACGAAGATAGCTTTGTAAAGATTTCACATGGAATCACGGGACAGGCATTTTGCGTCGGGTTGAATCAATACTAGTTTGGGTACGTGAGTTAGCAGGACATTATCTTACGTGCGCCATATATGCATGTAAGAAACTTCCAAATCTGCAAATCAGATACACGAGAGCTTAGCGCCGATCTCTCACCGATACAGATCTGGGTGGATCGTATGTACCATAGGGGCTATCAGATAGAGCACATGCGAGCTTACCGACGATCTCCCGCGTATAGAGTCTAGTGGATCCTATGCGCTAAGGGTGGGAGATAGTCCGTATCCGTGCGGATTGTATGTGCTACGGGGTGGGTTAGGGAGTGGAAGATAGTCCGTGGATTGCCTGCGTGTCTTAAGGGTGGGAGATAGTCCGTACTTTGATTATAAACACACTGTAGTTTGTAATAACGTTGTAATAACGGGTGTGGCGTGGCATTTTCATCCTTGTGATAAACGTGCACACATATCCATGCATATTACAGTACCGACCACCTTTCGTAAACTTGCTCATACCTGTTGTGAAACTGGAAGCCAAGGTTAGACTTAAATCTAACTATAACCTTGTTTTAGTCAACGTGTTCTTCAACTGGTCGTCTAATACGTCAATCAGAGATAGCAGGTATCAGCCTATAAAGATAATCTCAGCCATAAATTCAAGCTTTTCAGTTATATAAGCCCGGCAGTTAAAAACGTATTTCACATGCGGGTGGGCTGCACAGGCGGGTAAGTGGGATATGATAGTGGTACAGCACAATTCTTATTATTCAGCTAACCCCCTGTTATCCTTGGCTCCAACGCGTCCAACAATATTTCCACAATCTCCTCATGTCCCTGCTTTACTGCAAAGTGCAGGGCATCCAACCCATGTTTATCTACAGCCTTGGGATCAGCTCCGTGCTTCATGAGAGTTTCTACCATCTCTTCATCGCCAGACTGCACGGCGACATGGAGGGCTGTGCGGCCATCGCTGTCCTGCTCGTTGATGGTAGACACCCCGCGGCGGAGTAACAGACGGATCATGGACTTTTTCCGGGTGCGGATTGCCACGTGCAGGAGTGGGATCCTCGTTGGGGAGGTTTGGTACGAGATGTCTGAAGGCTGTGTTGCGAATAATTGTCCCATGCTGCTCGTGCGGCTGATGGATGAGCTGCCACCTGGAGAATAGGAGTTGGCGGGAGAGGGGTAGGGTGGGGAGAGAGATGCCGAAGAAGGCGTGTTTACAGCCGGAGGAGTTGCTGCCCCACTTGGAAGTAACCGCCGCTGATACATAGCCAAGGCGCCGTCGTTCGATTCCGCCCAAAAAGCCACTGGCTGCGGGCAGTAACGTTGGTGAGACTCGGCGTCCGTTAAATCTGAATCGAAGAGTCCCTCAAACGTGATATCTAGATATGAAGGGTTTGGTATTATATTGTTCTCCAGCATTGCGTCAAATGTATATGGTACCTGAGGCGACGAGGTTCCGGAAGAGGCGGAAGGCGTACGCCACTGAAATGAGGCGTCATCCAAGCTCCACAACGAAGATGCCAGACCCTCACAGTTCGGGAGGAGTTCGGATTCTTGCTGATAGTACAGGTCCTCGCCGTGCGCAGTATCCACAGTATCCACAGCTTCCATAGCATCCACAGCGCCCGCAGCATCGAGATCGTTGGAAGTAGCGGCGTCGGGTTGGTCTGCGCTTGTAGTAGCATTGGTTTTCTGCCGCTCTACCATGAAATGTCAGATACTCGTCCATTGACCAATGTTCACGGGCCGAGGGCCAGGGGGGGCTTCACCTCTATATCTTCGCTGTGCGGCACGGTTTTGCAGTCTTCTCTGGGCAGACACTGTACGTTTTTGTTCGACGCCAAAAATGCTGTTATGTTCTACACCCGACATTTTGTTTTTCTACCAATTCTACTACTCTATCTCCCTCTTATTAACATAATTTGGAGTGGGCTGACGCATAAACGTTAGAGTCTTTGTAAGCGATGTTGCCATCAAGATATAGCCAAAGAGTGTTGCGGACCTTCTCCTTTTAGATGCTCGAATAAGCTTGCGCTATAAGCTTGCACTAGGGACTCAGCAGGGGGGTGCTATTGTATTCTTATATCCCGTAGAGGAAGCATTTATCTACCGTACAGTAAAACATAACATTGCCACGGTAGGATAACTGTCCGAGACAGTCCATCAGCTTACTATTGAAGCTTGAAGTACCCCTTCCATAGATGTGATAGCTTGGCCTGTGGATCGTATTTCCGCGCGATACTCACTAGTCTCGCGTAGTTCTCCTTTCCATAACCCTTTTGTACCTCCTGTTTGATATCCGCATAGTTCATATACACAAATGGCGTGTGTACCTTGTACTCAATGGCCTTTGCTTCGATATCGGCAATCAATTTACGCGTGGCGCTGTACGCAAGCTCATCATTCTTTGCCTCTGTCCAGGACGTTGGGAAGGAGATCATTATCAAGGCTCCGTTTGAAGGCTTTAGACCCATTGCGTTCCCGCCATTCTTTTGCATTGCCTCGATAAGGTTCACGGGAATGGGCTGGAAAAGTGCAGTTAGAGAGATGTCGTCTCCCCCCTCATTCTGAAGCAAGGCAACATTGTGACTTTCGAAGAGAGACATGATCTCGGTAATGAATTTTCCTGGGAAGGAAGCAGAAACGACGACATTGCCCCACGTCCACCGGCGGCCGTATGGCGTCGCGATGCTTGTGATGAAATTCGAGACCGTGCCTGTGATGGTTGAGTTGGCAGTTGCTGAGGGTACCTTTTGGAATGGCTCGAAGACTGCGGGTATACTCCCTGGAGATGAAGGTACCGTAGCATGCACAAGGCCTACATCAGCCGAGTATCCGCCGGTAGAGGAGTGGTAGTTGATGCCAACAAAGCCAGTTGCGCCTTTGTCCGAGGGCATCCCGTGAATTGTAAGGTTCTGGAAGTGGGAGATGACTGTCGCGTTTGAGCTGCCCGGAAAGCTGAGGCCATTTTCCCAGACTTCTCCTTGGTCGAAAATGACAAGGTCGAAACGAGTCACGATGCCAAAGTTAGAACCACCCCCACCCCGCAAGGCCCAGTACAGGTCCTTGTTCTCAGTTGGAGTTGCATTGACAATCCGGCCAGAGGCGAGCACGACTTCGTACCGACGTACGTTGTCGCAAGCCCATCCGTACATTCCTGAAAAAAACGAGATGCCGCCACCGAGGGTCAGCCCGCTTACTCCAACGTTCATGTCGCGCCCTCCCACAACACCAAGGCCCATGGGATCGAGAATTTCGGTAACATTGATCCAGCGGTTGCCTGGACCGACGGATACCGACCGTCGATCAGAGGAAACCTTGATATCGTTGAGATGCACCAGATCAATCGTCACGCCGTTTTCAATGCTGGAACCACCGGAGAAAGGCATATGGCCGCCTCCTTTCACTGTAAATGGCCAATCTCCTTCTGTCAAGACTCTGAGAATGGTCGAAACCTCTTTGGTGCTCTTGGGGGCCACAAAACATCGTGGCTGAGTCTCGAGCTGTTGTAGAGACCAGTAATCCGCTGATTGAAGGTAAGATGTGGTGTTCGGGTAGGCAACATCTCCTGCCAAGGCAGCCGCTAGAGCTCTACACTGAAATACACATTATTAACACGAATCTATGGGGGAGTTGAGTGGCATACAGCATCGTCTCGTGCATGCAGAGGATTCTTAGCGGCAAGTGTTATCCCACTAACACTGCACAACAGTGCAATCCCAAGAGTTCCGAAGATCACAACCATGTTGGCCGGGCGTGTTGAGTGATATTATGGCTGTATGCTGTCTATCTGTGAGAAGGAAGCTGTTCATATGAGGCAGCAGATACATTTCTTGTCTAGACAGTCTGGTTTTATATATATCCCGCAATGTTCGACGCCGCTTATGCATAGTCATCTTCCCCTGGTATGAAAAAAAGTCACCTTGACCATCTAGAACTGTGCTTCTTGGGCACTCCAAAGTTTCTTTGCTTGCCGCAAAGTGGCGCCCATGCCTGCTTATGGAGACCCCTGCCCGAAGGAAGGCAGTGGGGACGAAAATAGGCATGCGAAATTTAGCTGACCTCGTTCCGTCGTTTAGGCACGTAATCTTTCAGCCCCCCGGGATTTCCCCACCTTTCTTGTTTTGTATATCCTACCTGTTCCTGACGGCCAGCAACGCAGTAATCTAATATGGACCCCATTTCAAGCGTTGTGTGAGTATACTATAGTCGAGAAGTGGATTCGTGCAGAACCACACGGCAAACACATGGCTTAGTCCCATTCCACAACTCTCACCGCCACACCCGCACGATGCAGGCAATTTTGCAATTTCGACTCTCTACGAGCCATTTATAGAGCAGCCGTCCAGAAAAAATATACTAGTTATCACATATGCTCGACCGAAGTATCGTGAAAAATTGTTGGACGGAAGAAAGCCTCACACGCGAAAGTAGAGCTTGGAAAATGACCTAATTTTGAGAATGAATACGGGGTCGTGTTCACCACAAGAAGAATTTGGATATGAAATACGAAGATGGCAAGGCACACATATCAAAAATCACTATGAGCGGGCACTCCGTGCGAAAAACAATGGTAAGAGTCGCAAAGCAAGATTGTATTCTTCTGTTTACGCTGACCGTAGACCATATCGCCAGTTTTTACCAAGGGATCTCTTCACGCGTGTCAACATCGATGAACTTCCCTGAAAGAGTCTCCCGTGTTGCCGAGCTAATGAGATCAATGATATTCTTGGCACTCTCCTCGCCCTTGGTGACGGGCAGGTCGATGCCAGCACCAGTGGCTGCCGCGATTCCCATGTCTGTCAAGACGAATCTGTGCGGTGAACAATAAATGTCAGCGCTGTTCTTTAATCCCCGACACAATTTTCCCCCTTTTCTGGAACGACTTACCCCGGATGAATAGCAAAAGCGGTAAGAGACGCGTTCGAAACATGGAGAGTCCTGCAAACAGTGTTAGTCGCAGCCTATTGACGGACTATTATTGGTTGAGCCTACTGTGAAAACCAGTTGAGAGAGGCTTTTGACATGCAATAAGCAGCCGCGTACGAGTACCAAGGCAGTGGAGCGGCGGTGGAACCGCCACGGCTCGAGACTGTAACCCACTTCGGGGCGCTTGACTTTGTGAGCAGCTTGTTCACTGCCTGGAATAGCACAACGCTGGACAAGACGTTGATGTTGAAACTATCAACGAAGGCCTTGGGATCAGCGGTTTCTAGGGGACCGGCGCCAATGGAGACACCAGAGTTGGCGATGACGATATCGATATGATCGACTCCGGCAACCTCAATGCTCTCGACGGCGCTCTTCGGATCCGTAAGGCTCGTGTTTTCGATACCGACAAGGAGGATACGTGAGCCGCTTCCTGCGGGCAAACTCTTGAGTTCCTCCGCCTGCGGAGCCTTGGGATCACGAACAGTCCCAATGACAATGTGATCCGGCTGCAAGAGATAGGCAGCTGCTAGAGACTTTCCGATGCCTACCATTCAACGATGTCAGGATGGTGAGAATGGCGGAAAAGGGATCATTCCCGAAAATGATGTGGGACATACCTCTGCCGGCGCCGGTGATGAGAACGACAGTTTGAGGAGCCATGATGATGTAAATTCGTTTGATTACTTTCGTTTGCTTACTGCTTTCTAACTTCGAGATAGTGGCCGCAATATAAGGAGGCTTCGTGTGGAAATTGGTCAGCAATTCAAACGTGGAGATACTCGTCTGTGTGGTAATAAGGCAAGTTTGATTTCAAATCGAACCCTCCTCGAACCCCTCCTTGGTCAAGGAGGGGTTCGATTTGAAATCAAACTTGCTTTTTTTTTTT